ATTCAGTACAGTGTAAAATCTGTAAAATAAAAAAAACGAGATTAATTTTTTTCAACTTTATTTGTAACTAGATTTAAAATCATTTGTGTTTCTGTAATTCTGTTTTTATGTATGAAGTATAATTCTGTCAGGACTAGTTTGGTTTAGGAGAACCCTAATAACAGTTACAGTTGTTGTTTAGGTTCTGATCTGACCCTCCGCATGTTTATATGGAAGGATAAAGTCTTTATGTGAAGGCCTATGGGTGTATATATGAGGAACTGTGGCAGGGAGAGCAGCAGCAAAGTGTGAGACAGAGCAGGACTCAGGTAAAACCAGACGCAGTTGTTGGATCAGGAGATATTGTGTATTTAGATGAAACTGGAGAGAGAGAGAGGTCCTAATTTTTAATAGTTAGTCATGAGAATTAAGTGTTGGTAAAATCAAAATAAAGTTTTTATCATGTCGAGAGGTTAAGGTCGTGATCGAGTCAGAGTTTACAGTGAGCGGTCGACGGTCTGAGACGTGTGACTATGCACTGAACACCTGTATCCTTATAAGGTCGGCTGGAGCTGTTTAAATGTCTGTCATGTTGAAGGTGATTGGCTGAGCTGTCCGATGATATGAGATGAGCTGATGCTCTGTGGGCCGAGCCTGCCTGAACTAACACTGTACTATAATATTAAATAATATTACAGTATATTATTCATTTACATTTATGACACAAAAAAGAGGAAAATTCCACCACACCCCCCTCAGCTGACCTACATCATCATCTTCATCATCTTCATCATCTGTTTGAACCAGATTACATTAGATTGTCTCTCTAATCCCCCCAAGTAACCATGGCAACCCTTCACCTGACAGCTGGAGGGGTCAGTCGATAGTAACCAGCGGGCTCAGGGTGATGACTTCATCAGTCAGCGACAGTGAGACTCTGAAATCTCACCTCTGTGTGTGTGTGAGGAGCTGCTGATGTGTTTGTTTTTAATGAATGAAACTATTTAGCCTGGAACCCGCCAAAATAAAAGCACCAGAGGCCACTGCTGTGATTCAGAAAAGGCTGGAAGCAGAGTCTCAGTCTCAGAGCTGAAACATGAACGAAAACTGAACGTCAGACATTTAAGATAAATTTAATTTTCTGATGGTCTTGATTGATTAAGTGTGTCCACTCATGACTGCAGCTCTGACTCTTTTTCCTGTTAGCAGTTTATTTTGTATCCTCTGTGTTCAGACAATCTGCTGCTATTCAGCATGCTAAGGTGGAAATACAACATTTACTATATATGCTTATATATAGATTTATTTCTTCACATCAGTGTCTGTTTATCTCCTCTGTAGTTTTTATCCTTTACAGAACTACTCTTGTCTTTTACAAATGAACCAGTGAACTGATTAGTTTTCTTATTGAGTCGTCTTTTTATCGTATTGTATCCTCTGTCAGTTTCAGGCGTCGTTTGAGTGTTAAAAATGTTAATTTTTGTTAAAGTCAGCAAATTTCATCGACATACTTGATACACTACACATCAGAATGATCCTTTTTGTTTGTTATTTTTTGGTATCGCAGCATTTTCCTGACAGCCAATCAGATTTCAGCTCTATATATTCTCTTAAAACGGTGGTATCATCCTTTTATAGATTTTCATAACAAATGTTAATCATAATGTTGGACCTCAGTACTAAGTTTCAGGTTGTAAGGTTAATGTGTGTCCTCTGATGGGACTACGAGGGGCTCTGATTGGCTCGTTCAAAAAGTCCCCTAAAACCCGACAGTGAATCGCCTTAAAAGGACAAATTTGTCATTTTATTAAAAGAAACATGACTTTGTTAGAAGGCAACAGTGAAGGAGGCCTCAAGAACGCTGGGTTCTGGAATAGTGGGGGACAGCAGCTTCACTGAAGTGTCTCAGACAGAGACTGAAACGAGCAGAAGTCTCAGAAATAGAAAGAATAAGAAGATTTGATGAACTGTAAATGATGTAAAGCTGCTCAGGAGCAAACAGAGGGATGACCTTGTCATCACTTGCTCTCAGGTGAATCACCATGACAACAGAGCCAGGTGAGCCCCAGGAGGCCCAGCCCAAAGAGGCGGAGTCTTTTCCTGAAGCCGCTGCCCACTCCACACCTAAACAGGTGAGCGAACAAAAACCATCTGATCACATCACGGATCAGTCAGGTCGGATGATGTCACAGTACTTCCTGTCTCCTCAGGGCGGAGAGGGCACGCCGCCTCGGAGCCAGGCTAAAAGCTCGCTGACTGAGGACTCAGGCAGTCACCTGTCATCGAGCGGTCGTATCGCCCGGTCTCCGGCCAGAACCCTGAGCTTCAGGACCATGCAGGCCAGAGTGACCCTGCTGGACGGCTCGCTGTTCACCTGCACTGTGGAGGTAAGGCGAGGAGGCCGGAACAGACGGACTAGTAAAACCAACAAAAACCCAGACCTCAGACAGAACCAGGAACATGAGACTGACATGATCCACCAGGACCAGAAATCTGAGCCTATAGCGGAGTTTATGGCTCCTCAGACCGCTGTATTACTATCCTGCAGTCGTTACTAAAGTTGGTTTAACTAGAGAAGGAAGTGGTCGACAACATTCATCTCTAGGGGGGGGTCTAACTTGGTGTTACGGTGTGTTTGACCCTAAATTAAGTTTACGATGGAATATCCCTTTAAGAGGTGACGGTTTCTGACCATGAAGAGGGTTTTAAATGATGTTCCAGGTTCTTATGAGGAGGAGGTTTAACTCATTTGTTCATGTTGATGGTTGATCTGAGTCAGACAGACAGACGTCTAACTAACTCTAAATCTTGAGGATCACTGGACCTGGATCAGAACTCTTTGAAGACAAACCCAGGACCACAGGAACCTTTAACTCTCTCCTGTCTTCTACAGAAACGAGCTCGCGGCGTGCAGCTGTTCGAAAAAGTCTGTGAACACATAAACCTGCTGGAGAGAGATTACTTTTCCCTGTCCTTCAGAGACGCAGACAACAACAAGGTACCTGTCTGTCTGTCTATCTGTCTGTCTGTCTGTCTGTCTGTGAGTCTGTCCGTCTGTCTGATCTGGTGTCTTCTCTTGTAGAACTGGTTGGATCCAGTGAAGGAGATAAAGAAGCAGGTCAGAGGTCAGTATTTATGTTTTACACGTTGACATGTTACCCCTGACAGGTTTCTGTTATTATAGTCCAGGTTTACCGCCCTGCTCTCTGTCTGTCAGGTATTCCCTGGAACTTCTCCTTCAATGTCAAGTTTTACCCTCCTGACCCGGCTCAGCTGTCTGAGGACATCACCAGGTACCTGATGTTAAAACTCCACCGTTGTCGCGTGGTTTTACTCCTTTGTTTGTTTTTTTTTTGTACCTGATCTCGAGGAAACCTGAATCTGTGTCCCTCTCTGCGCCCGCAGGTACTTCCTGTGTCTCCAGCTCAGACAGGATATAGTTTCCGGTCGTCTTCCATGTTCATTTGCTACTCACACGGTCCTCGGCTCCTACACCATCCAATCAGAACTTGGAGACTACGACCCTGGTACTGTCCTAAACCAAATCAAGCTCCACTCATGTCAACATTTTGTTATGCCAGTTTACCCTGATCGACCCTTTAGTTCCCAGTTTAACAAAAATACAGTCTTACCATGTTTTTAGTATTTTACCTCGTCTAACCGTCCTATCTCTACACATATGAACCCCTTCTGAGGCAGATAAAGGTTTATCTCAAACCATTTTCTCACAGTTAACCCTGTTATTACATTTTTGACCTATTTTACACCTTATTAAATCCCATTTTAAGCTGTTATCCCCGTCGTACCCTGATAAACCCCCCTGACAGAAACCTGCTGGAGCTCTGATCCAGTCTGACTGATGCTTGTTGGACAGTGTAGAGTCGTTGTGTTGTTTCTACATCTGTGTCAACACGGCGCTGTATTTAGACTATTGTAACCTGGATTATTATGAACACGACTGTGTGAGTGTATCAGGCGGGATAAAGCAAAAGGTCTCACTGTTGTTATTACAGCAGGTCAGGATATAAATAAATCACATTTTAAAGCTGAATTTGGACTCTTTACGGGTCAGATCTACCTGCTGGTCTGTCTGTCCGTCCGTCTGTCTGTCTGTCGGTCTGTCTGTCTGTCTGTCTGTCTGATGGGACTCGTCTGTCTGTCTCTCTGCAGATGAGTGTGGAGCAGATTACGTCAGTGAATTGTGTTTCGCTCCGAATCAGACTAAAGAGATGGAGGAGAAGATCATGGAGCTGCACCGAACACACAGGTTTGATAATCCCTACTGTAAAGTCTAGTTAATATTTGACTTTATGTTATAGTTTACTATAATTATACTATGCTATCTCATATGTTATAAATGTGTGGAGTGTGTAATGACATTAAACTGATGTGTGTATTTGTGTTTAGAGGAATGACCCCGGCTGAAGCAGACCTGCACTTCCTGGAAAACGTCAAAAAACTCTCCATGTACGGAGTCGACCTTCATCACGCAAGGGTAAATACACACACACACACACACACACACACACACACACACACACACACACACCATGATGGTGTCAAAGATGTGTGTTTCAGTATCAGAAATAAGAAGCGTGTATAACTGCGTTCACTCTTGTCTAAATTAGTTGTTCTTGTTTCTTCGATGTTTGAACTCGTCAGTCTTCTTAGTTAGTTTGTTTGTGAGTCTGTGGAGTAAATCAGAAACCGAGACCATCAGAACGATTAAAAAATCATTTCCAGGAAAAAAAACAATTTAATTTATATTTTTATTAAACTTTTGAGTTTTTGTCCCATAAACATATTTCTGCATTAAAGCATCGATCAACTCTGAATGATGACTGTGACAGCAGCACAGTCTGATCTATCAATACATGACCCACTTCCTGTTCATGATCAATCGTTTGTCTGTGTGTGTGTGTGTGTGTGTGTGTGTCTGTGTGTGTCTGTGTGTGTGTGTATTGATTTTTCCATCATAGTTGTTTCCATTGTTCACTCTCACAGAAGTTTTCTCTGTTCAGTCGTGTGTCCTGTCCTCAGATCACGCTGATCACCATCAGTACAAACATCTATACCTTCAACTTTAATCAATAATTCAATCATAATCCATTCATCCATTTTCCATTTCAACATTAACGTTTTTCCTTCCACCCATCAATCAATCCATCCATTTATCAAAGCCAACCAAAACCTCTATCCTTAACCTGATCGATCCTTCTATAGCTAATATCAACCACCAGGTTTGCCGCCATGACAGGAACAGGAAGTGATGACCACGTCCTCCTGCAACCACCTCCAGAAATTAGACATGACTCACTCAGACTGTTAGAGTCCATCCTGACCCGGATCACCAAACTAGTCCAGGTCCATCCTCAGTTCTAGAGATAAGAGTTAATTATTAAAAAAACTGCTGATCTCACGAAAGGAGTGGATTTTACAGTACAGAGATCTATACAGCAAAGAAAATAGATCTATACGATAGAGAGCTATACGACAAAATATATGGATCTATATGCTAGGGATCTATATGACAAAATATATAGATCTATACGATAGAGATCTATACGACAAAATACATGGATCTATATGCTAGGGATCTATATGACAAAATATATAGATCTATATGATAGAGATCCATACAACAAAATATATAGATCTATATGATAGATCTATTCGACCTAAGTAAATAGATCTATACGATAGATCTTTAAGATGAAGATCAATACCTCAACGTATATAGATCTATACAATAGAGATCTATGCAACAAAATATATTAGTCCATATGATAGAGATCTATACGACAAAAAAATTTAGATCTATATGATAGAGTTTTATACAACAAAATATAGATTTATACGATAGAGATCTATACGATATATCAACATGACAAAATAAATAGATCTATAAGACAGAGATCTGTATAACAAAATATAGAGATTCATATGATATAGATTTATACGTTAGAAATCTATAAGACAAAAATATATAGATCTATAAGATAGAGATCTAGACCGCCCCCTCTTACTCTCTCGATGCGTCACGTTATTGTTTTGTGAGGCGTGCAGAACTAAGCGCTCTATGGTGTGACTGCAAATGATGTTGATGACTCAAACCCGTCGGGGCTGGTCCTGATCTGGACCCAGTTTATGATTCCCATTCCTACTTTATACACATTTAGGTTCTCAGGTCTGATGGGCGGCGTGGTTCAGCTGATGCAGCTGATGGTTATTTTTTAATAACGCCGTGTTCTGACTCAGCAAAGTTACCCACAGGGCTGGTTTTATCCTGTTCCTGCGCTCACCTCAGATCATGAATGTAACATCAGAGGCAGAGTAAAGAAGGGTTTGTAAAATGTAGGAGAGCATCAGACGGCTGTGTGCGCAAATTTGTAAAAATTTGGACTGGGGTGCAAAACTGCTGCAGTCCCAGTCGTACGAATGATCTGCAGTGAGGCTGCAGTGGAGAGAGAGCAGAGGTGTGCAGCACTGTCAGACAGAGAGCAGGGGGAACAGGTTTGGAGAGGGGGGTTTTAGGGACAAACTGAGTCTAGTGAGTGGGTTATATGGTGGGAATATATCACAGACAGGATCAGGCTGCTTGTAAAGATGAAGCTGTTTGAGACATTTGTCCTCGTGCCGCTCGAAAAGACAAGGTCAGAAAACGTTTCACCTCACAGAGAGGGAGAGAGGGTGTTTTTTCAGAAGGGGATTAAAAATTAAAGGACTGTGGTGGTGCCGTCTTGAACTGTCACTTTCAGATCAGCTGGTCTCCTTTCTTTTTGTCCTGTCTGTCTGTGTGTGTCTGTCCGTCCGTCTGTAGATGGTAGGAAGTCGCTCTGATTGCTTTCCCTCAGCTCAGTCAGAGGTAAGACAGTTTCCTGTGTGCGGTCGTGTTCGTGTTTGTGTTTGTTGGACGTGTGTAAGTTTTCTTACAAACATCTTCATCTCATCACCACAGACAAATAACGGTCCGTCAGTCTGACTGAGCTCACAGGAGGACCGCTTATTTGTCTGACGTGGACATGAACAAATCTCTGAAAACCTCCAACACCACAAACACAGTTCAGAGGTTAAAGTTCAGGGAGGTCAGCGTTAGCCGAGGTCATAGCGAGGAGACGGCTCAGTCTTTATTAAACACGGCTCTGTAGTCCAAACAGGTGAGTTTTACATCAGTTCAGCTCTGTTCAAGAAGAAGAAACATTTAGATCAGTGTCAGTCCAAACTCAACCCATAACGCTCATCCATTAACCCTTTCTGCATCCATTGTCAGTCGTCCTGTTGCAGTCCGCCTGCCGACTCTTTCTGCCTCCTCCTTCTCCAGCTGCGTCTGATTCTGCCGGTGTCATACTGTTTGTACTGTCGCTGATGCCTGCCCTGTTCTGTACCCTGTTGTCTTTGCTGCTGCTCTGCCTGCCTTGGCTTTTCATGTCTGCACATCAGAAGGTGTGCTCTCCCCGCCTCAGGCTTTAGTTTTTCCACAAATCCACATGGAAGAGCGGGAATCTCTCAGAACAGAACAGAACGTGTCTGTCTTTGACTCCAGTGTAAACACGCTGCTTCCTTTCTGCTGTGAAGTCGGACAAGTTCAACCTCAGTTTTCATCACCTGAACAGACTGACTTTAATCGTACGATCTTTCATGGGTTCATGTGTTTGTTTGTGTTCAGGACTCGGAGGGCGTGGCCATCATGTTGGGCGTGTGCAGTAGCGGCCTGCTGGTCTACAGAGACAGACTAAGGATCAACAGATTCTCGTGGCCCAAGATCCTGAAGATCTCGTACAAACGCAACAACTTCTACATCAAGATCCGCCCCGGAGAGGTACGACAAAGACTCACTAAAGCGCCGCACACATAACCTTCAGAGGAAACGGTTCAGAGGAGATATTCAAGGATCTGAATTTGACCAAAGACCATTATTGTGAGGGGGGATCTAGATTTATGGTAGGAACTGTTTATGGTTGGGCACCGTGGAGTCTTTGAGATCTGGTTGTTCTGGGTAATTTGGAAGTCCTAAAGGACAGGGACAGGGAACCTTCATCACAGTCTCTGATCTCATTGGAGGACCCTGATGTGTTGAAGTATTTTGATGAACCTACACTGGTCTGTCCGATGGGTTACTGGGTTAACTGGTGGAGAGAGGAGACTGGGTCTGATGGGTTCAGGTTGGTCCGTCAGGTTCAAGTGTCCTCCTGGTCCTGATCCCTCAGGTTTATCTCGTGTAAAATGAACATTAATCTGAATCAGCTGATCATAGATAGAAATGCTGGAACACGGTCATTACTCACAGGTCTGTCTGTCCGTCTGTCTGTCCCAGTTTGACCAGTTTGAGTCCATTATTGGTTTTAAGCTGCTGAACCACCGAGCAGCCAAACGCCTGTGGAAAGTCTGTGTGGAGCATCACTCCTTCTTCAGGTGGGTCTAGGATGACGTCATCATCGTCACAACACGAACACTCTGACCGTCATGTGATCACTGTCATGTGACCTTGCTCTGATTGACCTGATGACTGAAAACTCTCTTCGCCTTGACCTTTGCCCTCTGTCTGTCCGTCAGGTTGCTGTCTCCAGAGGAGACCCCGAAGAAGTTGCTCTCTCTAGGCTCTAAGTTTCGTTACAGCGGGCGGACCCAGATCCAGAGTCGCAGGGCGAGCGCACAGATCTCCAGACCTGCACCACATTTCCCACGATGCATCAGTAAAAGGAACTTGCTGAGCCGCAGCCTGGATGGAGGTACTCGTACTGATCCCTAGAGGAGGTTTTAGGGGTACTGGACGGGTAATACTAGTCTAACCCAGGATTTCCACCGCATCCGGAATGGCGGCGATTTTCGCTGTACGCCAGTTATTAGTGGATCCGGTTGTGAGGTGAATCAAAACAACCCGCGGATTCACGTGCGATACCAAGTTGTCTTTAGCCACATAGACATATAAGCAGTAGATTGTGTCCTTCCAGAGGAGGAAATCTACTTCTAGACTTCTAGAATCAGCATCTCCTCATCCATGGTGTCATCGGGGTGAAATGACGTCTAAAAACCTTTCACTTGTTCGTCTCCGCCCGTTTGCATGGTGTGAAATACGATCCTCCTGAAACACGGAGCGTTTTATTTTGAAAAGAAGCCGGATGTTTTATTTTGTGTCTGTGCCCGACTTCCTTTCCAGCACGGGTTAATCTGTGCTGAATTTATCCGCCATGCTCCGGCGTCCAGAAAAAATAGAACTCTTGTGATCAGCTGAGGAGTCCGGCGATCCTCAGAGGAACGGAAAGAAGTCGGTGTAAATTGACACGTTAACTTGAATGGTTACCATCAGCTACGATCGGAGGATACGACCTTTTCGTAGACTTTTGTAGACTGTAAATTAGGGGTACCACTTTTTTGGGAAGGACAACTGGACTTTCTTGAGATGTTTTACCTTAGGCGAAAACGTCCCAAGAAAGTCCAGTTGTCCTTTCATGGTAGAAGTGTACGATCGGCTGATAAGACCTACTGGTAGCCGTTCTGGATGTGGTGGAAATTGGGGGTAAGTCGTACAAAGCTCAGTAGATCAGATCTGGTCTCAGTAGCACTGGTCTTGGTAGTACTGTCATCAGTAAACCTGGTCTTGGTAGTACTGGTCTTGGTTTTACTGGTATCAGTAGTACTGGCCACAGTTGTACTGGTCTCAGTAGAACGGGTCTGAAGGTTCAAGAAGCAGCGGTACCGCCTCAGTTTGAAGGATCAGGGTTCGGTATTTCATTTTGTCTCACTCTGATTGGTCTGCACTTTTTATCCCTGTTGATGATCAAAGTTCTTATTGGTTCTCAGCTTCGAGAGCTACGCCCACCGCCTCTATGATTGGCTCTCCAGCCATCACATCCTCCCCCAAAGCAAACGGTGGTGCTCACTCAGGTAGAGTCCCTCACTGCTCTACGCTGGAACGTACTCGTGCTGAAGCACTGTAGTGCTACTAGCGGTACTACAATACTGTAGAAGTACTACAGTATTACTAAAGTACAGCTCTGTGATTGGCTGCAGCTCTGACTGCTTCCCTCAGCTTTTTAAGGAATGCTGTATTCTGATTGGTTGTTGGGGCTGTACTAAGATCTGTTTCGATATCTGTCCAATGAGTGCTTATGTTACAGCTGACGTCATTGGGTCAGATATGGTCAGATCTTTGTGCCCCGTTACCATGGAGACGCAGGTTGTGGGTCAGGATTACCGAGGTATAATTTGGGCTAATGATGAGATTCATTAGCCCCGCCCATTCAGAGTGCGAGCCTGACAGAAAGGTCATGTGTCATTTTTGTTAGCATGCATCATGCTAACGAGCAGTGTGTGACCTCATGGTGGTTCTGAATGCTGGTTGGCTGATTGGCCTGTTCTGCTCTGCATGTCACCCGAGCTCTGATTGGCTGTGGCCCCTTTTGGACACCATGGCTGGAAACTGTTTCAAAATCACTATGGTAACCACTGTCACAGTCAGAGTGTGTGTGTGTGTGTGTGTGTGTGTGTGTGTGTGTAGATATGGGTACCGGGCTGTACGGAGCATCTAAAGCCATTGCAGTCAGTGACCTCATCACCACGGTAACCCCAGAGAGGTTGATGGAGGAAAGGAGGGCGGAGCCAGGTACTGAAACGACAAAGAGTGACGAGTCTTAAGATCACATTCAAACTCCTCCTCTGTCCTACTCCTAACTCCTTGTCTCCTGCCTCCTTGTCCTCTAGTTGAAGAGGTTCTCGTGATGCAGGAGAGGATGGAGGATGAAGAGGAGGTGGAGGAGGAGGAGGAGGATGAAGAAGAGGAGGAAGAGGAAGAGGAGAGGAAGGGGGTAGAGGAGGAGAAAATAGACACTGAAGTTTCTCAGCAGAGTCCTCCAACTCCACAAAAGCAAGAAACTAAGGTAGAGCACACAACTGTCTCACTGCCACCTGTCTCACTCTCTCCTGTCTCACCTGTGTCTCTGATTCAAAGCTGTTTTTTTGTTTATTGTCCAGACTGAGCTGACGGACACAGCTGTGGAAGGAGAGCTGACCAACACGGAGGTACAGATATTTTACATTTGCCAATCAATCTGAATTTATTTATTTATACACTTGAAGGTGACCTTGACTGGGCCCCATTTGTAATGATCTGAAGTATTTATCTGCATTATATCTGAATTTTGTGGGCGGGGCTTGAGGGGAGAGGAGGAGCTGAGGGGAGGAACTGTTTGGGAGGGGTAGAGTTTACATTCAAGATTTCTCCTAAAAACTGGAACTTACTCCGATCCTGACGACACCACCTTTAAAACACATAAAAGTACTTCAACACCTGAGCCTGAGGTGAACCTGAACTCCTCCATAACTCCTCCGTCTGTCTGTTTGTGTCTCAGTCTGATCAGGATGAAGATTTAAAGACTCAGGTGAGTTTGATATTTTCTCTTTTTTATTCACGTTTTCTTTAAAGTATCTGATTTTTCTTTGTTGGTTCCTCTTCAGGACACTCTGGGGAGTCCAGAGGAGGAGCAGAAACCTCAGAGCACCATCAGCGCTCTCAGACGCTCCTTCTTAGAGGAGGGAGCAGGAGGAGGAGGAGGAGGAGAAGGAGGGCTGACAGAGTGGGAGAAACGTCTGGCCTCCTCACCTCTACGACGGGTTGATGACTCCCCGATGATCGAACCTCTGGAACTAGAAGAGGCAAGACACACACACACACACACACACACACACACACACACACACACACACACACACACACACAGCTGTAGGACATCATTGATATAATCACAGACACTTAAATGTCCCACTGTTTAAACTGACTCTGAACTAAGCACACACACTCTGTTAGTTAATTGGTCCAGTTAGCTGTCAATCAAACTCTACACTGAAAGAAGTCGCTGAAGCTCCTCCTCCTCCTTTGTCATTGGTTATTTGTCAGAAAGTGTGTGTTTAATGTTGCTCACCTGTGCGCTCCAGGTGGGTGGGGTTTTATCAAACCAAGCTTCTCCTCAGCCAGTGAAAGAGAAGAATGTCACTGTTGGGCGGAGCTACGACACCACTTCTGGTACGATTGTCACCATGACGATCAACGACACCGGCCCTGAGGTCACCATGATTCCTGGGGGTTTTGAGATGGGCAAGCAGGTTAGAATCATCCCTCTGTCCACTGCTGATGATGTCATCAAAGGTGGACAACTAATTACAATTCGTGAGGTGAAGACCCCGACCTCCCCGTCAGAACCACCTCCAGGCACCACTGACATCATCAGCCATGTCACCAGTGTATCTGACACCAGAAGAGGTGGAGCCAGAAGTCTGGACCTTCCAGAGGGCGGAGCCTCTCTGCTTGCTCCTAAATCCCCACTGGATGAGCTCATCCTAAGCCCCGCCCTCTCTCCAGGTTACCTGTCAGGCAGGACGTCTCCCTCCATGGCCAGAGTGGTAGGCATGGAAACGTTAATGTGGAGGACGCACTGCAGGAAAATGACGCCAAAGCATGGCTCACCTGAGCCGGTTCAAACTGAACACCTGAGCTCCAAAACCTACAGGAACTGGGGGGTGAGGGGGGGACCAGTCAGAGGCCAGGGGGTCACTGGGAGGTCAGGTGATAAAAGGTGAGGTCAAGTGGTTTGTGGGAGGTCAGGTGATAAGTGGGAGGCGAGGGGGTCACTAGGGGGTCAGGTGATAAATGTTGATGTCAGGTGGTTTAAGGAGAAACAGGTAATAAGTGTCGGGTTGGGGGTGAGAGGTGAAGTGAGTCGATTAGTCAGGGGTCAGGTGTTAAAAGGTGAGGTCAGCTGATCAGTGGGAGGTCATGTATGTAGCGGTTACATCAGCTGATCAGCAGAGAGGTCAGGTGATCAGTTTAAACTCAGCTTTTCCTCTCCTTCAGATTTAAATAATCTGAGTATCAGATTTTCCTTTTTGTGTCTGAAATCATTAAATCCAGATTATCAGACAGCAGCTTCACACACACGTCAAACTGTGTTGATAAATGAAATGATCATTTTTATCTGCATTTTAAATTTGAACTTGATTAAAACGATCTTACTGCAGCCGCAACAAAAGACTGATTTCAGACACAGCACTGAATTTTTCTTTTTTTACCCAGAGTTCCTCACTGTTTTTGATTTGCGCCTAGGGGCGGGGCTTTATCTCTTTTTTTCTGCACCTAACCTCCTCTTAGGCTTTGTCCCGATTGGCTGTTTTCCTTTCTGATGCTTTCTTAGCTAGTTTAGGTCTGCAGCTGTTCGGAAGTTTGAGTTCATATTAGATGGACGTCAGTTCGTTTGTTTTTGGCGCAACCTGTGGTAAGAGCTGGTACTACAGGTGTAAGACCCAAATGAATCACCCTAGCTGTGACATCGTCCCTCTGACCCTGGTTTTGTCTGAAAAAATTCTGATCGGCAAGAGTTAAATGAGCTTATGAGGTAAGCTCCGCCCACTTTATGGCTAACCAATCACAGCTGGCTGATGGAAAAGTGTAATACTTTCAGACAAACGCAGACAAGTCTATTCCGCAGGTAATATCTTAAATGAAAATAAGTTATCTATCAAATCTGATTTGTTGACCAAATCACTTGAGATTAGCTCGCTGCACACATGGAAACAGCTTACCTGAGAGTGACCGACCTCCTTACATGAGAGCAGTGAACCCTGAAGTAGGTCATCAAGGTGCCGCTCACCTGAGAGAAGCTCACCTGAGCACCTTAGATCCCCCGTGTTGATCCATTTGAGCGTCTCACAGCAGGTACTGATGGACAGATTTTCAGAAGTTTGTACAAAATGAACAATTGGAGTGATGACCACACCCACGTATCATCACACACCTGGGCCACACCCCTTAACCAACCACGCCCCTGACCACACCCAGAACACGCCCCCTGCATGGCTGCATCTCTGCCTTTAGTTTCAATGGAGAAGTGTCCTTTTCCAAATAGTCATCAACCCTTCCCTTTAACCTGTGTGTGTGTGTGTGTGTGCGTGTGTGTGTGCAGCCTAAACCTACCTTTGATGAAATGTCCCCTGAACTGACCGCTCTGCTAAAGTCAGCCAGAGAACAAAAAACCTTCAGAGAACACAACCTGCTGAAGGTGACTGGCCCTCTGCTCACCTGTCTGTCTGTCTGCTCACCTGTCTGTCTGTCTGCTTACCTGTCTTCACCCTCATTTGTCTGTCTGCTCACCTGTCTGTCGACCTGTTTGGTTGTCTGTTTGCACCTCTGTTAGTGTGACTGCTCACCTGTCTGTCTGTGTAGTCATCCACTCGCTCACCTGTCTGTCGGCCCATCTGTCTGATTATATGTCGACCTGTCAAACTGCCCGTTTACCTGTCCATTTTCTCACCTGGCTGTCTAACTGCGAGTTTGCTCACCTTTATGTTTACCTATCAGTCTGCTCACCTGTCTGTGCTTTACCTTTTTGCTGATTGACTCCCAGTCTTAGACGATGATAGAAATATTGTCCAATCAGAGCTCTTGTTCTTGAGCTGAGCTGTAATTGGTTAAGAGTTGTCAGGTGATGTTGTGACATCATCAGGTTAACACTGAGGAAGCCAATCAAAATAAAATGTCACTTTTATATTTCCTTTTTTGGTAAACTCAGCAGAACAGGTGTTGGAATTTTGTGCTATTTGTGCGCAAGCCCCGCCCCCTCACACCTGATCAGCGTTTCCTTTCTTTACTTCTTCTTTCAGACGTCAGAGAAGGTGGAGAAGGTCTTCCTGCTTACGGAGCCATGTGACGAGGATCAACCAATGGTGGAGCAGCCTCAGGTAGTGACAGGAAGTCTTGTTGGTCCACCCCCTATAAACCCCCCGCCCCCACCGCCAGGGGCCAGCATGACGCATAATGATGATGCCACCGAGGACTGGGCCAGTGATGACGACAGTAACAGAGCTAATGATGCTAACCAGGCTAATTTTCATGCTGCTAAACGCGTGGTCAATGATGATGATGTCAGTGACGATGAGCCCAGTAGCGAGGCGAGTGATGATGATGATGCTAGTGACGCCAGTGAAGATGCTATCAGTGTGTTAGCTCAGGCTGCTGTGGAGGAGGCCGTGGAGGCTGCACTCAGACAAGACCAGAGTCCAGAGGCTAATGATGCTAATCAGGATAGCATCAATGCTAACATTACAGATAGCCACAGTGAGCAGCAGCTAACTAGCATGGAGGCTAACAACAGCCCAGGCCCCAGACCCTGTTCTGTCTTGGGCTCCCGAACCACCACTGATCTGTACGATCGTTACCATGACGACAAGGATTCTGAGAACTCGGAGGAGGACGAGGAGGGATGGAGGTTCGGAGAAAACTCCCCTCCTCCCTCTTCATCGCACCGCAGCTCCTTCCCCTCGACCAATCAGACGCAGCCCTCAGACCACAGTGATGATGGTGAAGATGAAGAGTCAGAACCTCTACAGGAGGTAACACCTGAGACTGATTCTGGCCCGGTCATTCCAACCCTGTACACCCAGACCTGCTTCTTTAACCCCTCTGGAAACCCTACCCCCATCAATCCAGACCCAGTTGGACCGTCCTTAAGTGATCCAGACCCATTTCCTCCTACCCGCTGAACCTTAGATGATCTCAGATCCACCTGATTTAAACCCACCTGACCCGTTTCACCATACCTGCCCTAACGTAATCAGCCCGAGCCCCTGAACCATGTACCAAGTTAATCCAGACCTAGTTGATCCAGAACTGTTATTCCAGCCCAGATCATTTTGCCTGACAAATCTTGCCCCAGTAAACCCAGTCCTGTTACCAGCCCATGTTAACTCAGCCTTTGTAAACGTGCCCCACTAAATCTAATCCATCCCAAGGTGGTCGAGCTAAACTGAAAGTGAAGTTATTTGGGGATTAGTAAATTAAGAGTAAATTTGGTTTGGATTAATAATCTGAAATCATGTTGTGTCCTGTCAGGAGGTCCCGGTGATGAGGAAGACTCTTACATATGAAGTTCCTGGGGTGAGGACTTTCAATGATCTACCTTTAGACTTCACCTGCACCTGTCCATAGAGGTACAACCAATCAGGATCCGGTCAGTTACCTGTTCTCGTGTTTGTGTGTCTGCTTCCCAGAGCCGAGTGGACTCTGATCCTCCTGCAGGTCTGCTGCTGAGTTCTCAAACCTTCACGGCAGAGACCTCCAACACCAGCACCACCACCCACATCACCAAGGTAACACCTGTAGTCATGGTAACCAGACTCTACAGTGACATCAAACATCACCATGGTGACACTGGTTCAAGATCCAGAAAGAAAAACCTTTAGAAAACAAGAAATATTGTGAAATATTTAAAGACTGACAAAAATCTGAAGTGAAAAAACGAGTTTGATGATCTGTGTTTGTTTTTAGACACTGAAAGGAGGAATCTCAGAAACCAGAATCGAGAAGAGAATTGTGATTTCAGGAGACACAGAGATCGACCATGACCAGGTACCGAACACCGGATTATTCAAAAACAAAAAAACAAACCGTGAACTTAAAGAAACCACAGATTGACCTGAAACTAGACCTGGGCTGACCCGGAACAGACATCAGTATTTCTTGAACATGTAGGGTCTCGGCAGACCTGAAAATAGATGAACGTTAACTCTTGGGACAAGTCTTGTATGGATTTAGATCCAGCTAATATAGATCTTAATCTGGGCCTGGAATTACTGGAATAGATTGTACCAAATTGTCCTTAAACAACCTTGAAGGAACCTTGACAGACCTATTGAGAAAAACTTGGACTGATCTCAGCAGACTCGAGGGGGTAGACCTGGTTGACTAGGGACAGACTGCCCGACCTGGATTTACCTCAGATTGGCCTGATTTAACCTTATAAGAATTGTGACTCATCTGGATAAACCTTGGGCTGACTTGGCTCAAGTTTAACCTCAGATAGGCTTGGATTAACTGCAATGAAAGCTTGATTAACCTATGACAGACTTAAACTGACCTGGACAGACCTGGATAATGACCTTGATTTACTGGGGACAGATAGATCTTGGTCTACCTGAAACAGACCGAGATTTTGAGTTGAGATTACCTGGGATATATCTGGACTGACTTGCATCCGACTGGACACAGACCTGAATGGACCTGGGACAAACCTGGACTGACCTGGATTGACCTGAACAGTACCTAATAAATTAAAATAAGTCAGAACAGACCTGAAAAGGACCCCGGTCCAGTATGAGGAGGTCACTTTTGACCTGGACCTAGACTTGACCTGGACTAAAATGAGACCTATCCCTGACATGGACCTACATTTGATTCCGGGTTGGATCTGATTCTGACTTTGACCTTGACCTGGACCTGAACCGGGCTGGCTCTGATCCGGTGTCTCTGTTAAAGGCTCTGGCAGAGGCGCTGAGTGAGGCGCGGCGGCAGCATCCTGAGCTGTCCGTCACTCGTGTGGTGGTTCATAAAGAAACAGAGGTCTCACCTGATCATGTCGTTGATTAGTGAAATCACAGGTAACACAGAGAGGCAGGCTCTGCCCCTTCAGGTGTAGACAAGCTGCTGATTGGCTGGTGCATGGAACACTTTTTAACATCGTGTTGACGCACAAACGCTGATGATCAGGAAGACAAACAGGAAATGATCAGTGACGTTCAAGAGCTCCAGATTGGCCAAGAGAACACAAGAGGAGCAGAGTGGTTCTGATTGGCTGAGAGATAACATGACAAAAAGACTGGTGTCTGATTGGATTAAATGTTGTGGTAGGAGGAGCCTGGAGGACAAAGGGCTGTGCTGATGCATCCTCTTATTAAATTAGGAATTGTCAGGATCATGTGACCAAACAATCAAACTTCCTGATCAGTCAGCTGATCATTGATCAACCAATCAAGTGGGTTGTTGATCATTTATTATAACAACACATCATCAATCACATCCCATTTTGCTAGGACTTCATACGAACTGCAGTTGCCTTAGGACATCAGCTTAAACCACAGGTAATGAATGTGGCCCCGCCCCCTGAAGCACAATCAAAGACACATCAACATGCTATGCTAATAGTGCGTTCAAATCGCCTCGGGAGTCAGATGACCGAGCTGGGAATGACGTCACACCTGAGTTACCAGCGTCGGAAAAAAGCAAAATGGGAGGCGGAAACAAGTTAGCTACATCTTAGAAAGTTATTTTAGCGCTTGACTTGTCCTTGCTTGTATTTGGACTTGGCAAGCGCAGAAATAACTTTGTGTGACGTCATTCCCAGCTCGGACTTCTGACTTCTGAGGTATCTTGAACGCAGCATATGCCATGCTAACATCTTCGACCATGCCTACAAGCTTGCTGTGCTATGCTGACATGCTAATTAGCATGTGCATGTAGTTCCCGTCAGGGTAACTTGCCCTGGGTCACGAGATGGTTAAATAGCAAATAGCAGAGAAAATCATGCCATTATTACAAAAAAATGATTTATAAATCGTCGTCATCGTTTTCTTCCGCTTCATACTGGGTCCGGGTAGCGGGGGCAGCAGCTTCAGGAGTGAAGCCCAGGCGGCCCTCACCCCAGCCACTTCCACCAGCTCCTCTGGGGGGATTCCCAGGCGCTCCCAGGCCAGGCGAGAGATATAATCCCTCCACCTGGTCCTGGGCCGGCCACGAGGTCTCCTCCCGGTGGGACATGTCTGGAACACCTCTAATGGGAGGCGTCCAGAAGGCGTCCTAACCAGATGCCCGAGCCACCTCAACTGACTCCTCTGGACGTGGAGGAGCAGCGGTTCTCCTCTGAGCGCCTCCCGAGTGTCCGAGCTCCTTACCCTATCTCTAAGGCTGAGCCCGGACACCCTGAGGAGGAAACCCATTTCAGCCGCTTGTATCTGCGATCTTGTTCTTTCGGTCATTACCCAAAGTTCATGACCATAGGTGAGGATCGGCACGTAGATCGACCGGTAAATCAAGAGTCTCTCCTTACGGCTCAGCTCTTTCTTCACCACGACTGATCGGTTAAGCGTCTGCATCACTGCTGACGCCGCTCCGATCCGCCTGTCGATCTCCCGTTCCATCCTACCCTCACTCGTGAACAAGATCCCGAGATACTTGAACTCCTCCACTTGAGGCAGGACCGCCCCTCCGACCTGGAGAAGGTGATCTACCTTTTTCCGACTGAGGACCATGGCCTCAGACTTGGAGGTGCTGATTCACATCCCAGTCGCGAACCGCCCCAACAAGAACAAAATATTTGATCAGTTAATTATTTTAATTTTACTGAATATGATCTTGATGAAATCAATAATATTATTACTATATTGTTTTAACTGAGTATACTCTCAGGTAAATAATCACACTTATTTATATTTCAGATTCAAAATATTTTTGAATCTTTTCTATTTTGTTGTTTATCTTCTAGAGTGTTCCGGAAGGCTTTGATGTCCTGGAATGTTCCGGAATGTTCCATGGTGTTCCGGAATGTTCTTTGACGTTTGGCTCAGTGTTTTTTTTTTCCCTCTCTTTCAGGATTGACTCACGCCCCCCCTGGTGCATTATGGGAGAAGCAGTTCAGAGCACAGACTGAGACACTGTTTTACAGCCAGCCAACATTCATGGAACTCTGGATGTATACACACATACACATGCATGCTCACCTGTACACACTGATATACACACACACATACACACATACAGTATGTACACAGTAGCACCTGTCTGTCTGGAGGGGCGGGGCCAGTGGCTGAGTTAGCTTCAGTTAGCATTAATGTGATAAAAAGAATAGATTTAGCCCAGCGCACTTTTCATTTCATGTCATTTATGGACTAAAAACCTTAAAGAGGTGAGAGACAGACAGACAGACAGACAGACAGACAGGTGAGAGACAGACAGACAGACAGACAGGTGAGAGACAGACAGACAGACAGGTGAGAGACAGACAGACAGACAGACAGGTGAGAGACAGATAGGGGGAGCATTCATCATCTCACCAGCATTTACAGGTGGTCGATCTCACATCAACTTTGACCAAAAGTTACCTGACCTGAGCATTTCCTTTCAGCTAAGGAGGCCCCGCCCCCACACCTGACACACCAACAGGTAAAGGCAGACAGCTGATTGGTTGTCTAAGTTAGCAGAGTGTTTTTTGATTAGAGGAAGCAGTTTCAACGTTTGCATTAAGTGACTGGAGCTTTTATTCTGATAGTCTGGTCTGACCAGTTTCCTGTCTGAAATACTGATTAGCATGAATGCTAATAATTCAACCGCTATATGTATAGCAGCAAGATTTAGCTTTGTATTTACCCACAATGCAATAGTTATGTGCCATTCAGTGACAACCCATTTTTTTAATCACCTATCTCACCTGTCTCTGAATCTATTAAGGAGTCTGTATATTTAACAGGTTATTTGATTGATTAGATGATCAATTAAACAACTTGTTAATTAAAGTAAACTCCTCCCCCTCATCCAGGTGATGTTATTACAGGTTATTTATAGTCTGACTTATTTCAAGCCACGCCCAATCCTTCATTTCTGCAGGTTCTAGTTCTTCACATTGACCACTCCCCTTTGTATCATTTTACACATTGACCACAAGTGTTTGACCTTTAGAACACGCCCCCTCGGTTCAAGTCAATACATTGACCACGCCCCCTGGTATGAGGTCACATTACGCTGTTATTTTCATGATGAAAGATTCAAAGTGACTGAATGTATCTTTACCCTGAAACAACAATAAACACCGAAAACTGATGAACAAGATTTTCTGTTCAGTCTGATTCTGTTATCATCTTTATCGACTCGTTTTTAATGACTTACTGTAAACGACTCACTTTTCTTGACTTACTCTAAATGAATGATCTTTGCTGATTTATCATTATCAATCAATCAGTCAATCCCATAGACTGTATATACTATGGACAACTTAGTTACGCCTTCAGAAAAAAGAGGACTTGAGCACAAACCAGTCTGACAGTAACTACATGTCAAAATCACAACCAGGGGGGAGAAACATTTATATTCTGTGTCATTAATTTATAAAGTTTGTCCACAGCTCCATAAGGAGGCGGGGTTTATGACCTATACTGCAGCCTGTCACCAGAGGGCGCTGTTCTCAGAGTGAGGAGGAAGACGGAGTCTATTTTAGATACAGTCTATGGTCCATCCTTGTTTATATAGCAGTGCTGTATAACTAAGGAGTGACTGATTGATGTTGTTTTCGCACCTTTTGACAATCATATCCCAACACACTCAAGAGAAAACGACCACAATATTGAACTCATCTTGACACAGAATGACTGACACATCTCTTTATTGATGGGTGTTATTAACTCATCAGCTCTGACTCTTCTTCATTAACACATCTTTAGTGATAACCCTGACCTGACTTATCTGAGAACATTCATCTGTAATTTACTCTTCAAACATGAAGCACAGCAGGTGGAGATCCACGGTTTCAGGTCAAACTTTTAAAATTTAGTAAAATGTTTCTTCGGTTCTGTTTTAAGACGGGAGCTTCTTTGTTGCTAGGCGGCAGGACATGAATTAGGAGTGACGCCCAACAAGAAGTGGGCGGAGCTAAGGGTCAACGCCCCGCTCAGGTGAGATTTGATAATCTGGAGGTTCCTCAGACAACCTCTAAACCTGGAGTTGATCGACAGGCAGTTCTGCTTTACTCCCTCTGGAAAACAAAAGGACAGGTACAGAGTCAGACAGGTGTAAAGGGTTCGACAGGTACAGAGACAGACAGGTGTAAAGGGTTCGACAGGTACAGAGTCAGACAGGTGTAAAGGGTTCGACAGGTGGGCAGCCTTAATATGTCGTGTTTTTTGGTTTAATGATCTTAGTCCTTACCTGGATATCCTCCCAGGTATATGGGGTTGTTGGTCTCAGCAGAGGTGGATTGTGGGTAAGGGTTTGCCGTGGTGTAGCTCCGCCCATCTACACTCAGGGTCAGAGTGTGTTTGGTTTTTCTCGCCAGCAGGCGGTGCCAGCGTCCATCACAAAGCATGTGACCGATCGAACGCACCGACACGCGCCCCGCCCCGTTGTTCACATTAAACGCCACCTTAAAAACACCGCCGTTTTATTAACAACACACTTACATGTCGTTTATTTATGCGCACAGTCGCGCCACACACAGGTGCTGTCAGCTCACCTGGCCGTTGACCATCTCCAGTCCGATGGCGTCCACTTTCGCACTGCTGATCCCAAAAAAGACCCCTTCTGATTGGCTGGTTCGAAACTCAAGGGACACCGACAGGTCAGAGCCAACCTTGTAACCGTCACGCACTGACACACACACACACACACACACACACACACACACACACACACACACACACACACACACACACAGAGTTAAATCCTCTGATCTGATCTGAAGGTTTCGAGAATAAATTCTGGTTTCCTGGTCGACTCACTCAGGGTGGCGTATCCACTGCCATTAAAGTAACTTCCTGTCTGGTCGTTAGAAAAGCAGGAAGTGACATCATGTTTGGAGGTCGGTTTGGACAAATCCAACACGGCGCCGTTCAAACTGGCAGAGCGGAGACATCCTGAAAAACTGCTGCTGACCTGTAAGACAAAAGAGCAGGGCAGAGAGGACCCGTGTAATTGAACAGGTAGTGCAGGTGCAGCTCAGGTGCGCAGACACGACTGTGACATTAGACAGGTGAAGAGCGTACATTGATTCTCCTGGAGGTGTGTGTGTGCGGGAGTCCGCCCAGGTAAAGCCGGTCCTCCACATCCAGCAGGTTTCCTTTAACCTGCGCCGAGTCTGGACTCGAACCGTCCACTGACACCGAGAGGGTCCGGCGGGCCAGCTCAGCGCTCACCTGAGTCCAAAACAAAAACACGTGTTACCTCACCTGAAGGCGTCACAGCCTGTAACATACAGCCGTGACCATCCCCAACTTTAGCGTGTGTGTGTCAGCGGCGAGAACTCACAGTGTGCCACGCTCCATCGTTAACGGCAACCGACGAGGTGATGGAGGCGGGGCCTTTACCGAGGTCAGCTGACATGATGAGCCGGCCCCCCGCCAGTCTGAGGACGATGAAGTCGTTTTGTTTGGCGTCGGAGAGCAGCGCGATGAGCCCGTCCAGAGCTCTGCTGCGGAGTGACAACCTCAGGGACACACTGATAACACACACACACACACACACACACACACACACACACACACACACACACACACACACACAGTTAAAAACGTTTCCCTCTCTACCATATCATCCCTGTCGTCATGGAGACTTACCTTCGTTTGACTGTACTGGGGTTAATCCTGAAGGTCATGTGACTGTGTTTGGACAAACCAAACTGAGCCGCCGATGGAAGGAATGTAGGCTCCACCTCCGACACACACTGTCACACACAGATCAATAACCAATCAATTAATCATCCCTGATCAATTAAATCTCAATTAATGTATCAGAACACGGCTGTTTTATTAGTAATCAATGATCAATAAACACACTTAAGTATCTGTAATCAGCGACCAATCATCATCTCCTTCATTTACCGTAAGGACTCCAGGTGTGAAAGCGCTCAGGTGAGTGGGCGGGGCTGATGGTATGTAGGTGGGGTCAGGAGTCGGTTCGATTTCGGTGTCATCTGGAAGCACCGCCCCTCTGACTTTCTCCTCCAACAGGCAGCTGTCAAGCTCCGCCCCCTCATACTTCACAGCTTCTGATAGGTCGACAAGCCTGAACAGAACCACCAATAAACGATTAAAACATGGGTGTGTTTGTCTTTGTGTACAAGTGAGGACCAACCATTGATCCCCACAAAGAAATCAAAGGATGTGATTTGGTTTCCGCACAAACGTTTGTGTGTCTGTGTTAATGTGTGCGAGTGGGACCTACACTCCGCCCACCACCAGGTGTTGAATGCAGCCTCGGAACAACCTGGACACTTCCTGTAATCTGATTGGTAGGCGAGACTCCTCCCCTAATGGGATCCCACCAATGAACAAAGAGGACTGAGACAGACGGGAAAACCCGCCTGGCGACAGAGAGACAGACTTTGTCTGTTCTTCGTCCACCTGCATGGACAGTGACCTGAGGGTGACACAAGATTAAAGGAATGATCACAGGTGAGAAAGGTGGGCGGGTAAGACAGGTGGGTGAGCGACTGTTTCCATAGTAACACCTACTTCTTGTTGATGGTAATAATCACAGAGTGTTTCTTTCCGTCGCTGAAGGACGTCCCATCAGGTTTCACTAACATCACTTTTCGAGAAGCTCCACCTACATCTCCAAGCTCCGCCTCCAGAGCACCTGAGACCAGGTGGACTGACAGGAAGTGCTAAAGACACACAGAAAAAGTCACATGAGCAGGAGAAGAGGTAAAAGATAGTGTTCATCATAATTTCAACAATCGTCACTCAGTAGAAACAAACTGATAAACACTCAGATCACACAAAGGTAATCCCAGTTTAGCTTTGACTGACATGTCTCACCTGTTTGTGTGTGTCACTCAGGGCAGCCAGCAGGACTCCTGATTGGTTTTTGGATGAGAAGGAGAAGAGAAGTTCCGCCTCCTGACTGAAAGATCGTGGAGCGATCTGAACGAAGCCGCCGGTGAGCAAAGACACACTCCTGACCGCCTGAAAAACATCGATCAATAGGTTCTGATAAAACAACTGTTCTATAATCAATAATAAATAATAATCATGACATTCAAACACTGACAGATCAATAATTATTGGTGTTTACAGAGGAAAACTCTGTGTTTGGTGTAAAGAGTGTGTCACCTCGAGCACGCAGCCCTTCCTGACTCCATACGCGTCTCTCAGCAGGTCAAAGTTGGAGCGAGCGATCTCCACATTTTTGATACATCCCATGTATGACCTGGACACCACCTGTCGCCTAGGAACCACAGACACCATAAAAGGTCAGTCACATGACCTGTGACATCACCACTCCTAAACCAGCTCATATTTAAATCTCACCTGATTGGTCTGGATGCAGGAAGTCCTCCGATGTAGATCGGGTCGAGGTCAGACCTGTTCAGGTCAGAGGCGGTTCCAGGAGACTCCGCCTCCAAAACCTCCTTCTCTGATGATTGGTCGGCTGCCATGATGGACAGGTAACCTGCGAACACAATAACAGCTACAGTCCTGCAGATACTACCATATACATCAGTCCTTAACAGCACTAGTACTAACATGTGCAGTATTCTTGTTCTACTTCAAGTTTACAGTAATGAGATTTAAAATGATGATTTCTTAAAACAAAGAAACAAGAAGGACTAATAATGTTAAAAAGATCCACAGGACGACTTTAAGAAAGAAGTAATGTGGTCGCAGTGTCAGCAGTAGTAGTTATAGCTGTAGTATTTGTGTACAGTAGCTGTAGTATTGCAGTATTAATGTATCAGAAGTATCAGGATCATTAGTACCTTTACGTTTGCTCCTCTGCAGGGTGATCTTGTACCACACTCCAGTGTTGTACTTCTTATTGGAAGTGAGGATCAGCGCACCTGAGCCCAGGTCAAAGGTCAGACGGACACGCCCCTCAACCAGCTCAATGGACAGGAAGTCCCTCTGCAAGAGACAGGAAGTAAGGCCATGAGTCCTTCAGATTAAGAGCCTCAATAATAAACATACCAGTGTGTGTGTGTGTGTTTGTGTGTGTGTCTTACAGTGTTATTGGAGGACAGGTAGAGCAGTAATCCGCCCGGCGACAGCGTCTTAAAGAGCAGAACGATGGAGGTGGAGGTCGCCCGCAGAGACTTCTGAACCACTGAGAAACCAGAACCATCGAAGTGGAACGAGGTCTCCTCCATCTGAGGACTGAGAGCGACAGGTGGACAGGTGAGGGAGGAGCTGAACACACACAGAGCTCAGAGGTGTGGTCATGTGGGCGGGGTCATGTGAACACCTGTCCTACCTGCTGAAGCAGCCTCCACAGCTCCCCTCCCTGCTGACGTAGTTCCACAGACCGATGTTCCTCTCGTTCAGAAACGCTTCACCTACACACCCCTGAAAGGTGGACGACCTGAGGAGGGGCGGAGTCTGACATCATACGCACAGGTTAGTGTTACTGTTACAGCATCCAGAGCGTATTGAACATGAGTGGATCACCTGTGCAGGTGTGAGTCACCTCACCTGTGTGTGTGTGCTCCTCCCTCCGATGTGGATCACTGAGTTTTCATTGATGTCCAAAACCTGTGACGGTCCAGGTGAGGTTGCTGTTACCGCCGGTAACGGGGCCGCCTCCGACTCCAGCTGATAGACCGACAGAGAGGTCTTCGTCCCAAACCTGCCGATCACATGACATCATCACATGACATCATCAACACTGATGGACAACATGTAATTAAAGTGGCGTTCGAGTTTCCTGGGAAGTCAGACGTCGGAGCTGAAAATGACGAGTTCCCGGCGTTTTAGTTACAAAGTCGGTAAAAAGCGAAATAGGTCTCGGAAACAAGATGGCTACATCTACGAAAGTTATTTTAGCGCTTGCCTTGTCGGAATATAAAGAAAGCGCTAAAATAACTTTCGTAGATGTAGCCATCGTGTTGCTTTTTTCCGACTTGGTAACTGAAATGCTGGGAACTCAGGTGTGACGTCATTTTCAGCTCCGACGTCTGACTTCTGAGGTAACTCGAACGCAGCATAAGTCTCCGCCCCCTTGTATCGGTTTTACCTGGTGGCATTTATTCTGGTCCATCTGTTGTTGCTGATGTCGAGTCCAGGAAACTCAAGTCTGGTTCCACCTGAGCCCAAATCCCAGAGCAGGGACACCTTCCCATCATGCATTTCTACAGCCATGAAGTCAGCCTGCACCATAACAGAGTAACAGGGTAAAGATTATTAACACTGACTCTGGTACCTGTCGGCGCCTGTGTCTGTGGGTTAAACTGAAGTTTGAACCTGATGGTGTCCGATCAGTAAAATGACTTCATGATTGTATTTTGTGTTAAAAGCTGTAAAAGTGACTTTATCTTCAAAAATAATAAAACCTCGATAAACGATCAGGCCGGGATTTTCCTCTCACCCTGACTGAACTTTGGCGAGACTAAAGTAAGTCCACCTACGTTACCATGGAGATTTATTTTAAACTAAGAGCGTGTGAAAAGATCGGATTTAACAAAAAATCATAACCTGCAGGGTGAACGTAGCCTTTTCAGTCATCGGAATCCTGAATTCTGCGTTTGAACACCGCATGCGTGTTTGTGTGTGTGTGTGTGTGTGTATGTGTGTGTGTGTGTGTGTGTGTGTGTGTTCACCGTGGAGTTGCTGCCCAGGTAGAACAGCAGGTTATCAGGGCTGTCCGTCTTCAGAGTCAGACTCAGCGTGTTGAAGTTTGTCGACTCGATCTGAGGTCGGTACGATCTGACGCAGTCTCTGTCCGCCTGCACCGCCACCTTAATCTGATGACATCATCGATGACATTGTTAAAACAAACATTCAGACATTATAATGATTTTTACTGAATATTCATGTAATCATGTGTGTGTGTGTGTGTGTGTGTGTGCGTGCGTACCGAGGCAGCCTGTTTCCGGGCCTGATTGATCAGCTCTCTGATATCTGACAGATTCCGGCTAAGGTTTTCTCCCAGCATGCTCAGCGGCTTTATCCTGTCCATGAGGCGCTCTGTCCGATGCCCCGCCTCCTCCAGCTTACGCTGCGCCTCATTGGCTGAGAAACATAAAGAGCGTCAGCTCCATGAATGTGTGTGAAGTTTCAGGCTGAGAGGGTGTGTGTTTGTGTGTGTGTTCTACCTGCAGAGTGTGAGTCCGTCACCAGCTGATTGGTCTCCCTCACCGTCACGTTGGTGTTTTCCACCACAGAAGAAGAAACCTGGAGCTGCTGTCTGAGAGCGTTCAGACGCTGCAGCGCCTCCTGCAGGTCAGAGCGCACCGCTGCCGCCTGGAGCTGAGACTGCTCCAACATGGCTGCAGAATCTGATCAATACATCAATCATTCATTCGTCAATTAATTATTTACATCAATACATCTATACATTATTTCATCAATATATAATATACTGATAAAGTCTGTCAATTATGGGTCATTAAATCAATACATTGCAAATTAATTAAGCCATAAAGTTATTTTTACCGTATTTTTCACACTATAAGGAGCACCATCAATGAACGCGTCTATTTTCATACATAAGACGCACCCGATTATAAAGCGCATTAAACCAAACAAAACTGTCAGATAAGTCAAACTTTATTCCGACAAGCCATCAGGCTGAGTGGCTTTGTAACTTACCAAAGTCGTAATAAATCATTTTGACAGATTTTTGAGCGCTGTGTACCACAGAAAATCGGTTCAAGGTCAGTAAACACAACCAGAATTAAAACATAAGGCCCACCTGACTATAAGGCGTACTGAGGATTTTAAGTGCGCCTTATAGTGCGAAAAATACGGTATGTTAGTGTGTCTACAATCATTGCGTTATAATTTCAACTGTTATTATTTATATTATATCTATAATTTTATAATAATCAAAATTATCATAATTATTATAACAATAATTAAAATATTAATAATAGTAAAATCATAATAATAATTATATTATATTTATTATAATTAAATCTACAATAATTGTGATGTGAATAGATTTGTCTCACCATTTGATAGTCCAAGCAGCTCTGTGATTGGCTGACGGAGCAGTAAGCTTGAGTTTCTGAGACTCTCTCGAACCAAACCAAGTCGGTTGGTTACCATGGAAACATTCAGGCGCAGCTCTGAAAGACGATCAAATATAATTCATGTTTTCAGTGTCGGAGGGTCACACATTCATTGATTCACACACAAACACACACACACACACACACACACACACACACACAAACACACACACACACACACACACACACACACACCTTCAGCTGTCCGGTTGAGTCTTCTACTTTCTTCCAAAACAGCTGAGCTTATGTTGAGTTTGGCTCCGCCCTCCTCTGACAGCAGCTGTTCTGATTGGACGCTCTGGAATACAAACACAAACAGCAGTCTTTAATGTAGAGACAGAAACTTACATTCATATCAGAGCAGTCAAACGCCACGTCCTGCTCGCCATCGTGACCACAGCCCTCCTTTTAGGTGAAAGCAGTCAACCAAAAATTTCAGCATCTTTGATCTTTTAATGTCCTAAAGTAAGAAAACAGTGCGTGTCTGTGCGTGTTTGGTATCAGAACACACTCACCATATTTAGAGCAGCAGAGGCGGCGTTATGAGCGATCAAGGCAACCTGCTGGGCGGAGTTTACTCGTTGTCTGATGTCGCTGTCCAGCTGAACCAATCGGCTGCCATTTTGGGAGACGTTCCACACCGAGGAGAGCAAGCTGAGAGACAGAGCGGACAACAATCAGGGGCTTCATGTGGGCCATAAAAAAACAGTTCATGAACATGTCCACACCTGTGGAAATCCATCCACAGCGTCTGTCCACACCTGTAAAACTGATACCTGGACAAGTCTGTCAGATCTGTCCAAATCTAAAGAGGTCCGTCAGAAAATATGTCTGCACCTGTTTAAGGGATTTCCCTTCGAAATCATCTAGACCTCTAACTGACTTTAGAACCACTGAAACATGTCTCCACCTATCAGAAATGCTCTGCGCTGAAGAAAAAACCCTCCTCTCTCCGGACAGGTGGAGTACTAACACTGAAACACTCACCTGTGCAGAGATTGGCTGTGGCTCTGCAGCTGGTGGGCGTGGCTTTCTGCACGGTAAACATTTTCAAGAGCATCCGTCTTCTTCAGCCCGACGACCAAACCGTCCACCTGTTTCCTCAGCAGGGGGCGCCACTGATCCAGCTGGCCGCTGAACTCCTCTACCTGCTGCACACACAGGTGAGTAAGTAAGGAGTTTAACAATCTTAAACTTATAAAACCACAAACACACGCTACACGATGATTTTAACATCCGTGTGTCTGCGTCACATGACCGTCTTATATGTGTGTGTGTTTGTCGTACCGTGGTTGTGTTTGTGAGCTCCTGTGTGATGCTGATGGTGTCCTCCAGCAGCAGCTGTGCGTCCTCCATCACTCCGTCCGCAGACACACACTCAGCGCTCAGGTTCTGATGAAGCGACTGGAAAACACAACGACAAACCTCAGCAGGTCGTCTCAGGTGTGCGAGTGAGCTGCAGGTGTGTGCGAGTTTTTACCTGGTGTGTGTGCAGCAGAGTGTGTGCGTTGTTTAGCAGCGTGTGCGTCTCTTTGTTTCGTGTCGCGGCTTCGCTCAGCTGTTTGTGTACAAACTGAAGCGTTTCGCCGCCGTCTGAAAGAGAGGCTGAAAGGGGGCGGAGCCTGTCATCGAGGCCCGCTCTGTACGACACGATGTCCTGCTGCAGCGAGTGAAGGAGAGACTCGGAGAGACTGCAGAGAGAGAGAGAGAGAGAGTGTTCAGTCGTTCATAAGTAAACATACACACGTGTTCATAAAGCCTTCTGTTCCTCTCACCTGAGCTCCTGATTGGCTGTGATGTTGGCGTCCGTCAGGTTGACTGCTCTGACGATGTCCAGCATGGACTCCACCTCCTCGAGGAAACGTGTCTGATTGGCTGAATCAAGCTCCTCCACTGTAGTCTGGTTCAGAGTCTCCGCCTCCCTCTGTAGCACTGAGCCAATCAGATTAAAGAGACTCAAGTTTTTTAAAGCGGTGGATGGCGATGAATGACATCATCACGAACCATAACCATGACTCAAGGGGAAGCCGAATGAGAACACTATCGCTACGCAACGTCTGAAAATTAATCAACTGAACATCATCAGAGAAAACAGACTCCTCCATTTTTAAAACGCCATTCGACGCGTCGTAATGCCCTTCACAACAAACTGCTGTTGTTTACCCTGAATGTTGTCTTGCAGGTTGCTGATACTTTCCAGCAGCTGTGCACTCTGGGAAATGCTGTTCGTGGTGGACGTCGACACTTTCTCCAGATTGTTCGTTAGATCTGTGACCTGACCAATCAGAAGAGAGACAATACTGTCAGTCAACGCCCACATTCTCACAATGTAATGATAATGGATCTAAACTGTAATGTTCACAGTGAATCAACTTTAATGGTGTGTGTGTGTGCGTGTGTGTGCGTGTGTTTGTGTGTGTGTGTGTGCGCTCTGTTTGTGTTGAGTGAATATGTGAGGGGAGGATACCGTTAAACGTCTCTGAGTAACCATGATTACCTGCTGCATCAGAGCGCTGAGGTCAGAGGTCACATGACTCAGCTCATCCTCCACTCTGGACAGACGCAGGGTGACGGAGGTGTTCGGAGAGAGCGCCACCTGTAAACAAACAGCAGGTAAACAAAGAGAGTGTAAGGTGTTAAAGCTTCAGTCTCAGGTTTACCTGCTATGATGGTGTGAAACTCTCACCAGGACAAAAAAAAAAACACGTCTGAGTCAGTATCACTTTCAACCACAAGAGGGCAGCATTTTAATATGTGGTGCTTTACTATGTCACTCTGTGTGTGTATCCTTGTGAGGACTAAACTTCAAGGTGAAATTTTTCCAGAGGGGAAAGTTTTACTTGAGGAGACATTTTTCTGCATGAATAGAAATCTTGGATGAGCTCCTGCGGTTCTTCTGACTGTTCGTCGTCCTGAAGTGACATTTTAACTCTGTTGACCCTTTAGTATTTGCAGCATCGCAGCTACACAATAAAAAAGTGTCCGGAACAAAGAATTTACACAGTGTTGTCCTCACAAAGTGTATGTGTGTGTGTGTGTACCTTGAACTCTCTTGTCCGGTTCTCCAGCATCACCAGCTGGCTGTACGGTGCCATGGCAACGCTGCTCAGGTTGACAGACAGGAAGTAGTTGTGAACTTTCTCCAGGTCGTCCAACAGAACGCCGGAACACTCGTCATCACACGCTGTAAAAATACACAAACGTAAACACACAATTCACCTCAGAGGAAACACGACGTGCCAACCAGAGTCTGTGTGTGTGTGTGTGTGTGTGTGTCTGTGTCTTTGGTACTTACACACACACTCGCCCGCCTCCAGGACATGTCTTTCTTCACACTGGTCACACGATTGACCTTTGACCCCAGCCTTACAGTCGCACTGCCCGGTCAGCGTGTCACAGAGCGGCTGCAGGGAGCCCCACCCACTGCAGGTGCACCGTGAACACACCCCGCCAGGCAATGATGGGTTACCATAGTAACCAACAGAACACCTGGAGGATGAAAGTCAGGGTTTGAGCCTTTCAAAATAAAAGTCTTCATAAATTCAGGTCATTTAGCAGGAAGTGTTGACGCCACACGTCATGTGACGACTATCGTCCTATCAGTCTCACCTCTCACAGTATCTCCCCTCATATCCTTCCTGACAGGCCGTGCAGCGGAAATCACCAAAGGCTCCCTCTGCTACACAGGTGGGACTGAAACTACACAATCACAAACACACACACACGACACAGAGTTGAGCACATGACATCAAGATGTGTGTTTGTAAAAAGTTCCTCAGCAGCAGGACTCTTAAAATACGGCGGTGAAGTTAGTTTCAGGTTGGATATATTCTCCTGTAAATACGGCGGTGAAGTTAGTTTCAGGTTGGATATAGTTTCCTGTAAATACGGCGGTGAAGTTAGTTTTAGGTTGGATATCTGACGGACATTCTCTGAGGATCTACCGGTGTCTTCTCACTCTCCATAACCGGGAATAACAACAGCAGCGCGGTTAAATCTACTCGACACCCTCACTGTCAACGTCGGTGTTGAATAAGGGACCGTCAATAAATTAACGGTTGATGTTTTCAGAAAAGGCTGTTTTTCTTCAATAGCTTCACTGTCATGTGACCAAAAGACCTCAAATTGATTTCTAATAATAGTACTAAGGTCGATCAATAAGACAAACATTATTGATCAGTTTTCATTGTGCCCCTAAAGTTGTTTGTGTGCTCCTGGTGAAAAAAGTTAGTGTCAAGCCCTGTGTAGTTACCTGTTGTCCTGTCGGGGGCAGGCACACAGAGAGCAATCACTGATGGAGCCGCTCACATTCCCATAATACCCTGGGGCACACAGCTCGCAGCCTCGCCCAGTGGTGTTGTGCTGACAGTCCTGTTTGAAGACCACACACAAACAAACATGATAAGAACGACCAATGAAAAACCTGGAACACAAAAAGATCAACATCACAGCTTTTGTGCTCCACGGTTATCTTCAAAGTTCCCTCCATAACCCAAACACCTGCTCAGGTAAAGATACTCGTCCTTCAGCGTTAGCACGTTACCTGACAGTCTCCGGTCTCCGGGTCGCAGCTCCCGCTGTGGTTGTTGCAGCGACATGGAACACACGGACGAACAAAGAGCGACTTCAGACTCTGAGACGACAGCTCCGCCGCAGGCTGATGGAAAAACCCTGCTGCACAGTCCTACGGCGAGAGACGGGCGAGAGACAGACGAGAGACAGACGGGTCAGGGAGGGCGTCGAGTCTCTGGTGTTTATGAGGAGGTTACCATGGAGACGGAGGTTAGTTACCTGACAGGACAGTCCAGCGTATCCAAGTGGACAGATGCAGGACTCAATGTGTCTGGCCACACCCACATCACTCTCTGGGTCACCCAGTGACTCCGCCCCCAACGCTGTTTCCATGGTGATGTTTGAAATCCTATTTAAATGACAGGATATGTGTTTCTGCACAAATCTGTGACAGTATGTGTGTGTGTGTGTGTGTGTGTGTGTGTGTGTAGTTGTGTAGTTGTGTACCTGCTCTGAAGCAGTGTGGTTCCGTAGGACGCTTTGATGGCGATGTATTCGAGGTTGTTGATGACAGACAGGAAGTCAGAGCGAGTCACTGACTTGTCCGATACAGAGTTAAAGTATTTCCACTTATGCTGTAACACACACACACACACACACACACACACACACACACACACACACACACACACACACACACTTCAATAACCAAATATTTGAAGTTCTGGCTCTCTCTTTTTTCCCATAATTCCTTGTAACCTCACCTCTGTCATCCTAATGTCGTGTTTTGTCTTGATGCCGTTGTCAGGAGCAACCATGTCGGTATAAATCACCAGCTTTCTCAGAGTCCCGCCCCTCATCATCACTTGAGGCTCCTGATTGGACAGACCTGCCCCGTCCTCAGCGTAGAAAGTGATGACGTAAGAGAGAATGCCGCCGTACGACATCATCTTCACGATAAACACACATAAAGTACATCATCAGAAACACAAAATAACACAATTTACTCTGAAAGTCACTTCACAGATTAAAGTTTGAGGTCAAAAACACAGACTGATTAACAAGTAGGACGCTTCCTGTTGAGATGATTCTCCTACAAGACAACGAAAAGGGCCAAAAGACACAACACTGCAGGTTTTTCTACAACCTGCAAGTCAAAGACGTGGGTCAAACACAACATTACCTGTTCTCCCTCAAACTGACGAGGTAGTCTCCAGTAGAGGGGGCCGGCCAGTCCGCTGGTGTTGAGGTGTCGGGTGTCGAGCAGCATCTCGCCGCCACTCAGGAAGACTCCAGAAACTACGCCCCGCAGGTTAGACTGGCTGACCAACGGCAAGAGAGGGGGTGAGGGAGCCAGGGTGATCTGTGGAGAGGAAGAGAGGGGTGAGGTTAGAGTTAGCAACGGAGACGGGAACAAGAAGTCATTTTTAACAAGTCCAAGTCGAGTCACAAGTCTCTGAGTGAAACAGCAGGTCCAAGAAGAGTCTCTAACAGTGTCCAGAAATAACAACAAAATAAAACTGTTTATTTATTAAACGGAGAGCTCCATTCACTGCAAAATGTTAATTTTCTTTACATTAAATTGATATTTGTTTACCTGTTAATTTATTTTATTTAATATTTGTATTAATGAGCTATAAAGTTACACAACACAGAGGCAGCATAATGAGCTAAATTTAGTCTTAATGAACTCTCATCCGTGACGAGGGAGTTTAGGATTTTGGGGTGTATAATCGAGTTTCATGGGGGGTGTATTTGTACTCACAGGAGCTCTGAACAGTCCGCCCGTTTCTTCACAGTCTGAGCTGAGTCCTGAACAGAAACACGGCGAGCAACCGTCAGCTGACAGAGCGAACCAACCGGAGACGCACTCCTCGCAGTGTCGCCCAGAAACCCCCGCCTGTTGGAAAAACATTTATATATTTAATTTAACAGCATGTTAATCAGAATTAAACCCATACTGTTGATACAGTATGAGTTTATTTACACACACACACACACACACACACACACACACACACACACACACACACACAGGTGTGTTACCTTGCACACACACTGTCCCGTGTGTCCACAGTCGCACACGCCGAGCGTCGTGTTGCAGAACTTTTCGTCTGTTCCCGCTATGTCGCAGCCACATGCTAAGCACTCTGGGTAGCCATAGTAACCAGGTGCACACTGATCACATGACCTGCCAGAGAATCCCTCCTTGCAGGGACACTGTCCATTGGCCAGGTCACACTGGGGGGCGAAGCTTCCGGAGCTGCAGCTGCATGGCTGGAGAGACATCAGGAGTTAATGTCGTACCTGTGTGTAGTTTGTGTGTACTTTTGTGTGCTTCAGGTGTACTCTGAAGGTACCTGTGTGTTCTTTTTGTGTACTTATTGTGTACTTGTGTATACCTTGCAGCCTGTGGTGAGGTCGTGACCCCAGTAACCTGTCTCACATCTGTCACAGGTGTCCCCCTCTGTGTGGGCGGGGCAGATGCACTTGCCACTCTCGGGGTCGCAGTTCCCTCCGGTAAGATCACAGTTGCATGCTGGGAGAAGAAGACAATGCAGCCAATCAGAGTCAGGAGCTTTAACCAATCAGCAGCCGGACAGATTTGTTACCTTAGCTGGTTAAGTACCTTTGCAGCCGTTTGCACTGTAACCATAGAAACCGCGACTACAGCGGTCGCACTTGTCTCCTGCGACGCCCTCAGCACAATGGCACCGCCCCTGCTCATCACATGACTCAGAGAGAGATCCTGATTGGTTGCAGCCACAGGCCTGACAGCCGCGCCCGCTCTGCAGCCCGAAAAACCCAAACTGAAAAAAAAAGAACAATGAAGAGGGACGGAAACAAGAGTTTGAGAGGGTGGAGCATCTGAGACACAGACTAATTCATCAACTTTAGAAACTGACCAGAAATAAACAAATAAAACAGGATCTGATGGAGTCGACTGATAAAAACAACAACACCTGGAGCACTTTCTACTCTGTGTGTTCGAGTTAGGGTCAGGTATCCTGTCAGACTAAAGTGGAAACAAAGTTACGTCGTGTGGGAGTTTGTCTCACCTGGCAGCGGTCACAGGTGCGTCCCGTCACGTTCTCCTTGCACAGACACTGACCTGTTGTGACATCACATACGCTGGAAAAGGCGCCGCTGACGTCACAGCTGCACTCTGAGAAGAAAGGAAGCCCGCCCACCATTTATCAAACTTGAAGAACAACGTGATAATATAATCGACTAAATGAGCAACCAAAGGAGACTTGGTCCAATGAAAACTAAAAATGATGGTCCTTTATTTCCTTTAACACAGTTGGATACTGGTTATAAATTATTAATGGCACTTTGTTTAAGTCTTATACACGAAAAGCAACAAGAGGAAACTTTATTCTACAAAAAACAACCCGATGGGGCTTTTTGTTCTTTGTTTCTCTAGAAGGAGAATCAGGAGGGGGACAAAGTTTACTTTTGATCTTCAAGGACACCAGAGGGAACTTTGTCTACGTTTTATCTGGAGGAGACCAACCTTGGGACACTTGGACTTAAATCCACCAGGGCGCCTTTTTTCATGTGATTTTACCCCTCAGTGGTGCAAGAGGGAGCCGGGTCGGATTGTTTTATCTACTACAAAAACAGTCAAGAGAAAGACTTCGTGGCGTTTTTTTATACACGAGGACACCAAGGGGACGATTGCCCCTCCTCTGAGGACACCACTGCCTTTAATACTCTAAAATAAAACCTAGAAGATTCTTGACGTACTTTAATAACTCTCAATAAAACTTCATTTGACCTCATGTTCCCATTTAACTTTGAATTAATAATCTTTAAATGTTTTCTGACTTTTTTTAAATTTACTTCTGCTCACTTAAAAGTTTAATTTTATTCGTCATTACATCACACACACACACACACACACACACTCCCACATTCACACAGAATCATGTGACGGAGAACAAAGAGGTCAGAGGTCATGTCTAATCTGGATTTTAACAGATCAACATTCCAAACTGAAAAATTCAAACTGACCAATCGGCTGTCAGCTTCTTAATCTCCGGTCAGCTCTGCTCTACACACACACACACACACACACACACACACACTCACACACACTCTCTGAGGGCCTCAGTTCATCACGGGCTCAGTGGAGTTTTAGCTGCAGGTTTACCTTTGTGTGTGTGTGTGTGTGTCTCACCTTGACAGTTCTTGGCGTGCACTGCGTCTCCATAGTAACCGGGCTGACAGACCTCGCAGTGTCTTCCAAAAGTGTTGCCAAGGCAACGCAGGCATTCCCCGGTGACGGTGTCACAGTGCCCGGCCTCCCTGATGTCAACGTTACCGTTACACTCACAGCGGACACAGGTTCCACCCAGCACCTGAGGGTTTCCATAGAAACCGCTGGCACACCTGATGACACAAACGAACAGGTATTACAGCAGAGTCACCCCCTCTGATTGGACAATGAAGACTGTCAATCATCCTCACCTCTCACAGTTTCTTCCAGTGTACCCCTCCTGACACTGATCACATGATACCTGTCCGGATGGTTCCAGCATACAGGTAGGGCTGAAACTGAGACACACACACACACACACACACACACACACACACACACACACACACACACACACAGGTGTAAACACGTCATTCTTCAATATACATAAATAAGATTTCTGAATTATCTTAATTTTTTTATTATTTCTGATTTTTACTAAGTTGTAAATTCTGAAATCAGAGAGGAGATGCACCTGTTAGACGGCTCCTTCAGAGGGCATGGACACACCTGACAGTCACCTGCGGTCCCCTCGGTGGGGTCGCCATAGAAACCGGGTAGACACTGGTCACAGTGAGGACCCGTGGTATTATGGGTACAACCCTGAGAGAGTTACCATGGTAACAGAGTGAGAATCATGGCGGGATGTACTGAGTTCATTAAGAAGAGAAAACACAAAGAAACAGAATTTAATTTAATATTAAATCACCAAACAAACGCCGTCGCTGTCACACTCGGTGGCGTGGTCGTTACACTCGCACTGCAGACAGTTTCCTCCGAACAAAACTCCGCCCACTCTATAGAAACCTGGGAGACACGCCTACAACAACAGCAAAAACACACACATTAATACACACAGGACATAAATAAGCAAACAAACGAATACTGTAGCCCAGCTGTGAATTTAAAAACCCTCTGACCTCACAGGATGTGCCGCTGTACCCCCACGGGCACTCACACATCTCCACGGCAACCGCCTGACCGCCGGATATGGAGACAGGGTCAGCAACGTCCAGGGACAGGTGTCTGAGACTGACAAATGGAGAGACGTGAGTGATCAGGTGGGAGGTGTTTGAGTCCCTCCTGAACAGAACCACAGAGAACCTGAACCTTCACCTCCTGCTGAAACCCGCCGAGTCAAAGAAACACTTTCCTGCTGAGGAGACGAACTCCGACTGTCATCTCACTCAGGTTTAGTACTGGAGCTCAAAGTCTGTTATCTCTCCCATCCTCAGTCTGGTCTGTTAGTATATCAGCTTGTGTTTTTGTTTGTGGGTTCTCCAAAGTTTCCACATGTCTGAACACTACATCAGGGCCTTGTTGGGGTTCTGAACTTTAGATTTCCTCTTTTAGCAGGTTTGTTTTTGTCTTTGTGAGGCTGGTGTATGAAAAGTGCTGTGACAGTAAAGTCTGATAGATTCTGTCTCTTTTACTCTGACTGTATAAATGTCCGTGTTCTCGTTTCGTGGGTCTGGTGGGATTGTTCTGGAGCTTCTTTATTCCCTTATTCTTAATTAGAAAAGTAGCTCTTACTGTACTGGCCCATCAGCGGAGGCATTCAGGCGAACTTCCACCCTCAGAGCAGACACATCGGCCAAGATTGACAGCAGGTCATCACGGGTGATGCGGCGACCCGTCTGGACTTCAGCGAACCCATTCGGGACGACTGCGACAGCGACTGATTGTTCGGCCAGAGGGGAGAGGAAGGCGAGGACACGAGGTAACAGATGTACTCTCTGACCGTTTCCCTGAAGACAAGACAGAAAAAAAAAATCAGTAAGTTTTACTTTGAAGGACGTCGTGACGGCAGATTTGGATTCTCCTCTGAATTTAGAAACTGAAAATAAAAACACTTTTGATCACCTCAATGATGACGTCACAATGAGCAGGTAGAGAGTGGTCTTCGTTGTCCAATGGGATGTCATAAACAAGGGTGAAGTTCAGGAACCCGCCGTACGACACCAGCTGCAGACAGACAGACAGACAGACAGACAGACAGACAGACAGACAGACAGACACACACACAGACAGTCAGACAGACAGACAGAGACAGTCAGTCGTGTTGATGTTTACAGATTTACAGAATGACGACCAAAGATGGAGAAAGTGTCTCACCTTGTTGCCGAGGAAACTCTTAGGTGCCTCCCAAGACAGCACTTGTTGGTGGGCGTGGCCTGAGGAGACGTTGCGCAGGACGGGCAGCTCGTTGCCGTGGACAACGGAGTGGGTGTTTGGGGAGTGGGTGAGGCGCAGCAAAGCATCTGCATGATGAATCTACGAAATAAAAAACACAATCAAACCCGAGAAACTCATGAGATAAACTCGTGTGTGTGTGTGTGTGTGTGTGTGTGTGTGTGTGTGTGTGTGTGTGTGTGTGTGTGTGTGTGTGTCACCTGTTCAAAGGTTTTACCTGAGCTGTTGACCAGGCCGAGCTCTCACAGACATCCGACACGCCGAAACAGAAACAGTCGGTGCAGCCGAGAGGATTACTCTCCTGCAGGTTATAATAACCCGGTTTGCAGAGATCGCAGTGAGCGCCCATCACATTCACCTGAGGAGAGAACAGGTGAGAACTTCTTTTAGAGACTTTAGGTAGAGCGAGCAGGCCTGCAGAATGGGGGGATGATAGGACAGTACCAGCTCCTGACCTCTAAGAGCTTTGGAGGTTTAAATTCTTGTCTAGATTTTACAGGGAGCCGGTGCAGAGAGGCTCAGACACGGAGATGTGTTTCTTTTCCTAGTTGTGGTCAGTACTCAAACCACACATTCATCATCGGCTTACAAAGGCAGCCAATCAGAGAGAATTACAATAATCCAACCACAGGGTAAAGAATGCATGGACTACTGTTTTGGATCGCTGAGAAGAGCATGTGTCAGATTTTTGCAGCGAGTACGAGAGCTCTAAGATAAATCCTGATCAAACAGGACTCTCAGTGTCCTTTACAGTCAAAGTGGATAACATCTCAGGTAGTTAGGTACCTAGAAAGCTGCTGTAGACTTCTTTAATAAAACCTGAAGTGACTGAGGTTCTGCTTTAGCCTCATGGTGAAGTTACACTGTCAATTACAGAGACTATCGTCCTCAGGTGGGACAGGAGTTGACTGTAACCCACAGTCCCTTTTCTGTATGCTGCCCTCTCCCCCATAAAGGATCAAATCAAACTGAAGAAGTCTGAAGTGTGTGATAACGCCGTGTTTACCTTGCAGATGCAGGGGCTGCAGGGGTCAGAGTTGGTGCTGCCGGACAGGTTACACTCACAGCGAACGCAGTGAGGAAAATCTCTGTATCCAAACGCACAACGATCGCACTGTCGACCTGCAAAACCCTCTTTGCACACACACTGCCCTGCTGTGACACCTGCAGACACACACACAAACACACACAGAGAGTCAGAAGTGTGGTCAAACTTTGAGCTGCTGTGTTCAGTACATTCATGATAAAAGTGACAGGGACCTGTGTGTGTGTCGTCTCTGCTGCAGACTGAAGACTCTGATCCTCTCAGATCGCAGTTACACTCCGAACACGGAGAGTCTGAATATGGAGAAACCTGCAGGGACCATAAACCTCTCATTAAAGGGTCTGATAGAAGAAAAACATCAACTCAACTTTAGATGAACTTTGTTTCCTTCAGTAAATAAAAGTATTCATGAGTACCTCTGTAGCATTATAGCAGTATTTATGAGTACCTCTGCAGTATTATAACAGTATATCTGTGTACCTCTGTAGGTCTGTAGTATTATAACAGTATTTCTGCGTACCTCTGCAGGTCTGTAGTATCCATCAGCACAGGTCTCACAGTTGATGCCTGCTGTATGTTGTTGACACTCGATACAGACTCCGCCCCCTCGTCGAACGCCCCGAGTGTTTAAACTCAGAGACAGATCAGAGACGGTCTGATTGTAGAAACAGTCGACGGCTTTGTTGTGACAGTTACACTCTGAGAGACAGACAGGAGAGAGGGACAGGTGAGACGGACAGACAGGAGAGACAGACAGGTGATGAACACACAGGTGAGGGGCAGACAGCTGTGTCTTACTTTCACACGTGTTTCCTTCAGAGATGGTTCCTGGTTGCCATGGCTGCTGATGGTAACCAGGGCAACACTCGTTACAGCTCTCTCCACAGGTGTTGTGTTCACACACACACTGCAGCTTCTGTTAACAAACACACACACACACACACACACACACACACACACACACACACACACACACAGAGGTAACAGTGAGATGTTTTGATTCTCCTGTGAGGATATAAGGTATTGATCGTGGTCACCTGCACACAGGTAAACAGGTGCAGTGGTGTGTGGTTACCTTGGAAACAGGGTCAAGTGGGCAGCTCTGGGCGTGGCCATAGCAGATACACATCCCTCCCACGGAGATGTCTTTGATGGAGTAATAATACTGAGACACAACAACACATCAGATATTAATCATGTGACCGTACAGGCGTACTTTAAAGGGACAGTTCGTGGTTTTTCAGAGGAGTTTTAGGAGGTACGTCTGTAACGGTTAGTCTGTCAGTCTGTCTTACCCTTCGGGTGACAATGGGGTCGATGTCTCGGGGGTCCCGGGTGCTGAGTGTCATCAGGTCAGCATTCAGTGTTCTGATTCGCTGGAGCCTCAGTCTGATATAACGAGCTGATGTGAAGTTCAGAAGGTCAGAGGTCAGATCGTCTGCTCCAGGTCTCCCATTAATCAGGGAGGTGTGGATCTGAGAGAGAGGGGGACAGAGAGAGAGGAACAGGTTAGAGAGACAGAGAGAGGGGGACAGGTTAGAGAGACAGACAGAGAGAGAGAGAGAGAGAGAGAGAGAGAAAGAGAGAGAGGGGGACAGATTAGAGAGACATGGAGAGAGAAGAAGACCGGTAAGAGAGACAGAGAGAGAGGGGGACAGGTTAAAGAGACGGACAGAAAGGGGGACAGACTCACCTCTCCATGTTCCAGAGGGTTGAGTTTGGAGTAGTACGACGTGCAGATGACCTCCGTGTCTCTCTTGTACGTCGGCGGTCCCAGTCTGGGCGTCACATTGTAACGTGACAAACACTCTGTGTCGCTAAGTGCATAGTACTGCCAGGGGTCAAAGGTCACTCCGTCCAGGGAACGTTCAAGGATCCAGTTACCTGACCGGGAGACAGACAGCTCCGTCAGTCAGAGGACCAGGCAGACACAAAGATACAGAGACGGGTAAAAGGACAGGTGAGTCTTACCTGGTCGAGGAGAGTTGGCTGCTTTGATGATGACATAAGCGACCTGAAAAATCTAGAGGGACAGGAAGTAGTTATTACTCTCACCTGTTTTTGACTTACATATTTACTTACAACCTTTATCTGTGTGTGTGTTAACACATGGTTATCGTGTCAGTTCAGGACCACTTCATTTGCATTCACTCAGTCACTGACGGCACGTTACGTTCAAGATTTTACACTTTTTTAATGCCATTTGAAATTAAATGTAAGACCAACTTCACAATAAACACAAATTAAAAATAAAAAAGACACAGCAATGACAAAGGGTGAGGGACAATTTTAATCAAATGTTCATTTTTACATAAAAAATGACTTTTTGATGCAGTGAACCACAGAGTCGAACATATGGAAAACAATACACAAAAGGATATATATATATATATCACAAATCCTCATGAAAACACAACAAACATAAAACATTAATTCAAAATAACTATCATACTGTATTCATGAAGTATTTTGGATCCTAATCGAGCATCATAAAAACACATGCTTAAAAAAGACACAGTTGCATTTAAAGTTTTTAACAGCTGTCATTTTTCTTCGTACCGCTTCCTGAACATGTTTGATCCGGTATTGATCTGTACCATCAGTGCCAGCCTTTCCCTCAGCTTGTGCGGGGAGCTGATCGGCATCATCCAGCAGAACTTTTGTCCTCTCAGAGAGATATTTCAGATATATCAGACGGACGGAAGGCTGACAGAAAGTAAGAATATCAATAAAATATCATTTGACACCTTGACGAGTCATAGCTGAAGACCAAACAATATGGACCGCATTATAATTAAAGTTTTGGTCGCCACATTAATATGCACGAGATAGGCAGAATGAGGTTTCTGTTAATAAACAACAATTACTGATTATAATAATAATAATACTTAAAATTAATAATAATAATGTTTTCCGGTTACTTACTTTAAAATGGCGGAGTAAATCCTAGGCTGCTCAGTGTCCCACGAACTGCAACCCGAATATCTTGACTGAATCCGATCTTTGCACCGATATCGGACATGTAGAACCCAGTTTTTGTGTGATCGTTTGTTTTTTCGTGGTCTGGTTGAGACTCTCATCAAACAGTAAAACAAACGCGTCATCGTTAGCATGCGCTACACGGAGCTCTGAATGCACGTGGCTACGCCGAACTTGCTGATACATGCCGTCCAGTTTATGTGTGAATCGGCTGCTTTGACTTCCGCCGATCAAAGTTTCAAACTGTTTTGCACAAAACACACCGCGGCTCGTGCACATTTCCTGGTATTTGAGAAATATCTTGGTTCAGCCGATCTTTGCTGAATTTAGAATTTCAGGTGCTTCCAAAGTAACGACATGAACTTCTTCGTTTAATTGGCGGTTGGCAACCATCTTAAGAACCATTACCGCCACCTACTGGAGCGGAGTGAGGTACAGGAAATTAAGAAAATAAAAGATATATATCTATACATTTATATACTCACTAAGCTCCAAAGTTAAACTCTGTACAATAATCCAGTCTCCTTCAAATACTTCATTGATGCCTTGAATACTTTTTCAGACGCTAACCCGAATAGATTCTCTACAGTGAGATCCAGATTTTCTTTCTCAAGTTGGTGACAAATCTGTTGTCTTTTCTGTGTTTAACATAATCAGTGAGAACATGTTTTACTGTTTCTGCTGTCTTACACTAATCACAAAGTCCTGTTGAATGTTCTTTTTTTTTTTTTTTTATCAAATACCGTCTCCTCCTTCGTGTTTCTGCCCTGTGTAGTAATTCAGCCAACATGTTTTTGGATATTGTACAGATGTTGCCCTGTTAGCTGTATTCCAGTATTCTTGTCATATTTTTAAAGGTTGACTCTTTATAACAGATTTAACTTCTGTTTTGGAAATAACTTCATGAACGACATGCATCTTCCCTTAAGAGTCCCGGCTGCAATCACATCACTATTTTTGTTCGTTACGCTATCGTGACTGCGCGATGTTACTCCGAGTCATTCGGTTAATTATTTTTAAAATAAATGTTATCATTTATTTTGAGATCTGAGACTCTTTACAATCATATTGACCATTTTTAAGACCTTTGAAAGATTGATTTAAGATATTTAATGCCAATTAAGGCCTTGATTTTAGATTTATGAATTTAATGCCTTTTAAGACTTTCTAAGGATCCAAGGGAACCCTGAAGGTTTATATTTGGTGGTTTGGCTCTGGTCTGAGAGCTTCCTGTTGGGTAGAGCACCAGACAGGCAGCAGTAAAGACCCCCCCCCCCCCCAGGGTACAGAACAGAGCAGACCTTATTGACGATCCATATGACTCCAGTAAAACCAGACACAGTCCAGAGAGGAGGAGCTGGGTGGAGGAGGTTTGCAGAAGAAGCAGGAGGAGGAGTCAGGGTGAAGCAGTTTAAATCCAACAGCTAAACTGTCGGCTGATCTGAGACAGCATCAGGATCGACTAATGTAATGTGGACTGAGCTTGACTTCATGGCCTGCCAGAACTAACACCACACTCAGTATACATTTGTATTGTGAATACAGCTGGGCTCACGTCCATTAATCACATGACTGTGTATTCTTAGTGTTACTTTATTAATCCTCTTTTTTTTTTAAAGTTATTTTTGGTATTTTTGTTTGGAGATTATTTCTGAGTGTAGACACGCCTCTGCTGTGAAGTAAAGGTCTTCTTTTTAATGTGATGTGAGTGAGTTCAGGCGTGTTCAGGTGTGTTACCTGTTTGAGGTCCAGTGTGATGGTGACCCAGTGAAACTGTTGCCCGTTTTTGATACTTGGACTCTGCCACCACTGATTGGTTCCATCGATTGCGTTTGTGATGGGATGACGCTCTAAAAGACACAAAGTGTTCTGAGTACACAGCCTACTTCAATACAAATACTTAGATGACTCCTACTATTTATACTATTGATACAACTACAACTACCGTAAAATTTCTACTTCTCAAACTACAGTGAGTCTGGTTCATGCTGGAGGACTGAAAAAGAGTTCTTGGATCTAAAAGTTGTTAAGTTTAGTTTAAAGGCACAAAAACGAGGATCATAACTACTTGTGGAATCATCCGCCACTGACAGTAGTCCCTACAGTATCGAAGCACAGTAGACTTTGGTTCTGGTCCAAAGTTAAGCGGACTCTGATTTTGTTTTTTTACCTTTGGATAGGACAGAGTTGGCGTCACATTTGGGGCAGTGTGGATTCTTGATCCGTCGTCCTGGAACGTGTTCGACCAGCTTACAGTAAACTTCTGGTTCAGGATCTCCACACGTGGCGTTGCTGCTGATGACTGCATTACTGGCCAAGTTCAAGATGGCGGGAAACAAACCTGAAATACACAGCCGACCGTTAGCGTCCTCAAATACAGTTTTTACAACTTAAGGTTTTGCCTTTTGCCACTCACACACACACACACACACACACACACACACACACACACACACACACACACACACACACACACACACACACACACACACACAAACAGATGTTAATGACTGATGTGTGTGGTCAGCTGTGGAGGTGTGATAACATCACTGGGTGGCCCCCCGAGCTAAGTTCCTCCTCCAGGCATCAGACAAAACAGCAGAACACCCCCTCACCAACACACACACACAAACACACATTCACACACGGTCTCTGTTGTGCTAATGTAGGTGTGTGTGTGGTGGGAGGGCAATAATTTGTGTGGAGGGGAAGTGGGCGGAGCTTGGTTGTTAACACTAATTATCACACACACACCAGAGAGGCTGTTTCTCAGCAGGACACTCAGTCTGTCCGTCTGTCTGATGGTCTCCTGACCACCAATCAGCTTCACTCTGAGAAGATATCTGATCGATTCATACCAGAGTTATCCTTTGATTGATAACAGTGACCAATCACCAATCAGCTCCATCTCTGAGGAGACTGACCACTTAGAAGCATTTATACTAAGTTGTGTGGTTTAGTCCGGTCCAGTTTTAAACACCCTGATCTTTCCTGTGATCCACAGCAGACGCTCCCCTGGTGTTTTTAGGTTGGAAGTGTATTAATACGTCTTAATAAATTAGACTGCTGACATGAGCGGCACATCTCACCTGATATTTGGGCGGAGTTTTGATCTGTAAAGGTGAAGTTAAGGTTCATTTGAAGCCATAAAAGTAACACAAACTCACAATAATTAGTTTACTATTGAGTTAACTGGATGAGGTGTGTTGTCACAGGCTTCAGTCACAGGATTCATCACACTGTAGTATAATCAGACTGTACTGTAGTATAATCAGACTGTACTGTTGTATAATCAGACTGTACTGTTGTATAATCAGACTCTTACTGTAGTTTGTGTCTTATTTGGCAGAGTTCTTGGCTTTATTTTCTTTAACAAGGGAGAGTGTAAAAAGGTTTGAGTAATTTTTTTGTCTCTGTGGTAAAATCAGGACAGAGGTGAAGGTCATTGTCGTCTGATAAGAAACAGACAAAACAGATAAAAACAAAAACTTGTTTCTGTCTGCACTCTTTTATTTCAAGGTTTAATTTAAACTTTCTGTTCAGAACTTCAGCCAACACTGATTTTTGAGAAAATGAAAAATAAGAAGCGACGTCAGATCTCAGACAGCACTGAGAGACCGGACTTTGGTCTTCACCAGCTGCTAATTGGTGAAAAAGCTAATTAATCTAACAGAGCTAACAGCCAATAAAGATCACCCCTCTTTCTACCCTTACATAAGTATTTTTAAATGAATGACAGTTTATCGCTTCTTTCCTCAGTAACAAACTGTTTTAGAGTCACATGACTGTTTATCAAACTCTGATTACCTTTAACAGATCTGCTGCTGATTGAATCTTAACATGTCATCAAACTCTGACCAGATTAATCAGCTGATTTACTGATCAGTTCACAAACTTAAACACAAATCAATTTAATCAAACTTTAAAAGTAGAAGTTTTTAAATCAAGATAAAAGAAAACATAAACACAGATAAACAAATATTAAAAATAAAAAACACAAAACTCCTCCAAGGGTCCAAAAATTAGATAAAGGAACTAAAAAGTAAAAGAAAACAGATAACAGTACACTAGGAGGGGAAAAGTGATTAAAAGAATAAATATGATAAAAACAGAAAAAAAAACAAAAATGAGAAACAAAAATGGACCAAATGAAAACAGACAAGAAAAAGAGGGAAATAAAAAAGGAAACACGGAAAACTAAAAGACACAAAAACATGAGAAACTGGTCGCAGAAAACGAAAAGATTTATTAACAGAAAACAAGAAAAAATATAACAGGAAAAAACCCAGAAAGTAATAAATTAATTAATAAAATTAGTAATAAGAAAACAAGAGAAACTTGGCAGATTAAAACAAAAGATTAAAAAAGAGAAAAATGAGGAAATAAAATGGAATAACAGAAAAAGATAAAACAAAAACTGAGAATATGAAAACAAAAAAGGAAACATGAAAAATGGAAACAGAAAACAAAAAGATAAAAAAAAAACACAATAAAAGAAAAAAACAGAAAACAGTTAAAGGAGAAAACTGAAGTCAGACTTCATGAAGAGACTCAGGGAGCAGCAGTGGGAAAAAAAAAGTTTCTCACCTCGTTGCTGAGCAGCAACTCGCTCCATCAGCAGCAACAACAGAAGCAACTTCATCTCTGCAACAATGAGGACCAACCGGACTCAGACTGGGACCAACCAGGCTCGGACCGGGACCAACCGGACTCAGACTGGGGCCAACAGGGACTGGGACTGGGAGTCCTGGCAGAGTAAACTGGTGCAGAGGAATGTGAATGCCACAGTGATTCTTTCTCATTCATCCAGCTCAATAAGAGGGGGAGGGAGGGGGGAGGGGGGGACTGTACCATCTGGTCTGCTGATGGGGGGGTGAGTGTGAGTTTGTCCTCTGAGTTTATACTCTCAGAAAGTTAGAAAGTTCAGGAGTTTTAGATTGTAATAATAATAATAATAGAAATGAAAATATCCTCATGCTTATCATTCAGTGACATTCACTTTAATTCCATCTGTGTGTAGAAGCCTCATGTTTGATCTTTGATACTGGACTGATCGACATACAGAGAAAAAGGTTCTCTCTTTAAAGTCATACCTGAAAATGAGATTAAACACCTTTCAGAACAAAACTCTTCAATAAATCATCAGCAGTTGATTCAGAATTAAGATGAAAGGAAATTTATTTATTCTCCAACAAAAAAAATTACATCTTTCAGCGAGTCTGAGAGCCCTCACGATTAAACTTCATATATAAATAGAAAAAAATGTTTTCTTTTCTTTATATTTAGTCATGAAGTAATTTAAGTCAGTAAACTAATTGCTGATATTTAATGAATTATAAGTGAGCACACTGAATGGTCTGAATCAGTCTCTCATGTGACGGAGAGGAAAGGGTTAATGATGTAAAAACAGCGGTCTGCTCCTTTAACCGTCTCCGCTCATTCAGCTTGGACTATTGTCTTAGTCAGAGGGGTGGGCTGTACCACCTGTGAGGAGGGGTGTTCGTTTTCTTTGATTTATCTCCTTTCTTTGTCCTCTTTCACTCTTTTTATTCTGTTCTTTTTTTGCCTGCAGTTGATTGTTCTGGTTCTGTTATTTGTTGATTTTTATAAATAAGTGGTAAATTAAAAAGATATCCAAAGAAAATCATCATTCTAAAGGAAGATCTAAAAAATAAAAAAAATAAAAAAAACTAGGAACCAACTTTTTTTTGTTTTTTTTATTTATTGATAGAAAGAGATTTTTTAAAAGTTCAAAAAGTTTATTTGATCCATCAGCTCCCCCTGCTGGTCACACATGATACCTGCCTCAGAGAGTTGTGTGTTTGCAGAGGAGACGTTATTCAATGTTTTCACTTTCAATAGGCTTTATTGGCATGACTGTTTGTACAATATTGCCAAAGCATTACAATATTAACAATGTTAATAGTTTTAATATTAATATTGTTAATATGATGTTAATATTGTGATGCTTTATGTGATAAAGTGACAGGAGGACACCACTCTGTTGAATCTTCATGCTGAAGTTGTACATCAAAGTTTGTCATTTTAGGATGCAGCGGTTAAACTACAGAATCCTCAGACATTTCCTTGACGATCTTTCATAACGAAACAGCTCAACAACTAAAATGAAGAACAGCATAAAAACTAAACATGAAACATACTTCATACTTGAAGTTCAAACAGTACTGTCCTTACAGTCCTCGACTCCAGTGTCATGTTGAAGAACAGTGAGAATGGGTTTGATGTCCAGTGTAGCTTCAGGAGAGGATGGTTGTCCTAAGGGATACCACAGTGTTGGTGCAAAAACACAAATTTTAAAACAGTGATATTGATCAGTTTGAGCTCAGGTGATCGAGATTTTAGAGGACATCTAATTCATCTCCTAAAAGCTGCCGGTCTCACAAAGCCGGCAGATTTCACAGACAGTCACTCCGCTGTAGCATCAATTTATGAAGCTGAGACTGAAATCAACAACACTGAGTTTATAAAACAGCATCGACCACGTTAATGACTTCACCCTGAACAGATACTGATCTCAATTTTATATTTACACTTTTATATTTACAAAAATATTAGAAAATTAAGAAAACGGATGAACAAAAACAAGCAAGTAAAAGAAACAAGCTCCAGAGTTTCCTGAAAACCCCAAACCCTGTCCTCCTCCCTTCACCTCCATCTCTCCTCAGTTTGTATTTGGTCTGTCACTATGAACAGGACAGTAAAAAAATTCCACTGGGTGGCGCTGCATCATGGTCAAAAAAAGAGAATCCAGTCAAAGTGTAAATTTATGATCATGTTTCCATCAACAAAACAAACCTGTTCAGACTGTTTGATCCCAGAATATGAGGGAAAATATCAAATATCCAGAGTCCAGGTCCTGAGCTGATCTCAGAGCAGGTCAAAGTGCAGCTCCTAGAGTCCTCTCGGCCCGCTGTGATTGGTCAGTCAGTCTCTCAGTCAGAGACTCACCTCACCCTCACTGCTGCTGCCTCCACCTCTCTGATCATCAGGAAACACATGATCCTCTTCTTAATCACTCTGACAGCTAATCCTCCCATCTGAGGAGAGAAAAAAAGACGATCAGTGTTTCCACTCTGAGACTCACTTCATCAGCTGGACTGAAGAACATCCAGTTTACAGACCAGCAGGTCTCAGTCCTGCTCAGACCAGAAGTGATGGTGTAAAGCAGCAGGTTTCCTCACAAATAAACCAACATCATCAAAATAAAGAAATCATTCCTGTCAAATGTGTTAAAGCTGATCGAACAAACCTGCTGTGAAAATAACAAGTATAAAGAACAGCTGTCTGTTTTCAGACTTAGAGCTCAAAATCAACAAGTTAGCAGAGAAATAAAGTCTGTGTTGAATACAGAGAACTATAAACTGGACTTCAGAGCAGAAACTGAACATTTCTGTTTCATTATGTCTCATTTCTACATTTGATCTGAAATATAGAGACGAGGAGACACTTTTTTCATCACTGACACTCTTACACTCCTGGTTTGATGATTTCTGTTCTCACAGCTTCACTAAAGAAATAATCCTCTGAGAGGGTCGAAGAGTCAGCAGGAAATACTGAATATCTGCTGTGATACTGTGTGGAGAGGAACAGGAGAGATCAGCACAGACTAACTCCAACTCTATACTGACATCAGAGTCTCCAGTCTGTAGTCTGGACTCTTCTGAAGATCACACAGCAGCTTCACGTCTGAATCCTGCAGATTGTTGTTATTCAGCCCCAGATATCTCAGATGGGAGGGGTTGGACTTCAGAGCTGAGGCCAGAGAAGAACAGCTGATCTCTGTCAAACTGCAGTTATCCAAACTAAATAAAGAGGAAATAATGAGATTTTAGAGAAAAATGATCCAGTTTGAAACCTGATGTCTTAAATCTGTCGAGTTCAGGGGAAAGGTTTGGAAAGTATGAATCAGAGAAAAGTGACGCTCCAAAGAGCTGAACCAAACAGGAAGTCAGTTTGAAACAGTGAATTCAAAAACACATTAAATAGTGAAATAAAAAACTCAGAGACTTTTTTACTGATTGTAGCTGCAGAGACAGAGGAAGTAAACCCGTCAACATCACTGCAGTGATCATCTGAACCATTTACAAAAAATCATCAACAATCAATCAACAAAATAACTCAGTTTTCCTCCATCTGTATCTAAATGCTGATTCAATAAAAACTATGAATTTATCTAAAGAAGAAGAAAGTTCTGGAAATATTTAAGTATTTCATAAAAAATTTAAATTGGGTTAATGAATGTATTTACCATAGAAATCTCCACCAGAAACAGAAGAGACTAAACTTACATCAGAGTCTCCAGTTTACAGTTTGGACTCTGCAGAAGATCACACAGGTTCACTCCTGAATCCTGCAGCTTGTTGTAACTCAGCCACAGAGTTTTCAGATGGGAGGGGTTGGACTTCAGAGCTGAGGCCAGAGAAGAACAGCTGATCTCTGTCAAACTGCAGCTGCTCAACCTAAATAAAGAGGAAATAATGAGATTTTAGAGAAAAATGATCCAGTTTGAAATCTGATGTCTTAAATCTGTTGAGTTCAGGGGAAAGGTTTGGAAAGTCTGAATCAAAGAAAAGTGCTGCTCCAAAGAGCTGAACCAAACAGGAAGTCAGTTTGAAACAGTGAATTCAAAAACACATTAAATAGTGAAATAAAAAACTCAGAGACTTTTTTACTGATTGTAGATGCAGCTCAATATTTTCAGAAAATGTCAGCGACTTCAGGGCGGATGGGAAATGAAGGATGTTCAGAATATTTTCACTTTGCTGAACCAAAAATATCATGTTTTTGAGAGGTAAATATTTCAGTCTAAACACAGTAAGTCTTCAGAAAAGTGCAGATAAACCATAAAATTCAGATTTCCACTCAAAGATTAAAAAACAAAATTCACAGTAACAGAGCTGTAACCCTGCTGCTGTGCCCTTCATTATTAGATCATAAACTGAAGATATCAGATTTACTGCATTCAACAATAAATGTATCATGGACAATTACATGAGACGCTCAGAAATTCATAGATTTTTGTGATTCTTCTTGTTCTTAATTGTAGAGCTTCATAATAAATCCTATTCTCGTCAGTAAAATGTAAACATGCTGAATTATCTTGTAACCTTGTCCACAGTGTGGTACAAACACAAACACTGTCAACAGCTGACTGAAGCACTTTGAGTTCAAAAACAAGCCTCTGAGCCTACAGCAGTGTCTTTATTATGCAGGTTTAACAAAGTGATTTTTCTTTGTTTCATTTATTTAGGCTCACCTCTATTCAAGCTGCACTGAGATCCATCATGACATGAACAACAGTCAGACTCCTCAGCTGTCATTCTCCTGTGTGTATCCATCACTCTGAGGATCTGCAATCTACAAAGACACATTAACTAACAGTCCTCCCTCTTATTTATGCAGAAACTACATCATCATGAAATTCTCCACAAGTACAATCAATATATCTTCAGATCATTTTTTACAATTTCATCTTTAGAAACAACTTCAGTAAAAAGTAAATCAAGTCCAAATCTGACTAAGGCATGAGTCAGTTTTACTATCACAATAACAATCACAAAACATGAATATATTAAAGGGATATTCCGGCGTAAAATTAATTTAAGGTCAAACACACCGTAACACCGAGTTAGACCCCCCCCTCCAGAGATGAATGTTGTCGACTGCTTGCTTCTCTAGTAAGGATAGTAATACAGAGAGCCACGCCCTCAACCAAAACGCACCTCTATAGCCACAAATAATGATCAGAACAGCACCTAAGTTCCTCAACAAGACATATAGGGTCACAGACATAGTACTAGACACCAAACATCTTTTTAACTTTGACTAACTTCTTTAGCAAAGAGACTAAACACAACTCACCTACTCTCTTCCGGCAGACGCTTGTTTGTAGGGAGACCTCAGGCCAGTCCATTACAGACTACAGCGGGGTGCCGCAGCTCAATGAAGAACATTTATGATCATTTCTTCATGGAAATACAATCAGACCGAGACGCTAAGGCAGAAGAACTACCGCGTCTGTAAAATGATTAATATGATGATTATTACTTCAAGGAAATTATTAAGTCATGAGTTTGGGCCATCAGCACTCAGTAAGGTAAAAAAAAATGACTGTTTTAAAATAGAAGCATAAAAGCTACAGAGCAAACCTGTGTGTTGAAAATAAAAATGGACCTTGTAATAATTTTTATAGTAATCTAATAAAAGCAGCTGTAACCTGTCTTTAAATAAACTGATATGTCTTCACACCAGACATTTTCAGGTCGTTTGTTTAAGAGGTTTGGAGCATGAAAACTGAACGCTGCTCCTCCTCTGTGTTTGGTTCTGATTCTGGGGACAGACGACAGACCTGCTCCAGATGACCTGAGTGGTCTGGATGGTTCAGACTGAACTAGAAGATCACTGATGTTCTTTGGACCTGAACCATTCAGAGCTTAATAAAGCAGCAGAAGGACTTTAAAGTATATCCTCTGACAGACAGGAAGCTGCTGTAAAGACCTCAGAACTAGACTGATGTGGTCCACCTTCCTGGTCCTAGTGAGGACTGAGGACTCTAGCAGCAAAAGGAGTTTTCCTCAAGTGTGATGTTCATCTGATGTCTTTAACGATGGATATTATGTGTTACTGAGATTAAACTGATATTTAATCAACTAAAGGAGAGCAAGGCATCATTAAAAAATCTCTATGTCTCTCAGTTCAGAGCAACTTATCAGGTCCAAACTGAAAATCTATCACTCAGAAATTTCACTTTGCAGTCGGCAAAGACAGTCTTTGAGAATCTTACCTATAAATTGATCCATCATGAATCAGGGTTTCATTGGGATTAAATTCTGCTGGAAAAGACAGGAGCATGTATTGTTCACAGAATCTACAGAATAGAGGAACACCAGAGGAAAAATAACAAATGGACCATGTCGTATTCACAAATGAATAAGGCATCTCTGTGCATCTTGATGTTGTTCTGCATTCAGTTTTCTAAATGTACATTTCCATTACAACCCTGTACAAATTTTCCAATTACATGAGCAAATGTAAAATAATCCACTGCACTGTACTTTACAAAAAATGAAGTGTTTTTGTCCACAGCAGCTCTGACCATGTTACCTATGTAGTTATGTCATTTTCTTACCTGTTAATCTCTGCACAGACTTCAGTGTAAATCAGGCAGAGCATCAAGTTAAGGTTGTTAGGCTTCTGTCTATTTTTTCTGCTCCCCTTACAGAACTGTACAGCTGTACTTTATCATATGAGCACACAGACTGATTCATGTGTGCTAAAGGTAATAACATTAACTGATTTATATTATGGAAACAATGTCAGCAGCTCTAAAATAAACACTAATACGGTCAGAGGGGGAAAAGTCGATGCACTGTTATAGAGACAACAGAAATCTCTGCACCCCCCCCCCCCCCCCAGTCTGTGGGAGAATCTGCACCAACCACATGTGAAGGTGATTCAAACACTGATCGGTCTCTCAATCTCTAACGTGGATCCCTGTGGCGCCCCCTGCCCACGAACACGCTGTTTAACTGACGGTGTTTAACGTCGTGGAGAAGTCGGTTCCAAGTTAGTGAAGCACGAATTAATTTTACACGGTTATGATGATATTTGCGTGAATTTTCGGATCACATGAGTTCAGAGGTTAGGGAGGAGTAACACGGATCAAAAGACGATCCCATTCAAAATGAACGTTAGCTTAATAATGTTAGCTGAACTTACTAATGTCAGATACCTGTGTTAGCTCACAGAAAGCAGATACACGGTTATTTCAGGATCTCTACAACAAATTTAATAACATTAACATGAAAACTGAAAGCTTGGAGCTCAGACGCCTTTACTGAAACATAAAAATACAGAAAGCTCAACGTTACCTCTCCCGGAGTTCGTCAGGTAGCCAACTCTGTGTGTCGGTGTCCTCGGAAGACCGACAGAGAAACTCTAAAAAAAACATATAATGTGGATAAAACTTCGACATTAACGTAATTCCAATACAGATATGATAATATAATCCGTGACATGATAACTCACCGTGAATATTCCTGAGTTCGTTCACTTTAGCCGGTACCAGTTGACCGCCTGTTGAACTGGTTCAAACCGGTTTTAACGGTTCTGTTGGTGGGCGGGGTTATCTATTTGAAATTAGAGACTAAAATACTTAATTTAACAGTTATTATCAACAAATACAATGCAAATTATTCATTAAACCACGAGTGCTCAAAATGAATGCCAATTTATTGATATTAATTCAATAAGTTTTTTCAAAAATAGACTTTAAGATAGATAGATAGATAGATAGATAGATAGATAGATAGATAATTTGCACCAACTTGCTATGACCTGGACTGTCTAATACGAACGAATAAAAAAGATCTGCTTTTTTTGTTAACATGATCAGATAATTAAAGCTTAAATTCATTTATATTAATATTTGAAGACAAAGACAGTGGAGGTGGTGAACTGGAGTCTTATTAAAAGCTGTTTCTTATACTTTGTCCACTTCAATTACAAACATAAGGGGAGCATAATATTAGGGAACAACTTTTAATATAATTCACAATCCTGTAGACCACTAATACCCACTACAAGTTTAACAATTAATATAAAGAATAGTTTTTACTTTTCTGTTTCATGATTACAACGGAGTAGGATTTAAAAAGTTTTAACTTCTTCCTCCACCCTTTTGCATGTGTAAAATAATGTTTTTGTGTTGCTGATGGAACTTTTTGATTTCTTTTTTTCTGCTTCTCCTTCCACTCAGCTGTAATTCAAATTTGATTTTACATGTATAAAATTAAGACATCCGCCAGTCAATGATGTTCACAATGTTTTTAATAGGGGACAAGTCAGGACAGCAGGCAGGCCAGTTTAGCAGCAGGACTCTTCTACTACAGATCCATACTGTTGTCATCTGTGCGTACCATACTTGTCTAAACTTGTCAGGGTCCCGCTCAGTGATCGTCTATTTTTCTGACATTGAAGTAAACACAGAAGCTCATGTAGGGGGGAGGCTCACTGGATTATCAGGTCATGAGGATAAGTCTTTGTGCTATGAGTCAAAACACTTTTGATTATAATGTGGAGGTTGAACTGTGATCAAATGGATTCAGGTCTAAGTACTGATCTCTGAAATCTTTGTGTGGGGGGTTGGAATATGTAAAAGAGTGTTTGGCAGCAAAATTTCATGCATGAAGGTTTCTGTTCTTTGCATGGAAATTATTCAAAGTGTATATTTTAATTTTCATCAAAAAGTCCAGAATGAAAACTATGTTGGTGCTAACCTGGAAAGCTCATATCCATTTGAGGAGATTTAACCTGTAGGTTTCATGGTCTTCATTAGCAGTGATATCAGGTGTGAACAGCTCACAGATGCTGTTTAACTGCAGCTCTGGTAAACTGTGTGCTCGTGTTGAGGGTTTGTCTTCTGCAGAGGTCATGTGACTCGGTGAGGGGGAGCTGTGAGAATGAAGCAAAGATCCACAGACTCTTTCAGTCCAAGCAGGACCTGAGGAGCAGGTCTGGATCTGAGAGCAGGTTAGCAGGGTGTTTGAGACTGAGCAGCTCTCAGCTGGAACAGCTTCATCCAGATTCAGATCATCACAAAGACAGTCTGTCTCTGTTTCTGCTCTAGGAGGGGGAAAAGTATGAAATAAAGGAGCACAATCAGTGTTAGCTGTAGTTTCTTGGTTTGACCAGCAGGTGGTGATGCTGTACCTATAATGAGCCAAGACTCAAACAACTTGATCAAAACCAAAAATAATTACGTGTACAATAATGAATTTTTTTCACATGTAGGAAACTTTAATGTTGCGTTCAGGGACACAAGGATCACTGGGGACATTAGAGTCATGTGTCCTTTCTGGAAATGTCAGAGTTAGAATAATCTGTCCAAGTTTAACTTTTAAAAATAATACATTTAATATTGAATCACACCTTTCAACGTGAATGTTTAAAGGCTGTTACATTTCTGCATGTTTTTATTGTATTTATTAGGCTTAATTTTCAGTATTTATTGAAATAATTACTAATTATAATATAATAAATACTCTCTGATCTGCTACCGCATTGACCTGAATATAGGAGCACCCTTACCATAAGTCCTTCCTCCACTTTTCAGACCCACTTTGAGGACTTTTTACAGACCAGATCTAGTTTTTACACAGAAAACAGTTTGAATGAAAAATAATCATCAAATAGACACAGTGAATGAAACAAGCTGAGTCGATGTTTTTAACATGTTTTGATTCAAATAAAGTTTTGACTGTCTTCAAATGACACTGTTACAGTAAAAAGAAATAAAATAAGATCTGGTGTAAATGAAGAACCAACATACTGTTATGCAGACAGAGCACAGATCTATAGATACTAGATAAAATAAACAGGATGAATCTGTTCACAACAGTTCTATCTTTCCTGTTTTTGTGCTGTGATCAAACTGTGACGTGAGCTGTCCTGGTTTCTGATTGGACCTTTACAGGTCAGCTGACGGCAAATACAGCCTCTGATTGGCTAACAACAGAAATGACACTTTGTTACTGAAATGAATCCATAAACCATCAGATAATTTTCATTTTGGAGGGATGGGATCAGGAAGGTCTCTGAAAACACACCGATCTTCTCTGTGGGATAGAAAAGCTTTGGAGTGTCACAGAAACACAAACTTATCTCCTGAAAGCTGACGGTCTCACAAAGCCAGTGGATTTTACAGGAAGTCACTCCACTGTAGCATCAATTTATGAAGCTGAGATTGTAATCAACAACACTGAGTTTATAAAACAGCATCGACCACGTTAATGACTTCACCCTGAATAGATGCGGATCTCACTTTTTCCAGACTCCAGTCAATACGGTTATTTTTGTCTGTCAGAGGAAAACTTCTCCATCATAATAAAGTAAAAATAATGTTGTTTTTTTGTTCAAGAATCTTTCCTTTGACTGATTATATTTCACACATTTTACTTTTACTATCAGGTCTCATAATTGGTTTAATAATTGTGTTTGTTCATCCAAACATGAAGGAATTGATTATTGATGAGCTCAAAAATTATCTGAGAACAAAAACATGTAAAGAGAAGGAAAATAATGTATAATATTATATAATAAAATCAATTTACCTCCAATAAATATTTACAATCATTTCAGAAAATTAAGAATAAACAGAAGAGTAATAATAAGCCTGTAAAAGAAAAAAACTCCAGTTTCCTGAAAACTCAATCACTTTATTTATAAAGCACTTTTCATACATTAACTTTATCACAAAGTGCTGTACATTACAGAACACAAGAAGGAGAGGATCAGGGGATACAAAAAACCCCACAAAATGCAAAACCCCACCCACCAAGCCCGCATTGAACAGAGGACCCCACCCATCCACCCACACGCACACACCGGGACACCAAGTCAGGGCTCAACAGGAAGCCACAGAGGACCAAGGAATCACTATCTTAAACTAAAACGGGGAAACACAGGAGCTGAAGCTAAACTGATAAAACCATGACAAGATATAGGAGACTCATAAAATGATGAAAAATGAAATGAAATATAATAATAATAATAATAATAATAATAATAATAATAATAATAATAATAATAATAATAGTAAAATTGTTTTAAAATCAAACAATAAAAGAAAATAAACAAATAGTGTTAAAACCTAAAATAATAATTTCGGACTAAAGTAAACGAGTAAAATACAAAAGATAAAAAGAGTAGACTAAAAGAGAGGCTAGAAGAATAAAACAAAAATCAGCAAAAAGCCAGACTAAAAAGGAAGGTCTTGAGTTTGCCTTTAAAAATATGAACTGTAGGTGCTCCTCCCTTTACCTCCTCCCTTCACCTCCATCTCTCCTCACATCTCTTCCTCTCCCTTCAGTTTATATTTGGTCTGTCACTGTGAAGAGGACAGAAAAACATTTCCACTGGGTGGCGCTGCATCATGGTAAAAACAAAGTAATCCAATCAAAGTGTAAATTTATGATCATGTTTCCACCAACAAAACAAACCTGTTCAGACTGTTTGATCCCAGAATATGAAGGAAAATATCAAATATCCAGAGTCCAGGTCCTGAGCTGATCTCAGAGCAGGTCAAAGTGCAGCTCCCAGAGTCCTCTCCGCCCGCTGTGATTGGTCAGTCAGTCTCTCAGTAACACGGCCCAGTCAGAGACTCACCTCACCCTCACTGCTGCTGCCTCCAGCTCTCTGATCATCAGGAAACACATGATCCTCTTCTTAATCACTCTGACAGCTAATCCTCCCATCTGAGGAGAGAAAAACAGACGATCAGTGTTTCCACTCTGAGACTCACTTCATCAGCTGGACTGAAGAACATCCAGTTTACAGACCAGCAGGTCTCAGTCCTGCTCAGACCAGAAGTGATGGTGTAAAGCAGCAGGTTTCCTCACAAATAAACCAACATCATCAAAATAAAGAAATCATTCCTGTCAAATGTGTTAAAGCTGATCGAACAAACCTGCTGTGAAAATAAGTATAAAGAACAGCTGTCTGTTTTCAGACTTAGAGCTCAAAATCAACAAGTTAGCAGAGAAATAAAGTCTGTGTTGAATACAGAGAACTATAAACTGGACTTCAGAGCAGAAACTGAACATTTCTGTTTCATTATGTCTCATTTCTACATTTGATCTGAAATATAGAGACGAGGAGACACTTTTTTCATCACTGACACTCTTACACTCCTGGTTTGATGATTTCTGTTCTCACAGCTTCACTAAAGAAATAATCCTCTGAGAGGGTCGAAGAGTCAGCAGGAAATACTGAATATCTGCTGTGATACTGTGTGGAGAGGAACAGGAGAGATCAGCACAGACCAACTCCAACTCTATACTGACCTCAGAGTCTCCAGTCTGTAGTTTGGACTCTTCTGAAGATAAAACAGCATCTTCATGTCTGAATCCTGCAGATTGTTGTAACTCAGCGACAGAGTTTTCAGATGGGAGGGGTTGGACTTCAGAGCTGAGGCCAGAGAAAAACAGCTGATCTCTGACAAACTGCAGTCCCACAGTCTGAAAAAAGGAAAGAGAATGAAGATAAAAATCATTAATAATCAAACTTCAGGAGTTCAGGTTTAAAATATGGAGCTTAGAGAACTCCAACAGGAGACCTTTGGACCAGATCCAGTCTGTCAGAGCTCATGATCTGGTCTGCTCTGACCCTCCATGTAAAATAACAGACGAGACATCAAATGTGATGGAGCACTGGTTTGGATTCAGGTGTTTATTTTATCTCTTTTCCTTCACATGAAAACTCAAACCTCATGCTCTGACAGATTTAACACATTTGACTAAAAAGTTGATTTTCAGATTTGGTTTGTTTGGTGTTTTTTTGTGACTCTGAATTTATGAAGCATCATTATTACTTTAATAACTGTGATGAAAACAATGATGCTAGCTGAAGAAACAACAACAACAAGGAAACTAGGAGCCCAAGTTTAGTCCATGACTTTATCCTCATGATTGTAACGTGTCAAAAAGACTAATAAACACCTGTCACACTCCTGTCTGATATCAGTATGATATGGTTATAATGAATAAATAATAAGTAATGAATATGTTCAAAATGTCTCTGAAATTAAAAGACTAAAACTCCAAATCTAAAAGATTATTTAAAAAAACAGCTGTCACATTATCATGACAAACAAAATTCAATTTCAACAATTTAAAGTTCGTGTGGAGACATCAAAATCACAAAAACCATCAAATCTAAAGAGATGAGGGAAAATTCTGGGACTGCTGATTTGGTCGAATAAAGAGACGCACAGACGTCATGAAGCCTGATCTAATGTCTGCCACCGCTGTCTTTTTCTCAGGAGGTTCGATTTAATTCACTCCAACATGTCCTTTAGACATGAAAACATCACAGTCTTGGTCCTGCTGGATCTAACCGCCGCCTTTGATACAGTAGACCATCACATTTTATTAAATAGACTTAAGCACCTGGTCGGCCTCTCAGGCACTGTCTTAAACTGGTTCACCTCCTATCTCACTGATCGACACTTCTTAGTAAGTATGGATACATGTTCCTCACAAACCCATGAAATTATGTGTGGGGTTCCCCAGGGGTCAGTTTTAGGTCCAACTCTTTTTAATCTTTACATGCTTCCCCTGGGGGACATCATCAGGAGGCACGGCATCAACTTCCTGATGAAGCAGGCCTATTGATGCCCTTTTAAATTGCATTTTAGACATCAAGTCCTGGATGGCAGCCAACTTCCTGCAGCTCAACCAGGACAAAACCGAGGTTTTAGTTATTGGTCCTGAAGGCCTGAGAGACACACTTAGCAAAGGTAGGTTTTTACCACCTTAAGAATATAGCCAGAGTCCGCCCGTTTCTCTCCCAGGCCAGCACGGAGGTGCTGATGCATGCTTTTATCTTTATCTATCTATTAGAAGAACTTACATACACTTCAGCTATTACAGAATTCAGCTGTAAGAGTGCTGAGGAGGGTCAGAGGGCTGGAACATATCACGCCAGTTTTAGCATCGCTGCATTGGCTCCCCGTCTGTTTCAGGATTGATTTTAAGGTTCTTTTATTAGTTTTTAGATGCATTAATTGTCTTGGCCCCTCCTATTTATCTGATTTACTTTTACCATATCAACCCTCGCGGACCGGCACAGGCCTTTGAACCTTACCCAGAGTTAAAACAAAAACACACGGGGAGGCGGCGTTCAGTTTTTATGGTCCCCGGTTGTGAAACAGCCTGCCAGAGAGCCTCAGGGCCGCAGAGACTGTTGATATTTTTAAGAAGAGGCTCAAGACTCACTTTTTTAACAATAAAATGTATTTACCATAGAAATCTCCACCAAAAAAAGACAAAGAATAAACTAACCTCAGATCCTCCAGTTTACAGTTTGGACTCTGCAGAAAGTCACACAGCAGCTTCACTCCTAAATCCCGCAGCTTGTTTTCACTCAGCCACAAATGTTTCAGATGGGAGGGGTTGGACTTTAGAGCTGAGGCCAGAGAAGAACAGCTGATCTCTGTCAAACTGCAGCTCCTCAACCTAGATAAAGAGGAAATAATGAGATTTTAGAGGAAACTGATCCAGTTTGAAATCTGATGTCTTAAATCTGTCGAGTTCAGGGGAAAGGTTTGGAAAGTATGAATCAAAGAAAAGTGACGCTCCAGAGAGCTGAACCAAACAGGAAGTCAGTTTGAAACAGTGAATTCTATGTTACACATGAAATAGTGAAAACAAACTCAGAAAAAATTTTACTGATTGTAAATGCAGCTCAAAATTTTCAGAAAATGTCATCAACTTAAAGGACGGATGGGAAATAATGTTTTCACTTTGCTGAACCAAAAATATCACGTCTTTGAGAGGTAAATATTTCAGTCTAAACACAGCAAGGCTTCAGAAAAGTGCAGATAAACCAGAAAATTCAGATTTTCATGCAAAGATTCAAAAACAAAATTCAAAGTAACAGAGCTGGACTTTCATCAGTGTCAGAAACTAAACTCTGAGTTTTTTCTATTCCCTGATCTTGTCCTGAACAAAAGTTTGAATGGTTCTCGTCTGACAAATCTCCCCCTGCTTCTGTTTTCTGTCTGAATGTGCTTCTCACTGTGAACTCTACAAAGAGTTTTCTTCTTCGGTTCAGGTTTTAATTCACTGGAGCTCAGCAGTGATCGAACTGGAGTCAATCAAATAATCCACTGATGCAGAAAATCTACTCTGGACTGAAGGTGTTCAGTCTGGGTCAGTATTTCAGTCCTGAGTCAGCAGTTTAGTGTCATCATCACAAACAAATCATGATAATGTTTGAATGGAGGAAAAAAGTCTCACATCAGAGTTTCCAGTTTACAGTTTGGACTCTGCAGAAAGTCACACAGCAGCTCCACTCCTGAATCCTGCAGATTGTTGTTACCCAGGTTCAGCTCTCTCAGATGGGAGGGGTTGGACTTCAGAGCTGAGGCCAGAGAAGAACAGCTGATCTCTGACAAACTGCAGTCCCACAGTCTGAAAAAAGGAAAGAGAATGACGATAAAAATCATTAATAATCAAACTTCAGGTGTTGAGGTTTAAAATATGGAGCTTAGAGAACTCCAACAGGAGACCTTTGGACCAGATCCAGTCTGTCAGAGCTCATGATCTGGTCTGCTCTGACCCTCCATGTGAAATAACAGACAAGACATCAGATGTGATGGAGCACTGGTTTGGATTAGAGGTTCAGGTGATCAGAAGGTGGAGTCCTTGTTGCAGCAGTTGCTGGTTGGACTCCCATGATCCTTTGCTGTAAGTCCTCCCTCACTCTCTACTCCATGTTTCCTGTTCCTCTTCAGCGCTCGGATCAATAAAAGTCTTCAAAATGAACTTGAACTGTGACATGGAGGAAACAGGAGGATCTTTGTCTGCCTTCATCCCTCACTGTACACTGATCTTCAACAAGAACACTCAACCCAGAATAACAGACTGTGTTGTCTCTACTGTCAGAACTGGACCGGACCAGCCAGCAATCCTCCAGATCTGAGTTCATGGAAGTCAGAGACAAACCAGAAATACTCTCAACCAAGAAGAGCTCAGAGAGAGCTAAATGTGCTGAGTCACCCAGGACACTGAGCCCACCTCCCTCAACCAGGCTGGTCTCAAGAGTTTGTATTGAGCAGATCCAGACCATGTGAAGCTGAACCTGAATGTGCTCTCAGACTGTAACATCAGCGCTCTGCCAAACAGAGAATGGATGAGACTCTGATGAGACAGGTCAGCTGACTCTGTCTGCAACAACATCACCTTTACTGCTTTACTCTTCTCCCTCACCTTCATCAGGATCAACAAGGTCAGACAGCAGACTGATCCACATGTAAGTAAGGAGACATTTATGGAAATATCACAGTATGTTATGAAAACTTGAATTGGGTTAAAAGAATTCATTAAACATAGAAATCTACACCAGAAACAGGTAAAGGATGAACTTAGTTTAGAGTCTTCAGTTTTGTGAGATCCTGAGAAACTCCTGTGAGAAATCTCAAAGGTTTTTTTGTAGTCCTGAATTCTTCATGAAGATGAAAATAGTCAGGAGTTTATTCAGGAGTCTGTCCGTCTGCTGTCAACAACTGCCAAAGTACTCTTAAATAAACCAACAGATCATTGATCAGAGAGGTTTTTATGGACCAACTGGACAAGATGATGTTCATGTTCAACAAACTGAAGTGAAAACTGCAGAAAAATCTGGATCTGGTTTTTACATTTGAACACGACTGAGCAAAGAAGAAATTCAAGTTTTCAAGAGTTTCCAAATGAAATATCCAGAGTTGGATTAACTTTGTTCTCCAGGTTTCAATCTGCAGCTCATCATTTCTCTGACACTTCATTCATTCATTAGTGATCACATTAATTGTGGATCAGTTCAATATCAGCCTTTAGTCTGTGCTGCTCCTGCCCTCTACAAGCATGTGTAATATTTGTGGGACTGATTTTCTCCTGCTTCCTTTCTACATCCATCGTTCTACTCAAAGTCAACTCTGAAATGTCGGATTTTTCTTCCTGTGTTGAAGTTTTACAACGACAAATTCAAACTGCTCGACCAAAGTTGATGGAAAAACCACAGAGAAAAATCTAAGGCAGCAACTGTCACATCTTATTGTTAGATCAGAAGGAAATGGTGTCTGACCTCAGAGTCTCCAGTCTGCAGTTTGGACTCTCCAGTCCTGCAGAGAGAAGCTTCACTCCTGAATCCTGCAGATCGTTTCCTCTCAGGTCCAGATATCTCAGATGGGAGGGGTTGGACTTCAAAGCTGAGGCCACAACTTCACAGTGAGTCTCTGAGAGTCCACATTCAGAAAATCTGTAACAACATAAATATCAAACAATATTTCATTAAAGGGTAATTTGATGTTTCTCTTCACCAAAAACAACTCAAACATGATCTTTGGTTTGACAGACGGCCTGTTTTTAACCAGACAGATACTAATATCAGGACCACAGCCATGAGAGAAGACAGGAAGTCAAAGTTTAGAGGGAAAAAAAACTGTTCAGATGTTCAAGACAAATGACTCCATGACTTATTTTAGTCTTTCTGTTCTCTAACAGTGTTGTTTTCATGTTAGTGCAGCTGGATCATTATGATTGAGTGAATTCTTGAGTTCTGGTTGGAGAAGGGGACTGAGAACTAGGTTTTTGGTCCTGGTATGTGATTGGTTAGTATCCAAAGTACCTCTTGGAGAATCAGTGCCCCTCTCAGTGTTTAATGTTGACATCCTGCTATAATGTAAGTCTTTCCATAGACACTGACTGTTGACCAATCAGAGGACGACTCACTAAATCACAGCAGCTCCTTTTTCTCTGATTGGTTCAGATAAAATCGTTTTTAGCAGGTTAGAGCTGGTTTGACTCTGAACATTTTAACATATTTGAGTGGATTTCTATTTGAAGAAGAACATCATCAGTAACGTGGACATTAGAAGAACTACAGGGATCATTTACACTATTCTGAGAATAAAACCTGGACTTACTGAGCCTTTCTGCAGTTCCTCACAGCTGGGATCAGTCTCTGTCGTCCCTGGTCTGATGTGTTATACTTCCTTAAGTCCAACTCCTCCAGAACCTCCTCTGACATCTGCAGCATGTAGGCCAGAGCAGAACAGTGGAACTCTGAGAGGAACTCTCCTGATCTGTTCTCTGACTTCAGGAACTCTTGGATCTCCTGATGAACTGACAGATCGTTTATCTCCATCAGACAGTGGAAGATGTTGATGCTTCTGTCAGGAGAGATATCTTCACTGTTCATCTCCTTCAGGTTCTTGATGACTGTTTGGATAATTTCTGGACTGTTACGTGTGTGACCCAGCAGACCTCCTAAGAGTCTCTGGTTTGACTTTAGAGAGAGTCCATGAAGGAAGCGAACAAACAGGTCCAGGTGACCGTTTTTGCTGTCGAGGGATTTCATCATGACACTCTTCAGGAAGACATCCAGAGATGGACCAAGGCTCAAATTCATTCCAAAAAAACTCAAGAAACGTTCAAGAAAAGACTTTGGTTCTGGGTCAGTGTACTGGTGTTCTTTTAGGAAAGTCTTCAGAACTTTTTTCTTCCAGTTTGTGAAACAGTGGATCATGTAGACTGCAGACAGAAACTCCTGAACGCTCAGATGAACGAAACAGTAAACAGTTTTCTGGAAGATCACACTCTCTCTTCTGAAGATCTCTGTACAAACTCCTGAGTACACCGAGGCCTCTGAGACATCCAGACCACACCGCTCCAGGTCTTCTTGGTAGAACATGATGTCTCCTTTCTCCAGATGTTCAAAGGCCAGCCTCCCCAGCTTCAGGAGGACTTCACTGTCAGCCTCCGTCAGCTCCTGAGGACTTGTCTCATGTCCTCCTTCGTACTTCTGCTTCTTCCTCTGAGTCTGGACCAGCAGGAAGTGTGAGTACATGTCAGTCAGGGTCTTGGGCAGCTCTCCTCTCTGCTCTCTGATCATCATGTCCTCCAGAACTGTCGCAGTGATCCAGCAGAAGACCGGGATCTGACACATGATGTGGAGGCTCCTGGAGGACTTGATGTGTGAGATGATTCTTCTGGACAGATCTTCATCGCTGAACCTCTTCCTGAAGTACTCGTCCTTCTGGGTGTCATTGAAGCCTCGTACTTCTGTTACCCTGTCCACACGTGAAGGAGGGATCTGATTGGCTGCTGCAGGTCGAGAAGTTATCCAGATGAGAGCTGAGGGGAGCAGGTTCCCCTTGATGAGGTTTGTTAACAGAACGTTCAGTGAAGACTTCTGTGTGACGTCAGACACCACCTCAGAGTCTGTGAAATCCAGAGACAGTCTGCTTTCATCCAGACCGTCAAAGATGAACAGAAGTTTACAGACAGCCAGCGTCTCTGCTGTGACCTTCTCTAGTGTTGGATGGAAAACATGGAGCAGACTCAGAAGACTGACGCGCTGTTCTCTGATCAGGTTCAGCTCCCTGAATGAAAGCAGGACCACCAGATGGAGGTCTTGGTTCTCCAAACCCTCTGCCCAGTCCAGAGTGAACTTCTGCACTGAGAAGGTTTTTCCAACACCAGCCACGCCGTTGGTCAGAACCACTCTGGTGACTTCCTGTTGACCTGGTAAGACTCTAAAGATTTCATGACACCTGATGGGCGTGTCATGGAGGGTCTTCATCTTTGAAGCGGTCTCCAGCTGTCTCACCTCATGTTGGGTGTTCACCTCTTCACTCAGTCCCTCTGTGATGTAGAGCTCAGTGAAGATCCTGTTGAGGAGGGTTTGACTACTTCCTGCTTCATCACTTCCTTCATTCACACGTTCACATCTCCTCTTCAGACTGATCTTATGTTCATCTAAAACCTCCTGCAGACCGCCATCTTCTGAAAGAGAAGAAAAATAAAATGAACCAAACTTCTCAACACTAAAACATCTTTGTGAAAATCAGTCAGCTGAGTTTAGAGGACAGATGTTCAGACTTACTTCCATCAGAGCGGAAATATCTGGACAGCTTCTTCACAGAGTCACATCTCTGTGTCTCTCTGTGGAAATAAAGAACATTTATTTTATTTATCATTTCATGTTTGAAAGATTCAGAATAAGAAACATTTATTAAACCAGAGTTTCTCTTTTCTCTAACATAAAACAATCTCCTGTAAAATATTCAGCTGCTGCTGCCTCAAAGTGTGGAGACAGGAGAAAAAACTAAACTGTGATTTTTGAAGGTAGAGAGATTTTCTCTGACTGTTTAAAACATTTTCTTTAACCAATCAGATCTAAAGGTCTAATAACAGACAGATGCTCTGAATGAGTTTTTATTTCTCAGGATTTATTTCTTCTTCGGTCTTCTGGTATTTTCTGACCCACAGACTGTTTTCTGGGGTCTATACACCACAGTCCAAAGACTAACAGGCTCCAAACGTCCCAAACACAGGAACCAAATCAGAAAATACAGAGGTCAGGATCCTTTTCAAATGCTGTTTTATACCACCTTCATTTTTATAAACATAAGGAATAATAGGGAAGTCTGTGCTCAGTGACTTTACTTTATCCAGGTTGGAGGTTAAAGAGGAAAATCCCTGTTTTGAAAGCAGAGATCATTTTTCTCACCATGGTAAAAAACAGAGGGGTCAGAATTAAAAGCACCATAAATTACTGTTTGAGAGTTTGGAGGTTAACAAGTATTTCTCTTACTGTGAATCTGAGGGTCCTGGTTCTTTACTGAACCATAAGGGATGATCTTTAGACCGGTCACTCTTCATAGACGGACAGTCAGACATAACAGACTTTGCTCTGCCCTCTTTTTTCTTGACACCATCACTCATCTTCTCCATCTGATGATGTCCACATTTATGGACGATGAAACCGAGTTATACAACCTGAGGACAAAGAAGACAAACAGGTGAGACACAATCAGGAGGAGAGTGTGAAGATGAAGATGATCAAGTTTCTACATCTCATTATGTCAAAGATCTGTCTGCACACTACCTCTTATTTAAAAATCATACAGATGCTGATTGGTTATTTCTTATCCAGTCTAATATGATCGAGTCAAAGAGTCTGAATTACATATTCCATTATAAGCTTCTGTATTGTATTGTTGAATGTTAATTTATTGTTTTATTCTTGACTGATTCTTCTTTTTAAACAGCTACAGAAAACAAAGCTGCTTTGGAGTTTGACTCTTTACAGTCCTGCTCCTGATTCAAACAGAGAGGAACATAAATCTGATGTTTTTTGGCTGGACTCTGAGAATGTGGTGATTTTCTGCTCTATGCCTAAAAACAAGTAAGCTCAGACTTCATATCAGAAAAAAAAACAATAAAATTCTGCGATGATGGTTTGGTACACAATTGTTCTCATTTGACATACAAATAAAAACCTGTTTAACAAACTTACATATAATCATTTTGTTATTTTCATCCCCTTATTATTTCCACCCACTTACTGACCTGCTCTCTGTTCTCCAATCTCAGAAATATTGATGTTTCATGATGATCAGTCCTTCAGCAGTTATTAAATGTATTATTCACTCAGTAGTATTTAGTTCCCTACCTCTCTGGGGTTTGTGTTACCTCTATTGACGTACCTCTATTTTCTGTAAATGATTCATTTATTGTCCTGCACTGAATCCCGTTCATACAAAGACTTTGGACCTTGAATATAAACTGATGAGTTAATATTTAACAGCAATAAAGTAACTTTGGACCAGTTTTATGGTAGAATATAAGATAAAACAACAACATGAATATCTTTACAGTGTTTGAAAACAACCTTTGGTAAACTTCAGTTGTTTTATTGTGACCGTATTAAGTGATAATGTTGGTTAGAGGTTACAGGTGTTATTACAGTATCTGAGAAACTTTGACTACAAACTTTAATACCAAACATCCAGACCTGTGCTCTCCTAAACTCCTCTGAGTCTGAAAAAGCAGTAATGATGGCTGTGAGCTCAGAGAAGTGAATCCTGACAGAAAGTTGGAGGGTCTGTCAGAGTTTGAAATCACCTGTTTGATCAGTATCCACAGCATTAGTTTGGATTTCTTGTCTGACTCACAGTGTAAAGATAATCGGTGAAGTCTGTTAAAGCTCACAAAAATATGAAGAGTAGTTTTGGGCTCATCTCACCAAAGGCAGAGAAACAGGAAGAACAGCACACTCACAGTTTACTGGACGAGGAATTAATCCAACAACGTATCTGATCAATTTTCACTGCTTAGCTTTTTTAAAATTAAAATTAAACAATAAACTTCTGATGAATGACAGACTTTGAAAACGGAAGAGTAACATTGAATTAACACTCACCCTGTTACAAGTGTCCTTGTTTCTCTCTGTGCTGACTCACTCTGAAGTCTGAACTTTGAACACTTTTATTGTTTTATAGCCAAGTTTCTCCTCCCCTTGATATTTACAGGAAATGACATGTTTGATCACCAAATCACACAGACATCCATGAACTACTGACTGTAACCCTGCTGCTGTGCCCTTTATTATTAGATCATAAACTGAAGATATCAGATTTACTGCATTCAACAATAAATGTATCATGGACAATTACATGAGACGTTCAGAAATTCATAGATTTTTGTGATTCTTCTTGTTCTCTATTGTAGGGCTTCATAATAAATCATATTCTCTCAATAAAATGTAAACATGCTAAATTATCTTGTAACCTTGTCCACAATGGGGTACAAACACAAACACTGTCAACAGCTGACTGAAGCACTTTGAGTTCACTAACAAGCCTCCGAGCCTACAGCAGTGTCTTTATTATGCAGGTTTAACAAAGTGATTTTTCTTTGTTTCATTTATTTAGACTCACCTCTATTCAAGCTGCACTGAGATCCATCATGACATGAACAACAGTCAGACTCCTCAGCTGTCATTCTCCTGTGTGTATCCATCACTCTGAGGATCTGCAATCTACAAAGACACATTAACTAACAGTCCTCCCTCTTATTTATGCAGATACTACATCATCATGAAATTCTCCACAAGGACAATCAATATATCTTCAAATCATTTTTTACTATTTCATCTTTAGAAACAACTTCAGTAAAAAGTAAATCAAGTCCAAATCTGACTAAGGCATGAGTCAGTTTTACAATCACAATACCAATCACAAAACATGAATATATTTAAAGGGATATTCTGGCGTAAAATGAATCTAGGGTCAAACACACCGTAACACCGAGTTAGACACCCCCTCCAGAGATGAATGTTGTCGACCGCTTGCTTCTCTAGTTATACCAACTTTAGTAACGACCGCAGGATAGTAATACAGAGAGCCACGCCCTCAACCAAAACGCCACTCTATAGCCACAAATAATGCTCAGAACAGCACCTAACTTCATCAACAGGACATATAGGGTCACAGACATAGTACTAGACACCAAACATCTTTTTAACTTTGACTCATTTCTTTAGCAAAGAGACTAAACACAACTCACCTACTCTCTTCCAGCAGCCACTTGTTTGTAGTGAGACCTCAGGACAGTCCATTACGGACTACAGCGGGGTGCCGCAGCTCAAGGAAGAACATTTATGATCATTTCTTCATGGAAATACAGTCAGACCGAGACGCTAAGACAGAAGAACTACCGCGTCTGTAAAATGATTAATATGGTGATTATTACTTCAAGGAAATTATTAAGTCATGAGTTTGGGCCATCAGCACTCAGTAAGGTTAAAAAAAATGACTGTTTTAAAATAGAAGCATAAAAGCTACAGAGCAAACCTGTGTGTTGAAAATAAAAATGGACCTTGTAATAATTTTTATAGTAATCTAATAAAAGCAGCTGTAACCTGTCTTTAACCTGGATTTAAATAAACTGATATGTCTTCACACCAGACATTTTCAGGTCATTTGTTTAAGAGCATGAAAACTGAACACTGCTCCTCCTCTGTGTTTGGTTCTGATTCTGGGGACAGACAACAGACCTGCTCCAGATGACCTGAGTGGTCTGGATGGTTCAGACTGAACTAGAAGATCACTGATGTTCTTTGGACCTGAACCATTCAGAGCTTAATAAAGCAGCAGAAGGACTTTAAAGTATATCCTCTGACAGACAGGAAGCTGCTGTAAAGACCTCAGAACTAGACTGATGTGGTCCACCTTCCTGGTCCTGGTGAGGACTGAGGACTCTAGCAGCAAAAGGAGTTTTCCTCAAGTGTGATGTTCATCTGATGTCTTTAACGATGGATATTATGTGTTACTGAGATTAAACTCTTATTTAATCCACTAAAGGAGAGAAAAGCATCATTAAAAAATCACTGTTCAGATCGTCTCTGTTCAGAGCAACATATCAGGTCCAAACTGAAAATCTATCACTCAGAAATTTCACTTTGCAGTCGGCAAAGACAGTCTCTGAGAATTTTACCTACAAGTTGATCCATCATGAATCAGGGTTTCATTGGGATTAAATTCTGCTGGAAAAGACAGGAGCATGTATTGTTCACAGGATCTACAGAATAGAGGAACACCAGAGGAAAAATAACAAATAAACCATGTCGTATTCACAAATGAATAAGGCATCTCTGTACATCTTGATGTTGTTCTGCATTCTCAGTTTTCTAAATGTACATTTCCATTACAACCCCGTACAAATTTTCCAATTACATGAGCAAATGTAGAATAATCCACTGTACTGTACTTTACAAAAAATGAAGTGTTTTTGTCCACAGCAACTCTGACCATGTTACCCATGTAGATATGTCATTTTCTTACCTGTTAATCTCTGCACTGGCTGCACAGACTTCAGTGTAAATCAGGCAGGGCATCAAGTTAAGGTTGTTCGGCTTCTGTCTGTTATTTCTGCTCCCCTTACAGAACTGTACAGCTGTACTTTATCATATGAGCACACAGACTGATTCATGTGTGCTAAAGGTAATAACATTAACTGATTTATATTATGGAAACAATGTCAGCAGCTCTAAAATAAACACTAATACGGTCAGAGGGGAAAAAGTCGATGCACTGTTATAGAGACAACAGAAATCTCTGCACTCCCCCCCCCCCCAGTCTGTGGGAGAATCTGCACCAACCACATGTAAAGGTGATTCAAACACTGATCGGTCTCTCAATCTCTAACGTGGATCCCTGTGGCGCCCCCCGCCCACGAACACGCCGTTACAGGATGGTGTTTAACGTCGTGGAGAAGTCGGTTTCAAGTAAGTGAAGCACAAATTAATTGTACACGGTTATGATGATATTTGCGTGAATTTTCGGATCACATGAGTTCAGAGGTTAGGGAGGAGTAACACGGATCAAACGACGATCCCGTTCAAAATGAACGTTAGCTTAATAATGTTAGCTGGACTTACTAATGTCAGATACCTGTGTTAGCTCACAGAAAGCAGATACACGGTTATTTCAGGATCTCTACTACAAATTTAATAACATTAACATGAAAACTGAAAGCTTGGAGCTCAGACGCCTTTACTGAAACATAAAAATACAGAAAGCTCAACGTTACCTCTCCCGGAGTTCGTCAGGTAGCTAACTCTGTGTGTCGGTGTCCTCAGAAGACCGACAGAGAAACTCTAAAAAAACATATAATGTGGATAAAACTTCGACATTAACGTAATTCGAATAAAGATATGATAATTTAATCCGTGAAATGATAACTCACCGTGAATATCCATGAATTCGTTGACTTTAGCCGGTACCAGTTGACCGCCTGTTGAACTGGTTCAAACCGGTTTTAACGGTTCTGTTGGTGGGCGGGGTTATCTATTTGAAATTAAAGACTAAAATACTTAATTTAACAGTTATTATCAACAAATACAATACAAATGATTGATTTAACCACTAATGCTCAAAATGAATGCAAATTTATTGACATTAATTCAATGTTTTTTTCAAAAATTGGCTTTAAGATATATAGATAGATAGATAGATAATTTGCACCAACTTGCTATGACCTCTGAACACCTGGGCTGTCTCATGCAAACTAATACAAAAGATCTGTTTTTTTGTAAACATGATCAGATATCTGATAATTAAAGCTTAAATTCATTTATATTAATATTTGAAGACAAAGATAGTGGAGGTGGTGAACTGGAGTCTTATTTAAAGGTGTTTCTTATACTTTGTCCTCTTCAATTACAAACATAAGGGGGGACAAAATATTAGGGAACAACTTTTAATATAATTCACAATCCTGTAGACCACCAACACCCACTACAAGTTTGACAATTTATATAAATTATAGTTTTTAATTTTCTGTTTCATGATTCAAACGGGGTAGGATTTAAAACGTTTTAACTTCTTCCTCCTCCCTTTTGCACGTGTAAAATAATCTTTTTGTGTTGCTGATGGAACTTTTTGATTTCTTTACTTCTGCTTTTCTTTCCACTCAGCTGTAATGCAAAATTGATTTTACGTGTACAAAATTAAGACATCAGCCAATCAATGATGTTCACAATGTTTTTAATGGGGGACAAGTCAGGACAGCAGGCAGGCCAGTTTAGCAGCAGGACTCTTCTACTACAGATCCATACTGTTGTCATCTGTGCATACCATACTTCTCTAAACTTGTCAAGGTCCCTCTCAGTGATTGTCTATTTTTCTGACATTGAAGTAAACACAGAAGCTCATGTAGGGGGGAGGCTCACTGGATTATCAGGTCATGAGGATAAGTCTTTGTGCTATGAGACAAAATATTTTTGATTATAATGTGAATCCTGGAGGTTGAACTGTGATCAAATAGATTCAGTTTTAAGTATTGATCTGTGAAATCTTTGTGTGGGGGGGTTGGAAAATGTAGAAGAGTATTTGGCAGCAAAGTTGAATGCATGAAGGTTTCTGTTCTTTGCATGGAAATTATTCAAAGTATAAATTTGAATTTTCTTCAAAAAGTCCAGACTGAAAACTGTGTTGGTGCTAACCTGGAAAGCTCATGTCCATTTGAGGAGATTTAAGCTGTAGGTTTCATGGTCTTCATCAGCAGTGATATCAGGTGTGAACAGCTCACAGCTGCTGTTTAACTGCAGCTCAGGTAAGCTGTGTGCTCGTGTTGAGGGTTTGTCTTCTGCAGAGGTCATGTGACTCGGTAAGGGGGAGCTGTGAGAACGAAGCAAAGATCCACAGACTCTTTCAGTCCAGGCAGGACCTGAGGAGCAGGTCTGGATCTGAGAGCAGGTTAGCAGGGTGTTTGAGACTGAGCAGCTCTCAGCTCTAACAGCTTCATCCAGATCATCACAAAGACAGTCTGTCTCTGTTTCTGTTCTAGGAAGGGGAAAAATATGAAATAAAGGAGCACAGACAGTGTTAGCTGTAGTTTCTTGGTTTAACCAGCAGATGGTGATGCTGTACCTATAATGAGCTAAGACTCAAACAACTTGATCAAAACCAAAAATCATTACATGTATAATCATGAACATTTTTTACATGTAGGAGACTTTAATTTTGCGTTCAGGGACACAAGGATCACTGAGGACATTAGATTCATGTGTCCTTTCTGGAAATGTCAGAGTTAGAATAATCTGTCCAAGTTTAACTTTTAATACATTTAATATTGAATCACACCTTTCAGCGTTAATGTTTATAATGTTTATAGGCTGTTACATTTCTGCATGTTTTTATTGTATTTATTAGGCTTCATTTTCAGTTTTTATTGAAATAAATACTAATTATAATATAATAAATACGCTCTGATCTGCTACCGTATTGACCTGAATATAGGAGCACCCTTACCATAAGACCTTCCTCCACTTTTCAGACTAACTTTGAGGACTTTTTACAGACCAGATCTAGTTTTTACACAGAAAACAGTTTGAATGAAAAATAACCATCAAATAGACACAGTGAATGAAACAAGCTGAGTCGATGTTTTTAACATGTTTTGATTCAAATAAAGTTTTGTCTTCAAATGACACTGTTACAGTAAAAGGAAAATAAAATAAGATCTGGTGTAAATGAAGAACCAACATACTGTTATGCAGACAGAGCACAGATCTATAGATACTAGATTAACTGAACAGGATGAATCTGAATCTTTCCTGTTTCTGTGCTGTGATCAAACTGTGACGTGAGCCGTCCTGGTTTCTGATCGGACCTTTACAGGTCAGCTGATGGCAGATAAAGCCTCTGATTGGCTAACAACAGAAATGACTCTGTTACTGAAATGAATCCATAAGTCATCAGATTATTTTCATTTTGGAGGGATGGGATCAGGAAGGTCTCTGAAAACACACTCTGTGGGATAGAAAAGCTTTGGAGTATCACAGAAACACAAACTTATCTCCTAAAAGCTGACGGTCTCACAAAGCCAGTGGATTTTACAGGAAGTCACTCCACTGTAGCATCAATTTATGAAGCTGAGATTGTAATCAACAACACTGAGTTTATAAAACAGCATCAACCACGTTAATGACTTCACCCTGAATAGATGCTGATCTCACTTTTTCCAGACTCCAGTCAATACGGTTATTTTTGTCTGTCAGAGGAAAACTTCTCCATCATAATAAACTAAATAATGATTTTTTGTTCAAATAGTGATTTGAATTTATAATAAATGTGTTAAGATTGATAATCTTAATTTGTGACATTTATGCACTCGTTGAAAGGGGCACCACCCACCTTTAATGGCAAGAAAATCTGATACTCACTCACTATGATTAATATCATTGAATGCTTGGTGTCATGATAAATGATTTGATACTAAACACATATGAAGAAATGTAGAATCACATGAAACACTCCCGCTATGTTTTAAGTATCACACTGAAAATGCTAAATTACTCTGAAATAGAACAGATAGTAACAATAGACCAAACACGTGATTGAACTTCATCATGATTAATAATGGATTCTAAATACTCACATTCAGATTATTAAATGACATTATAATCACCTCATGGGTAAAAATACTAAATAAATGACTAAGATATAAACCAAACATTTCTAGTAAATTTCAAAGTAAAATTACGATTCACAGTCAATAAATTTAACTCTTAAAAGTTCATGAAACAGTCTGAAAAGCTGTTGGTCTAAATAAACTAAAGAATAAGGATTTATTCAGTCAGAGTGATAACTCGGCTTCTGGAGCACCTAGAAAAATGGGAAACATCTCATTTTAACACAAATTTCATGATTAGACAGATTAGTACATTGCTGAATGCATAAGATGTCATGATCAGTCATTTGTATTCTTTCTCCAAAGGAATGCAGTTTTTATCAGAACATGGTTGAGCAGGGTTTTATGACCGAGGTCTGGAGGTCAGTGTCCTGCTCCTCAGACCTTTCCTTGGGGTATGTATGTTCGCACACTTCAAGACGGTAAATCTCAAATGGGAGACTTGGATTGAGGCATGAATGATTAGATGGTCAGCGATGGAGTCAGTTTGAAAGGTAATAAAGACTCTGTCTCTGTTCTGGATTGGCTCTTCACGAAACCAATCGTGAAGAGCCAGACGTTTAGGTTAACCTCTGATCGGGTCAGTTAGGTAACCTGAAAGGGCAAAGAAATCTGGAAAGATTTGAATATCCTGTGTCCTAGGACCAGATAAGGAACCTTTCCTGCGAGGAATGTGTGAATTTCACACACAGGGTTGTCTTAATTGCTACATTCAAGACTCTTTCCTTTAACAAATTATATTTCACACATTTTACTTTTACTCTCAGGTCTCATTTATGGTTTAATAATTGTGTTTGTTCATCCAAACAGGAAGGAATCGATTATAGATGAGTACAAACAGAGTTTCCTGAAAACCCCAAACCCTGTCCTCCTCCCTTCACCTCCATCTCTCCTCAGTTCTCTTCCTCTCCCTTCAGTTTATATTTGGTCTGTCACTGTGAACAGATCAGTAAAAAAAACCTTTGGGTTTAATCAGAACTTCTGACAGATCTACTCTCACACATGGTATCAACTCCTGCTGTAGAAATATGTGGGAATAAATCAACTCCACCTCTTTATAGTTCCACTGGGTGGCGCTGCATCATGGTCAAAAAAAGAGAATCCAGTCAAAGTGTAAATTTATGATCATGTTTCCATCAACAAAACAAACCTGTTCAGACTGTTTGATCCCAGAATATGAGGGAAAAGATCAAATATCCAGAGTCCAGATCCTGAGCTGATCTCAGAGCAGGTCAAAGTGCAGCTCCCAGAGTCCTCTCCGCCCGCTGTGATTGGTCAGTCAGTCTCTCAGTCAGAGACTCACCTCACCCTCACTGCTGCTGCCTCCACCTCTCTGATCATCAGGAAACACACGATCCTCGTCTTAATCACTCGGACGGAGGTTTCTTCCATCTGAGGAGAGAAAAAAAGACGATCAGTGTTTCCACTCTGAGACTCACTTCATCAGCTGGACTGAAGAACATCCAGTTTACAGACCAGCAGGTCTCAGTCCTGCTCAGACCAGAAGTGATGGTGTAAAGCAGCAGGTTTCCTCACAAATAAACCAACATCATCAAAATAAAGAAATCATTCCTGTCAAATGTGTTAAAGCTGATCGAACAAACCTGCTGTGAAAATAAGTATAAAGAACAGCTGTCTGTTTTCAGACTTAGAGGTCAAAATCAACAAGTTAGCAGAGAAATAAAGTCTGTGTTGAATACAGAGAACTATAAACTGGACTTCAGAGCAGAAACTGAACATTTCTGTTTCATTATGTCTCATTTCTACATTTGATCTGAAATATAGAGACGAGGAGACACTTTTTTCATCACTAACACTCTTACACTCCTGGTTTGATGATTTCTGTTCTCACAGCTTCACTAAAGAAAGAATCCTCTGAGAGGGTCGAAGAGTCAGCAGGAAATACTGAATATCTGCTGTGATACTGTGTGGAGAGGAACAGGAGATCAGCACAGACTAACTCCAACTCTATACTGACTCCAGATCCTCCAGTCTGTAGTCTGGACTCTTCTGAAGATCACACAGCAGCTTCACGTCTGAATCCTGCAGATTGTTGTCACTCAGGTCCAGAGTTTCCAGATGGGAGGGGTTGGACTTCAGAGCTGAGGTCAGAGCAGAACAGCTGATCTTTGTCAAACTGCAGTCACTCAAACTAAATAAAGAGGAAATAATGAGATTTTAGAGAAAAATGATCCAGTTTGAAACCTGATGTCTTAAATCTGTAGAGTTCAGGGGAAAGGTTTGGAAAGTATGAATCAAAGAAAAGTGACGCTCCAAAGAGCTGAACCAAACAGGAAGTCAGTTTGAAACTGTGAATTCAAAAACACACTAAATAGTGAAATAAAAAACTCAGAGACTTTTTTACTGATTGTAGATGCAGCTCAATATTTTCAGAGAATGTCAGCGACTTCAGAGCAGATGTAAAATAAAGGATGTTCAGAGTGTTTGAACTTTGCTGAACCAAAAATATCACGTCTTTGAGAGGTAAATATTTCAGTCTAAACACAGCAAGGCTTCAGAAAAGTGCAGATAAACCATAAAATTCAGATTTTTACACAAAGATTCAAAAACAAAATTCAAAGTAACAGAGTTGGACTTTCATCAGAGTCAGAAACTAAACTCTGAGTTTTTTCTATTCCCTGATCTTGTCCTGAACAAAAGTTTGAATGATTCTCGTCTGACAAATCTCCCCCTGCTTCTGTTTTCTGTCTGAATGTGCTTCTCACTGTGAACTCTACAGAGTTTTCTTCTTGGGTTCAGGTTTTAATTCACTGGAGCTCAGCAGTGATCTAACTGGAGTCAATCAAATAATCCACTGATGCAGAAAATCTACTCTGGACTGAAGGTGTTCAGTCTGGGTCAGTATTTCAGTCCTGAGTCAGCAGTTTAGTGTCATCATCACAAATAAATCATGATAATGTTTGAATGGAGAAAAAAAAGTCTCACTCTAGAGTCTCCAGTTTACAGTTTGGACTCTGCAGAAAGTCACACAGCAGCTTCACTCCTGAATCCTGCAGTTTGTTGTCACTCAGGTCCAGCTTTCTCAGATGGGAGGGGTTGGACTTCAGAGCTGAGACCAGAGAAGAACAGCTGATCTCTGACAAACTGCAGTTCATCAGTCTGAAAAAAGGAAAGAGAATGTAGATTAAAATAATTATCAACTTCAGGTGTTCAAGTTTAAAATATGGAGCTTAGAGAACTCCAACAGGAGACCTTTGGACCAGATCCAGTCTGTCAGAGCTCATGATCTGGTCTGCTCTGACCCTCCATGTAAAATAACAGACGAGACATCAGATGTGATGGAGCACTGGTTTGGATTAGAGGTTCAAGTGTTCAGAGGGTTTAATCCTTGTTGCAGCAGTTGCTGGTTTGAATCCCATGATCCTTTGCTTCACTCATCTCCATCATCTTCATCAGTATCAACAAGGTCAGATTAATAAAAAAGATTGATATATCTGAAATCAACGAAACAATATTGGGAAACACTAAAAATTTTACAGTTTGTCTCCTTTTACTGATGGAGTTTGATAGAGGATTTGGTGATTTTATTTTTTAGAGTGGCACAGAGAAAACTTTGTTTTTGAGACTTTAATCATCACAGCAAAGTGACAGAGAATCCCTGTCTGTCTGTTTTTCTCTCTCTGTCTCTCTGTTTTTCCGTCTGTGTCTCTGTCTATGCCTATGCCTGTCTTTCTGTGTCTCTCTATGTTTTCCTGTCTGTGTTTCTCTGTCTCTCTTTGTCTGTGTTTCTCTGTCTGTGTTTGTGTGTCTGTCAGTGTAAATTCAGCCGTCTGTGTTTCTGTCAGAGCAGATCATTCTCGTTTCCTCCACATGAAAACTCAAACCTCATGTTCTGACTGATTAAACACATTTGATCCGAAAGTTGATTTTTTTTTCAGATTTGGTTTGTTTGGTGTTTTTTTGTGACTCTGAATTTATGAAGCATCATTATTACTTTAACAACTGTGATGAAAATGATGCTAGCTGAAGAAACAACAACAACAACTAGAAAAGCACTCGGAGAGCGCAGACCTCCGCCAAGCAGCCCATGTCCCCCCTGAAAGAAGAAATGCCCTGATCGGTATTCGAACCCACGACCCTGTGGTTGTGAGACGACAGTGCTAACCACTACACCACTGTGCCGCCCATTGCTTCTCTTTCAGCATCGAAAATTCCAACGACACCCTTATTTTTGTGTGTTCTGGATCACAGTATCCAGAATTTTGTCTGGATCACCACCAAAATTTAATGGGATCCTCCTGGGGCTGAGACGCACCTCTGGTGAAAATTTCAGGTCAATCCGTCTGTTACTTTCTCCTTAAAGTTGCTAACAGACAAACAAACTCACAAACAATGAATGAATGAATGAATGAATTTATTTAACTCACGACCATAACCACAAACAACCAAAGCTACCGAAAACATAATCTCCTTGGCGGAGGAAACAACAACAACAACAAGGAAACTGGGAACCTAAGTTTAGTCCATGACTTTATCCTCATTATTGTAACGTGTCAAAAAGACTAATAAACAACTGTCACACTCCTGTCTGATATCAGTATAATATGGTTGTAATTCATGAATATTATCTAATGAATATTTTCAATATCTCTGAAATTAAAAGACTAAAACTCCAAATCTAAAAGTTTATTTAAAAAAACAGCTGTCACATTATCATGACAAACTAAATTCAGTTTCAACAATCTAAAGTTCCTGTGGAAACATAAAAATCACAAAAACCATCAAATCTAAAGAGATGAGGGAAAACTATGAACTGCTGATTTGGTTGAATAAAGGGACGCACAGACGTCATGAAGCCTGATCTAATGGCTGCCACCGCTGTCTTTTTCTCAGGAGGTTTGGTTGAATTCACTCCAGCATTTCCTCTAGCCATGAAAACATCATCAACATGAGTCAACTCTGCATGAGCGGGGGACACCTGAATTTTCCAACCAATTCAAAGTTTGTATCCTGGACTGTTTGGATGAAATCTCTAAAAAACAGCTGATTGTTGTTATAACAGCTTTCCAATGCTGTTACTTGTGGCAAACACCTTTTTTGCTTGTGTTGACGCGTGCCCGTATGTGGAATAATGTCACATGTCACACCGTCCATATCTTCTGTTGTTTTTGATTTATTTACTCATTCATTATTTGATGTAAGACAAGACACAAAACCACTTGACACGGTCAAAAAACTGTTCGGCCTCCCAGGTGTGCGCACCTGTCCTAATCAACCCACCTATTAAATGGACAGGCACAATAGCACCATCTGTTGGCACAAAAAATACACAACAATAAACTGCAAAACCCCAATCTGGCTCCTACAGTCGTTGTTGTAACTAAAGCAGCATGTTGTGAGGATGTGCTCACAGGGTCTGGTCTGTGCTGAGGAGTTATACAGAGGGTTGAAATGACGGAGCTCTGACAGCAAGGTTTGTGACTGAAGCTGCTGACTGATGGGACTTTAACACACCTTTGTTATTGACAAAGATTCCTGTATGAAAAAGATGAGCTGTGTTCGTGAGCTGCATGGATAGTGAGTTCACTGCATCCTTGAACATTTAAATGCTTTAGAGACCGAGGAAGTAAACCCGTCAACATCACTGCAGTGATCATCTGAACCATTTATGAAAAATCATCAACATTCAATCAACAAAATAACTCACAGTTTTCCTCCATCTGTATCTGACTGTTGATTCAATAAAAACTATGAATTTATAAGAATAAGAAGAAAATTCTGAATATATTATAGTATTCCATAAAAATTTAATTTAGGTTAATAAATTTATTTACCACAGAAATCTCCACCAGAAACAGACAAAGACTAAACTTACTCCAGAGTCTTGAGTCTGCAGTTTGGACTCTGCATAAAGTCACACAGCAGCTTCACTCCTGAATCCTGCAGATTGTTGAGACCCAGGTCCAGCTCTCTCAGATGGGAGGGGTTGGACTTCAGAGCTGAGACCAGAGAAGAACAGCTGATCTCTGACAAACTGCACTCCCACAACCTAAATAAAGAGGAAATAATGAGATTTTAGAGAAAAATGATCCAGTTTGAAATCTGATGTCTTAAATCTGTCGAGTTCAGGGGAAAGGTTTAGAAAGTATGAATCAAAGAAAAGTGACGCTCCAAAGAGCTGAACCAAACAGGAAGTCAGTTTGAAACAGTGAATTCAAAAACACATTAAATAGTGAAATAAAAAACTCAGACTTTTTTACTGATTGTAGATGCAGCTCAATATTTTCAAGAAAATGTCAGCGACTTCAGGACGGATGGGAATTAAAGGATGTTCAGAGCGTTTGAAATTTGCTGAACCAAAACTATCACGTCTTTGAGAGGTAAATATTTCAGTCTAAACACAGCAAGGCTTCAGAAAAGTGCAGATAAACCATAAAATTCAGATTTTTACACAAAGATTCAAAAACAATCAATATTGAAAGTAACAGAGCTGGACTTTCATCAGTCAGAAACTAAACTCTGAGTTTTTTCTTTTCCCTGATCTTGTCCTCGTCTGACAAATCTCCCCCTGCTTCTGTTTTCTGTCTGAATGTGCTTCTCACTGTGAACTCTACAAAGAGTTTTCTTCTTGGGTTCAGGTTTGAATTCACTGGAGCTCAGAAGTGATCGAACTGGAGTCAATCAAATAATCCACTGATGCAGAAAATCTACTCTGGACTGAAGGTGTTCAGTCTGGGTCAGTATTTCAGTCCTGAGTCAGCAGTTTAGTGTCATCATCACAAACAAATCATGATAATGTTTGAATGGAGGAAAAATGTCTCACTCTAGAGTCTCCAGTTCACAGTTTAGACTCTGCAGAAAGTCACACAGCAGCTTCATTCCTGAATCCTGTAGCTTGTTGTAACTCAGGTTCAGCTCTCTCAGATGGGAGGGGTTGGACTTCAGAGCTGAGGCCAGAGAAGAACAGCTGATCTCTGACAAACTGCAGTCCCTCAGTCTGAAAAAAGGAAAGAGAATTTAGATTGAAATAATTAATAATCAAACTTCAGGTGTTCAGGTTTAAAAATGGAGCTTAGAGAACTCCAACAGGAGACCTTTGGACCAGATCCAGTCCGTCAGAGCTCATTATCTGGTCTGCTCTGACCCTCCATGTAAAATAACAGACAAGACATCAAATGTGATTGAGCACTGGTTTGGATTAGAGCAGGGGTGGCCAACCATGTGCCATGGAGAGCCGAGAGACTGCAGGTTTTCTTTCCAACCCAAAACTCCACCAGGTGATTTCACTGATTACCTTCAAATCAATCAAATCAATCAATCAAATTTTATTTATATAGCGCCAATTCACAACAGTCGTCATCTCAAGATGCTTTTCAAGGAACAAGAGCAGGTCTAGACCACGCTCATTGTTTGATGATCAAGAACCAACCTAAGATGGGTTTTGGCCCATCTCAACTAACATGAGTAACAGTGGCAAGGAAAAACTTCCTTTTAACAGGCAGAAACCTTGGGCAGGACCCGACTCATGCCAGACAGCCACCATGCCGCTGCTGGGTTGGGGAGGAATGTAGAGAGAAGAGGGGGGGAGGGGAGAGGACAGGGGAAGAGAGAGCGAGAACAAGATAAGGGAAGGCGAGAGAGAATGAGTAAGGAGAGGGAGGGGGAGGGAGAGAGAGTAGAGAACAAGGGTGAGAGAGAGACAGGGGGCAGCAGAAACAACAGCAACAACAACAACAGCTCATGTAATGGTGAAGAAAAAAAGAGTTCAGTTTACAGGGTTAGGATATGAGTGATAATGGACAATGTTGAATTAATTGAGTGTGATTACAGTTAGCAGGTCTAATCGTGGTCAGTTCTAGTTTATGTTATTAATGTCAATAATGTCAGTGAGGCTGATGGTCGTGTCTGCAGCAACGGTCCAGAGGAGGTCCAGGCTTCCAACCTGGCAATCTGGCCTGCTTCCTCCGGCTTCATAGATAGGTATAGCTGGGTGTCATCTACATAACAGTGGAAATTAATCGAGTACTTCCTCATAATTTTCCCCAGCGGAAGCATGTACAGGGTAAAGAGGTTCGGTCCAAGCACTGACCCTTGCGGGACTCGGTAGCAGACCTTGGTGTGTGCAGAGGATTCATTATTAACATGGACAAACTGGGATCGATCCGTTAGATACGATTTAAACCAGGAAGGAGCTGATCCTGCTATGCCTATAGATTGTTCCAGTCTCTGGAGCAGGATGCAGTGGTCGATCGTATCAAACGCAGCACTAAGATCCAACAGGACGAGAACAGAGAGAAGACCACTGTCCGAGGCCATGAGTAGGTCATTTGTCACCTTCAGCAGGGCAGTCTCTGTGCTGTTATGTAGAAAATCACAGAATTGATTCGCAACAACTTTCTCCAGGGGCCTGTTCTACGAAGCAGGATTACTGCTTAGCGAGATAACTTCGAGGATAAGTTCGGGGTTTCCTGTTCTACAACGCGGGTTCACTTCTTAGCGAGGCGAGTCTCCATGGCAACATACGCTGAACGGCTAACCTGCTCCAGGGCAGGTTAAGTTCCAGATTGAACTCACCGAGCATAAAAACCCCGCCCACTGACCAATGAGCTCTCACGAAAAAGGGCTTGTCCGTTCTCAGAGGATCCTGTAGACCTCGGTGCTTGCATTGTCCGAGGAGCACTCCGGCTCGTGAGAGTTTTCAGGGACCGCACGGACCCACTTACTTCTCCGGATGACCACCTTTATGAAAGGCTCATATGGCCTACATATCACACAAAACATGTAAACACGATAGGAATGAACACATGAATGAATTCATCTTGGAAATGAATGGGCATGGGCTGTGTGATCACAGACAACATCTCGGTACTATTTATTAGCAGCGCACTCCCCTTATAATAACCCCGTAAATACTGTTGTTCAGGACTGCTTACTTGTGCTTCCTACCCAGTGTAACAACCGTTGCTCTAGCCCACATGCAACATTTTTGTTCTCATTCATGAAACGCTTAAATCAGGGACATTTTCGGGGACAGCTTTAGTGGGGGATAGATCATCCAATTCGGAGACTGTCCCTGGAAATCGGGGACGTCTGGTCACCTTAGTTAAAAGCGCATGTTAAACAGTGCTATTTCAAGGTGATAATGGCATCAAAGACTAATTTTCTGCCTTCCGTGCTTTTGTAGCGGCAACGGTGTTGCTTTTGAGGTTTGTGATAGCTTTGAATTCTTCATACTTTCTCATGATCGTCTCCTGTTCCTTGTTTGTAAAATACGCGGTCCTTCGCTCTCCGGTCTGCTCTGACGCTCCAGACTTGTCCATGTTCGCGATTGGTCAGATGCGGCAGGCTTCGCCTTACATGCGTGCATGCGCTCATAGCAAAGCTGGATCAACTTACGAGGTTGTTAACCAGCGTCGTAAAACCGTTTAGCGAGACCGCTGGCTACCGCGCTAAGTTGAGCAAGGTAGCTCCAAGACTACCTCGCTAGGTTGAACTTGCTTCGTAGAACAGGCCCCTGGACTTTAGAAATAAAAGGAAGGTTGGATATCGGTTTATAGTTAGTGCTTGAGTTAAGAGTAGGTTTTTTAAGGAGAGGCTTAATCAATGCAGTCTTAAAAGACTGGGGAACATATCCTGTTAATGAAGACGTACTGATCAAGTTAAGCAAGGACGTACTGATCAAAGGAAGAGTTTCCTTCAGCAATTTAGACGGAATTGGGTCCAAAAGACACGTAGATGGTTTGGCTGCTAGCACCTCTGACTTTAACTCAGGAAGGTCAATAGGTGCAAAGTTACTAAGGTGCACCAGAGGCCTTAGGGGCTCCTCAACAATTTTAGGGTTATCTAAGAGAGAGACACCTGATGAAGGCAGGAGGTTACTAATTTTACCTCTTATTTTTAAGATTTTATCATTGAAGAAGCTCAAGAAGTCGTCGCTGCTGAGGGCCAATGGGATACATGGTTCAGTGGTGCTCTGACAGTCCATCAGCCTGGCTACAGTGCTGAAGAGATATCTGGGGTTATTCTTATTTTCCTCAATAAGAGACGAGTAGTAAGTTGTCCGAGCACGTCGTAGGGCCTTCTTATATTTATCGAGACATTCCTGCCAGAGAAAACAAGCTTCAGCTGTTTTGGAAGAGCGCCAAATCCTTTCACGTCTTCTTAATAACTGTTTCAGCTCACGGGTTTCAGCATTATACCACGGGGCTAGCCTCTCGCGTGTAAGAGTTTTCTGTCGAAGAGGAGCAACTGAGTCTAGAATTTATCGCAATGTTCCTGAGGTATCATCGACGAACTGATCAAGATGCAAGGGACTGATGTTTAAGTATGAGCTATCAGCGAAATTCTTCTCAACCACAGAATTTAGAGCAGACGAAATTACCTCCTTGAACTTAGTCACAGCATTTTCAGACAACTGTCTAGTTAGCACAGCTTTGTTATGAGGAGAGTAGCCTGAAAGCACAAATTCAAAAGTTACTAGAAAGTGATCAGATGAAAGAGGATTTAATGAGCTGACTGACAAGGCTTCAGCTTCAAGGCCATAAGCCAGGACAAGATCGAGGGTGTGGTTAAAGCAGTGCGTAGGTCTATGTATACACTGTGTGAACCCAATTGAGTCTAGCAAGGACAAGAAAGAAATGCTTAGGCTATCATTTTCCACATCTATGTGAATATTAAAGTCACCGACGACGATGACTTTGTCTGCGAGAAGGACTAAATCAGATAGAAACTCTGAGAATTCTGACAAAAACTCAGAGTATGGGCTCGGAGGGCGATAAACTATAGCAAATACCAGTGGTCTCATGGACTTTGAGGCTGGATGCGGAAGACTGAGAACGAGACTTTCAAAAGAGTTATAATCTAGTTTTGGTCTTGGGTTAATTCCAAGACTGAAATTGTAGAAAGCTGCAACTCCACCACCTTGGCCAGAGTCCCAAGGAATGTGAAAGCTTAGGTGGCTAGGAGGAGTGGATTCATTTAAGCTGACATATTCATCCTGACGCAGCCATGTTTCGGTTAGGGAGAGTAAATCAATGCGATGATCAGAGATTAGTTCATTTATTAACACAGATTTGGAACTTAGAGACCTTATGTTCAGTAGACCACATTTTATCTTACTAGTACTGGGTTCAGCTATGTTAGCAGTCTTAATTCTAGTAAGGTTCTTGTTATTTATTCCTCTTTTAATTGATCGGTTAGAATTAAAGAGCCGAGTACGAGGGACAGACACAGTCTCTATATTAAAGTGACAGTAGCTAGGAGGCTGCTCTAACAAAAGTGCAGAGGAACGTGTAGAGCTGTGGCTATGCTCCCTGATCTCTATATCAAACTGATTGTAGCTAGGAAACTGCTCTGAAGGGAGTACAGAGGGGCGTTTTACACTGCGTCTCTGCTCCCTTGTCTCTGTGTATAAGTGGTAGTGGCTGGGAAGCTGCTCTAAAGGAGGCGCAGGGGGGCGTGTAGGACTTACCTCCAAGCAGAGAGCAGGGACTAATCAGTGAAATCACCTGGTGGAGTTTTGGGTTGGAAAGAAAACCTGCAGCCTCTCGGCTCTCCATGGCACATGGTTGGCCACCCCTGGATTAGAGGTTCAGGTGATCAGAGGGTGGAGTCCTTGTTGCAGCAGTTTCTGGTTTGACTCCCATGATCCTTTGCTGTAAGTCCTTCCTCACTCTCTACTCCATTGCTGTGTCTGAATTGCCTGCTTGCATACCACATACTACTGCTACATACTACTGCTAGATCCTACTCTTACATACTAAACACACCCAATTCGGACACACTAGACGAGTGGTGGGGAAAGACGACCCCCACAGGCAGAGAGTAGGTACTGCGCCAGTGCAGACAGTTTTAGACTCTTTGAATGGTAATTATGCAAGTGATGGATGCTGCTGTATTATATTCCTGCACTGCTTTAGAAATTCACAAAGTAGCTTTTCCATGACTTTTAGCCTTCATTCACTCACTTGGTGATCGTTTGTTCAATGAGATCTGCCTGATTACTGCAGCTGTGCAGTTTAATGGTGGAATAAGTGAGCTTTACCTCCATGATGTCGCCACATATTTGCTCTTAAAATGATTACTTGGGCAAATATGACACCATGACATGACAAAGAGATACAACCGCACATTTTTTAGGACAGTGTGTTAAGTTACATGAAACCGCCATGGTGCGCGCTGCTGTGGCCAGCCGGCGTTTGCGACGCATCTAAATAGGCAGCAGCTGGTGGAGCTAGCATCACATGCGCTTCTACAACTTTTAAGAGGACGAAGAAGAAGCCCACGGTGCATTTTGGGTCAGTAGCATGCCCGTAGGATGCACCGCGACCATCCTACAATGTGGGCGTGTCTAGTATCTGAAGTAGTATCTGAAGTAGCATGCTACTCCCTCCGGTGGCCAATTCGGACATGCTAGATACTACTTCGACTACTACTTGGCAATTCGGATGCAGCATGTGTTTCCTGTTCCTCTTCAGCGCTCGGATCAATAAAAGTCTTAAAAATGAACTTGAACTGTGACATGGAGGAAACAGGAGGATCTTTGTCTGCCTTCATCCCTCACTGTACACTGATCTTCAACAAGAACACTCAACCCAGAATAACAGACTGTGTTGTCTCTACTGTCAGAACTGGACCGGACCAGCCAGCAATCCTCCAGATCTGAGTTCATGGAAGTCAGAGACAAACCAGAAAGACTCTCAACCAAGAAGAGCTCAGAGAGAGTCACCCAGGACACTGAGTGGACCTTCCTCAACCAGGCTGGTCTCAAGAGTTTGTATTTAGCAGATCCAGCCCATGTGAAGCTGAACCTGAATGTGCTCTCAGACTGTAACATCAGCGCTCTGCCAAACAGAGAATGGATGAGACTCTGATGAGACAGGTCAGCTGACTCTGTCTGCAACATCATCACCTTTACTGCTTTACTCTTCTCCCTCACCTTCATCAGGATCAACAAGGTCAGACAGCAGACTGATCCACATGTAAGTAAGGAGAAATTTATGGAAATATCAAAGTATGTTATGAAAACTTGAATTGGGTTGAAAGAACTCATTAAACATAGAAATCTACACCAGAAACAGGCAAAGGATCAACTTAGTTTAGAGTCTTCAGTTTTGTGAGATCCTGAGAAACTCGTGAGAAATCTCAAAGGGTTTTTTGTAGTCATGAATTCTTCATTCAGATTAAAACAGTCAGGAGTAGGAACAAATAACAGAAGAGGAATGGTTTGTTATGTGTAAATCACAGTGCACGGCCACTAGTTCCAGAGTTTGGAGAGAGTTCAACTGGAAAAATATTGTTAGGTTCTTCATAACTCCAAAGATTAGGAAGAAACATGTATGTACACCACAGCCATGCTGGAGATCATGTGGACACACTGATGCAGACCACACTCACATATTCTGGTCTTGCCCAAAATTAATAGAGCACTGGGAGGAAATTTGGAAAAGTCTGCAAAAAACAATAGGATATCAGATACCCAAAACATTGAAATGATTGTATTTAGGAAACCTATCAAATGATTTAATACAAAGAAAAGATGAGTACCTGGTTAAACTATTATCTGTTAGTAAAAAGATCATCACCAGATTGTGATACAAAGCAGAACCACCAACTGGGGTGCAGTGGGTGTGCACTGTTGAAGAGATACATGTAATGGAGAAAGTCACACACAAATTAAGATAACAGGGAACACAATTTACAGAAAAGTGGGAAAATGAACTGATTTCAGGAGGACAGAAGAAGACACCACCACTATCACTGGATAATAAGGACATTAATATAAGGAGGATTTATGAATGTGATGAACTGTTGAGCCCTGTCACTGTTAAGACTTAAAAGCAAATAAAAAAATAAGTTAAAAAAAAAACAGTCAGGAGTTTATTCAGGGGTCTGTCCGTCTGCTGTCAACAACTGCCAAGCTACTCCTAAATAAACCAACAGATCATTGATCAGAGAGGTTTTTATGAACCAACTGGACAAGATGATGTTCATGTTCAACAAACTGAAGTGAAAACTGCAGAAAAATCTGAATCTAGTTTTTTACATTTGAACACGACTGAGAAAAGAAGAAATTCAAGTTTTCGTGAGTTTCCAAATAAAATATCCAGAGTTGGATTAACTTTGTTCTTCAGGTTTCAATCTGCAGCTCATCATTTCTCTGACACTTCATTCATTCATCAGTGATCACATTAATTGTGGATCAGTTCAATATCAGCCTTTAGTCTGTGCTGCTCCTGCCCTCTACAAGCATGTGTAATATTTGTGGGACTGATTTTCTCCTGCTTCCTTTCTACATCCATCGTTCTACTCAAAGTCAACTCTGAAATGTCAGATTTTTCTTCCTGTGTTGAAGTTTTACAACGACAAATTCAAACTGCTCGACCAAAGTTGATGGAAAAACCACAGAGAAAAATCAAAGGCAGCAGCTGTCACATCTTATTGTTAGATCAGAAGGAAATGGTGTCTGACCTCAGATACTCCAGTCTGCAGTTTGGACTCTCCAGTCCTGCAGAGAGAAGCTTCACTCCTGAATCCTGCAGTTTGTTTTCACTCAGGTCCAGATGTCTCAGATGGGAGGGGTTGGACTTCAGAGCTGAGGCCAGAGAAGAACAGCTGATCTCTGACAAACTGCAGTTATACAGTCTGAAAAAAAGGAAAGAGAATGAAGATAAAAATAATTAATAAGCAAACTTCAGGTGTGGAGCTTAGAGAACTCCAACAGGAGACCTTCGGACCAGATCCAGTCTGTCAGAGCTCATGATCTGGTCTGCTCTGACCCTCCATGTAAAATAACAGACAAGACATCAAATGTGATGGAGCACTGGTTTGGATTAGAGGTTCAGATGTTCAGAAGGTGAAGTCCTTGTTGCAGCAGTTTCTGGTTGGACTCCCATGATCCTTTGCTGTAAGTCCTCCCTCACTCTCTACTCCACGTTTCCTGTTCCTCTTCAGCGCTCGGATCAATAAAAGTCTTCAAAATGAACTTGAACTGTGACATGGAGGAAACAGGAGGATCTTTGTCTGCCTTCATCCCTCACTGTACACTGATCTTCAACAAGAACACTCAACCCAGAATAACAGACTGTGTTGTCTCTACTGTCAGAACTGGACCGGACCAGCCAGCAATCCTCCAGATCTGAGTTCATGGAAGTCAGAGACAAACCAGAAAGACTCTCAACCAAGAAGAGCTCAGAGAGAGTCACCCAGGACACTGAGCGGACCTTCCTCAACCAGGCTGGTCTCAAGAGTTTGTATTGAGCAGATCCAGCCCATGTGAAGCTGAACCTGAATGTGCTCTCAGACTGTAACATCAGCGCTCTGCCAAACAGAGAATGGATGAGACCATGATGAGACAGGTAAGCTGACTGTCTGCAACAACATCACCTTTACTGCTTTACTCTTCTCCCTCACCTTCATCAGGATCAACAAGGTCAGACAGCAGACAGATCCACATGTAAATAAGGAGAAATTTATGGAAATATCAAAGTATGTTATGAACATTTGAATTGGGTTAAAAGAATTCATCAAAGGGGACCTGCCATAAAAATGTAATTTTGTGTGTTTTTTGTGTCAGATAAGGTCCATATTATGTTCGTCTTATGTTGTAAATGTGAAAACAAACCGTTACGTCATTTGCATTCTGTAAAGGTTTAAAATAAAGGAACGAGTAAACCAGGCCAATTGAAAAAGCAGGTCTATGTTACGTTGCGTTGACGTTGCTCATTATAATTCACGAGCGCATCCTCGGCGAGCCGCGCCCACTCTCTTGTTCTCGTACTCATTCACAGTCAGAGCGAGACCCAGCCACCGCTGTATCCGCTATGGGTCTCTTCCAAACAACCGGTGTTTCCTTCGGTTCACTGCCGGGAAAATGAACTTAAAGCCAGGCAGAATGAATGAGAAAACACCGCTGGACATCTCCGGCTTCTTCCTCAACTTCCACCTCCTCTTCGGACTCGGGGTCTAAAATATATGTGTAACGGGTATTGACTGGACCCAATTGCAGCACAAACAAGCAGGTTCACTTTAACAACAGTCTTTATTGAACACCAAATCCAATGAAGCAGCAGAGTATAGCAGGTGGGTATGGCAGGATTCGAACTCGGGTCTTCCGGGTGATAGGCGAGCAGAATAGCAGTGGACCACAGGTCAGGCAAGAGTTTTGAACTCGTGAGCAGGGAATTGTCCACAGTCTTAATTTGCTCTACGAGTGTAGTGAAGGGGAAAACGCTCAACTCACAGCTGGAGGAAGATTTCTTGGAGAGTGGTTCAGGTGAGGACTGGGTGAGGATCCAGAGCTTGCAGAGGAGCTGGCAGAACCAACGTCGGCAGAGGAGGTGAGTTGGCGAGGTGAAGCTGACGAGAAGGGGGATCTCAACAGAGCAGGAACAGGCTGAGTGACATTCAGCTGCAGGCAGACGAATAGCAGGAACCAGGCAGGCAAAGCTCGTAGTCAAGGACAGAAGGCAGGTAGGTTTACCGGGGCTGAGGCGAGAAGCAAAGGTCAGGGGCAGATCAGGTCGATACCAGGTAAGCAGTCCGAGGATAAACGCTGGAGAGTCAGGCATGAGAGCAAAGACAATCTGGCAAAGAGTGAGGGGAAAGAAGCTGCATATATACTGGCCTAATTGGAGATGATGAGCAGGTGAGAGCAGCAGGTGGAAGCAGTTAGCTGATGAGGGGTGTGGCTGAGCAGCAGAGCAGGAGAGGGCAGAGCAGACTGTTACAATATGGTTTAATACCTGCCGTTTTTAGCCTTTAGCATAAGGTGACCAGACGTCCCCGATTTCCGGGGACAGTCCCCGTATTGGATGACCTGTCCCTGGCAAAAGCTGTCCCCGAAAATGTCCCCGATTTAAGCGTTTCATGAATGAGAGCAAAAATGTTGCGTGTGGGCTCGAACAACGGTTATTACAGTAGCCGAATAGGTAGGAAGCACAGGTTAGCAGTCCTGAACAACAGTTCTTACGGGGGTTATTACAAGGGGCATGCCCTGCTACTAAATAGTACCGAGACTTTGTCTGTGATCACACAGCCCCTGCAGCCCCTGCACCGCCGCCGCCGCACCGAATATCCCCGGATATCATTACAGACATCTGGGCACCTTACTTTAGCACACATTAGCATATGCTATTAGCATTAGCATAATAACAATGGATAAACCAAAATCCGAACCTACACTGCTGAGCCAATCAGAGCACAGCAGGCTTCACAGCAGCAATCCAATCAGAGCAAAGCTCATTACCATAAATGTTAATGAGCCAAAGTCAGTTGGTTTTCCTGTAAGGTTTTTTAGGCATACTAAAACAAACCATCAAATAACTTTTCAGCTAGAATTATGTTGCAAACATGATCAGAGGACATCAAGGATTATGAAAAAATTATAAAAATGGGGAGGAAATTTTGGTGGCAGGTCCCCTTTAAACATAGAAATCTACACCAGAAACAGGCAAAGGATCAACTTAGTTTAGAGTCTTCAGTTTTGTGAGATCCTGAGAAACTCGTGAGAAATCTCAAAGGGTTTTTTGTAGTCATGAATTCTTCATTCAGATTAAAACAGTCAGGAGTAGGAACAAATAACAGAAGAGGAATGGTTTGTTATGTGTAAATCACAGTGCACAGCCACTAGTTCCAGAGTTTGGAGAGAGTTCAACTGGAAAAATATTGTTAGGTTCTTCATAACTCCAAAGATTAGGAAGAAATATGTATGTACACCACAGCCATGCTGGAGATCATGTGGACACGTTGATGCAGACCAAACTCACATATTCTGGTCTTGCCCAAAATTAATAGAGCACTGGGAGGAAATTTAGAAAAGTCTGCAAAAAATAATAGGATATCAGATACCCAAAACATTGAAATGATTGTATTTAGGAAACCTATCAAATGATATAATACAAAGAAAAGATGAGTACGTGGTTAAACTATTATCTGTTAGTAAAAAGGTCATCACCAGATTGTGATACAAAGCAGAACCACCAACTGGGGTGCAGTGGGTGTGCACTGTTGAAGAGATACGTGTAATGGAGAAAGTCACACACAAATTAAGATAACAGGAAACACAATTTACAGAAAAGTGGGAAAATGGACTAATTTCAGGAGGACAGAAGAAGACACCACCACTATCACTGGATAATAAGGACATTAATATAAGGAGGATTTATGAATGTGATGAACTGTTGAGCCCTGTCACTGTTAAGACTTAAAAGCAAATAAAAAAATAAGTTAAAAAAAAAACAGTCAGGAGTTTATTCAGGGGTCTGTCCGTCTGCTGTCAACAACTGCCAAACTACTCTTAAATAAACCAACAGATCATTGATCAGAGAGGTTTTTATGGACCAACTGGACAAGATGATGTTCATGTTCAACAAACTGAAGTGAAAACTGCAGAAAAATCTGGATCTGGTTTTTACATTTGAACACGACTGAGAAAAGAAGAAATTCAAGTTTTCAAGAGTTTCCAAATGAAATATCCAGAGTTGGATTAACTTTGTTCTTCAGGTTTCAATCTGCAGCTCATCATTTCTCTGACACTTCATTCATTCATTAGTGATCACATTAACTGTGGATCAGTTCAGTATCAGCCTTTAGTCTGTGCTGCTCCTGCCCTCTACAAGCATGTGTAATATTTGTGGGACTGATTTTCTCCTGCTTCCTTTCTACGTCCATCGTTCTTCTCAAAGTCAACTCTGAAATGTCGGATTTTTCTTCCTATGTTGAAGTTTTACAACGACAAATTCAAACTGCTCGACCAAAGTTGATGGAAAAACCACAGAGAAAAATCTAAGGCAGCAGCTGTCACATCTTATTGTTAGATCAGAAGGAAATGGTGTCTGACCTCAGATACTCCAGTCTGCAGTTTGGACTCTCCAGTCCTGCAGAGAGAAGCTTCACTCCTGAATCCTGCAGCTTGTTTCCTCTCAGGTCCAGATGTCTCAGATGGGAGGGGTTGGACTTCAGAGCTGAGGCCACAACTTCACAGTGAGTCTCTGAGAGTCCACATTCAGAAAATCTGTAACAACATAAATATCAAACAATATTTCATTAAAGGGTAATTTGATGTTTCTCCTCACCAAAAACAAACATGATCTTTGGTTTGACAGACGGCCTGTTTTTAACCAGACAGATACTAATATCAGGACCAATGAGAGAAGACAGGAAGTCAAAGTTTAGAAGAAAAAAAAAACTGTTCAGATGTTCAAGACAAATGGCTCCATGACTTATTTTAGTCATTCTGTTTTTTTTAATTTTTGCACTAAATCATGAAGTGAGGTATCAATAATGAGTCCTGATAATATCAACATGGAGGATCAATATGGGTACCTGTATTAATTAAACATAATGCCAGCCATGCTAGTTATGGCCAAAAACAGACTTTTCTGCTCCCTAAAAAAGTCTGTCTTGTTAGTCCTTTAGACCTGGTTCAGTCTCTTAGACTCAGACCTGGATCAAACCCCAGTCTGCTGCAGTGTTTGTTTAAAGGCTGTTTCAGCAGAAGGCAGCAGTCTGACCAACTTACATCAACATCTGAAACAGAGGCGTGCAGCCGAGTGGGAGAAATGTGACCGCTACAGCCCACCAACACCTCAACATTAGAGGAATCATCTTCACTCTGCATCACCATGACTAGTGTCAGTGCCAACCTGCAGCACCGAGGGCAAAGAGAGAGACAGAGAGAGAGAGAGAGAGAGAGAGAGAGAGAGAGAGAGAGAGAGAGAGAGAGAGGGAGAGAGAGAGAGAGAGAGAGAGAGAGAGCGACATTAACATCCTATTTCCACCATTGTTTTCAGACTCATGGAGCTGCTGTCCAAATACCTCCTGTGTTCTCATCATTCATATGTTCTAGTCCAGCAGATAATCTCCAGTAAGTGGTGGAAAATGATGTTAGTTTTCATGGTTGTATTGATGATGAATATTGAATGATGAACATGATGGTACAGAGACAGTTCTGCCACTGTGTAGAAAATGATCCAGTTCTATTTTCACCATCAATGCTGTCAACACCCTCATTTACAACAGATTCATCATTTCCAACCTGAAAACCAGCAGGAAGAAGCTGCAGACACCTTCTTCAAACTCAAGTTCACCACGACTGACTGAGATGTTGATCTGGACTGATACCATCATCAGAAAACCTCTGTGTGTCCTCAGATATGGTCGCTGATTTGTCCTGAAAGTTCGACTTTATTCATTACAGACACGATTCAAAACAAAGAGGTCCTCCACAATCAGGACAAGTTCTCAGGGGTCCACAGGTAGACCTCATCCTGGACTAACAGGACTTTAGACACCAGGATCATGTTTTTGCTGAAGAAACCCCCTCCCTGATATTTGAGTGAATTTCTATTTGAAGAAGAACATCATCAGTAACGTGGACATTAGAAGAACTACAGGGATCATTTACATGATTCTGAGAGTAAAACCTGGACTTACTCAGCCTTTCTGCAGTTCCTCACAGCTGGGATCAGTCTCTGTTTTCCCTGGATTGATGTTTTATACTTCTTTAAGTCCAACTCATCCAGAACCTCCTCTGACATCTGCAGCATGTAGGCCAGAGCAGAGCAGTGGATCTCTGAGAGTTTCTTCTCTGTTCTGTTCTTTGACTTCAGGAACTCTTGCATCTCCTGATGAACTGACAGATCGTTCATCTCCATCAGACAGTGGAAGATGTTGATGCTTCTGTCAGGAGAGACATCTTCACTGTTCATCTCCTTCAGGTTCTTGATGACTCTTTGGATCATTTTTCGACTGTTGTCTGTGTGACCCAGCAGACCTCCTAAGAGTCTCTGGTTTGACTCCAGAGAGAGTCCATGAAGGAAGCGAACAAACAGGTCCAGGTGACCATTTTCACTGTCAAGGGATTTCTCCATGACTCTCTTCAGGAAGACATCCTGAGATGGACCAAGGCTCAAAGTGACCCCAAAATAACTCAAGAAACGTTCACGAATAGACTTTGGTTCTGGGTCAGTGTACTGGTGTTCTTCTAGAAAAGTCTCCAGAACTTCTGTGTTCCTGTTTGTAAAACAGTGGATCATGTAGACTGCAGCCAGAAACTCCTGAACGCTCAGATGAACGAAACAGTAAACAGTTTTCTGGAAGATCACACTCTCTCTTCTGAAGATCTCTGTACAAACTCCTGAGTACACCGAGGCCTCTGAGACATCCAGACCACACCGCTCCAGGTCTTCTTGGTAGAACATGATGTCTCCTTTCTCCAGATGTTCAAAGGCCAGCCTCCCCAGCTTCAGGAGGACCTCACTGTCAGCCTCAGTCAACTCCTGAAGACTTGTATCATGTCCTCCTTCATACTTCTGCTTCTTCCTCTTCGTCTGGACCAGCAGGAAGTGTGAGTACATGTCCGTCAGGGTCTTGGGCAGCTCTCCTCTCTGCTTTCTTCTCATCATGTCGTCCAGAACTGTAGCAGTGATCCAGCAGAAGACCGGGATCTGACACATGATGTGGAGGCTCCTGGAGGACTTGGTGTGTGAGATGATTCTTCTGGACAGATTTTTAGCCCTGAACCTCTTCCTGAAGTACTCGTCCTTCTGGGCGTCAGTGAAGCCTCGTACTTCTGTTACCCTGTCCACACATGAAGGAGGGATCTGATTGGCTGCTGCAGGTCGAGAAGTTATCCAGATGAGAGCTGAGGGGAGCAGGTTCCCCTTGATGAGGTTTGTTAACAGAACGTTGAGTGAAGACTTCTGTGTGACGTCAGACACAACCTTGGTGCGTTTGAAATCCAGAGACAGTCTGCTTTCATCCAGACCGTCAAAGATGAACAGAAGTTTACAGACAGCCAGCGTCTCTGCTGTGACCTTCTCTAGTGTTGGATGGAAAACATGGAGCAGACTCAGAAGACTGAAGCGCTCATCTCTGATCAGGTTCAGCTCCCTGAATGAAAGCAGGACCACCAGATGGAGGTCTTGGTTCTCCAAACCCTCTGCCCAGTCCAGAGTGAACTTCTGCACTGAGAAGGTTTTTCCAACACCAGCCACGCCGTTGGTCAGAACCACTCTGATGAGCTTCTTCTGTCGGTCAGGTAAGGTTTGAAAGATCTCATGACACTTGATGGGCGTGTCATGGAGGGTCTTCATCTTTGAAGCTGTCTCCAGCTGTCTCACCTCATGTTGGGTGTTCACCTCTTCACTCAGTCCCTCTGTGATGTAGAGCTCAGTGAAGATCCTGTTGAGGAGGGTTTGACTACTTCCTGTTTCTTCACTTCCTTCATTCACACGTTCACATCTCCTCTTCAGACTGATCTTATGTTCATCTAAAACCTCCTGCAGACCGCCATCTTCTGAAAGAGAAGAAAAATAAAATGAACCAAACTGCTCAACACTAAAACGTCTTTGTGAAAATCAGTCAGCTGAGTTTTCATCCACACAGACTTTAGAGGACAGATGTTCAGACTTACTTCCATCAGAGCTGGACAGCTGCTCCTCCACAGAGTCACATCTCTGTGTCTCTCTGTGGAAATAAAGAACATTTATTTTCTTTATCATTTCATGTTTGAAAGATTCAGAATAAGAAACATTTATTAAACCAGAGTTTCTCTTTTCTCTAACATAAAACAATCCCCAGTAAAATATTCAGCTGCTGCTGCCTCAAAGTGTGGAGACAGGAGAAAAAACTAAACTGTGATTTTTGAAGGTAGAGAGATTTTCTCTGACAGTTTAAAACATTTTTTTAACCAATCAGATCTAAAGGTCTAATAACAGACAGATGCTCTGAATGAGTTTTTATTTCTCAGGATTTATTTCTTTGTTGGTCTTCCGGTATTTTGTGTCCCACAGACTAAGGCTGCACGATATTGGAAAAAAATAATATTGCGATTTTTTTCAACCCTGCGATATAGATTGCGATAATAAAAATACAGGAATTTTCACCAGATGACCTGAATAGCATTTAATGTTATGCTGCACTGCTGAAATCTTGAGGACAGTTACCCTACACTGATCTTACCTCTTTTTGTGAATGTTAGAATGGCTTCTGTCTCAGAGATATTTTTAGCTTTTATTGTGCTGGGACTTTATTGTGGCAACAGATTAACACAGAACACGTGTTTTGGTCGACACCCTCCTTTTAACCGAAGTAGTTCCAGATAATTGACTTTCCTTTTCTTTTGGGCAACAAATCTTCATTTTCCGTGGTTTTCGCTTGTTCGTTGCTCATTTTGCAATGTTGTTGTTGTTAGCGGTGTTGTGCCGAGAAACGCATGTCCTCCGAGAATTGCATGCACCTCGCAAACGCGCACCGCTTATAGTAGAGTGGTCCACGGAAATGTACAATTTAAAACCCATACAGTTCTTATTTGTTGGGCTTAATAGTCATGAGTAAAGTTCCGAAAGTAATTCTCAGCGGACACGCGTCTCCCTCCATGTGCAGAACATGTGCAGGGGTGGGTTTCCTCCTCTCTGATTTTGATTGACAGCTGGCAGGGTAGTCTGATTGGCAACTGAGAAGTGAGTCTGATTGGCAACTGAGTTAAGGACGAATGTGATTGGTGGATCGCTGCAAAGCACATGCAGAGTCACATGCAGTGTATCTCAGTCAGTTACCCTTGAAATTAAATGAGTTCATTCACCTCCAATATCGCAGGCTCTGCGATGTGACTATCGCACACACGTACATCGCGATGACGATAGTCAAACGATATATCGTGCAGGCCTACCACAGACTGTTTTCTGGGGTCTATACACCACAGTCCAAAGACTAACAGGCTCAAAACGTCCCAAACACAGGAACCAAATCAGAAAATACAGAGGTCAGAATCCTTTTCAAATGCTGTTTTATACCACCTTCATTTTTATAAACATTAGGAATAATAAGTAAATATGTGCTCAGTGACTTTTTCTTTACTTTCTCCAGGTTGGAGGTTAAAGAGGAAAATCACCGTTTTGAGAGCAGAGATCATTTTTCTTCACCATGGTATAAAACAGAGGGGTCAGAAATTAGAGCATCGTAAATTACTGTTTGAGAGTTTGGAGGTTAAAATGTATTTTTCTTACCGTGAATCTGAGGGTCCTGGTTCTTTACTGAAGTCCGGTCGAAGATCTTCAGACCGGTCACTCTCCACAGACAGACAGTCTGACATGACAGACTTTGCTCTGCCCTCCTCTTCCTCGACATCATCACTCATCTTCTCCATCTTCTGTTGTGCAAATTCATAGAAGATGAAACCGAGTTATACAACCTGAGGACACATTAGACAAACAGGTGAGACACAAACAGGAGGAGCGTGATCAGAAGTAAAAGTGAGCTGGGGGGGGGGGGGGGCTTAATAGTTTTAATAGTTTAAAGTTTAATAGACCAGAGTGAGAAACACAAAGGTTTTTTTTAAAACTGGAAAATATGAAAAGCTACTGAAGATGAATCAGAGAGAGAGAGTACAGAGTCTGAAAAAAAGCTTAATACTCCTCTTAAAGAGTCATACAGGGTTTAATATTTATCCAAGTACTTCTGACGTCTCCTCACCCTGTAGGGCCTCTCCCTGATCCTTGTCTGATTCATGGTAAAAAAAAAAAAAACTACAGCTGTGAGGGCCCTGAAGTATCATAAATCTTATTTAAGAGGACTGGATTAAATTTAAAATGAGGCGAAATGAAAAGAAACTCATTTTTGTTTTTACCAAAAAAACAAGTCTAAAAAAAGAGGAAGAACTGCACGTACGCAGTTTCCTGTATCAAGATCTGATCCAGCTCTGGATCTGGTCTGGTTTCTTTGCTTTACAGTTTTTAAGTGTATTAGTCAGTAAATCAATCTTCATTAACTCATGATACAGAAAAAGAGTTTGATATTAAAACAACCCTGAATAAACACTCACCCTGTCTCAACGTCCTCTTTTCCCTCTGCTTTGTTCTTCTCTCAAAATGGAGTCTGTTTGTGAGCTCACATACTTTCACTTTCACACTGACTGTTGTCAACTAAACCAAACCCACCAGATCAGATTCTCCACCCCCCCCCGTCATTTACTGGGAGTGACAGGTTTTATTTTATTATCATTATCTTTTAGGTTCAGTATTCTTCACAATCATCTTCCTCTCCTGAGTACACATCAAAATAAGTTCACTAAAACAGTAACTTGTATGGTTGAGTCTCAGTTTATTGTTGATGCAGCAGCACCACCTGCTGGTCAAACCAACAAACTGACTCAAAACTGAAAAACCCTGAGAGGTGAACCAGAACAAACAACTGGGAACAAAGAGTAAGGCAGGGAAAATAAGGCTGACACAGATGAGGTTGTTAAAAAGATGAGCACAGTTTTTGTTGAATTATTTGGATTCAGGAAAGACGTCATGTTTGAGCGCATTAAACATAACCAACAGAAAGACAGGGACTCTAAGTTACAGCTGATATACAGTATGTGCCTCAATATATTTTAACTGACCATCATATCTTATTTTGAGACACTGAGTTGATCCACTGCAGGTTTTCCTCTTCACACAGACAGAGTTTAATGTACTTCTGTTTGCTCTTCAACTCACTTCCATCCAAGCAGCACTGAGTGACGGTGATGAAGAACAGTCATCCTCCTCAGCTGTCATCCTGCTGTGGATGTTGTCAAACCTCATTCATGGTGTCATCTGCTGTTGACAGACAACAAATCATTCATTTGGTTAAACAGCTTTTAAAATACTAGAGTCTTTTTCTACTGATCACTACAACAGCAGATACACTTTTTTAAAATCATGAACATAGCTAATATTCAGATATTCAATAATTATGGTGATAAATGTCGATTTCAGAGGCTACAGATTTACAAAAAAAACTTTGAAGACAGTTGAAACTGTCCGCAGCTGAATATCAGACCAACCGTTATTTCTGCTCACTTGTCCGCCATCTTGTTAGCAGCCTTTGCGTCCATTAGACTGTTTTTTAATGTTGTGAAGCAATTTAACCAGATATTACATACTGGTGATAAATGACAATTGTACAGGCTACAGATTTACAAAGACCTATGAAGACAGTTGAAACTGTCCTCAGCTGAATATCAGACCAACCGTTATTTCTGCTCACTTGTCCGCCATCTTGTTAGCAGCCGTTGGTTAATGCTAACATTAGTCATCATTTTATTGATTTCTCATTTTACCAGCTACCCCACTATAAACTAATGTTTTAAAACATTATAAAATAAATCTATAACAGCATTAATGTACATGTCTTCATTCGTGTCGCTCTAACTTTCTGCCTTAGCTAGTTAAAGACAGTTTGATGGTTATGAACAAAGAACAGCGAGTTCACTGCATATACGGTACATTACTTTGGTAAGTTGGTCGCGGATGTTACTGCTATAGTGCTGCCGTCTTTATTTGGCTTTTCTACTTTGACTCGGCAAATTCTGAGTATAATAAACTCCCACTTTACTCACTGCAGCCTCGTTTCTTTCACTGAAAAGCTCCAAAAGTCGAAGCTTGTCTCTCATTTTCTCTTTCAGCATCAACTCCAGAGCCGTCGGCGGGAAACGGAGCTGCGCATGCGCTGTCCACCTGTCGTTGGGAGTGAGGAAGAGCGGTGCTCGGTGACATGAATATTGGACCTCCAATGTTGGTGTTATTCCAGGCATAAAACACGACAAAGAAGAGACATCTGCCGATTTTATTCTATAAAAATGACATGTTTATCCTTTATCAAGAACCATAAGTCACATTATTTCATTTGTGATGGCAGAATGATGGTAAATAATCCATGACCAATGAGTAAAATCTTTTTAAATTGCTGTCTATAGTAAGTACGGCATTACCACCATGGTTTTATCCCATCTTGGCTCCATAATACATATGAAACATTTAATGCTGACTGGGAACACTGTATTTCCAGTCAGAAATAAAGATCAACTTGGTGATGGGCACAGCAGTTCTTTTAGATGTACTGAATCACTGGAAACAGTTCACTTAAAAGATTTGTTCAAAAGATTTGTTCACCAAATCATTTAGTGGGAGAAACCTGCGACTCCGACCTCCTGAACCGATACACAGATGAACAGTTCAGGATTCAGTTCAGATCAGAGCTTCTGGGACCGGGAGATGAGAGTGTTAGTCTGTGTTGCTTTGGCAAACAGGTCTATAAAAATGAACTTGTTTATAAGTCCTGATGTTTAAAGTGTACTGTCCTATGGTATGCTATTTACCAGGTCTGCTTGGGTCAGTGAGGGATTCGTTCACTGAACGTTTAGAAGAATTCACACTGAACATACGTCGTTACCTCGCAAACCGCCGCAATGATAGGATGCTGCAGGTTTAATGCACTACTTGTTACATGCTGTGTCCTATTGTTTGCAGGTTGTTGTGGTGGCTATTTAGCAGTGAAAAAAAAGGTAATTTTGTCCGATCAAAATGATTCCAGAGAGTGTAGTTCAATGCATGATTCGTTCACCAAGTGACTCAGGTGCCATGAGTGATGTGGTCCCTCGTTCGCCGGCTGCTGGCCTGGCAATGCTGTTTCTCACTTCTGCTCAACTGAAGTGAGAAATGAACGAATCACTCGAAGAAGTGATTCAGTTCAGTACATTCGCTTAAAAGAATCGGTTATTTTGAACAAATCGTTCGCGAACGACACAACACTTGATTAACTTCTCCATTTGTATTTTCTTTGTTTACATGTATCCCCCTTTAAAACAGCAGTATGTGGCTAATGTTGACTCACTAAACTACTTTATTCTTATGAGAAAATGACACTAAATTTTTTTGATTCTTCTTCCTCAAAACAAAAAAAGTCCTAATTTTTAATTTTTATTTCTCCATCACACTATCCTGTCTCTATTTCTCTGTCAGCATGGACTTCTGCTTTACCTCCAAGATATTTGCAGTTTTGAGAATGAAAGAATGACTCAGATTTCACTTTATTATAAAACAACAGAGGCCATATTTGCATTTTTTATTAAGCTGTTGTCATGTTACAGTCAAAGCAGTCAGCGTCACTAACAATGACCAGGAGAGCTTACAGCTGAGCGTAAAAGTCAGGTATGGATACCTCACACACTTCCACACACACCTACACACGCACTCTTGCACACACATACACAAACATGTTATAAACGAAGTGATCATGTTTGTAATCACTTCCTGCAGAAACATACATACACGTATACAGTATTTAGCTCATGTGGAACACTACCTGCGTGGCTCAGCAAGCGCAAAGTCAAAAGCAGAGGTCGCCTTGAATGCTTCTGCTTGTTTCTGATTATCATGCAGCAGCTGAATCACAGAAAGGAATATGTAACATCCATACGTTAAATATCTGGTTTGTTTGGGGTCGGCCTAAACGGCTAATACCCTGTATCCATTAAGAGAAAGTAGTTTCACATTTTTCATGTATCACCTTTATAAAGACAAAACTAAAACTCTAAATCCTCCACAATTCACATCTTCATGAAGCCTCAAAAGCTTCATTTGTTCCCTAACTTAATTAATCATCTTCTGACCAGCAGTTAATGTGTCCTGAGAATATGGACACACTCAGTAAAGTGCAAAACACATTACAGCATCTCTCAGATTCATACGAACAAGTACGTCCTTAACATGAGCTAACACTTCCCTGAATTAAATAGCTTTATACAGCAACAAGGCATGGACTTCTATAGGGTTTTCTAGTATAAATGTAAGCCTACGGTGTATTTGCACACACCTCAACATGCACGCTTCCATCCAACAATTCACAAAAAAACAAAACATCAGATCTCATTGTTGATGACGCGATAAAAAAAGATTGATTTGAACTGTTCAAGTAGCTGTGACTCATTCAACAAGCCCCTCTGTTAGCGTACGATGAGGATGCATGCGTATGACACAGGTGTTAGCAGGTGTTCACAGTACATTACGTGAGGCACATACAGTAAACTGCTGTTAGGTCCTCCATCCACGAAGAACCATCGATGCGTCATTGGAGCGATGAGTCATCCAATCGGGTCGGGACTGGCGTGCAGATGCAGGTGACATCAGGAGCTCGTCAGCGGCTGATTACGGCTCAGTCTGTCCTCCTGACGTCACTTCCTACGAGAGAGAGAGAGAGAGAGATAGAGAGATAACGTGGCTTTACATGAGCGGGGATACAAAATCTGTTGAGCTCAGGGTTTCAACTTCGTACCGTTTAAGATGAAACTTTTACAGTCGACAAAAGAGAAAAATATAAAATATTTAGTAAAAAGAATAAATCATAATGTCAAGCATACATAGACTCTAAATAATAGAAGAGAGCCGCAGTGGTCCCAGAGTTGAACCCTGAGGGACTCCTGTCACTGTCTAAATCTGATTTTTCTTCCTTATTGACTTTTTAACAGTTTAGTTTTCCCTTACGTGCTTCGATGAGGTCCATAAGAGTCCAGCATGAGCGTACTGGACTCCTCCAGGTTCCAGTTGCAGCGCAGGAGGAGTTCCTCGCACTCGGCTCTGGACCGCAGACCCAGACGAAACAACTGCTCCACCTGAGGTACAGACAAGAAGAAGAAAGAGAAGAAGAAGAAAAGGCATCCATGTTCAGTCGTATTTTGTGTTTTTATTGTTCTTTGTTAAACTGAAGTTTGTTTGAAAAATCTGTTCTCACACTCAGTGACAATTTCATGCTTCGCGAACAGGTTCATCCTTCGATTTCAAAAGTTAATTTAAAAAGTTTTTCCCTTCTTAAAAAGTCTGAATATCTGTTCAAATCTCTGGAGAACTTCAGCTTGAGTTGTCACAAACAATTTTTTGGTTTGCGTACCTGGTGACATCATGCACTCATGATAGACTCAGTCGAGCTTTTAAGGCTCTTTGGGTCCAGTTCAAATCGAGAAGTCTGAAGTTTGGCAGGTCGCTGTACCTTTAAATGATTGATGGCCTGAGGGACGCTCCAGTCGTGACTCTGCAGAGCTGTCTGACACTCCTCCAGCGTGACGCCATGAACTGCTCCTTGGACCTGCCAATCAAACCATGAACTCGGAGTTTAATGAACAATATTCAACCCTCTAACATCTTTTCCAAATGCACCACGGTACGATTCGAGCGGGTTCAACTCAGGATTAGGAGCAGTAAATGTGTTGAGCTGTGTTCGCCTCTCTGTAGTTTACAGTATTTTTAAAATGTTCTTTGAATCGGTTCCTGTGGTTCTGCGGTTCTGCTGGCTGTTCTCTAAGATCATGAAGAAAAGAAACCTCTCAGTTTGTGTCGTGACTCGATCCAAACGCTCGGGAATAACCAGAAAACACACCGGAGGCTTCTGAAGGCAAAACCAGTCAGGGCCTGATCGGGATGACCGGACAGATCAGGTGAAGTCTTCTTGTTCTCTTTTCATTACCTGTGTGACGTTCTGCTCCTGTTGCATGCTGGGAGCTGCAGTACGACCGTTGTTATTGTTGTAGGAGGAGTTTGGTTTGGCTCCTCCATGTTGCTGGATGATGGGTTTGACTGCCGCCATGTTGGCTGATCCATATCTTAAAGAAAAGACAGACGAAGAATGACGTCGGGATAATTAAGCGCTTCAAAGAAATGAGAGAATCAACTCTGAAATAAAAACAACATTTTCATTTATTCAGTTTTAAAGAAATGATTTTTCACTTTCACTGTTTTCTACTGATTTTGATAATATTATAAATCTGCTTTATGAAACTCAGCTGACCACAGATCTGCTGGATTAGGTTATAATCCTGCGGTCAGCATGTCGTCTGGCGTGGCGTTATAATGTGGGGAATTGTGTAGAACAGTGTTTGATATCAGACCCACCTTTCCATATAAGCTGGTCGATCAGGCAAGGGGGCGGGTACAGAACTCTGAGGGCTGTCAATCAGCGAGGACAGGCCCCGCCCCTCTCTAAAAGAGAGAGGATCCAGTAAGGAGCCGGACGAGTAGTTCGAGCCACGGACTGTGAGACGTGAGGACTGAGACGTCACAGGAGGCAGGGACGAAGTGGACGAGTTCGAGGACAGGAGGGGACCGAGGAGTCCTGAGGCCCGGCGAGGGGACACAGAGAGCGGAGGGGGAGGGAGGGCCACAGGGGAGGAGGACAGAGGAGGAACGAGTGGGAGGGGAGAGGAAGAGCGTGAACCCGGTTGGGAGAAGGCGTGGTCTCGTGGTGGGATCTGGGGAGGCGTGTCTTCAGGGTCGCCCAGGGAGATGGAGCTGGAGCGGGACTGTGGGTTGGCGGAGCGGGTGGACAGGTTGTGTTTGGAGGGGCGCATCGGGGGGACGGGGCTGCGAGGGGGGAGCACGGGTCGGTCCTCGAAGCAGGAGGCGAAGGAGGAGGTGGAGTTTGAGGAAGGGGAGGAAGGAGGCAGATAGATCTGTCGGTGTGGGCCTAAAGGAGCCAGGGGCTGAGGGAGGGGGGAGGAGGGGAGAGAACGGCCTGTCGCCATGGGAACCTGCAGCTTCACCATCACCTAGACCCAGAAACACCGACAGAAATGTTACGTTCGCTCACATTTTCACAGTCTTATTTATTTTACGTTTACAAACTCTCTCCACCTCTCTCTGGAGTTCCTGGAAAAGATCAGCTGACTGCGACTCGCTCCTGCCCGCCATACCGCCGCCGCCGCTGCTGCTGCCGCCTGAGGCCACCGTCTCTTCAGTCAGTCCTTTGTTGATGGACCTCACCTCCTGGTCCTCCGATTGGTCCTCCAGGTCTGCGGTGACCTCGTCATAAGCTGGCTGCGGGAGAGGCCAGTCCAGGATGGATGGAGTGTCCTGAGGAGGAGAAATCCTTCATGCTTATGGAGGAACATCTACTGTCATCACGATCATCCTGGTCTGCACGGATTACTACGACTCTGTCCTAAGAGAGTCCTGGTCCTGAGCATCTATCTGCACCTTACCACAAACAGTAACGCACTAGAGTCACGGTCATGTGCTTTAACGGACAAAAACACGATTTAGAGGTTTTTTCTGCTGTAGGAGCTTCACCTTCAGAGTGTCCTCGTCTGGCGCCCGTGACTCGGTGAGCGGCGAGGGCGTGGTCGAGCTGAAGCTGTCGTCAGTGAAGTCGATGAGCGACACCTCACTTTTCGCCGTGCGTACGCAGCCCCCCTCCCACGGCCGCAGCTTCAGACCCAGAGACACTCCCAGCCTCTTCAGCCCCGACGAAGCGCTGGTGTCATCCTCATCGTCGTAGTCGTCCATCACTGAGTCGTAGAACGGCTCTGTACGAGTGAAGAAACCCCCCGTCAGATCATAACAGAGTGTGTTTAAAGGTACGGAGAGCAGAGGGAAGAGAGAGAGGAAACTTACTCTTCAGCAGAACTGCAGGTTGAGGAGGACGAGGAGGAGGCTGCTCTAAAGACCAGAGTTTTAAAATGTCATTTACAGTTCATCTGGAAAGTATTCATACCACTTCACTTTTTCCACATTTTGTTATGTTACAGCTAGGGTTGGGTATCGTTTGATTTTGAACGATTCCGATTCCAATTTCGATTCCTCATTTCGATTCCGATTCCTATCGATTCTCTGATTCGATTCTTTTAAAAGGCAGGATATCAAAAAGAAAAAAGAAAAAAGAAAAAAAAAGCATGGTTTGAATGAGGGTGCTAACCGGGGCTCTTCTTTTTGGATGAAATTTCTGAACTTCTCCATGAATTTTTAAATCCTATTAACTTTTTAGGAACTTTACTATGGATTTCTCACAGAGCTATTTTCAACCAGTATATAAATATCAATTTTTGTTTTCAGGTCGTTTGTCTATGAAAAAGTACAAGGGCTAACGTTAGGTGGATATTTAAGTTTACTCACCGTACACAGTTCAATTTCTTTACCGTTTCAAAGTTAGCAGAGGACAGAAGTCATTTATTGTTTCACTTATCTGATCCTGACTGGTTAGCGGAAGACAGGTGTTGTGCTGTAGAATGCACCCCTGCCGTAGAATGCCTCCCCTCCACTGATTAGCTTCTTAGTGGAAGAAATATGATCTCATATTTAATAAAACACGGGTATTAGATCATGAAAACGTGTCAAATGGAGCAGTAAACTTTCGTTTTGTTTGTATGTGTCTCAAAAATGCACACATAAAGGTGTACTTGGGTATATAAACGGCAGGGTAAGCTGTTAATGTAGAGAACATAATATTTTCAGGACAGTAAATATTCCGAATTAGAGGGCTATTGCTTTCGGCATATCTGAATAGCCTGAATGAAATCATTAAAGGCACACGCTTTAGATTCCGTTCAACGGTAAGGAAAACTTGGATTGTTTCGCCTTGTTGTGTACTTTCAACCGCGCTCCCGTCAGGGGTGCATTCTACGACACAACACCGGCGAAGCGCGTCAAAGACGAGCACTCGGGTATTTCTCCTCCATGAATCCTGAGGTGTTTAATCATGTTGGTCGTTTACCCTCCTTTGCATGATATAACTGTATTGCTAATGTTGCATTGAGATAAGAGTTCATTCTTCCTGCTAAAGTAAGCCAAACTTTTGACCAACGAAGAAGAAGCTGCCGAACACCAACGAGGACGGAGCGTATGAGACGAAGCCGCACAGAGAGAGATTACATTGTAACCCACAGCGGCTGCATTGCTGTGGGTTACAATGTACTTTCTCTCTCTGTCTCTGTCCTCTCTCTGTGTGGCTTTGTCTCATACGCTCCGTCCTCATTGGTGTTAAGCGGCTTCTTCTTCATTGATTTTCGGCGTCTATTTCTTCCGGTCGGCGGACTCTGGCATCGAAACTTGGAATCGAAATTTTAATATTTGAACGATACCGGAAGAATCGAAGTTTTAGTCCCGATTCCCATCGATTCTCGATTCCCAACCCTAGTTACAGCCTGATTCCAAAATGGATTCAATTCATTTTTTCCCTCAAAAATTCTACACAGAACACCCCATAATGACAAAGCCAAAAACTTTTTTTAGAACTTAAATTTATTAAAAATAAGACACTCAAATGTTGCATATAACGCTGGAGCTCTGTCAGAGTGACCATCGGGTTCTTGGTCACCTCCCCGACCAAGGCCCTTCTCCCCTGCTTGCTCATTTTGGCTGGGCGGCCAGCTCTAAGAAGAATCCTGGTGGTTCCAAACGTCTTCCATTTCTTAATGATTGAGACCACTGAGCTTTTTGGGATCTTCAACGCAGCAGATATTTTTCTGTAACCTTCCCCAAATCTGTGCGCCGATACAACCTTGTTTCGGAGGTCTACGGACAATTCTTTCGACTTCATGGCTTGGTTTGTGCTCTGACGTGCTCTGTCAGCTGTGGGATCTTATATGGACAGGTGTGGCTTTCCAAATCATGTCCAATCAGCTGAATTTGTCACAGGTGGACTGCAATCAAGTTGGAGGAACATTTAAAGGCTGATCAGTGGAAACAGGCTGCACCTGAGCTCAGTTTTGAGTTTTATAGCAAAGGGTGTGAATATTTATGTATATGCAACATTTGAGTGTCTTATTTTTAATAAATTTGCAAAATGTTCTAAAAAAAGTTTTTCGCTTTGTCATTATGGGGTATTTTGTGTCGAATTTTTGAGGGAAAAAAGGAATTTAATCCATTTTGGAATCAGGCTGTAACATAACAAAATGTGGGAAAAGTGAAGTGGTATGAATACTTAAACGTCAAACGTCTAATATTATTCAAATCCTTTTTAAATACTTACTCTTGGCACGGTTTGGAAGTTTGGTTGGTCTTGCAGCACCTGAATCCATTCCTAAGACATCAGGAGGGTCCATGGGGTTCCCCAAATACAGACTGGAAGAGTGCAGACGAGACGTAAATGAGGCTCGGTGGGATTAAGGTGGAGATTAACAACACAAACATGACGCTCTCTCTCACACTCGGTACTTTATAAAACCATCTTTCTCTGAGGGGTTTGTCAGAGCGAGTGTAAACTTACTCACCATAATAACATCACCGCCAAAATAAAAGAAATAAACCATAATGTAACATAATTCTGACAAAAATCAACAAAGAGAACATGTGTGGGTGAACTGGAGCGCACTGCTGCCCTCTAGTGGACGACTGTGGAAAATACACAGAAGTAGTAACTGGAGGTGAGCTTGATTTATCTCCATCTGAACATCCATCCAAATCCTCTCAGCCTCAGTCTAATTAGTGGTCGTTATTGACCTGTCGATGCGGTCGGCGTGCCCCCAGCTCCTGTGAGGGTCCGTGTCCCCGTGTCCGGTGTGGATGAAGGAGTGTTTGAGAGGTCGGCTGATGTCCTGAGCGGATAAACCAGCGACCGAAGTCACCACATGACGCGGGAACTGACCGATACGCAGCGTCCGCCTGTTCTGACCTCTCCACCAGTAGTGCTCTGCCCTGAAAACACAAACGAAGAAGATCCAGAAGAACTCAAATTAAAATACAGTTTAGATGAGTGAACTTCCTAAAGAGACGAGATTCAACGATTGAAAAAGAAACACTTGACGTCCATAATGGGTGGATACCAGGACAGTTTAGAGAGTCTGGATCTATAACAAAAGTTCAGCACAGACCTTCCCTCGATGATGGTGATGACGTCGTTCATTTTGATGTGGAGCTTGTCTTCCTCCTCAAAGTCCTGCAGCGCTCTCATGTCTGTGGGCATGGTCTGAAAAAACACGTTTGGAGGGTTTGAAAGAGCTCGAAGACTTTTCTGTAGAGCCACAAAAATAAATAAAAACATTTCATTCAAGAAAAAAAAACACGACTCTTTTTAGGGCCGTTTTGATTTTTCTTTATTTCCTGGTGAATCAAATTTGTTCGGATCGATAACAAATCTAGTCGGTGGTTTTGTGGAAGTACTCAGATGTAAATGTTTGTCTTCAGCAGCTGCACCGCTCTGATTTTCTCTGTGAGGTGTCGTCTGCTGCCTCACTGATCTGCGGACACGTTTATTCCTCTCAATAAGAACAATTTTGGACGCTGTGATTCTCTGACTTCACACAAAACTCAAAGTACCTCCAGCAGGAAGTCTCTGAGGGCGACGAAGGTGGGCCTGTCCTCGGGTTTGGGGCTCCAGCACTGCAGCATGACGTTGTAGATATCTTGAGGACAGTCGTCAGGCTTACTCAGCCGCTCAGCCTCCACGTCCACCTTGTGCAGGATCTGGAAATGAAACATCTCAGCGTTGATATTTCCTTTTCCTGTTCGGGGAACACTGGGGTGAAAAGATTTACCTGACTCCCATTGAGGCCCAGCCACGGCTCCTGTCCGTGAGTGAACATCTCCCATAAGGTGACCCCGAACATCCAGGTGTCGGACGCATGAGAGAAAGATCGCGACTTTAGGGACTCTGGAGCACACCTGGAGAGAGGAGAGGGCGGAGATCCAAGAGAAGAGGAAATATTGGGAAGTTTGAGGACAAATCTGGACCGTTTGAAATCCTGATCATGGATGTGAGAGACCAGGACGTCTTCTCACCACGGAAAGGGGATTTTGTGACCCTCCTCCATGATGTACTGGTCTGTGTGTGTCGGCAGTGCCCTCATCAGGCCAAAGTCTCCGATCTTCACAGTTTCATTGGTGGACAGCAGAACGTTGCGGGCGGCCAGGTCCCTGTGGAGGAACCGCCTCTGCTCCAGGTACGCCATACCGCACGCCACCTGCGAACCAGAGTGATGACATCAGAGCTGACGTTTTACTGGAGGAGGAAACGGTTTTAAAAAGTTTCTGTTTCTGACACATTTACAACGAGGACTCATGACGTCCTGCAGAAAAAATACGACTTCTTACACGCTGTACATCTTTGGCGTTTTTTTTCGAACTACATTTCCCATAATACTCTATTTTCCTGCAGTATTTTCACCGAATGCAGCACAGGCAGCATGCGAGTTATGTCCAAGTGTTAAAAAGAAAAGTGAGGGTAGAAACAGCGGCCTGTCTGTCACAGCTGATGGTTTAACCTCCTGTTACAGCCCCAATTTTATGGAACGAGCTACCCCTCCAAATTAGAGAAGCCCCCACTCTGTCCATTTTTAAAAGTCGTCTTAAAACCCATTTTTATTCATTGGCTTTTAACCCTGCATGAGACTCGGCTCCTGTTTTAGTGTTTTATGGTTTGTTTTTAGTTATTTGTTTCTATGTTTTTAAATTAGTTTTTAAAAACATAGAAACTATACTTTTAATTCTGCTTTTATTTTATCCATTGTTTTAATTGTTTTTTTGATTGTTTTTTATCTTGTTGTTTTGTCTAGTTATGTACAGCACTTTGTACAGCTGTGGTTGTTTTAAAGTGCTTAACAAATAAAGTTGAGTTGAGTTGAGTTGAGTTATTAACTGACCTGCACGGCGTAGTTACACAAAGAGAAGATGAGGATGTGACCCTGACGCTTCCTCAGACGATCCAACAGGGAACCAAGAGGGGCCAGCTCAGTCACCTGCACACGGACGACCAAAACCGCGTTAAAGACTGCGCTGATCTGTGGCTTCAGTGCTTTTGTATTCAGGTGTGTGTGTGTGTGTGTGTGTGTGTGTGTTACCATCTTCATGGGCTGTGTGAGGACGATGCCGTAAAGCCGGATGAGGTTCTGGTGGCTCAGCGAATGCATGGCGTTCACTTCTCTGATAAAATCGTCCAGCCCGTCGGAGTCCAGCACGCCCGCCTTCAGACACTTGACTGCAACAGTCAGCTGAAAAGAAACAGACGGACAAAAACCAGCCTTTACCTGAGCTGTGGGTTAAACCCTCCTGACAGGCCGTCTCTGGAGTTTTACAGGTTTTTTGATGATCTGTGTAAAAAGTTCTTTCACTGCTATATTTGGAAACACCAGTCTGGTTCTTGTCTGAGGTGTCCCACAGGGCTTTAATCTGGGTCCCCTCTCTTTTCTGTAGTTTTAAAACATTATCGTCAGATTTCAAACATCCTTTTTTTAAAACAACTATTCTCTCATCCAGCAGCTCGTTCTAAACTTTCTCTGGGTCGCACCACTCTGCCGTTGGGTCCGGTCCACTCTCCTCTCCGGACCACCCCGAACGTCCCGTCTCCTAAACGCTCAAACAGCTGCAGCTCCGACTCTCTGATCAGGCACGTGAGGGAAGCGGCTGATTCGCTGTTTCCAGGAGCAGGGCTGGATGAGGCGCCCTGAGAGGCGGGCTGCTGAGGGTCAGCGTCTGGTCGTTTGACTGGAAACACCTTCACGCCGAGAGAAAGAAAAGCAGGTTACAGGTTTAGATTTCAGTGTTTAATCTTTTAATGTTTTATTGTGTTAAGAGTGCAGAGAGGTACCGTACCTTACTCATCCAGGATTTACGTTTATAGAGAGCTCTCCTCCTCTTGACGGCCTCCCAAAGTCTCCTCTGACCTGAAAAACCCGACATGGAGAAGATTTAACGACGAAACAAAATAAGAGGTAAAAACATCCCCATACCTCAGAGATAACAGAGATAACGGTCTGTACCAGGACGTCCCATGCCAATCTTCTCCAGGTCCTCGTTCTTGACGTAGTCGAAGTGTGAAAGCCGCGTGACGTTGAGCTCATCGCGGATCCGCAGGAAGTACTGCTGCAGCTGCACATCAGTCAGCAGCTCCAGCAGCCACTCTGTGCCCTCCTCACACTGCATCTGCACACACAGTTACCGTCTGTTACTATACATGTGAGGACACCTGTGACGACCAATCACTGCGCTCTGTCGGCACAGGGGTGACGCCCACAGTGAGTCTCTGCTGATTTTTACATTTCTGACAGAAAATGATCCGAACTTTCTGACTCTTCTTTCTCGTCTTTAACTTTGACATTAAAATGTTTGGATTTTATTTAAAAATCCTTAAAAGGTTTTAATTTTTTATCTGAACTTTAAACTTCAGATTCGTCAGACTGCAGGACACTTTGGAGTCAGGCTCAGATAAGTTCAGATACGTGTCTTTATTTATAGTTTTCTGTTTCTATTGTACAGTTTCTGAGTCCATGCAGTGACTTCCACTACAGAGCCACGTCTGCTTCGATACAAGATATTTCATACACCCTCAAATCTCTCAGTTTCACTATTCGATGTGTTAAATTTACATTTTTTTTATTAAACATAATGTTGTGATGATTTTTTAAAAACATCAAAATCGACTTTTCTCAGTATTTGACACGGCGTCCAAACTTTTTAGAATTGAGGTTGCATTAAAATCTAAAAGTGGAACTTGTGATTAAAACGTCCGACACACACAGACCTGAACTGTGACGTGTATTCTCATGTCGACACACAGTAACGGGTGGCACAGGGGTTCAGTTCAGTCCTACAAAGTAAAACCAGGACATGAACCAGAAACTCTCTGATTTTAATCATAATTAATAATTAATAATTGATTTGATATTTTATGACAAGAAGGTTAAACCTGATTTTAACACATAAACAAACGATCATAATTGGTTCAATCAATGAGGGGTTAATCACACGCTGATATTAGATCAATACAGTCACAGAGTCTAAAGTCAAAAAGAGGATTATTGGACTTTAGAGAAACAAACTGGACTAACAGACGCCGCGTTTAAAGACCTGCAGAGGTGGACCAGATGGTCCCGGTCTGAGCCACTTCTCAAGGTCCAGGTTGTGAACCTCTGGACTAATCGAATTAAAACCACCCTCCCTGGTCTGTCTGCAGACCTACATTCCTCACACAGTCACAAACACACACTCACTCACTCACTCATTCATTCATCCGCACACAGACACACTCATGCACACACACACACACACACACACACACACACACACACACACACACACACACACACACACACACACACACAGAAGAATCACTGCACGTCCTCAACACAACTTCAGACTTTACCATTTGTCCCCCGACTCTCTCTCTGATCCTCCTGTCTCTCTCCTCCTCCTCCTCGTCCTCCTCCCCCTCCTCCTCTCCTCTGGCGTAGGGGAGTCTCTGGTACATGTAGCTCTCCCCCATACTGTCGCGGCTCTCCTCGTCCTTCTCTCCGTCTCTTTTGTCTCTCCTCTTCCCGTCTAGGAGCTATTCAGAGGAGGCGTTAGCTCGGTGAGTCTGCTTCGCTAATCTCCTCGCGGCTCCGTGACCTTCTCTCTTCAATCGATGGGCTCACGCACGCGCGCGTACACGAACGCGCCAGGAGGCATTTGACGCCACTCTCTGCGGCCGTATCACCTATCTCTGAACTCTCTCTCCTCTCCCTGCTGACTCACGGCTCCCTGCAGCGTCGGACACGTCCATGCCTCCCTCTCTCTCTCTCCATCTTTACATCTATCTCCTGGCGCCGCGGCCGAGCCCACTGCCTGATGTTTAATAATTCAGCAGCTCAAACCAGAGGAGGGGAGACGGGGAGAGGAGGGAGAGGGAGAGGGAGAGGGAGATCTTGGAGGAAGGAGGGGAGGAACTGCGGGTGCAAATAGGTGGACAGATGGATGGGTAAATGGATGAACGCTTAGGCCAAAGAGGAATAGCGGGGAGACAGTTCCCAGCATGCACTGGAGAGACATGCAGATGGTGCAGCAGGAGAGCTCGACGCCGACCCGAACAGGATGGAGATATGAAGCGGTGAACTACAAGACTACAGAGGAGCTTACATGGACTGCAGACAACCAGGAGAGATTCTCAGGAGTTTTCTGTTTCTGTAAAATGTTGATGAAAATGTCGTTTTGATGTTTGTGAGTCACTTTGAGTCTCACATGTCGTTAAAAAAAGCGCACAGACAGCAAATAAACCTGTTTCTATATTTGCTCCGTTTAGAAGTTGAAGTAGAAACTGAAACACCTTCGATGGTCTTGGACTCAGACGGTGGTTCTGGATTAAAATGTTTTAGCAGAGACCTGAACGGAGTGATTTTGAACCCATGCGGTGACTCCCACTACAGAGTTAATGAAGATGATGAAGATGATGACCAAGACTGGTTTCCTTTTGTGCAGAGGTTTCAGATTCCCCTGACACGGACTGTAGATCATGAAATCCCTTCAGCTCAGGAAACTGTTGAACTTTTTACTCACGCAGTTTCTCACAGAGTCAACTTCACTTCAAAGAGACGCAGCCACTCTTTAATTTCTCTTTTTTACACTCAGTCTTGTTACTAACCTGTTGTATGAGGGATGGTGTTTTTGATCATTTTACAGCTTGTTCCTACGGTGGCCTGGAAGTGCGAAACACAAACGCAAAAGAGAAAACGCAACCACAAATCACAGAACGCAACTGCAAATCACAAAACATGACAGCATCGTCTGTCTTCTTCTTCTTCTTCGTTGTAGTTTAGTTGTAGTCTAAACAAGCCAGCTTTTTTTAAGTGGGTCTTCAGCGTTCGAATTCTCATGCTAATGCCGTGAATAGTCGACAACATGTCGACTATTACGTCATATTTGTGTCCTGCATCAAAATATTGCTGGATAATTTCGAGTACACTTTCGCTTTCCGAGTCCATGTTCGTGTTTACTTTCCTGTTCCGACATCCAGCAGGTGGCAGTAGTACTCCACCCCCAGCGGAGTAAACGGCCATTAAACTAAAATGAAGAAGAAGAAGACAGACGATGCTGTCGTGTTTTGGGATTTGTGGTTGTGTTTTGCACTTCCAGGCCACCGTATATTCCCTTTTTCTGTATTTTGTTATTCCTGTGCCCGAGGTTTTAAAAGACGTTACCGACGCACAATAACCAACATTTCGATGATAAACACACCCTGGATGATCTAATCTTGTTTTTGGGAGCGTGCAAACTCCCATAAACATCATTAATTCAGTATCTATCCCTCTGTATTCAGCGTATTCCTTCACGTCACATGTTAAACCTGCTTGTTGCTCATTAGCACTGTCATGCGTTGAATTTAAAGACTGAAACCAGCCGAACATGAGCGTCTCACAGCTGGATAAATGATCATAATAGGAGCAGAAAAACAGCATCTTCTCAGGTCTTTGGGGAGGATTTCAGAGAGATTATCTTTACTTACACTGAACTCTTGACAAAGAGGAAAACGCGCACATGACTCCAATCTGCCTCAACCCGTGAGCTTCATTATGAACGTAATTCACCTCAAAGTTGGAGCTCATCAGGACGCGTCATTCTCAGCTTTGGAGAACGTTTAAGAATACGTGTTACAGGAGGAAGAAGATAAACTGCTTCTGTGTTTATAGTGAACATCTGCATTAGTGGCCTAATTGAACCAGAATCAGAGCTTTCATCTGTGTGTGTGTGTGTGAGGAGTTTTATCGAGGGCGAAGCTCTAAATATAGGGAATCTAAATTTAGCTTTAGTTCACCGACACGACGGGAACAGAGCTGCTTTAGTTTTACTCTCATCTCAGCATCAAACACCTGAGATTCAGCCGGACCGTCATTATTGATATCCTCAAGAGGAGGCGTCTGTTTCTGTTAATAACAAGAGAAAATGTGATTTACTAATACAGGTCAACTGTCATTCTAATCTGTATGAGGATGTTAATTAAACGCTGGTTAAAGGTCGGGTAGGCAGGCATATTTTTTTGTGGTCTATTTACAAAGGTCAAACGGACCTGCTGTAGTGTGTTGTAGCGCCGCTAAAGTCACTTTATCTTTGGTAAAAAGCTTCAGTAATAATATTTCTATGATAGAAGAGTTATTCATCGTGATAGGAGACATTTCTGAGCCTGAGGCGGGCGGACGAGCAGCAAAGACCCCTCCAGGTACAGAACAGAGACGGTAAATATCACTCAGGTGAACTCAGATACAGCACCGATGTGTCTGTTAGATGACTGACGGCACTTATTCTTCAGCTGTTACTAATGAGGGAAACATTTCACTGTTCTGGGACAACAGGATGAGGCTTTGTTTACATGTTCAGAACAAGAGATAAGCAGCTTCTTTTATCGTCCACAGGGGGCGCCAGAGATGACACATACCAAAAGTTCTTCACAGCAGCTTTACCTCGTATTAGACTGTGTTTTCTTATTTGTACGAAGGAAAACTTCTTCCACACCTGCAGACGGGTTAGCGTGGAGGAGTCCGATAAAGGTTAAAGCACTCCTAGTGGTATTTTTAAGTACTGCAAGAGTATTTGAGATATTTCGGTGTCCATCCCTAACTAAGTTTGTCAAGAATTGCAATTTTAGGGATAATAACAAAAAAATAGTGTATTTTTTCATATAATATTCCTGCACCATAACAGTTGCAACAATGAAATCACTTTCCAGTTCCTGTTTCTTAAATGTTTTCTTAAATCGTTGTGAAATTTTACTCCAAATCAAAGTGAAACGTAGCAGCAAACGAATGAAAGCGACCAGAGAAACATAAAAACACAGAACCAACACAGACAGTCAGGAGAAGGGGAAGAATTCGCTCTACATGATGATCTAAACCCTCATTAGACCTTCAGTGCTGTGATAATATTTAATTTTCAAAACCATAACTAGTAAGAAATAAAATGTATCAGTACTATTAAACATGCAGCAGGTGCCCCTCTGCTTTATTCTGAAAATATCTGCACCGATCGGAGTGAAACACCAGCTCAGCCACTCCTCTCTGCAGTGATCTCACAGTGTGAATGTGTGTACAGGTAATCTGTCTCACCCTGCAGACGTCTTCAGGTGGATCAGAGGTTTAAGGCTGCAGCCAAGAGTGACTGGGGTCAGCAGAGGTCACCTGGGGGAGGCCATGTATGGAGAGATCCCACATCTACGTGGACAGAAAGAAGGATTTACTGAAGAGAGGCATGCAAGAAAACGCTCCACGATTACTAACAAGCAGGGGTGTAACCAGACTACAGCGGGGTGTCGCAGCTCAAGGAAGAACATTTATGATCATTTCTTCATGGAAATGTAATCAGACCGAGACGCTAAGACGGAAGAACTACCGCGTCTGTAAAATGATTAATATGGTGATTATTACTTCAAGGAAATGATAAAGTAATGATCATAAATGTTATACCTTGAGCTGTGGCACCCCGCTGTAGTCCGTAATGGGCTGGCCTGAGGTCTCGCTACAAACAGGCTGTTAGCTTTCTTCCTCTCCCGCCATTAAAGGAAAATATGTCAAGATGCGATAATATTTGCAATAACTAATATTTTTTTTTAATAACAAATGAATACTCAAAATTCACGACACAGCCAAAAACAGTTGATCTTAACACAAGTTAGATAAACATTAATCAGAGTTTCTGAGTACTTATGTGGCATAGGAAGTGGCCTATCAGATTTTAAGGAGGGGCCATGCCACCCCTGGTTGCCCCTTTCGACACACCCCTGCTAATAGGACATCAAATACTTCAGCTTTTCAACTAAAGAAATAAAAAAGAAAAATACATAAAATTAATTGTAATTTAACAACACGTTTACTCATTTAATATATAATTTCAGTATTTATCATTGTGCATTTTTTTTAATCTAGATGCATGTTTGATTTATTTATTGACACTACATTTTTTAATTGAACATCAATAAGATGTAACGTGTCATTTAAGGATTAGAGGAATAATTAAGATACAGAAAGATGACTAAAGAGGAAAAGAGAGGATGGATCAGCTCACAGATAATAACTGATTAACCTCAGGATTCAGTCTCCTCTTTAACTGGAGCTTCTCTGAGAGTAAACGTGTCAACACTGCAGCTTCCACACCGAGAGGACACAACAGATCAGTACATATATATATTTATATTTAATTATTCATTTATCATCTTTGTTTTGGTGCAACAGTCTCATCTTCAGGTCCAGATAAAGAGCAGACAGAGAAAATAAAGACACGAACTCTCCGTTACACCGACCTGTGAAGAAATCCGCTCAGTCCGAGTCCTCAGCAGGAGAAAATCTCGATGTTTTTACCGAATAATTGTGTAAATTTAGAGAAGTTCGGCTGTTTCTTTCTCTCGGTTTCGGTCCGTTTATTCCAGGAGGCTGACCGGAGCGCGTGCCGTGATCTCCGAGCGTCACCGTGCGTGCCTCACGCGCAGATAAAACGCTCCAGTTAGCTTTGACGGTCCGGAACGAGCGGAATGATTGCACTTCCTGTTCTGATTTGGACTTCAAAATAAAAGCACCGGTTCGATGCGGGAGCTAATTTAAGCCAATTAAAAATAAGAAACCGGAAACTAATCATTTTCATTTTAGCAGGTGATTTTAACACATGAGGGAAAGTGTAAAACAAAAAGTGATAAAATTAACTTAATTAAGTTAATCTGATATTTACGACGAAGTTTTAAGGAGACATACAGAAAAAAAGACAGATTAAAGTCATCAATTACGAGAACAAAGTCGTGATAAAATTATTACTTATGAGAATAAAGTTATTAAATCATTATTTACGAAAACAAAATCTAATAAAATCATTATTTAGCAGAATCAAGTCGTAAGTAAATCATTATTTACAGGAATAAAATCGAAATAAAATCATTGTTTACAAGTATAAGGTTGTAATTAAATCATTATTTACACCAATAAAGTCATAGTAAAATCATTATTTACGAGAATAAAGTCGTAATAAAATCATTTACAAGAATAACGTTGTGATAAAATAGTTATTTTAGAGAATAAATTCGAAATAAAACCACAATTTAGGAGAATAAAGTCATAATAAAATCATCACTTACGAGGATAAAGTCGTAATAAAATTATTACTTACAACAATAAAGTCGTAATAAAATCATCATTTAAGAGAATTAAGTCATAATAAAATCACACTTACGATAAAAAAGTTGTAATGAAATCATGAAATAGTTATTAAATGGACTTTGAAACGGTTTTTAAATACAGTAGGATGGAATTGAAAACGAGTAATTCAGATGCAGTTGATCACAAACAATCAGTGAAAATCAGCGAATAATCCTGATGAAATGTTGAAATGTTTGAGTTTTTCTTTTCTAAAATACAGATCTGTGAATGTTCTGAATCATTTAAAGATATTGTCATGTTCAAATGTTTTTTTCTTTTTTTTAAAGCAGCTTTTTATCAGTTATATGTAATAATAATAAAAAGAATGATTGTACCAGTTGAATAGAGTATAATAGATAAAAATACTCATGAATGTGAAGAAGTGACTGTTATTTAGGGAGAGAGAAGGTGAGGGAGGGCTGGGGGGGGAGAGTGAGGGTGGTGGTGGTAAGGATACGGCTCAACTTACCCCGCTCCTATAATCAACTTACCCCATACATACTCAGGGTAAGTTGACCGTAGGAGACCACTTTTTTGTCCTGCTATATTATCAAGATGACAGTTCTGTTTACACTCATTCTGTTGGTTTACAGGGATGAACAACATCCTGAAATATCTGCAGATACACGAGTTAGAGACTAAACTAGGACTGACCTGATGGACTGATCCCAAATATGAGAAATGTCTCATCTTACCCGACTCTCCCCTAAATCGTTTATTTCTTCAGGTATAATAAAAAGGTCAGACACAGATTTGCTGGATGCTAAGCCAAACAGGTTTATTATCACTCTCTCTGCTGAATCTTCGGATCACAGAAACAAAACTCACTTTTCAAGTACAGTAACCATGTTGAAGAAGAGTTCCTTTAAAGACAGGATATCACCACTAAGAAAAACACAGTATTTTAGGTGCTCAAGTGTTTTCCTGACCACCAAACCAGCAAAAACTTGAACGTGTGAGTATGGAGTGAACAGACTGAAGCAGAAAAAAGTGACACCAGGACAGAAAATCAAACGTTATTATTCGAGGGGTGAAAAATAGCCTTTGAATTTAGAGATGTAGACTGATTTTGTTCTCTTATCATGATGTTTAAGTCAGTAACAACTGTAGCCAGCTTCTAGAGGCTGTTTCAGGGTTCATTTTAACTTTAATATCACTTTTTTTTACTTGATAGAATCACATTTTGCTGGAGAGTCCTCGGAATATTCTAACATTTCAATCTAACAGTTGAAACCTGTCCAAACTCTGGAGCTAAACCTCGTTAAAACAGGAAGGTAACATGCGGCTAAGAGTAAACATGTCGGTGGAAATCATGCAGAGACAGCAGTTTCTGGTTGTCGGAGTGAAAGTGTTTGTTTAGTCCCTAAACATGAGGAAACCAGACTAAAAACACCCAAGGAGTTTTTTCTGCAGCGGGAGGACTGAGCCTTCACACACACACACGGACACACACAAATATAGAAATGATGCAAAAATAAAGACAAAAAGAAAATATAAACATCAAGTATAAAACTCTGGGAAACACTGTCCCCGATAAGTTGTTCCACCGTTCAAGTGAAATATGAGAGACACTGCTCCCGATAAATACACACACACACACATAAACACACTCACACTCACACACTGGTAGGCAAAAACTACCATCACTGCTTGGTCATTATGGAAGGCACTGCTCCCGATAATGGGGTTTTAAATTATGGAAGGCACTGCTCCCGATAACTTCATGGTCGTAGAGTAACGGCTCCAAAGTCGTGAACGTCTTTCTGGCAAATTTAGGTTTCAATTTTGGACCTAAAGCGAAGTCTCCATGAAACATGATTCATGTCGAACTTTTTGGTCGATAAACAAATATTTCTCTTTATTTTGTGACATAAATATTTCCGTCCTCTTCGACACTCTGTCTGCTCTGTCCTTCATTTCTCCCTTTAAATAAAAATCAATTTTCATCGTCTTTGGAAAATCCAAAGTTGATCAAACACTCGTCTCCTGATGGACGTGTTTGAACGGGAGTGTTTCTGCCATTTAAGGGGAGAAACGACGGCGGTCGCAGAGGAGCGCGTAACGTCGTCAGGGGCTCCATCGTGTCAGCAACAGTTGGAGTAATTTCTGTAGCAGATGCTGCCGTTAGATGAGACAGTATAACCGTCATAATTATGGAAGGCACTGCTTCCGATAACGTCGTATAAAAAGACAAAATCAAACTTTTATAGCGGACACTGCCGCTGATAAAAAAACACAAATATATAAATAAGGATACTCAGAGGTCAGAGGTCAAAGCGGGGGTTTGAACGGCACCGGTTTTAGTCAGTAGTGTTGGATTTCTTCAAGTTCATTTGGATTTCTTTGTTTTGACTGTTTTGAAAGGCGGGGCTTAGACCTCTGATTGACAGCTTGTGCTTAAGTGCTTATTTGGAGCTCCTCCCTCTGCTCTTAACCAGCATTGAATTTCATTACTTCACCTCCTCCTCCTCCTCCTCCTCCTACTCCTCCTCTTCCTCAGATTTCATTATCCATGTCCCAGATGTTCCCCTCCATGGCGTTGGCAGATCCCTGCAGGGTCCAGGTGGCCAGAGCCAGCTCAGTGCGGAGCTGCTCCGTGTCGTCGGTCTCTGCGATGGAGGCCAGAGTGTGGGGACCCTGGCCCAGCAGGATGTGACGGAAGGGGGTGTCGATGGGCGTCACGTACGGGGAGAGGAGGGTGTGTTCGACCTGGAGAGGTGAAACGAGACGATCAGAGAAAACGGTTTCTTTGTTTTCATGAGTTGAACTCGTTCCCTCTGCTGTCGACTGTCAGTTTATGGAGCAAAAATAAAGTAAAATGAATGTGACAGTAGATTCAGAACCGTCAAAGTCAACCAAGAAACAAAAACGTAAACTGATCCCAACAGAACTTTGCTCAAAAAACACATAAATCCACAGTGACCAAGCCTTTTCTCACCTGAACATCATTCTCTCAAGTCTTGTCTATCAGGAGAAGAAATATTGGGATTGGAACAAACACACAACAGAAACTATTGACATATTTACACTCATTCTTCCAGGAGTTTTTGACTATTTACAGTTGTTTCTGACCACATCATACTGCTCACAATCTCTTCTTTACTTGTTTCCAAACATTGAGGACCATTATTTCTGATTTTGAAGACAAGCAGGGAACTTTCTTGTCTCTTATTGGACACTACCGTCAAGGGAACGATAGAAGCTGAGGGCTAAAGAGCTTGGACCTGATCTTTGCAGGAGAAGATGAGAGTCAAAGAGCTTGGACCTGATCAAACAGACACTAAAATAAACCTGCATTTATTTGACCGAGGGAGGAAGTGCAGTTTATGAACCTTTAGAGAAGAATATGAGACCGTGTAATTGGTCGAAAGTTTGACAGAAAAAGACGTCATCAAAACAGCTCGTCCAACCCAGAAGACATTAGCGGCATTTAGCGATAGTGATTGTTTTTTGATCACAAGACTATGATAAATAATCCTGTTTTCACCGATATATTAAGGCTGCACGATATTGGAAAAAAATAATATTGCGATTTTTTCAACCCTGTGATGTATATTGCGATATTAAAAATACAGTATTTTCACCAGATGACCTGAATAGCACTTAATGTTATGCTGCACTGCTGAAATCTTGAGGACAGTTAATCTGCTCTGATCTTACCTCTTTTTGTGAATGTTAGTAGAACGGCTTCTGTCTGTCTCAGAGATATTTTTAGCTTTTATTGTGCTGGGACGTTATTGTGGCAACAGGTGAACACAGAAGACGTGTTTTGGTCGACATCATCCTTCTTTTAACCGAAATAATTCCAGATAACTGACTTTCCTTTTCTTTTTGGCAACAAATCTTCATTTTCGGTGGTTTTCGCTTGTTCATTGTTCATTTTGCGATCGTTGTTGTTGTTGTTAGCGGTGTCGTGCCGAGAAACGCATGTCCTCCGAGAATTGCATGCACCTCGCAAAACGCGCACTGCTTATAGTAGAGTGGTCCACGGAAATGTACAATTTAAAACCCATACAGTTCTTATTTGTTGGGCTTAACAGTCATGAGTAAAGTTCCGAAAGTAATTCTCAGCGACACACGTCTCCCTCCATGTGCAGAACATGTGCAGGGGTGGGTTTTCTCCTCCCTGATTTTGATTGACAGCTGGCAGGGTAGTCTGATTGGCAACTGAGTTAAGGACGAAGGCGATTGGTGGATCGCTGCACAGCACATGCAGAGTCACATGGAGTGTATCTCAGTCGGTTACCCTTGAAATTAAATGAGTTCATTCACCTCCAATATCGCAGGCTCTGCGATGTGACTATCGCACACACGTACATCGCGATGACGATAGTCAAACGATATATCGTTCAGGCCTACCGTATATCACTGCGGATTTACCACCAGACGTCTCTGATCAAACACCTGTTTTTGTGGCTGGATTGTAAACCTTGTGGCAGGTGTAGAAATGTCTGGAAACCCTCGATAGATCGCCAAAAGGGTAAACTTCTGAACACTTTTGATCCCGTAGAGATACACGGGATAGATCCTGAGAAACTGTAAACTATATTAATGGAGTCACGTGGAGTTCGACACCGATTATATTTGATTCTGATGTTGAAGCACGGAGCGGCTCTCACCTTCATGATCCTGTCGTTGAGGATTCGACAAGCTTCTCGGTCGTTCATGTCGGTGTTGTCGATGGCGTCGCTGATGCTAGCAGCCGCTCGCTCAAAGGAGCCGCGGGCTTGACTCAGCCAGGTCGGACTCAGGTCCTTCAGCTGACCAGACTGTCGGAGAAGAAGAAGATGAATGTTAGAGCACAGAGGAGCGAGACTGAAGCTACAAGACCGAGAGGAAAACCTACCCTCCTCAACTGGTTCAGGTGTTTCATGACTCGGGCCACAGCCTGGAGGAGGACTTTGCTGTACTGGCTCACGTTCAGTCTGAGAAGGTGGTCGTGGACGAGTCGTAGCGCCATCCGGCCGGCGAACTGAGCTGCCAGCGCCGCAATCTCCCCCGTGCGATGGTTGGTCTGGTAGTCCAGGTGGTCTGGGCTGTCCAGGTTAGTGCCGTAGTAGATGTAGGTCTCGGTCTGTGGATCAGAATCCATGGAGGGTTTTAGAAGAAGAGGGCGGGGTGATAAAAACTGTTTTATTTAACAGTGTGACTGAGTCTGTGTGGTCTCACCTCTGGGGAGATGAAGTGGAAGGAGACGGAGGGGATTCCTGATGAGGCCAGGAAGGGGTACGCGGGGTCGCCCATCGCCATCGGCCTCAGTCTGCGCACAACATGATGTTGAGTTAGTGAAAGGTTTGCAGAGAGGCCTGACCGATTTATCGGCGAATCAATCAGTTTGTTCTTTTGAGAAGAGTGAGATGATCTACGTACGCTTTAGTCTGCCAGGCAGTTTTCCCGACCAGATCGTACACAGAACCAGAACCGAGAGGACTTTTCACCTGGAAGAGAAGAGAGGTTAAATCCGGACTCTGCTGCGTCTTCACCAAACTGGATCAGGTCTACAGGGAGCCGTTCTTACCTCCTTCATGGTGCTCTCCAGGAGACTGTAGAGCAGAGGACTAGCTGACGCTATGAAGCTCCCTCGACCTGCAAGGAGAGAAACTCAGTCAACGTCTGTCTGAATGAACGAGAACAGAGAGGAGGGGCGGTACTGACCCATGACCACGCCGTCCAGGCTGATGTAGGTGAACGCCCGTTTGTCGATGGACGACATGTAACCCTGAAAACAAACACAGACATGTTTCAGGACCGTTAACCGCTTCCATCAGATTCAGGCGGAAACGTTTCACTCTTACCTCCAACCACTCGGTGGCGCCGACACTCCCGTACTCTCCGGCACTCCAGCTGGCGAACACCAGACTCCTCCTGGGCCTGAATCCATCTGATGAAGAGGAAACCGTCGATGTGATGTGAGGAAACAAACAGACGCAAAAACACACAAAGCCTCACTTCCTGTCTTCATGGTACCTTTCTCCACCATCTCACTGACGGCTCTCGCCAGCTCCAGCAGCACAGAGGTGCCCACCGCCGCTCTGGCGTAACCCCGACCCCAAGCGTCTCTCTGAGCTCCGAGGACAACGTACCGATCTGCAGATTCACACAAAGACCCACAAATGAACAAAATCCTCTCCTGAGTGTCAAACCTTCAGCTGTGGGAGATAAAAGAGTGGGTTTTTACCCGGCTCTGTGGATCCCTTAATGACTCCAAACACGTTGTGGATTTCGGTGTTGACGAGCACGTTGTTCACCTCGACCGTGACGTCCTGAACGCCGCCGAGACTGTACGTCAGGGAACCCACGCCGCCTTTAAAACCGCTGGCTGCATCTGCTTCAGGACCGCCGATCGTCCTGCCGAGGAGACGGAGAGACGTGAGTCTGCGATCGTACTTCGAACATCCGAGCGGGTTAGTTTTCTCAACGAGTCAAACCCGAGCAGACGGACGAGAAATCAGGAAGATAAAGAAGGAAAAAAAACTTAAAAATTACACATTGATAATTTCATACGCCGTTACAGCTGCTGACTGATGGAGTCTGAGTTTGTGCTCTTTTTAGTCGTTTTAAAGTGAGTATTTTACTGTTTTTACGGACTTTTAAAGGTCTGACCTGAAACCAAAGTTGACGTTTTATCTGTGCCGTGATTTTAAGATTTCTGTCTTGAAACTGGTAACAAGTCCCAACAGAATAATGCCTTAGTCTTGGTCCTTCTTGTTTGTCTGATTTAGACAGGTAGAGTCCTCAGGTCTTCAGGTCTTTTAATTGTTTAATAGTCTTTCAATATTACGGTCCCCATCTGTGGAACAGTCAACCTGCAGACCTGAGAGCGCCGCCTACTGTTCATATTTTTAAAGGTAAACTAAAGATCGACCTTTTCAGTCTGGCTTTTAGTTAAATCCTGTTTTAGGCCCGAACTACACCAAGGCGGATATATTTCAAACCGCACATATTTATGTCCGATTAGGCCTCCCTACCACACCAAACCGGGATTTCGGAACACTCAAACCGGATAAATCTGAATCCGGAAAACGAAGTGGAGAAATAAAAAATATCCGTATCCCGTATCCGCAGAGGATTCGTGTGGTCGGACTTTTACGGATCGATGACGTCAAACCGCAGCTCGCGCATGTGAATTAAAAACAAAAACAATAACAACAACGATGGCGGACATACAGGGTATTCTTTACGTTTGTTTTGCCCTTTTGGGGCTAATTTCAGCCTTGCAAGTGAACCTTGTTTTATACAATTACATCCACCAGTCAGCAGCTCACAGAGGCGTCTGCTGCGGCCAATACTTTTATTGGAGAGCAATCGTAACGTTAACGTTAGGCGTTTTAAAGTTCGCCAGAAGCGTAAGTTTTGGGTCAAACCCGGTCGGACCAGCAAGTGGTGGGACAACTTCGTTAGAGGGGCTGTGCCTGCAGATGAATGGAAGCTAAACTTTCGTATGTCAAAGCGGCACCAGATAGGATTGAGTTTGACGGCTACGTGTGGACGCAGATATTTTTTTGAACTAACACGTGTGGACAGGTACATTTATTTAGACGGGAGTACAAAAATATCCAGATAAATAAATATCCGCCTTCGTGTAGTTCAGGCCTTAATCTGCATTATGTGATTTTACCCTATTTTAGTCCCAGAGTAACTATTTTGTGTTTCATTACCTCTGTTTTGATTCACTTTCTGTTCTTGTTTGATTTTAAGACTGTTTTATTTAATTAACTTTTAACACTTTATCACCTTCATTATATTTGATCATGGTTTTATCGTTTCAGTCCTAGTTCCAGTGTTTCCTCAGTCATCTGTGGTGAGTTGAAGAGTCCTCAGCTGGTCTTTTGTGTTTGGTATTTGTATTTTTATTTATTTTACTTCATTGTGTTTTAATATCCTGCACCAACGGCACTTTGTGTTACATTATACGTATGAAAAGTGCTTTAAAAATAAAGTTTGATTGGAAAACAGATTTAACACCTGATTCAGGCGGTGGAGCTGCTCATCATTCAGGTTTTTATGAATTTGATTTGATTAAATAAGAAATTCAAACACAGAAAATAAAAGTTTGTAAGTATGAAGTGAATCTAAATCCTCAGAGCTTCGAACCTGCACTCTGTTAGAGAACCAGCAGGGGGCGAAAGAGAAGATCCTGGTCTGTGTGTGTGTGTGTGTGTGTGTGTGTGTGTGTGTGTGTGTGTGTGTGTGTGTGTGTGTGTGTGTGTGTGTAGGTGTTCGTACTGGAGCAGAACGGCGGCCTGGTTTGCAGCGATGGTCTGAGCGAGGATTCTCGGTAGGCCGGCAGACTGAGCTGGAGGGAACTGGGTGTGGTTGAAGGAGGGAAATCCAGGAGTGTAGGGGTCACCTGATCCCTTATGGACCTGAACACACACACACACACACACACACACACACACACACATACACACACACACACACACACACACACACACACAAATCACTACCATGTTTAAGACTCTGACAGCTGATCAAACTCCAGGATTACGTGTTTAAACTCACGTGTCCGAAGAGCGCGGTGTACGCCACATACTTATAATCCTGAACATCGGGGTAGATGAGGACCGCAGACACGCCCATCTTCTCAGCGTTATCCACCTGCAGACACACACATCCACAAACCTGAAAACCAGCTCCTCCAGAATAAACCGCCACGAGGCGTTCTTCACACCGCCACACACCTGCTCTGCAAAGCTGATGTTCCCGGCTCGCAGCAGCAACACGCAGCCTTTCAGCTCCACGCCGTTCTTCCGCACCACCTCCAGATCCTTCTGGAGGCCGTAGTTCCCGTACACCAGTTTCCCCTGCAGACAAAGAGGAGTCCGTTTCATCTCTGAGTACACAAGATCCAAACTGACGCACCAAGAAGGGTGGAAGCTCACCAGAAATCTCCCGGTCGCGCTGTAGGCCAGAAACGAGGCGAGGTCGAAGTCATTCGGACCAAAGGTGACCCGGTTTGGACGAGCGCTGCCACCGAGAGGACAAAAACGGGTTTAGACGTCTATGAAGAGGTTTATTTAGCCCTCAGTTTACGATGTCAAACATCGACACCAACCTGTTGATCTTCTGCAGCTGGACGTAGTGGATGTCGTTCCAGGGATCCATCTTCAGTTTCTTGAACTCGGCGTAGAGGCGGTTCGCCAGACTCGTGTCCTCCTCACTTCCTGCTGAGCGCATCGGCTGATCAAACTCGCTGCAAAGAGACGAAACCTCTCTATTCAGTCGACAAAGACTCGTTTTTTTTACTCTCACAGTTCAAGAACTTCTGATATCAGCTGACTCTTCTCGTCTCCGTCTTCTCACGCTTCAGTCTAAGTCAGACCAAAATCCATCTATTTTCTAACGCAGACTTAAGTCCATCTCCACCTCCCTCCGCCCAGAAACACTTTCAAGCTCTTCCTCTGGGATCCCAAAGTGTCCCAGGACTCGCTCCACTCTGATCCTTTCTGGATGAACCCCTACAAGAGCCCCCAAGGGACACAATTACAAGTCTTCGCCATGGAGACTGTGTGGTTGGACTCCCACGCCCCCTCCAGAGATCTTGCAGGGGTGAAGAGCTGGTCTACCGTACCCCAGCGTAAAGAGGAAATCCACAATGTTCCTCCTGAATCCGAGGATCAACAATCAGGCGGATTTTCCACGGTCTGACACTCCACAGGTACCGTCCCAGACCTGAGGAGGTGTGTCGTCAGAACCAGGGCTTGACGCTAACTATTTTAACACGTTCTACGAAGTCAAAAAAGTAAAGAGCACACAAAGAAATCACATTCGTTCTTTACTCAGTTGCCAATCAGACTACCCTGCCAGCTGTCAATCAAAATCAGAGAGGAGGAAACCACGCCCCTGCACATGGAGTGAGTCGCTGGCACTGCTGGTGCTGTTGTGCAGAGAAACACATACCTGCCAAGAATTACTTTCAGAACTAAAACTTCACCGCCGTATTTACAGGAAAATATATCCAACCTAAAACTAACTTCACCGCCGTATTTACAGGAAAATATATCCAACCTAAAACTAACTTCACCGCAGTATTTACAGGAAAATATATCCAACCTAAAACTAACTTCACCGCCGTATTTACAGGAGAATATATCCAACCTAAAACTAACTTCACCGCCGTATTTACAGGAAAATATATCCAACCTAAAACTAACTTCACCGCTGTATTTACAGGAGAATATATCCAACCTAAAACTAACTTCACCGTCGTATTTACAGGAAAATATATCCAACCTGAAACTAACTTCACCGCCGTATTTACAGGAAAATATATCCAACCTGAAACTAACTTCACCGCCGTATTTACAGGAAAATATATCCAACCTGAAACTAACTTCACCGCCGTATTTACAGGAAAATATATCCAACCTAAAACTAACTTCTTAGTTTTAGTTTTTTGTTTTTTTCAGGGGGTGTTCAGTAAGAGTCTAAAGGATTGGCAGCCCTCTGCTCTGCTCTGGTCCTGAAACTTGTTCGGTATTATCTCTCTTACATAATCCCTCTCACTCTAACCTTCCCGTTGTTTTCTGACGGTGAGCAGGTTAAAAATAAAAACGCTCTCTGATCCTTCGGTCCGTTCGGCGTTATTATTCCTGGATGGTTCGGAGAGCACAGTCAGGAACATCAGGCTCACTTCAGCGGGATTATCAGTCCCTCTGTACCCCTCCTCTGCTCTCATGTGCATCATGACTCTTCAGTAAAGCAGGATTATTTATTTCACAAACCGGTTTATCGAGGGTTTGATGGCGAGGACCGTTAACGGACTCTCCCCTTCGAGGGTTTACATTTCATCGACATACCTCAGAGTTTTGTCGAAGGCCTGGCTGATGAGTTTCTGGGTGAGGAGCTCAGCGACGTCCGCCCAGTCCATCTGAGCGTCTACAGGACCAACATATGGAGGGCCGGCGGTCTGGTTTCGATTTGACGGCGCCAGTTGCGTGTCACAGCTTGCTGCGTTCACCTTTGGTTTCCGATGGCTGACGAATCCGACGAGGTAACCTGAGACACAAACAACAGAGACAGAAGAGTCAACAAACCGGCAAGTATTTTCCAGGATATGAAGCTGTCAGAGCAAACGTGGTTTTCATTCGTCAAATTAAACTTCTGCTGAGGTCCCGTTTAAAGCTCCAGTGAGGAACTGTCGGTCTGAGTTTGTTTTGGCGCCCCCTGTGGACAGACAGAGCAGTCTTTGCTTGTCTAGTACCTCTGGTATCGAAGTTACTTTGAGGGAGAAATCAGTAAATGATATTTCACGTTTGTAGGGTGTGGCCTACCAAAGAGGAAGATAGAGAGGGTTCCCAGGATCAGGTAGCAAAGAGATCGTCGGCTCTGATACGGAGGAGCTGGTCTGAAGCTCGGAGAACCTTCTGCCGGTCCTTCCTCCACCTCTGTACCATCATCGGACAGTTTGACCTCCACGTGTCTTTCTCTGTCTTCTGCAGGCTGCAGCGTGAACCTGCTGTACCGCTCACTTCCCAGCTGGAGAGAGAAGATCAGAGTGAAAACCACGAAAGAAGAACATGACTCCTCCGGAGGCACGTGAAGCAGCACGCCGTCTAAGTAGATATGAGACGCCGACACTCACCACGCTGTTGAACGCAGATCGAACCCGATCCATCGCTGCTGTCTGTCTGATTCTGAAAGAAGAGAGCAGGAGGGGAAAAAGAGAGAAAGTGAACTCAAACTGAAAGTGGAGGAGAGGCTGTGATCATGTCAGGACATGTTTTTATTGAGAGAAGATCATCTACAGTTATTTGTGGTTTAGTTAAAGTCATTGTGTGTTTCCGCTGTTTTCACAGAAGCAGACAGATTCAGTGAAACCGGTCTGACGGCTTTAGAAACATCATTTTATTTATCAACGGCATAGAGGATCTGTGAACATGGAAATCAAATTCAACTTTATTTTTATGGCACTTTTCATACAAATAAATGTAGTTCAAAGTGTCTCATACAGGTTAAAAACAACAATAACGACAATAAAACCCGACCCTCCCACCCACACACACACCCATGGACCCACACGCACACAAAGGCACACACCCACCCTCACACACACACACACAAAACCTTACACAGTGTGAGAATTTAAGATATATTGTTAAAGAGACACGGCCTGACACCGAGACATTACATGAGGAAAGAGCGACCTTTGGGAAACACTGGAGATAAAAGATAGAGATAAAAATGGTGAAAATGCTAAAACGTGACGGACTAAAACAAGAAAATAAAATTAAATGAACAGATAAAAGCTCTTTAACATATAAAACAGGTAAAAGAAGTAAAAACCTGTGACTGGAATTAATAAAAAGACTAAGAACAGAGATAATAAATAAAATGACATAAAATAAAAACTTCGATTAAAATGAACATTTGCAATAAGAGAAATATAAAAAGGCATTTAGTGAAAAGCCTGGTTAAAAAAGTGAGTCTTGAGCCTCTCCACCAAACACGCTCTAACATAAATACACCATGCCTCATCTCGACACCATATTTTTGACTTTATGTTGACGACTTTTTCTCGGTCCATATCTCAAATGAAATCCAGGAACCAGTTTGACCTTAAACACGAGACGGATAATACCCAGAAAACATGATCTCTGTGTTTCCACATCAGAACAACACCACCTTTTGTTGACACCTTCAGCTTTGTTTCGGTTATAAACACGTCAGACTGAGACTGAGAGAGCGCTGAAGACCAGGAAACCGACCAAAAAAACGGCAAGGTGTTTGTGTTATCTAAGGTCATATTTTCAGGTCATGTTCCTAAAAGATAAGAACCAAAATAACCAGAATATGGCCGACCGTAAATTAAACCACTTCCTCATGACTGAGCCGTCGACAGGCAGTTTCACAAGAATCAAAACACTGAACTGAAATGCAAATCTAATGCAAGTATCAAAGATTAGAGTTTTTGTTTGTTGCTGCACAAACTTCACATAAAATAAAGCGGAAAAAAAATCACGAAATGGCAGAAAAAAATGATGCTAAATGCAGAAAAACATCTCTGCCTTCAAGCTGCAAGTTTGATGCAAAAAGGAAAAAATTACATTTTAAGTCATTAGAATAAAAATTTATATTAGTGAGCAGCCTGTTTTCAACCTGAATCTGCAGATAAATCTTTAAGGTCCTTTCACACTGGGACCGTTTTTGTCGTGCGATTATTTCAGACGTCAATATTTTTTTCGAACCCGTATCCTGTCAATACAAGCGTTCACATCAGCGACGAAAATGTGCAAAAATAAGTTTGTCAGACTTATTATGTCCTGTTCGATTTAATCAACCCAACACTTGATCTTCATCATTTTCATGATATATAAGGAAGAATTTTGGCTTTTTGCAGGTTTTAAGTACATCCTAATCTGCAAATCACAAAAGATAAATAACTCAGACATTTGATTTAACTTTAAAATATCAGAATATGATGATTAACACATATAAGACTACGCTAAATACAAATGCACTCATCATTAAATTACATGTATCAGTTCAGATATCACTATCAGGACAAAGTAAGTCAGGAAATTTCACACAAATTTAAGAATTAAGAGCAAAAGCATCACGAAAAAATAACAGTTTTAAAGGAGAATAATGTCCATTAAAATCCAGCATCATTGCAGCTCAGTGACTAATCTGTTGGGTCATGCAAATCTGCAAAAACATCAAATTAAAGTCAATAATGAGAGTAAAAACCTGCTTAGTCATTTTCAGTGAAGCTGTTTTCTTTCTGTGTATTAAATACAAACAGATGGAGACAGTCAGGGTGTGGTTGTTGGTCTAAAATAACCCTGTCTGTACAAGTTAACACTTTTCGAAAACGACAACTCCCTTTAATTCACATTAATAATGATTTTTTACAGCTGTTTATACATTTACTTTTCTTTTTTGAGAATGTAAAATGATGTTTTTACCAAGAGAAGCGTTTGTGTATTTAATAGCGATAGGATTAACTGAATATGCCACATTAAAACCACATATTTAACCAATATTTAGGATTAAAAACACAGAAAAAAGCCGCTCTCGCTCTCTCTCTCTGGTGTGACATCTGCAGCATCCCTGATGTCTAAGCTAGTTAGCGGCAGATTTAATTAGCGGAATGTCCCTTTAGCAGAGAGGAGACTTACATAACAGGAGATTTACTTAGACATTAACTTCCTTTTGTAAATTATTCATCAATAAAACAGTTTTTTTTTACTTTTAACCAGCTCACCTTTCCTCCCCGCTCCTTCTGTGATTACTGCTCAGCGGTGTCCTGTCCTTACGAGGGGGTGAGAGACGCTTCCGCCTACGTCATCCTGCCCTCAGTCACGTACACATTCTTAAAGGGGCCGCTACCGCTGCTGGCGGGAGTAGTGATGGGCACGGCAGTTCTTTTAGATGTACTGAATCACTCGAATCAGTTCACGAAAAAGATTCGTTCAAAAGATTCGAGAAGCCTGCGACTCCGACCTCCTGAACTGATACACAGATGAGCAGTTCAGGTGTCAGTTCAGATCAGAGCTTCTGTGACCAGGAGACAAGAGTGTTTGATGCGTTGCTTTGGCAAACATGTTTATGAAAATGAACTTGTTCATAAGTCATGATGTTTTAAGTGTACTGTCCTATGGTATGCTATTTATCAGGTCTGCTTGGGTCAGTGGGTGATTCGTTCACTGAAAGTTTAGAAGAATTCACGCTGAACATGAACCGTTACCTCGCAAACCGCTGCAATGATAGGATGCTGTTACATGCTGTGTCCTATTGTATGAAAGCTGTGGTGACAATTAAGCAGTGAAAAAAAGGTGGTTTTGTCCAACAAAAATGATTCCAGAGAGTGTAGTTCAATGCGTGATTCGTTCACCAAGTGATTCAGGCGTTGGTGCATGTGGTCCCTCATTCAGCTGCTGGCCTGGCAATGCTGTTTCTCACTTCAGCTTAACTGAAGTGAGAAACGAACAAATCACTCAAGGAAGTGATTTTGTTAGTACGTTCACTTAAAAGATTCAGTTCTTTTGAACGAATCCTTGGTGAATGACGTAACACTAGCTGGAACATCCTGAGCACATGCACTCATATTTTTTTGGATATTGATAAATGGAGATACTGATTGGAGGAAAATTTGGTTTGTTGGGGATAAGTTTTGCTTAAATCATAAAATTAAAGAGGTTTTACAGTGGCCGAGAACCGCCACTGCTGCAAATAAAGAAAGAATGCAAAAAAAAAGAAGTCATAACGGAAGTTACTAATGGAAAAAAAAGAAACCGAAGCCCGCTGCAACTAAAAAAGAAACAGTGCAGATAAAAAAAGCCACAACAGAAGTTAACAACGCAAAAAAAGTGGCGATGCAAAAAAACAAAGGTACTCATTGGGAAAATAAAAGGATGCAAATAAAAAAAAAGTCACAATGGAAGTGAGCTACACCCACATCCTCCAGTTCAACTTCATATCGACTCAGGCGCTACATGTTCTAACCAAATGACAGACTGAAAAGTTTACGAAGTGAAATTAAGCAATAACCTTTCCACTTACTTCTTTGTTCGTCTACTCGCCATCGTCTTCTGTGTCTCAATCGTAATAAAACACTGGTGTGTCATCATTTTTGGTCTCCGGCAGTTCACTTCCGTTGTTGCTTTTTTTATTTGCATCCTTTTATTTTTGCAGTAACTTTTTTTTTTTGCATCACCCCTTTTTTGCGTAATGTTTCTCTTTCTTTTTTACCTGCACCGTTTCTTTTTTTTTTTTTTTTGCAGCTGTGGCGGTTCTCGGCCACCGTACAGAAGTTTTGCTTGAATAACATAATTAAGGAGGTTTTGTTTAAAACAATGCATAGAATAAATCCAGCAAAGAAAATCCTACAGAGATTCAACCTCGATAAGTACACATACACAAGACAAAAATGGACTGACTCTAAACCCAGCTTTGACCACTTTCTAAATGAACTGAAGCAAAACGGCAATACTGTTATTAACGGACTTCAGAGCAAGAAGGCTCTGAAAACAGTTGTTGTTCTGTTTTGGACGAATACTATAAGGATCGTTGATCGTCTGGACGACTTATCTTTTCTCTCACCTCTTACCTGGTATTTATTTTCTTACTAGTTTTCTTTTTGTTTGTCTGTTTTTGTTGTTGATGTTTGTTTGTTTTATTCTTCATGCCCCGTAAAACATCAATGGTATATTGTAAGGTGTATTAATGACAATAAAAATAAATAAATAAATAAATAAATTAAAAAAAAAAAAAAAGAGCTGTACCAGGAAGTCGGGATTTCCGAGCTCCGAGTCGGAAATTCATCCGGAAGTCCCCTGGAAGTCGGATTACGGACTCGGAAAGTCGAACGATCCTCACAGAACCCGATTTAACCATAGACATAATAAAAGATAGACCCCGCATCGGCCGCTACCACGAATGGGCGCTGTCGAGAAACGCGGCCGCCATCTTGGTCCGGTCATCCGCCTCACTCTGCACCGCTGTTTAACCGGCGGAATGAAGTCTGAGCGCATTAAATGAATCATAGTTCGCTCAATACTACGTAATTTTCTTCTCTGCAAACGCCATTCAAAGAGGCATGATAGAGGCCATATTTTTTTTGGCGTTTTCAAATACTCAGAATGAATAAAATGATATATTAGAACATGGCAGCAGTGGCTGTAGTATAGTATAACAATTAATCAAGGATCTATCTAGGTTTAGAGATAGGTTCCTGCTATGTCTCAATAATTATTAATAACTTGCGGTTTTAATAGGCTAATTCAATATATATTGATTTGATTATATTTTATTTAGTTTAATTTTATTTATCCATTTGTAGACACACACAAATAATGTCATATAGAAGCACTATTTTAATAACAGGAAAATACACACAAAGAAATACACACAAATATATAGCCTACATATCAAAAAAATTTAAACACAAGAACAGCATGACAGGATAGCACCTAAACTACATAACAATTTGCTCAAGTCTGTCCTTGAGCTCTTCATTAATGAGATTCTTTTCACATAATTGTGATAGAAGACTCTTCACGGTTGTCTTCGCCCTCTTTTCACGTGCCTTGGCATTCTTTTTTTCTCGCTCCAATTTATCGACTCTTTCCAAAGCTCCGGTGAGTCTGGCCTTTAAAGCGGTTGGGGAGGAAGGCATTACATAGCTGTGATCCTAGGAAAAGGAGAGATGAGCATTGTTTGAGTTATGTTTTACTAGCTGTATCACACAGATGGGCTCACATTATTTCTAAAAGTCATCAGTTGTCAAATCCGCTACCAGTCTCTAAAACCATCATGACATGCTTATGGGTAAAATTGAAATACTCACATCTTCAGGCTGAGATTCAGAATGTGAGGTTGAGGCCACTGAGTTATCCTGAGGAGTCTCAGACAGGCTCGCCTCAGATTTTCTGGAGGCAGATGTGTTCCTGCTTTTTTCTGGCTAAAATGAAGAGGAAAAGTGGCAAGAACCACCATTAAGTCCTTCACTATCTCTTTCAACGGGGTGAGGCTTTGGAACAAACTAGATAATGAAATAAAATTGTCTGATACCCTGGGTGTTTTATAAACCACCCAACATGCCTGAAATGAAATAAAAAAATAAAAATAAAGACAAGACAGAAAGACATAGGTAGGTAGGTAGGTAGGTAGGTAGGTAGATAGATAGATAGATAGATAGATAGATAGATAGATAGATAGATAGATAGATAGATAGATAGAGAGGGAATCACCATAAGTAATTCATGCCATGTAATCAATAGAATAAAACAACTTTATTGTGATGCACCTACTCTTTGGAGGTGACCTGGAAACTTGAAGACGGACGGAATAACGCCATCTCGGATGCGGACAACCTGTCCCGTCCTGTCAAAGTCTGCCTCCTTAAAATGTTGGCTGCAGAGCACAGAGGAATCCCTTGCTGTGAATTTCTCCCTCCTTACAGCAATCTCCCACTTCTTCCTCAAATTTTTGTCCTTAGGAAATCTTCAAAATGAAACAGGAGATCACCACAAAGAAATCTTTAATAAAACAGATAACAGAGCTCACTTTCTTCCTTCTTCTTTCTATTTTATTTCTTAACGTTTCTTAGAACCTCTCTCAAACAAAAGTTTTTCAATCTAATGCAAATCTGTTGATAATGGAGCAAAGTTGCTATTATGGTGAATAAGCTAACTGTTAGCAAATGCTGTTTCGTTTTTGAAGTTGACCGATAGTCTTCCTCTTTGGCCTACAAATGACTCTACAGTCAAGTGTAATGTTGAAAAAAATGTTTAATCCTACCTGTGAAAAGTTATTCCTCTAGCCCTGCTCTCTGCTGTCCGCCTGGTGGCACAGGAATACGCCGCACAGTGCTCCGGCATCGCTGAATGACTGATGAATGAATATGATTGACCGGAGCGTATGGGAAGCTTGACCTGACCAAGATGGCGGCCGCATTTCTCGCCGCGCAGCACCCCCAGCGGGGTCTATCCTTTATTATGTCTATGGATTTAACGACATAATCCAAGATGGCAGCGCAGAGTATCAACGCTAAAAAACAAAAGTAAGTGGTTTATGTTGTTCTGCCCACCGACTAACAACGGCTAACGACAGCTAACAATTGTTAACCATAGATATATAAAAGGAAGGCTAGATGACTCGAGGCGGAGCACCAGCGTCCCTACACGGCGGCCATCTTACTCCAGTATACCAATCCAGTGAGGAGGTGAGTAATCTACATGATCAAAAATACTCTTAACTTGCTGAAATCATGACAGATTTACAAACATTTTCGTTTATTACAGACTTAAATAACGAGGCTATGAGTCAGGAAGCTTGGACAAATTAAAATGGCAGATTTACTTTGAGAAAAAAAAGACTTAATCACGAAGCACAGTTGTTTCACAGCTATTTGCCCTCGAGGGCTAATTTTGAGTCGCTTTGCGCGAGTTGTCAAGGTTGAGACCAAAATCGAGATTTTAATTTCTTTTATGACAGCCTATATTTTATTTATTTAGTCTAAGTGACAGTCTAAGGAGTCAGATAAACAAGAACAATGCGGTCCCCTGCTCTGCTTACATGTCCAGGTTTCTGGGATCCATGGTTAATTCTTCTTTATTTTAGACAGATGTTCTACATTCATTGAAAGGGAGTCGAGCAGACAATGCTAATTTGATCCAAACGGGGTTATTATCTGATTTACCTCAATTGAAACTACTATTATCATTCTTAAAGAGTTAAGAATCCGACTCTATTTCTCTTCTGTTTCTTTCTCTTTGGTGTACTTTATTTTTATATTCCTCTTTTCTCGGGACAGTTACAATTTAGAGAGGAGAAAACTTCATCTTCATTTCAGGCCCATTGAGGCCCTGTCTTCCTCCATTAGGTCCCTGAGTAGTCAGACCCTCTTTTCCCCATAATGAAACCCTCATAACCAGTGAGGAAATGACAGGAGGTGTTGCTGATGAGAGCCATGAAGGGGTTAAGAGACAGCAGATATAAAAAAGTTGACAGCACCCCTCAGTCTTTCCAACATGCTCCAGTGGTTCTGGACAGGCTGAGCAAAGGATTAGATAAAACCAGGAAGTGAAACACATGGGTGCTAAACAAGTCAACTAAGTTTAAAACTTGAACTCTAACATTACAGCTTTATGTTTCTGCTAACTGACAGAGAAAGTACCTGTTCCCTCAAACCTCCTCATGGCACTGAGATGAGTGGTACAGGCTGTGCTCTCCTGATCGACTCAGACGCTCAGAAATGCTGCTCAGTGGGTGGAGTCGGAGACAACAGTCACTTGGAGCTGACCTTTCCAGTTCCTCCTGGTAAGATGACTTTGACTTAAGCCTAATCCTGTTTGCTTTACTGTACCGTCACAGCGCTAACCTGTACCACATAAGGGCAGAGAGGCCAGGGTTGAGCTCTGTTGGCACATGCCCAGCCAGCAGAAGTCAATGAAACATACACTCTATGAGTTATACTGCATTCCCCTATATGAAATATCTGCGCATACGAGGTGATAAACTGCTACGCTTCTGTATGGACTTGAAATGAAACCCATTAGAAATTTAAACTATTTCCTATCTTCACATTAATGTGTGGCCTGTACAGGCTTTACGTATTTTCAACATATATAAACAAAACATATAATATCAAATACTTTTAATGCAGATACAGATTATATCTATGTTTATTTTTTAATTAATGTCAATGTGAAACACATACTGGTGTTCTATATATGTTTTAAACTTACATCTTTAAACAGAACCAGAGAAAGTATTAATGTATTTACCATCTATGCAACACTCAAGGCAACATCACTGGTTATTTATGTCATATATTAGATTTCTAGATGGGTGGATTATGTCACTTTTTAACAGAGGGTGTTCTTTATTTCAGTAGATGGTAAAACATATATATGTATATTATAAATTACCAATATTTTGATGTTAAAGCTCCTGTGAGGAACTTCTGCGCCAAATTGAACAGTCAGCTGTGGAGCTTTGGCGTCAAATTTAGCGCCCCCTGCTGACAAAACAGTTTTTACTTTTTGTCCTTTACTCGCTACAGATCCAGACATAGTCAACATTAGTGCTTTACTCAGTGCGTTTACATGCACAGCTTAGTCGGACTGAGCTCATAAATCGTTTTTTCGCTGAATGGAACTTTGAATTACCGATGTGAACGTGTCCTCCTACCCAACACTAGGGGGCGATATGGGTCTTTTCAGCGGCGCTGTTTCCAATCCCATACAACCGTCAACAACAACAGCAGGTCGGTGTCAGACGTCAGAAGTGTCTACAACTGCTGCTGGACATTTTGGAGAAACAAGAAGATGGAGCATCGTACAGCGTTGTTTTTGTCCGACATGATGGACGCGCTACTTTTTCTGCAGGTGAGACGAACGCTACTCCTCTACTCTGGTGTTTACGGGGGCGTGGCGCAGGCGTAGGTGCACATACATTGTCCGATCATACTCCGACTACGCTGGTTACATGGTAGAGAAAATCGAACTCCAATCGCGTTATCTGGGTGTCTTAATCGGAGTTCTCAGACTCTGATTATAGTCGGACTAACTTCAGTTGTCCGGTCATAATCGGGGTAAGGCGATAATTCGGTTTTCTTGAGTGTCATGTAAACGTACTGACTGTTTGGTAGCCTTGAGACTTCTTATTTGTTGACATGATCATTCCTGGACAAAGTGGGGATAACATTTTTCTAGTATTCATAATTAGACGTTGCAGTCGTACCAAACTCAGCCTAAGGTGGCGCTGATAGTCGTGAGGCACAGACTGGCATAATGTGACCAATTTGCAGAGCGTCTCACCAGCCCCCTCTGCTGGCCCCTTGTGGTTTAAATGGAGGAGTCTTCTCAGTCAAACCAGCACTTCCTTAAGTCTGTTTACCTCAGAGTACGCCTTCGTTTTATTTAAATGCATGATTATGATCTAAAAGAGTAACAGAGCGGTGCTGCTGGACTGTCCGCTCTCTGTTTATCAGCTGAAGTCCAACAGATTTTCAACATTTAATCATGAATTAATCATGTACCTAGCTAATCCTTTTCATTTCCTCTGATTTTATTTGTCATATTTGAGCTGTTATCCACTCCTCTTTGACGACAAACATCACCTGAAGTCACGTACAACCGAGCGGAACACGCTGCACAACACTGCTCTATATTTACAGACAGTACAGGAGACACTGCTACTGTTTTCAGACAATAATCCCCACAGAATGGCACCGATACACGTGAAACCACATCCTGCGGGGGAAGAGATTTACAGTAACACGATCTCATTCCACAGTGGCCTCACAGATGGTTTCTTGACAGTCATCTGTTGCTGCAAACTGTTGCAGAGCTGACTCTTGAATGTGGAGAATGTGCGTTCACTGTAAATGCATAAAGTCAGCAAGTGAAGCTGAGATTTACATGTAGGTTTAAAAGATGAGAAAGTGCTGAGGGAAAGACATAGAGGGTCTTAAATCTCTTTATAACCCAGATTTGTATTTTATTTAATCTTTTCTCTTTAAGATTTACTGTCTAAAGAGAAAAATGATCGAGTCGTAGCTGCGAATATGAGCCTTTTGTGTGCCTGAAGGATCAGCAGGGTGTGTTAAGGCTTTGATTTCTGCGAGCTGCAAGAAAAATATGACAGTTATGTGCACTTGAATCAATGTGACTGTTACTGCAAGTCATTACTAGTCTCTGAATGTATTTTCCCTTTCTTAGAAAAAGGCTTTAAAATCTATGAACGCTCCGTCTCAGATTATATTTTTGAGGAGTATATCTCTTTTCTGTGATTCTGGGGTCAAAGTCAAGTTATTTGATTTTCAATTCTATGAATAAAATGTGTTTTCATCAGAATTTAATCATTTGAACAGCGTATAAAAGCCCATTTCATGTCGTGTGTTAAAAGGCTTCAATACAGTTTTAACTTGGTGCTCTCTGCAGAAACACAGGTGTGTATTTACTGGGTTCAGATTTTGTCTCAGGAGGAGAATCATTTTTTATTAGCGACAGTGACTCCTGCTTTATTCCTAACTTAAACAGAACTGTTTAATTAATTTGTTAATTTTTACACAATAAAAACAAGACAACAAAGAGCAATAAATGCTAAAACACTGTGCAGAGGAGGAAGGAAGTCCAGAAAACCTTATGAAGAGGAATGAAGTGTTTATATTCTTATGAAACAACAAGAACCACTAAACTTGAATGATTTCCCACGGCTGTGTTTTAAGTTAAACCCAGAAGCAGGCCGGAGGCAACAGGAAGTGTTTAAAGATTTATGTGAAGTGCAGGTTGGGAGGGGAATGAGGTCCTAGATCCACTGTGTGAGCTCCGCGATGAGGCGAGGGTGAGGAGGCAGGTGAGTGATCTGGAGAGCGAGTCAGGCACTAGAGGGAAGAGGAGGAGAACAAGAGTTAGAAACAGGTACAGCACACATTCACGAGAATGAGTCTCAAAATCAGGATACTCAAAACTGGCTGAGATAACACAGGAGGTGTGGGAATAATCTGACATCCAGGCTGAGCTGATTGCAGGTGATGAGGTTCAGGTGTGTCGGTGCAGGAGGAGCCGCCCAACCTTGAGAAAACTCCACACAGACCACAAAACTCACTCACTGATGCCACCAAGTGACAAAAACTTTATAATGTAAGTAAACTTTCCACTTTTCAGTTTGATTCTCTCACATTGAAATTATGTTTATGTATTTGAGGGAGAGTTTGTTCCTCTAAAACCATCCAAAAAACAGATGACAGCTCTGCTTTTGCTTTCCTAACCAGTGAATAAGACGAGTGTCTTCAGTAAATGATGAAGTTATTGCATATTCACAGAGATTGGAGAGATGTCAGAAAACAATAGCGGTCCGAGGATGGATCCCTGAGGTACCCCCCGTGCGTTCGCTTGACTCTAACTGAGGTACGTGTTGTTTTCTGTTATTTCACAGTTCAGAGAGAGTTTCCTGATCGTCGAACCCTGAAAAACTGTCATGAACAATAATGTCTGTGGTCTTTTTTTGTTCTGGAGAAACCACATCCATGGCTGCACAGTCTGGTACTCTCATCCAGATGTGTTTTTTTAATTCTTAAATATCCTAATTTTTTAAAGATTGAAAAAAACAAGGCAACATAGAAACTTTGGATACTTTAAAGTTATTAGGTACAACAGCAGACTAAAGAGTGTAATAAACACGGGTTAGGGGCCTCTACATTTTAAAATTTTTTATTTTATTTTCAGAATTTACAAAGAACCAAATATCATTTTAATTCAAATAAGGTAGAAAATGACAAGAAAATGATAAAACATGAGGAAAAAAAACAAAAAGAAGGGTAAACAAAGAAAACCCCAGCAGCAACAACAATGTGTCGTTGATTAAAGAAATATGTGTCCTTTTATTCATTAAAAAAACAAGTATTTTTTATGATTAACTCAGTCTGGGACCCCCTTAACCACCCTCTGTATAGTTTCACTTCGACCTTTAGGCAAGTAATCCATAAGGGGCCGCCATGTTTCCTTAAAGATATCAACATTCTCTTTTAATTTGGTAGTGATGTGTCATTCGCGAACAATTCGTTCAAAAGAACCGAATCTTTTAAGTGAATGTACTGAACCGAATCACTTGGGGAAGAGATTTGGTTGTTTCTCACTTCACTTGAGCTGAAGTGAGAAACAGCATTGCCAGGCCAGCATCTGGAGAACAAGGGACCTATAAACAAGTTCATTTTTACAAACCTGTTTGTCAAAGTAACACAGACAAACACTCTCGTCTCCTGGTCTCAGAAGCTCTGATCTGAACTGAATCCTGAATCGTTCAGCTGTGAATCAGTTTAAAAGGTCGGGGTCGCAGGTTTCTCCCGCCAAACGCTAAATGAATCTTTTGAACGAATCTTTTTAGTGAACTGATTCTAGTGATTCAGTACATGTAAAAGAACTGCCGTGTCCATCACTATCATCCGGCACTTAGTAAAAGCTCTAAGAATTTCTTTGTACCACTGAGTCACAGTGGAGGTTTGTCGCTCGTCCAATTAAATAGTTTTCATTTTCTGTCCAAAAATAAGAGTTTATTCAGTAATTTTGATCTTCTCACATCCATAAATCTCCTTGTAGAAACTGGTCTGGATCTTTACAGATCTTGTTTTGGACTCCACATTTTAATAAGCGTAATGAAACAGAATCTTTAATGTCCGGTACGGTGTCGTGCACATCTCTAAAAACCATTAAAAAGTGTTACACAGTTCAAGACTCTTGTTTAGTTCATGTTTTGCACAATCTGATTTTTCACACTGACGTATGACTCCCAATAATAAGAGAACAGAAGGCTCATCAGGCCCCCTCCTCCTACATTTTCATGCAGTCTCCAAAAATACTCAGACGCAGCGCTGCAGATGCTATCAAACTACAAATGTGTGAAAAGGAAGGATGGAGGTGTTGGAAATAGTGTCTCTGAGCTTGTGAGACATCTTACCGTGTGTGTGGTTGTGAGTGCCCACATGAGCTGGAGGTGGTAAAATTTAATTGGAGCCCGGCACATCATGTAATAGCAGCTCTGTCCCAGCTGGTGTCACCTAAGTGCTGTGTGTTAAAATTACCTCTCATCTCTGGAGAGGGAGAAGAAACCTCCATATCTGGGTGAGGGAACAAAGTGTGTCTCTGAAGAGGAGCTCATACAGCAACAAAAGCCCCCGTGTGATGGAGTTTGAGTGTGTTCGACAGCCTCATGCTACAGCTCTGCATCGTGTTCACATTTCACTGCAGATTCTTGAGCGTCTCACTGTCACTCCCTGTTTGTGTTGGCTGTATAAAGACAGAAACATTGGTGACAGGATGGTCCCTCAATAAGAGCATCTGTTTCCACTTAAACTGAACAGAGCATCAAAGAGATAGCTTTTTTTAGGAGTGTTACAATTCAGAGAAATTACCCATAAGGCTTACGTTATTCTCCGAATATACGAAATCTGGGTGCAAGATGGTTTCTATAATGAGTTTAGGAAGGCAGATGTTACACCGAATGCTAAGATTAGCTAACATTAGCAGCTGTTTGTGTTTAGTCATCCTCAGCAGTCAGAATAATGAGACACTGAGACAAATTATGAGTATTTTTAATGGCTGTCGGTCTGAAAAGGAGGTTAATTGAGGTTAGAATGGCGTAACACCCTCCAGACCATTTTGACGTCATCTTACCTGCAGATTCTGTGATTCTGTGATTCACCAAAGTGAACCGTTCGACTGTTTTATTCATGTTTTGGGGTGGCCAGGGGTGCCATGTTCCCGAACTTCAGATGTAAACACAAAATCCCTAATTATGATTGGTCATACACTTTGTCAGAGGCGGGACTTGAGTTTAAAGGTGGGGTCGGCAGGAATCTGTTAAAGAAGCATCTTTCTTTGTGGTTTTTATACAAAAATCTTCTAATATCAGTCAATAGTTATTAGTTATTGATGACATTTGGTAATATATCGATATCTCTGTGTTCTCTTATGTCTGTGTAGTCAACATTTGAACATTTCAGAACGTCCCGCTCTTTCTGACTGTAAACAAAGCCGTTCTCCACCTCCTCTAACCTGATTGGTTGCCTTGTCCGAATGTAAGGCAAGCACTAAAATAACTTTCGTAGATGTAGCCATCTTGTTTCCGCTTCCGATTTTGCTTTTTTCCGACTTGGTCACTGAAAATGCCGGTAATTCGGGTGTGACGCCATTTTCAGCTTGGACTTCTGACTTCCGAGGAAACTCGATCGCAGCAACGCTGTTCGAGCCGAGCGTCTTCACAGCTCACAACGCTACTGCGCAAATGGAGGAAATCCCGAAAATACCGAGAGCAATTCAGCTTCAAATTTGTACAAAGATTTTTTTTTTCTTGAAAAATATTCAACAATTTACAAAACTCTCAATGGGAAACAAGTGCATTTTAGATGTACCTCTTACTTTTTACTAAATGCGTACAAAGATGAAAAGCGGAACCATGTTGTCCAGAGTATTTATACAGTCTATGGTAGTCTGTGCTTTTTAAATTCATCCAAACATCAGAGGATGAGCAGATATAAAATCTTAGAGGATATATTCACAACCTCAGGATCTGTCTGCACAGGTATCTGTACTCACTGATGAAGTATGAATGATACTTCTGCTCTCACGGAGGAGTGATTTTCAATGAGAACTGAGACTTTTTGAAGCAACAACAACAAACTGATTTACACATTCAAGTCAAGGTCTCTTGAGTTTCATCTCTGTTGCGTCAGAAATACCTGAGATGAATTGACAAAATGACGGAGTGACTCTCTGCGGTCATATGAATGTCGTTCTCCTGACTGTGCTGTAATTAATCAGATCAGATCATCTCTATTGTCTTCTCAGCAGCTCATTATGTCACTGTAGTCGGGCCTGAGTGACAGATGATTGTGAAAAATGAAATCTAAATTCCTCATCTCTCTCTCTTTCTTTCTCTCTTTCTCTCTCTCTCTCTGTGTGCGGCCGCTGCATCATTTCATCGCCCTCTTCTTTCTGCTGCTGCCAGCACATTCTCCCCTGCATGGAGTTTGATCCAGAGGGAACAACAACACTGCAGGGCCGAGCCAGGTTTGTGTGTGTGTGTGTGTGTGTATATATGTGTGTGTGTGATCAAAAGTGTGTGTTTCTGTAAAACGACAGTTTAAGGAGGACTTTATGAAGCGATGAAACCACTTCTTCTTCAGTGGAAGTGTTTCAGCTCTGGGCAGGACTTGGGTATACGTTCTATTTCTATTTATTTTTCAAAATGGGAACAGTAAATATTGATGAACATTTACATGTAAATATGTGAGATTACAGCCAGATTGGCAGGTTGATGTTAAACATAAAAGCAATAAAGTTAAAAGTACAAACAACACGACTAAGACAGTAAAACACTGACAATATATACAAAAAATACAGAAACAACGTACAAAGACCAAAAACGAAGTGACCGATAGTAAGGGGACCAAAAAGTGCTGAAGTGCTCATTAGAGTGTCAGGTGCTAAAGATGTTTAAAGGACCATTTACTACAGTACAGCTAATTACCGCGAGATTTAGGAGGCACAGGTGCGAGGCTCTGGTCTTACAGATGGTGCCTTCAAGTGCAGCAGGAAATATTAAACTTCTCAATTCAAGTTATTAAAAAAAAATAGATATTCCTGTTTACTTTTAAGGTTTAAACATTAAACAGTCAAATAAGAACCTTATCAATCAATGCATGTTTTAATTTAAAGGACTTTTTATTGGACTGTGGTTTCGTCCTTTTTTCCACTTTGAGCAAAAACTGCCTTTTATTTATTTATTTATATATAAACTAGTCACATAGGTGTTTGGAACTACATGAGTGGCCACTTGTGTGAAGAAGACGAGAGGTTTTTTTCTAGGAGATGTTTTAGATGTTAAAAATTTGACCTTCTTGTTGGATGTACTTATCATGACTCACTGCAGCTTCTTGTCCTTGAAGGCCACCATATTTTTACTGATGAGAGGGGTGAGCGAGGGAGCTGAAAGCTAAGATACTGTAGACTGTTTATTAGAAAGTTGTGTTTATGAAATCTCATGTAAGGATCTTTAGCTGGTGTTGGTTTCGGCGCCCCCTGTGGACAGAATTCTCATTGAAGGTGGTTTTTAATGGACAAATATGTCTGGACATGCATTTTGGCAGTTATCCTGGATGTTTGAGGAGCTAGATATAGACGAGAACACTGTTTCCTTTAACAACCTAAAGGGGTATTTTGGCCTAAAATTAAGTGAGGGACAAATACACCGAGTTAGACCCCCCCCTCCAGAGATGAATGTTGCCGACCGCTTGCTTCTCTAGTTATACCAACTTTAGTAACAATGGCAGGATAGAAATACAGAGAGCCACGCCCTCAACCAAAACGCCACTCTATAGCCACAAATAATGCTCAGAACAGCACCTAACTTCATCAACAGGACATATAGGGTCACAGACATAGTACTAGACACCAAACATCTTTTTAACTTTGACTCATTTCTTTAGCAAAGAGACTAAACACAACTCACCTACTCTCTTCCAGCAGCCGCTTGTTTGTAGTGAGACCTCAGGCCAGTTCCATTACAGACTACAGCGGGGTGTCGCAGCTCAAGGAAGAACATTTATGATCATTTCTTCATGGAAATACAATCAGACCGAGACGCTAAGACAGAAGAACTACAGAGTCTGCAGAGAAAATGATTAATATGAATGATGGGAAATGATGAAGAAATGATCATAAATCAACGAGAGCACAGAAACTAACTACACGTAAAGTCTCGGCTAAATTTGTCTTCAACAGAATTACCAATAAAGGAAAATATGTCAAGATGCCATAATATTTAAAATTCATGACATGTCCCTAAAATCTACAAACAGCCAAAAACAAGTTAGATAAACACTAATCAGAGTTTAGGAGTTTTTATGTAGCATAAAAAGTGGCCTATCAGATTTTAAGAAGGGCCCATGCCACCCCTGGTTGCCCCTTTCGACACACCCCTGCTAATAGAACATCAAATACTTCAACTTTTTATGTTTTAAGAAATAAACAAAGAAAAATATACAAAATTAATTAATACTCTGTGTTGCAGTAACTCTTGTGTTGGGTCAGTAAAATAATCTGAGAGATCAAATGCTGCCTCACACCGAATATCTCTGCCACCATCTGTTTTGGGTGCAGCAATTTGCGTGACACCCTCTGATGAAAACGCAGATTGGTGGAGCTGGAATTTACGAGGGTCACACGAAGGCACCACGAGAGAGAGAGAGAGAGAGAGAGAGAGAGAGAGAGAGAGATTTGTTCATCAGCGCTTTTCCGTTTTCTGGGTATAGTCGCTCTGCCTCCTCTGTCGTGTCACCGGAGAGAGAGAGAGAGCAAAGAGGAAGGAATATGGTTTCATCTGACGCTCCTCCCGTTTCAGCGCGGCTCTAGCGGATCTGTAGCGCGAGCAGGAGGTCCAAACCCCCCTCTATACCTGGAACAACCACCTTCCCCGTTCGCCGACCAGCCTGCAGGAGCTCGACCAGCACACCGGGAGACATAAATGGGTGAGATGTGACGCTCGTTTCTGCTTCTGGGCTGAAGAAAGCCCAAAAATAGCCTCCAGCTCCTCTGCGCATCTGGATGGGCAGGAATAGACGCCCGGTCCAGATGCGCGCTGGGTTCAACCTCTCTCCTTCCTTCCTTCCTTGCTCCCTTCCCTCCTCTCCTCTCACCTCTCCTGACGTCTCCTCTTCAGACGTAACCGAGCTGTTTGGAAGTAACCGCGCAGGCTTTGGCGTTTCACTCAAGATTAGAAAGCCGCGCTCATGTGTGTGTGTGTGTGTGAGTGGGTGTGTGTATGTATGTGTGTGTGTGTGTGCAGCAGTGAGACCGTGCGGGTGCGATTCTGGGGGAAGCAGCGGGTCACATTGATGGGTTGCAGATGTTGACACGTTTACATTCACTCTGTGTGTCTTTCAGCCCATTGTGTTGCTCTGTGTTTGACTCCCTCCAGCTTCCCGTCTCAGTGTGGATGAAACAGGCCCTGCTCTCATGACATTCCTCCTCCTCCTCTTCCTCCTCCTCTTCCTCCTCCCATCGTCTCTCTCGTGTTTCCCACAGCACTGCGCTGTTGCTCACATTGCACGGGATTTAATTGTTTGCAGGTTTGGTTGCACGAGTTATCAATGAATGCAGCGGGTTATCTCAGGGGTGATACTTCCCTTTTCTTCTCATGACACTTCTTATCTGTGAACACATTCCTCTGCAAAAAGACACTAAAGTAGGGGAGACCGGGCTTGTTGTCACATGGGTAAAGGTACTTGCACACCGAGAACAACTCAAATATACGACGCGAATTTTGACGCACCTGAGTATATGCCTGACTCTCCACAAGTTGTCCTTCAGGTCGTTATCTTTGTAATATTTGTCGTTGTCATGGTCGTTTTCTTCCACTTCCACCAGCTCCTCCGGGGGGTTTCCCAGGCGCTCCCAGGCTAGGCGAGAGATATAGTCCCTCCACCTGGTCCTGGGCCGGCCACGAGGTCTCAAAGCGTCCCCCATGGTTTATGTTGACCCGGCTTTTTAGCTCTTGTCCGGTCTACCTCCGTTTTAAGCGCCCGTTATTCCTCCAGAGTCTCCGGTATTTACTTTGTTTTCTTGCTTGTGTCGGCAGTCGTGGCCAAAGGAGGATTCAGACAATTTTCCGAACTTTCTGGTTGGTTTCTACTGTCCGATATTGTAGCACGCTAACTTTGTTTGGGCTCCTGAACGACACGGGGGAGCAGCGTCTGCCTCACAACCAATCAGGTTAGAGGAGGTGGAGAACGGCTTTGTTTACAGTCAGAAGGAGCGGACCGCACAAACATACACAAAGATAAGAGAACACAGAGATATTGTTATATTACCAAATGTCATCAATAACTAATAAATATTGACTGATATTAGAAGATTTTTTTGTAAATACACCACAAAATAAGACGCTTCTTTAACGGATTCCTGCCGACCCCACCTTTAAGTCAAATTAGTTAATTAGCAAACATGGTAGTTTCAGTCATTCTGAGGTTAGTTTTCACATGTTTAAAAGGGCTTAAAATGAACATAGAGAGTCTGTTTATCAGCAGTTGTCATACATACATTTTGACCTTATTTTTACGGAGAACAGAGCGGTTTAAAGGAGAGGAGAAAGAGAGAAGACATGGTCAAGAATTACAACGGAAAAACTGAACATGTCAGTGCCGTTCCTGACGTGATGCTGAGGACAGTCAGACTGGAGACCCTCGCTGATAAATCAATCTGGAGGACAATAAAGGACTTTAATGTCAAATACTATACCTCAGTACTGTGAAGTATTTACCCCAGCTGAAACACAGAGTCAGACAGACCTCCAAACGCCAGATCATGTTGATAATATTTTATGTTAACGTTTGTTTGATGACTTTTTCTTTAACTCGATGATAAACATTTTCATTTTCCTTGTTTTATTCGCTCTAAAATCCACTGTGACATCTGACCCCCTATAGTGAGACAACTTACCCAATGGTGGGGCAACATGTCACATGATCACACTCTATTTAAATGCTGATAACTCTGCACTGACACAAGATATGAAAATGACATGAATACGAAATACATACCTGAGACTTTGGTCTTTTATCTAGGACACATTTTGATTCCAAGAAATATGTATATGAGTGTAAAAAGTGTGACAACAAGCCCCGGTCTCCCCTCGCTCAGCTAACACAGTGAACAGTAATGTGAGTCCAATGATGAGGTGCAGGCCTCCTCCAAAATACCCATTTCTGTTTCAGTTGGTGCATACTTTCTCTTGGACATCTGCCTCTGCTGCATGTAAACAAACAATGCACAGCTGTCCTCCAGGGAAACACTCACACTCACCGTCAAGGCTGGATTACCAACGAGGAAAAATCAGGCAATTTACCCACCATCAGAGAGCATCACGAGGCCCCGAATCCCCAAAGACGCTCCGTGTTTATGTGCTGTGGTAGTTTAATGAATCCCTAAATTGGATGAGTTTGCACCGCTAAATTACAACATGAGCTGAAATGGAAATCGCAGAGCCTTTTTAACACACGATGTGCGTCAGTTTATGTGAAAAAGACCGTATTATCTTCATGAATTACAAACATTAACTGGAGACAAACACACCACACAGACAGATTAGAGTGGTGATTATAGTTTGGGGTGTCGGTGGAAACCCTAAACTATTTTTTTTACAATTTTAACCTTTTATGGTCAACTTGTCGACTCATAAAGTTTATCTGTTCTGCAACTTGTGACTTGGTTTGTATTTGTGAGAGACTTTAGAGTTTCACACAGTGGAAACTTTAATTATTTAACACCTGCAGTTCCACCAGTGTCCACTAGATGCTCGCCCCAAAACTCATCAAGTCCCATTAGAACCCATGGTAAACTTTCTCATTTTTAAAAAAAGGTTAAACCTGAACATTCTGTTTTCTGTAGCTCATTTCTTTCAGTGAACACTTCTCTGATTGGTCTGTTTCGATCATATTAAGGTCAGGAGTCAAGCATCATTAAAGAGCGATTGAGGGCGTGGCTAACTTAACAGCCAATCGGCGCTGTGATGTAGTCAACACACGAAGTGGATAATTATTATGCAGCCAGTCTCAGTAAATTATTACTCATCTTAAATACCCATCGTTAAGTTTGTATCCTTAGTGTAGTGATGTGAAGATCAGCTCTTTTGACTGAATCTTTAGAATCCGTTCATTAAAAGGATTCGTTCAAAAGATTCGTTCACTGAATCAGTCAGTACTTCAGAGCCCCGTACATGAGTGAGTGACACAGCGGCGAGTTCGTTCATTAGCCCCTCCCCTCCCCTGCTGCTGAAGTCACAGCGTCGTTCACGGTGACTCATGTCGTTCATTCACCAAGTCCTGAAGGAAGAATCACTCCCCTGCCCTGAAAAACTCACCTCTCTGTGTGTCGCTATCAGCGAGAACAACACAGCAGCGTGCAGCACGCCGCTAAACAAGCGCGAGTCGTCGTTCTTTTATATGTCGGAAAAGTGGAGAGATTAAAAATAAATAAAGATGTCAGCAGTAGCGAGGATTCAGATACTTTTAAAGATATCAAATATCATATTTCTTTAAATCAGGAAAGTTTATACACGTGTTTTAATGTGAAGGCGCCATAATGACCTGTTTTATCTGAGCCTCAGTCAACCAACCGCTGCTCGGCAGGAAGTGAACGACGCTACACCCCCTCTGACTGCATCAAGTCATCCGAAAGTCGTTTGTTTTGTTCACCATGTCGCTCACTGACTGATACAGGTCATTCATTGGCTGTGAGTGAATCACGAGACTCCGCCTGCCCACTCGCTCGCTGTGTGTCGTTCGCCAAAGAGTCAAAGGCGGCAGTTCGACTCCCGACCGACACGCCAGGCTCGCGGCTGAGCTCAACTGAACTGAGAAAGGAACGAATCAGGTCTCAGAGTGATTCAGTTCAGGTCGTTCACTCAGCAGTTCAGTTCCTTTAAACGAATCGTTCATGAACGACACAAACACGACTTGTGTGTAGAAATGGGAGTATTTAGCGACATATGTCAGTCCTGTGGAAATGCTCCCACACTTCTGACGATTACTCTCCTTTTCTATCAAGTCTTCGGCTGAGTTTTGAAGAAACTATTGAACATCTCTTCATCACCGTGCTCCTGAAGAATCTTCCTCCAGGCTGTAAGAACAGCAGACAGCAGCTTCGGTTACAGGAACCTACTGTAGAGCAGAAAACGGACAAGGAAGTGTGACTTGACACCTACAAAGAGGTTATTATGTGATGCCATGATTTGCCATGGGTACTGTGTCTTAGGTGATATCATGAACCTCCAAAAGAGGACAGGAAAAGAGTCGTCCCACTTAGCCAGAAAAAGTCTCTATATGCCGAGGGGTTAAACGTGTAGAAGTGTCAGTCCTGTGTGTCAGGGCTGTGAGATAAAACTGCAGCACAAATATAGAAAACAGACATTTCTTAAAACTGCAGGATTTGATGGGGTTTTTCTTTGCTTGTTGACGTTGACGTCTTACAGAATGAAGCCGAAACATCACACCTATGTCTGGAGGATCTCTTTCTGCAGTTGCTGCAGTTTTCAAGGAGAAAAAGTGACTGCTTCGCCTTCTCAAACTGTGACCTTCACACCCCCTGAACTGATGTGAAAGACCTCACACTTTGCACAAAGAATTCAACAGTTTGACAGATAGAGATATAAGTCAAAGGTGCACATCTTCTCTGCTGTTATTCTCAGTCTGAGCTGAAGGAAATCTGAAAAGCCCAAAAAGGTCGGCTGTGCGCACATTGGTTCACAACAGGAATTGAAAAGTTTCGATCCCTTTCTAGTGTCTGCTGTGCTGTCGTCACTGTCACTCAGAATCCTTATTTGTGGGTTCTCAATGTGCATTCTGGAGAGAACACAAACATAGACAAACAGCAGGCTGAGAGAGGATCGTATCACCGAACGACTCCGACCGAATGACGAGCGGAGAATAGTTGTAATGGCCCTTTAATGTGGGAGAATGTGCTGAAGTCTGTGATCTGATCCACAGTTGGAGTGGGTGGCTTTGACTCCCATCGGGCTCCACTCCAGCCTGAATGTTTTACAGACAGAAACCTGCAGCTGTTCTTGACATCATCAGCCACAGAGCGAGACGTACCCGCAACCAAAGTCAGGTTCAGCTCGGCTCTGCAGAGTTCCCCGCGTCTCTACGCTCAGGTTCCTCTTATCTAAACTGACTGCAGCTGTTCACGGAGGATGCAAGCTTTCTGCATGTGTGTGTGAGAGAGCAAAGTGTGTGTCTGTGTGTGTGTGTTTTGACCATTTGTGTGGGAGTTTTGTTTTGTCTGCAGGCTTTAAAATATTCAGTCTCTTGTCTTCTCAAGGCCTCCCCATCGTCATTTTTAGCCTTGAACACACGACGTAGCGCCAGCAACACGGGTGTCAGAGCTGGAATTTATAATGATCTCGAATATTAATACACCTGCGGTCAAATACCACAGGTATATTATAAATAAATACACACCGCAGCATGTGACCGTGGATGAAAAATAGGTTTAGATTGACCTTATTTTAATCGACTTATCATTGCAGCCGTTTTAAGAAGTTTGTTCATCAAAAACAACATATTTAACGTGAGTTTTATTATATTTAACATGCAGCTTTAGCAGATCAGCAGGATCTAAAACCAAAACAAGGAGCAAAGGAGGCGAATCAGCCTGTTAGAGATCAGAAAGTGGGTCTGTTTTCTGTTGGGGGGACATAGTTACTCTAAAAACAGCAGGTACAAATAAGAAATCTGTGTAACGGCAATTAAGTGAGTTAATTTATTCCAATTATTACGTTTATATCTTGTGTAAATGTCACTTCTAGGCGACCAGGATTCATGGAAGTTTGATTGATTTGTTAGTGGGGTATGAACAGCAGGAGGACCGTGTGGCCCGTGAAGCGCCGACTCTAACTAAACGACGGCGCGCTTGTGTACCTACTACTGAAGGGATATGTCACTGAATATAATTGTGAGTCACAGCTGATGTGTTTTTAGGCAACAATGGAGGATCAACGAGGCTATATTTGGCTCTGAATGAATGTATCGCAGCCGTCTGAGGAGCAGTTTGTTGTAGATTTGGATTTTTTTGCAGAAATGATTCTTAGAAGAAGGATAACGGATGAATAATACCATCATACAAACCCAGCCATCAAAGTGTCTTCAGATGTGTCTTGGTAAGTTCAGGTATTTTTGTGTTTAATTCCATCACACAGGGCTTTCAAAAAATTCAAATTACCGCAAATTAGATATTGATTATTTTAATTTATAATCATTGAACACGCGATTAATGTTAAAACAGGTTTTTAAGTAAAATATAAATAGACCATTACTATAACATTATCATCATAATACTCCAGTCGAAACAAGAAAGCTTGACCATGAAGCTGAAGCCGTCTTAAGATGTGGACGTCTGAAGACAAAGTAAATGTGTCTTAAGATGTCTTCAGACGGTCCATGTCTTCAAGACACAAAAATATGAAAGGGTGAATCCTGTTTTCTGCTCTGGGATGTCTTAAGACATGTCTTTAACATCGAAGTGTCCACTCTTAAGACATGGTGACGTCTTCAAACTTTTGTCTTAAGGTCGCTTTCACACCAGAGCTGTTTGATCCGCTTTAATCGGACCAGAGTTTGTTTCCTCGGATAGTCCTCTTCGTCTGGGCAGGTGTGAAAGCTCAAGCGAACTCTGGTCCGCCTGAAAACGTGGGTCTCTGGTTCGGTTCGTATGCAGTGTGAAAGCTCATCGGACCAAACACAGGACCGAATGTACGTAATGACGCTATACGCAGTGCATCTTGGGTAGAGGAAGCACAGCGTCCCTTGTTGCTATGGCAACAAATGACCGCTGACATTAGCAGTTGCTAGCTAGCTTAGCTCAATTGTCTGAACAACAATAACTCATAAATTGGCGTATTTAAACAAAATCAAATCACAACTACCAGCAGTCACAGTCCTTAAACTCTGAGCTCATATGTCGTCACATGTTCGATCGTCAAAGTTAGAAGAATAACAGGATCATCCCTGACAAGCTACGATAGCATTATAGGAACAGTTGCGTTCACTAACGTTGTAGCGTTCCATAATATAATGTGACGAAGGACGATACAAGACGGTGAGTCCACCCCTGTTTGTAATCCGTGAGGTCACATACCCCTCCTACTTTGTCCAATAGACGAGCGCTCCTTTAACCACGTGATGCCCAGAAAGTTCGGTGCGCTTCAGAAATCACCGCGTGAAAGCAGAACCGAAACAAGTGATAAATGCAACAACGACTTTCAGCTCCCCAATCGAACCGAGTCCGCTTGGTCAGGTGTGAAAGCGACCTAAGACGTCTTGATAAATATCTGAAGACGTCTTGAGACACTGAGTTTGTGATGTTGTTAAATGAGACGGTCATTTATGCAGGTTTACAGTTTCTGGTCATGTCAGGCTGCTGCAGTGAGCGTTACAGTTCATATTGTGCGTATTGTGGCTTTGTTGCAAATTCCCCGTGTGCTGCTGTGCATCTATAGATCTAAAGCATCCCTGTAAACCATCGACAAGTACATCTATTTAACATCTATGTTTCCACTGTAGCACATTCTGGCTTTAACTTTGTGTCGCTTAAAACTTGAGCCACTCTTCGCACTCTGTGATGTCCTGTTCAGAGCCACAAGCTGTCATCTGTGTGTGTGTGTGTGTGTGTGTGTGTGTGTGTGTGTGTGTGTGTGTGTGTGTGTGTGTGTGTGTGTTTGCTGACTGACGTGGGTGCTGGGAGGACTGCAGTGTATCCTCCTGCTCTGCCACTCACTCAGACGAAGTGTAATGATGGTGGTTTGCTCGACTACCGCAACAAGCTATTAATCCACAGCACAAACTTCCCCTCATTGAAAAACCTTCCTCTTCTGCGTCTGCAGTTTCCCCCGTGAACCAACCAAACTGAGAGCCACACAAAAAAAAAGGAAAAAGGAGATAGTATTTGTGCCACGTCGCTGTCTCATCTGCGGGTAATCTCTCCAGTTATCTGGAGCCAGAATCATATCCTCTCTATCTGAGCAGCAGGCCAACTTGGACCACGTTCATCTGCTCTGTCTGCTTTATACTGATGCATTGTGGAAATCCTCCTCCTCCTCCTCCTCCTTCTTCCCCTGTGATGTAAACTCTCAGAGACGCCCTGACCTTCCACTTTTACAGCTGCTTTCCTAATACACGCGGTTGACTTTGGCTGGCGTGTCGTAATTTGGGGGATTTTGCTAGTTTGTGCGTTTTATGTGTTGAAACATGTGTTAATCTATATGTGTGTGAGAGGGGAGGTCTTTTTAGGGAAAGGGCCGATGCCTCTGAGTCATTTCAACTCCCCGCTCTACCCTGTTTCTCAGCCCCCGCAGTTCAGATGAGGACCTCGGTACATATGTGAGTGTGTGCAATGACATGCAAGAGTGTGTGTGCAAAGGTTTGTAGTGAGGAAAATGTGTGTGTGATGTGGCCTGTGCGGGACATTTTTAGACGTATTATCAGCTGCACGAGCGGTCACAAGGTGTTTGTGTTTGTGTGAACGCATTTGTGACCTGAAAGGAAAGAGCAGAGAGAGCGCGCTGTCGGTCGGAGTGCAGATCCTCTCGCTGTTTATGTCAAAGTTTATTGGAAACAGACTTTTATTAGACTGTTTTCAAAGTTTCCCTTTTTTCAAACGTGGCCAATATCAGACCGGATCTTTCTTTCCCTAAATTTTAGATTTGCTTTATTTTCTCAGCGTGGAAACTGTCAAAGACTCTGATTATGTTTTGATTCTCTAAATTTCATGCACAGGGCTCCATCTTTTCCTTTCTGGGCATATTTGACATGTTTAATTTTAATTCTGTTTACATTTGATCATTTCATTCGTCACTACATTACTTTTTAAATGAGAATAGTCCTGTGACTGTGCTGAATCCTGTGCTTAAGATAATTATTAAGGACAGTTATAGGCTTTTAAACTATAAAAAACAAGTTGCAAAGTGCCAAACAGTTAGAAATAGCTAATAATGTTCACGTATAAAGCCTGTATGTCGTTGATATCATTGTTGCTGCCTTTTTCTTTTTTAATTATTCATTTATTTACTTAGTTTTCTTATTTTGTTTCTCTTTAATGTACGTGTCTGATTCTGCACTCTTTATTTATTTATATATAGATATAATTATTTATTATTTTATTTATTTTTATTTCTGTTTTGTATCCCTTTGGAATAAAAGGGAGGGAAAAAATTATGTGGTTAAAAAAAAGAAGAAGAAAAAAAACAGACTTTTTTTTGTTGTTGTTATATCAATATGAAATAAAAAAAGATGCTTTTAAAAAAGAGAAATAGTGAATAAATAGGATAAAAACAAAGAAGTTGATGGCTTTAGTCAAAGAAAGTTTTATATCAATAAATAAGGTTAATAAAAATCCAAACAAATTACCATTTACAGATGTTAGATTCAATATTTGAATAATAATAATTGTTATGTACTTTGATCGTGCGTTTTAAAACAGTTAAATCAGAACAGAAGTAAACTTTTTTATGACTGCTAGGTTAACAGCGACCCGTACACATGATCGCGTGAGTGGGAAGGTCATTACCATAGATATATATAAGAAAGACTAGATGACTCTACGAAGCGGAGTCACCAGCGTCCCTACACGGCGGCCATCTTACTCCAGTATACCGTTGCAGTACGCTCTATGGTAGCTGATGAAGTTTAGTAATCTGCAGCATCAAAAATCCTCTGAACTCGCTGAAATCTTGACAGATTTGTCCTCTCTCTTCATACATCGTCTCACTACCACTCTCGTGTGACGATCATGATCGCTGTGGTTGGAAAAGGACTCTGTCATGGGTTTGTTTGGAGGTCACAGACAACAGGTTTTAGCTGTGAACGCCGGTGGATGGAGAAGTAGAACAGCTGCTTCGATAAAGTTTAGGGAGACACATCTCTGTCTTTGTCATATAATTGCCTCCTCCTCTTCTTCTTCTTCTTCTTCTTCTTCTTCACCCACAGCTTGTTATTTGGGGGTCTTTGTCTCTCGGATGTTAGCAGATGGTTTGCAGCTGTGGCTCCAACACGGTATCCTTCATCCCAGGAGGAAACCTCACGCTGTGAAGACAGAAACGCATCATTGCAGTGGTCAGATCTCAAGGACGCGGCGCACTGCGGGAAGAAACAAAACTTTAATTTGTTAGTGAGAAAAACTTTCAAGGTCGGATCGATCGAAGAAGTGAAACTGAAGACGGTGAAGGGCGACCATTTGAATGCACAAAATGCAAAATTACGACTTCATCTCTGCAGCTTTGAGGATCAAAGTGAAAAGTACTCTGCTAAGGATGTTGCTTCACAGTTGTGTGTTTATCTCTTAGCGTGTTCCTGTTTCGCTTCCCCTTCGAGTCGAGAAATAAAACGCAAACATCAGAAACTTAAATATAGAACACCTCTGCAGACTTTGACCTTTTCATGTGGGTTATTGTTCACACATGCTCTCTCTCTCTCTCTCTGCCCGTCTGTGCGACCCAGTGGAGGCCGTGGTGGAGTTCGACTATGAGGCTCAGCAGGACGATGAGTTGAGCCTGACGGTGGGCGACATCATCGTGAACATACGGCGAGACGATGGAGGATGGTGGGAGGGCGAGCTCGGCGGACGCAGGGGGCTGTTCCCAGATAACTTTGTCAGGGTGAGTAATCACAATCTACTCATTTTCTCTCGCCGTCCTCCTCTCATTCTCAGTGTCTTACTCGCTTCATAAAAAAACCACAAGAGGCCCTCCTCCATAAATAGCAGCGGAGCAAACATGCAGATTAGAGTGTGTCGCTGCAGTGCTGGTTGGCTTTGGGTGTTTCTGTTGCTATTTTAGCAAAAGGAAACACAGATCCGTCTGTGATGAGAGCTCTGTTTCCTATTGTTAAGAGATTGTGAGGGTTTAGACGTGAAATAAGACGTGCAGTCAGATTGGACTCAGCTGCAAGCTCACATGAACACAGAATTTGATCATTGGTTGGTATGAAGGCCGTGGGACAAACCTCCAAGCGTTTGGGTCTGCAGGTAAGATCAGTTCAGGATGTTTAGTTTTTGTTTTGGTCTATTTTTATCGATTTGTTGTTTATCAGGGTGAAGCTACACTACAGGACGAACAGTTTTTTTAATCCAGCACGAGTTTTATGTATTTTGGGATTTGTTTTGTTTGAAGTAAAGGGTATCATGAAGAAGGAACAGTACCACTCCATCCTCCAGCACCATGCTGCTCCATCTGGACTCAGACTTGTGGCTCATAAGTTTGTTTTGCAGTGAGACAATGACCCTAAGCTCTCTGCCGAGCTCTGTCAGGGTTACCGAGACAAAAAAGAAGAGGAAGGTGTTCTTCAAAAGATGGTTTGGCCCCCTCAGTCTCCAGACCTTTATCCAACTGAGCTTGTGCGGGATGAATTGGATCGATCGGTCAGTAAAACGCGTCCCACGAATCAGCGTCTCTTTTTAATGAACTTAAGAAAGCTTGAATGTAATCCCTGGAACAGACCTTAGAAAACTTGGTGAACGAATGCCAGAGGAGGTTACTTTAGAGAAAGTCTAACAACAATAACTCAAATACCTCAGAATTATAGTCAAAATGTCTTCTGATAAGTTACTCTTTACACAACAGTCATGTGTAGTCATTTTTTGTACTGATCTGATCTTGCTTCCAAACTTTTGCCCTGTAGTGTACATCTGGAGAGCATGCATGTGCAAGCTTGGGTGTTCCAAAGTCGCAGTCACCACAAAATGAACCACTGCGATATTAAAATGCCAAACATGGAGCAGGGAATGCACCGTCTGAGCGTCATGTGACCTCGCCTCACCCCGGTTTATGTTCAGGCAGAAGACTGCCACTGGGTTTCAGCCCGATTTAAAAAGCAGAACCAGCTAATTTGATGAGGCAACTGTGCTAATAAAAGATCTCTGTGGAATGAGGAAACACGTCCAATCTGAGATCGCACCGAGCGAGTTACCGTTCAGTCATCAAGGCGAAGCTGCTGCTGCTGCGTCCTGGAGCACACGGTCGAGGAACAGCTCAGAGTCGGTGAAGCTTCTGCACGAGTTCCCAAATACAACAGTGGAAGTGACAGACGAACACCGTTGAGTTAGTGCAGTTTTCCATGCTGGAGAAACCGGCACCAGAGTCAGTGATTTAAAAATATGACAAGTAAGAAGAGTAGTTTGGAAAACCCGTTTCAGAACGATTGGAAGTCAGTGTTCATGTTGGATCAGTACCAGTAAAAGATTTAATCCAAACACATGATTTCCAGTAAAATCCATCAGATCTACAAACGCTGTCTGATCCTACGATCACATGAGACCTTAGATCGATTACTTCCTCCTTCTCAGGTAAACAGCTTCAGTGTTATTATCAATCGTGATAAAATCCAGGTTCTTCGAGGTGTGGCTGAGTAAGAACCAGCTCTTCGGCTCTCAGGTGACTCTTAAGCCGAAAACACACAGGATGCGTATTTAGAGCGTGGCAGCAGCGTCACGTATCACGCAGCAAATAGATTCCCATTCTAATAAACGCAGTAAGTCGATTTTCGCTGCTCTACACTTCAATCCACACAGAGAAGATCGTTCCAGACAGGAAGTCAAGCACAAAAACCGTGCATGTCATCTGGTAAATTTCAAAATAAAACACCATATGTGAACTCCAGTTGGTGTTGATGAGAAATCCTTCCTGGTTCTGGATTTATCAGTAACACCGAACAATCCGATGGTTGACCTGCTAACTCTGTCTGAAGGAAACAGCATGAAGGAACAGAGTTTATTTTATTAAACACCAGGAAACCTGCAGAAACACAAACTGGAAAATCACTTAAAACTTTTTCACAGACAGTCACTGAATTATATCAGAATTATCAGGAAATCAGGGGAGGTCTGCACTACGCTGCTGCTACGCTCCAAATACGCCGATCCTGTATAAGATACCCAACGCTGCTCTACGGCGCAAATATGGAACGCACTTAATACGGATCCTGTATGTTTTAACCGTTTTTCGAATGAACCTCCATGATATTATTCGAAATAGTAAAGCCAATAAAAAAACTATCTCCAGATAAGTGAACCATTGCTCTGATATTGTGAAAACATTTGTGTTTCAGGCAGTTTTTATCTCAGTTGTGGTTCTCCAAACATTTGTGTTAAAGACGTAGTTTTTTTTTTTTTTTTTCTGAGGTTTTTGTTTCAATTGGCGAAAAAGAAACCGAACAGATGAGTCACCCGTCTGTGGTTGGAAGCGTTGTCCAGTTTGAGCCCATCTTAAGTCGGTTTGGATCTCGCCGCACCATTGTGGACTGGGAACAACAAACAGTCGTGACTTTGTTGAGCGTCAATTTGGCATGAGTGCGATGGAGGCTGAAGCCAGCTCATTGGCAGAGCGCAGCGGAGTGTAGTGGGGAGGCTGGGGGGTTTGGTGGCGGGGTGGGCCCCGAGTCATTCACAGAAAGAAGTCTGAGCTAATAAAGGGACTTGGAGTAGATTCTGTGAAGTGTACAGATGGAGAGAAAGGCTGACGACAAGCTGCGTTCTTCAACTCGAGTAAAAAGTCGACACTTAAAGGCAGACCGTTCATCCTGTGAACGTTTCTCTTATTAAAGAGCCGTCTTCATTTGTCATGTGTGACTTTGCTGAGGTGGAGACGCTACATTACCCCCGATCTCCACCCTCATCCTGATCATCTCCTAAAAGGTCGTATCCTCCGATCGTAGCTGATCGTAACCATTCAAGTTAACGTGTCAATTTACACCGACTTCTTTCCGTTCCTCTGCGGATCGCCGGACTCCTCAGCTGATCACATGAGTTCTATTTTTTCTGGACGCCGGAGCATGGCGGATAAATTCAGCACAGATTAACCCGTGCTGGAAAGGAAGTCGGGCACAGACACAAAATAAAACATCAACAAGTGAAAGGTTTTTAGACGTCATTTCACCCCGATGACACCATGGATGAGGAGATGCTGATTCTAGAAGTCTAGAAGTAGATTTCCTCCTCTGGAAGGACACAATCTACTGCTGATATGTCTATGTGTCTGTCTTTATAGGGACAACTCGTTATCGCGTGATTGTGAATCTGCGGGTTCTTGTGAGTTCTCGCGATTCTGTATTCTGCCATGAAATTCGCCTCATAAACAGATCTGGTAAGAATTGGCGAACAGCGAAAATCGCCAGTTAGATGTTCTCCCCTCATCGGACTTTCTGGTGTTTCACTCATTTGTTCATTAGATGAGTTGTAGTGATGGGTGTGATAACTGATATGATATTTCTGAGTTATTCGATTATTCTTGTAAGACGTCAGTTTTTCATGTTTTATCCTCGAATCAAAAATTCAGGCGCCTCGCTGCTTTTGTCGGCTGTCACTCTGAAGTTCTGTCGGAGGGATAAACATCTCCTCAAAAGTGATCTTCACAGTTTTCAGCGCGTCGCTTCCTCTTTCTCTCCTTTGTAGTTTCTCGTCTTTTGTTGACTGTGCGCTGATCAGTCGTTTTGGTTTTTGTTTGTGTTGAACTGTAACTGCACCACCCTAACACCTTCAGCTGATGATGATGATGATGAGACAGGAGACTGTGAACACCAGGGTAAGCAGGGGTACTTCCTCCAAACGCAGAGGCTGCTGAGAGGTACGCATGAACCTGAAATTTCTGATTCACTTTAATGTTTTTTTTTCTTTAGTTTTTAGTAAAATAATTAACCATGAAGGAGCAAAGATGTGAAAAGAATGACTTCCAGACTTTGTCATCGGACGGTTTATGATGGAGAACTTGACATTTAAGGCTTTGAAACTAGTGATGCACGATATGAAAAATTTCAACCGATACCGATAACCGATAATTTTCTTCTTCTCATGGCCGATACCGATACCGATAACCGATAAATTCATATTTTTACATTTATTATAATCTTCATATAATCTGCAGTTTGTGCAGGATGCAGCGATTGAAAACTGATATTTTTGTTGCTCTGGCCTATCTAGAACAACAAACTAAAGTTTTTGGCTCTTCAAATGTTTATTTTTTCCATGTCATCACAAAAATATGTGGTCATTTGCTATAAATAACAATAACAGAGCAAAAAGCAGAACTTCATTTGATCCCCTGAACTGTTCAACAGAACTGTAAACTGTAAAGGAGCTATTATGAGACGTTAGCATTAGCATGCTGACCGGACTAACATGTGACGTCCATATGTCTGTGGTAAAACTCACGTGTAGTCCGGTCTTGTCGATCAGGTTGTGAATGTATGTGGCGACAATATCATAGAGTGCAGGAAGAGACACATCCGAGAAGAAGCGGCGGCTTGGGAGAGTGTAACGTGGCTCCAAGTGTGCTATGAACTTACGAAAACCCGGGTTCTCAACGACGGAAAAAGGCTGGTCGTCGACCGCTATGAACTCCATCACTTTGTCGTTAATGGCTTTAGCCTTTTCGCTGTCTCTTGAGAAGCTTTTGCAGTTTTTAAACGCCTGCTGAATGGGGACATCGATCCTCCGTAGTGTTGTTGTCTTAGCTTTAGTACCGCTAGCAGCTTCGGCGGCTGTCTCATAGTCTTTTAATACCGCTCCGCCGCGATGGCGACTTTTCAGATGTGCTATCAGATTCGTTGTGTTAAAACTTGACGTCTTCTTTCCTCCTCTTGGAATCCTCGCTGAACAGGTTTTGCATATAACAGCTGTTGTCATCTTCTGCCACTGAGAAAAACGACCATGCTGGTGAAGACATTTTATTATCTGTCAGGTAGTGACGGGGTCAGGCTTGGGACCTGCGAGTAAGGCGCATCGGGCGGCTACTCCGCCTGCAAACGTTACTCGTAATTTCATTAATAGATCGCATCTTTCTATCGGAAAAATGCACCTATCGGACCGATAAAAAATGACGTAATTTTCCCCCAAATCGGCCGATATTCTATCGGTCCGATAAATATCGTGCATCCCTATTTGAAACACCAAACAAAACACATACAGCTGTGACATTTATATCCAAGAACTGGTTCAGACCGTCTGCAGACTGATTTACGGGGCTCTCCTTCACACCTTGAGCCTGTTTTATAAGATATTGATTGATTACGTATCTGTCTTATTGAGTTGCGCCTAAATGTCCGTATCTATCGTCTGCTGGTGGGTCAAAGTGGAGTGTGTGTGTGTCGGAGTGGAGGTGATAGTCAGCTGTGTGTTTGCGGTGATAGGAAGAAGGAAGTGTATCTCTCACTGTACGATGGGAGGAAGTAGAAAATTGCGACAGGTCGAGAGTGTGTGTGTGTGTGTGTGTGTGTGTGTTCGCGTTGTGACTGCTGCGCTGAAGACGTGGGTCTATTGTCAGGACGGTGACTGAGCGGAGAGGCTTTATTTGTGCTGACTGACTGTCACAGCTCTCATTCAGTGTCAGAGAGCTGGACAATGGGCCTGTGATGGCTGGGTTACAGTGTTTGCATGAGTGAGTGTGTGTGTAAGTGTGTGTGTGTGTGTGTGTGTGTGTGAGAGGCAGGCGGGGGGGGGGGGAGCCTGTGAGTAATGCAGTAATACCAGACTGGTCTGTCACAAGACTGCAGTTATGGGAATCAGTGACATTCAGCTTAGCAATGCTGATGAATGTGTGTGTTTGTGTGTGTTTGTGTGTGTGTGTGTGTAGGAAGTGGGGGATGTTGGCCAGGCAGGTTTTAAAGGTGGGGGGGGCAGGAAGTGATGGTATGCAGTCACCCCCCCCCCTCTCTGTTGCCAACATGGCTGACCCCCCTGCACAGATAACTAACTAACTAATAAGCAGAAGGCGGTCGAGTTAACGCTCTACGTTTGTTTGTTTCCAACCTTTAAACCCACAAAGTTGTAATTTGAGCAGGATTAACGGCGGCGAACAAACCGCTAATCCAGGATTTAACATGGTTAGTTTGAAGCTGCAGATATTATGAGACTCACCACAGAGTTAGGATGTAAACTGTTCGACCAGAAAGTACCTGTTTCTGAAAACTGAGTGGCAGCCTGTGGTGTTGAAAACTGACACCAAAGTGGAAGTGCATAAAACTGCAGTTCCTCTTCTTTCCTGGAATAGGAAACCTCATCAGAGGTCGTCACGAATGTTCATCTGGGCGACAGAAGTGGGATTGATTCAGAAGAGTGAACGAACGCTGAGTTATTAAAACATGTGAGCTTCTTTCACAGACAGCATCACCTGATCTTTGTTTACAATAAGGACTTTATGTTGAAGTAATACTTTAAAGTTACAGTAACTCACATTAATTATCCCAAATGAACATTTTAGAGAGTTTATTTACAAAATCATCCAGCTCAACTTTTGATGATGCTCATAAATCTTTAGACGTAGAGTTGGGCGGTATGAACAAAATCTTATATCGGGGTTTGAGTAATTTCATATCACAGTATTTTATCATGGTAGTTTTTACCTCCTGTAAATTCGATTAATGGATTAAAAATAATCGTACTGTCGCATTTGTTCATTTTCCTTTTATTTTTAAACTCAGATTTACGACAGAGTATCAGGGCCACATGAAGAGAAAAAAAAATTAAAGGCTTCAAGATTGATTTACGAGAATAAAGTCATTACTAATGAGAATAAAGTCGTAATAAAGTCATTACTAATGAGAATAAAGTGGTAATAAAGTCATAACTAATGAGAATAAAGTTCTGATATTCTAACCTGTTGTTTAAGGTGACAGTTGTTGAAATTAGAGTCATGGAGCGTTTCATGAAAATTTACTTCAGTATATGTTTCTCAAACAAGAAGATACTTCATCTTTTTGCAGATCAGCTCCATATTATCAGAAGTATCATAAGGATTTTTTTACGACTTTATTCTCTTAAAGTAACAACTTTAATCTCGAAGTCTAAATTTTTGTTTGTCTTAATTGGCCCTAATACTCAGTCGAACGGATGTGTAAACAAACACAAACAAACTGTCCGACCAGTCTGTCGTCTCTTTGGTGAAAGACTCTGAAAGCTCTTTAGTCTGAGACGAGCTGCTGCAGTTTTAGTTTTTGGTGCAGCAGGTGCGTCACGCGTCTTTAGTCTCTCATAATAGAGTTTGGTGTGTTTCATCTTTAGGTGGTTGAAGAGGTTTTCTGGTGTTTCCTCCTCCAACAACGACAGACACACGACACTCTTTGTATAGTTTTGTTTTTTCGATCGTTGTACCTGTAGACACTTTTACACTGTCGTACCGCCCGACACGAGTTCTCGTCTGAACTCGTCTGTAAATAACCAGGGCGGTGTGTGTTTATGGGATGATCTCTAATCATCTGACCTCTGGGGAGGAGATAAGTAGGTGTAGAAAATCAGAATCACATGCTCTGAAATGATATTAGAAGCTGCACATTGCTCTTCATGCTGCAAAAGAGCAGCTGGTCACTGCTGAGTAAACAAGAGGCTGAAAGTCCCATCAACTTTTTCTCGTTTCCTTCGTTTTTTTCAACCTTTTCACGAGACGAGGAGTTTCTTTCTGCTCAAACACGACTGGAGGAAAACTTCTTTTCCAGTCTGCAAATATCGAAAAAGTACTTTCAGAAAAAGTATTTTTCCAGAGTCAGAGCTGAAACCTGGGGTGACACAGTTCTGCACGTTATACAGTAAAAATAAATAAAAGTAGACGATATTTTCCTGACAAATGACGACGTAAAGGATTTAAACGAGGGCTTGACTGATATGGATTTTTTGGGGACGATGCCGATACCGATTATTAGGGGGGAAAAATCTGATTACTGATTAATTGGCCGGTTTTTAAATTTTTTTTATGAAGTTCTATATATATATATATATACTGTAGATGTCTACAGTATATGCTGTAGATATACAGTAGGCTACTGTCACGCCGACAGGAAGATCAACTGGTGAAACTCCGACCAGAGAAGCGTTTTGAACTACTATGAAGATTGTCATGATGTCGCTGCGCCATCTACAGGATAAGTCAGGGAACTTTTTAAATGGTGGAACATTTTCGAAGTGGAACCAAATCTTATTCTCCGCATTTTATTTCTGAAAATATCAGCGAAAATCGGCGACTGTTGGCTGATTATCGATTAATCTCAAACGGGCTAAAATTGGCCGATTTAAGGTCCAAATTTTGATGCGCCTGACTATACGCATCAAGCCCGATTTTGTGACTTTGTGGGGGAAACAGATACATCCTGGGGAAGACTTTTGCCGAGGAAAGTCCCGCCTCCTTGAAAAGTTCAAACAAAGACGTTTATCAAACTGTTAAAGCTCACAAACCATCGTCAGATGAGAAATCCAACGCTATGTTGTCCTTCAGGTCGTTTTCTTTGTAATATTTGTGTCTTTTATCAAAAATCACTCTGTTCTCCGACACGTAAACAATCAGCCGGTCGGCCATGTTGGATATACCGGTGAATCTGACGTCGCAACAACATGAAATCTGATTGGTCAGAAGTGGACACACAGTATGAGAAACTTTAGAAAAATCGACCGTGATCTGAAAAAATAAATGCCGCAATATCGCAGGACGGGAAGACGTCACTGATGTTAACGCTTGTATTGACAGGATACAGGTTCAAAAAAATATTGACGTCCGAAATGATCGCACGACAAAAACAGTTCTGGTGTGAAAGGAGCTTTATCCTCCGCATTTTATTTTTGAAAATATCGGCGAAAATCTGCAAGTTTTGGACGATGACTGATTAGTCTCAAACGGGCTAGAATTGGCCGATTAATCGGTCGGGCCCTAATTAAAACTATATCTTCAGATGACATCTCTGAAAACACAGCTCTCTCTCTCTCTCTTTCTGGCTCACAGGGTTGTGAAATGAGGACAGATCTTATGAAATGAGGGGAAATCAAAAGTTGTGTTTCTGTTCTTTACACAAACGTTTTTCAAAGCTGAGCTCTCTCTTTGTTTCCCTGTTTTCTCTCCTTTTGTCTCTGAGTTTCAGATGATTTCGCTGCACTAAAAAGACGGTTTACTGAGCGGCTCCTCTTCATTGTTTTCTTTTATCTGTGACTCGGGGAAAAGGTCAGAGGTCGGCTGACGGGGGATGCACAAGGCGATGTTTAGCATTAGAGCCGTGCGGGGTAAACAACATACTTGCTGTCACACAGACACACACAGACACACACGGCCACCGCTGCAGCCGAAATTCTGCAGGTGTTTCCTGCTCTGATATGATGAATCACGCCGCCTTCCTCTCCTCTTTTCACTCGGGTTTCCTTTAACTCTGGGTTACCTTCACATGGCGGGAGAGATTTAGAGCCACCCCAGAACAGTCGAGTTAGTCTGTTTTTGATTCGTCTCTGCCAAACCGTGCTCTCATTAGTCTCAAATTTATTAATTATTCAAACGAGATCGAAAACAGATGGTTTTAGAAATGGACCGTAAACACGGACACTCTGTAGGCTCACAAACGGCTGCTGTGGTTGTTTTTGTGTGTGCAGTGTCGAGTCTTTATTGTGCGTCTACTGTATGTGTGTGAGTTTCTGAATGAGTGAATGTGAGTCTGTTTTCAGGATGTGAAGGCACGCTCGGTTTCACTCTTTCTTCCCACACTCTCGCTGCAGGAAAATCGATCCCGGCGTTACACTTTCACTCTGTAATCAAACTGCAAACAAGGACAGGTGACCGACCCGGGTTTTAAAGGTCGGACAACATGAACCATTAACCTCCTAAACGAGGAAACCGGTCCACGACCGACTCGCTGAGCTGTAAACCAGAGGAAGTGAAGTACAGAGACTCTGAATCCACGTCGAAGCAGCTGCAGCTCGTGAAGTTTCAAAGCGTTGGCTCCAAAAAGGAAATTTGTTCACCCACGGCCTCCGAACAGTCAAACTGAAATGTGGTGGATCGAGCTCAGATGTTACGTAACCGTTTGAGAAAGGAAGATCTGGCGCGTACCCAAACAAAATAAATGTTCATAACTCCCAGTTTAGTTAGAGAGAGAGAGAGAGAGAGAGAGAGAGAGAGAGCACCTCTCTATCACTACCTTCTAGCAGCATCTGTTGTTTTCTAGTCTTAGCTTCGGTACGGTTGGGCGATATAGGCTAAAAAATTTATCACGATAAGGTTCGCCGTTCTGCCGATAACGATAAAAGTTCCACGTTTTTGACTCTTTCTGTCTTGAGGACGCCGGTTGGAGGTCAGATGAGATACTGAACCACAAGTTTGAAGTCCTGGTTGACGATCTGAGAAGCTGAGCTGTTGAAGCAGATTTGAAAAAAGCGTCCCACCTCCTCCCCTCTGTGCTCCACCATAACTCCGCCCCCTGAACCTGTATCGCCCCCTCTGGCAGAAGATCCTGCTCTAGCTTCAAATAGGATTCACCATGTCAGATTGTTAGTGACTAGCGGCAGTAAACGCCAGCTCTGCTAGCGAGCGCCGTCTGCAGCTCCCTGGACAGCTACCGTGTTGACATGTCAGAGACTAATCAGAGTTATTTATGTAACATGAGCCACGATAAAAGGAGATAAAAATGACCTGTTCAACAAAAACTCTGCTGTCTCTGCGTCTGTTTTCAGGATGACCCGATGTTTATTCATGTTAGATTCCTCCTCGACTCCGCCCTTTTCTCTGTCGGCGGTGTGGCGAGCAGAAGTGTTTTTTTTTTTTGCGTCCTTCTCCATCACAGCTCCTGTAGCTAAGCTGCTACGCTACTTTTAGCCGCTCAGAGCTCCGAGGAGGGCCGGCAGAGTGGGAGGGGATGAGTCGGAACTACGGGAGAAGGGTGTGTCAAATACAGCGAGGTGATTGGATGGAGAGGTGAAGCAAGAGATAGACCAATGGGAGCTGTCCGGGACGGATGGCTCCCATTGGTCAGTGTTTTTGCAGCCCTGCAGTTCTTTTCTTTGTGGAGATCGCACTATAGGACCATGGTCGCCATAGAAACGAGGTTCAGAATAATTACCGCTCTCTCAAATCGTCAAACATGACTTTAAGTAGTAGGATTTGGAGAAAACTAGTGAAAACACATTTGTTGAAAACTCTTTCTGCGCAGAGTGAACAGATTTACTCTCCGATGTTGGTCATGTTCCTGATCGAACTCGTCCAAATCTGAAACAGTCTGAAGCTCCTCAGAAACGTCTTCTTCGTCACCTTCGGCCATGTTTGTTTGTTATTCTGATCTGTGTGGGCTTCGGCTGCGAGTCCGTCACTCGCGCTTACGTCATCAACTTGCATTTATCGTGTTTATCGTGAGATGGCAAATATTTATCGTGGAGGATTTTTCTGACGATAATTTGTTAACGATCATTTATCGCCCACCCCTCAGTGTCAGGTTGAGTTTTGTCCTTTTTTAGCCTCTTAAATCTTCTTGAAAGTCCAGAATTTTCTCTGGTTCTTCCTCTTGGCCCGGAGTCATGAGCAGGGTTTTTCCTGCGTTCAAAATTGCGTGGCGGCCGCCTCCACCTAATTTTGTGCCGCCCCCGGCCAGAGCGATTGATTTCGCTCAACACAGCGTAAAGCTCCAGCTGTGTTGATTGAGCGATTGATGTCCCTCTGCAGCAGCAACGTATTTTAACTGCAGTTGCAGCGTTGCGCCACTATAGAGGCGCTATATCAACAGCAGTGCACCGGAAAGACCTGAAGCATCTACCGAAGAAGAAACGGATCGAATCATGTTTTTTTTCCCGCTAGTTGGTGCTATCGGCGTCCTGATTTTCCCTGGCGGATGGTACAAACAGGTAAATACTGCTTGTCTTTTTTGCATCCAAGCATGTCGTGTTTATTTAAAAAAAAAAAAAAAGTTTCCTCCGTTTTTTAGCATTGCAGATATGACAGGCAAAATCAGCCAGTACTTTAAAAAGCGACCTCGCGAGGAGGAAAGTCAAGAGTCCAAGTGAAACACAGCAGAGAAAAAACGTAACAGACAGTTAAAATGCTATAATTCATGTTGGTGACAACGTGGAAATTTGTGTCAGGTCTGAAAGTACTTCACAAGGGACTGGTGATCGCGAGGGTCAGAATGCAGGACAGGACGAGTCGGCGAGGCGAGGGTAATTAATTAATTAGTTTCCAATTAGGAGCATAACAACGCAAAACCAACGTGTACGTGGTTTTTATTCCTCTTTCTAGATCTTCTCAAAAACACAGAGCCAGTGGCTTTGACAAGCAGTGGCTCAATCAATTTACCTGGCTCAGGCATACTGAGGAAGGCATGCACTGCTATTTATGCCAAAAGCACTGTGCCCCAACACAGCAGGCAATTGCTGCCTCCTTAGTGAGACAGCCATCAACCAACTACAGGCTGGACACATTAAAAAGACATGAGGTGACAGCCATTCACAAAGCAGCAGAAGAGAAGGAGAAATATATTAAAGATGGTAGTACCTAAAAAAACTCAACTAATAAAGTTACAAAAACTAAAATAACATAGTTTAGATAGTTTAAGAAATAATTGGTTGTCGTTTTTTTTTTAGGGAGGACACTCCAGCGTATACATATATATAATATATGATTAAAACACTATCACTCTTCATGTCTGTATCAGAATAAAAACAAAAAATGCTTAATGCATGATGAATTGTTTTGTTTAAGGTGAAGACACCTCTGTGGAACAGACTGAAGGAGAGGCACTTGGATGTCTGTTGTAAGGTGGCCGTTGATGGACCAGACCAGGAGGCCTTGGACTACAAGGAGTGCATGAGGAGGTTCTACAGAATGAAAAAGAGGAGGCTGAAATGTTCTGTCTGGTTGTGAGATGTGTGGATGAAGTGTACTTTCAATTAAAAGTTGCCAGCTGATTTGTGTATGTATATAGTTTTAATAAATGAATGCTTTAACATGATAATGGTCACACTCTTTTTTGAACTCTTAAGTATGTTGCCTGTAAAAGAAAGTGAGTCAGTTGAATTTACAAATACATGCACGTCATGGCGCATGGTCAGGATGGTGCCACCTCTGCCTCAATTTGAGCCAGGAAAAACCCTGCATGAGGACCTTTTATCGGGTTGCACAAGAACTCTGTTGATGCTCCCGAAGTTTCTGTCGAGTCTTCCTTCAACTCAACAAATCTCAAAGTTGGTGTCTCGAATATTTCACTAAACTCTAAACTAAATTCACGCACACAGGAGCCTGGCTAAAAGATGTTTTATGTGATTTGCGAACAACTTGGTGCTCAATAGTTGACCCGTAAATTTCCAAAATGGTTCCTGTCCCACATGTGCACTAAAGTATAACATCCTGCTCTTCTTCTGACTTTAGATATGAGGCGATAATTCGTGTTTATATCTTCACGCTGTCTCTGCTCTTAGTCGTACCCGGTCACTCCTTCTGCTCGCTCCTTCTGTTCTTCTTCTTCAGCTTCTCCTCGTACCGTGAACATCGGTGTGTATTCTGCTCCGTGTTCAGAGTTCGAGGTCGTTTGAACCTTCACAGCCACCGCAGCAGCAGCAGCTGAATATAAACCAGCTGTTGATGTTCAGTTACACCTTTAGACGATGGTTTAATCTCTAATAAAACCACAAAGTTTCTCTGTTTCTAAACTTGTGAAATAGAGACGATGTGAAGACGGCTGTTTAGACTCGTTCAAAGGCACCTCTGCAGCGGTGGAAACCACTTTAATGAATCATTTTATGCTGACTAATTCATTTTAGTAAGGTAATGTAATTAGTTTTTAATAGGTATACCTAATGTGTAATTTATCACACAGTGAACCAGAGAGAGAGCGGTACATTTGCAGGTTGATAATGGAGCGTTTCTAATCGGACATTCAGTTTTCTTTCTTCAGCGACGTGACGATAAACGGAGATTTTCTCTCATGTTGATGTTTCTTCACGACTCTCTTTATTCAGGAGAATCACAGGAGGTTCAGTGTAACACAAGAGTCAGAGGTTCACTCAGAAAGGAAAGAAAATTCAAGGACGAGGAGGAAAAACTTACAGCAATGAAAAAGAAGACGAGTCAAACCTGCATCAGGATCTACGGCTCTACGAAAACTTTTTACACTTATTTACAACCGTAGAGTGTCTGTAAATAAAATACCAATTAATAAAATGCAAATATTCCTAAATTTATAGCTGTAAGACATTATTGACCGTGTTGTTACATAACAAAAAAACAACTAAGTTCTTTAAGTACAAAGTTTTGATCATTTCTAACCGTTTTTTTCATTTCCACTGTTTTTCTCTGTTTTAGACGACAAGTGGTCGTCACACGTATTTTTGCGTTTCCAGTCAACGCCATGTTGACACAAATTGTCGCCTGACACGTCAAAGTCATTTGGATATCGCTCGGCTCTGTACTTTGGAGACGGATAAGAGTTTTAAAGTTTTTTCACGGTCCCTGAAAAAAATGTCCTCGGGAACATTTTCTTCGACAAACGTTCCTTCTCCTCGCGATAACAGCGTCCATGTTTAACAGTATATTCCATTTTAATCGGCCAATTCTGCAATTCCGTTTACCCAGAAATCATTGAGTCCTAAGTGTCCAATGATTGGCTCCCCCGTGTCGTTCAGGAGCCCAAACAAAGTTAGCGTGCTACAATATCGGACAGTAGAAACCAACCAGAAAGTTCGGGAAATTGTCTGAATCCTCCTTTGGCCACGACTGCCGACACAAGCAAGAAAACAAAGTAAATACCGGAGACTCTGGAGGAATAACGGGCGCTTAAAACGAAGGTAGACCGGACAAGAGCTGAAAATCTCAGAGCCGTGTTTATTACCTTTTGTTCTGTTGTTGTTCAGTTCGAGGAGTTTGAGGATGAAAGCTCAGCTCCTCTGATGTGAAATTTTACCGTTATTAGGAGGTCTTCACGCTCACAGTGAGGACGTGTTCAGGTAGAGTTGTGACCTTGCGTTAAAGTCAGCAGACAAGTCACCTTGTTGTGGTCAGAAGAAGAGGGTCTTTACAGCTCTGTGTCTCGTCAGCGCTCACATGTTTTGATTTAGAGAACAGTTTCTTCTCTGTCCTTCAGGGTTAATCTGTCACTTCCTGTTAGAAGACTTTAATTTGGAGAAAGTGAATCTCCTCTCGACTAAATGCCAAATTTGTGGTTTAACATCATAAGACAAGAGCTTACTTTGACGGCAGAAATCCCCTCGACCTTATCTCATGTCCCCTCCCCGACCTTTGGATCTCTGCTAAAGATGATCTCTGCTGTTGTCTAGGAAACGTCTTCTCCGCTCGTGTATTTTTGGATCTCAGAGGCTCATTAAGGCTTTCACGCCGTACCAGGCCGAACACCACGGGAGCGTGTGAGGGGTTCTCGATTCTGTGAGTCAGTACGCCCGGGCCCGTATGCTTCACTGGGCTGCGTTCGCCACAGGCCAGGGCTTATAAAACAGTGTCATGATGAATGCGGCGGAAGGATGTGAACCGTCATGGCGAGTTTCTCCGTCTGCGTCTCTGCGTTCGAGGACGTGAACGTCTCGTCGGATCTCCAGTCGCTCCGTGTTCGTCTGCCAGCCTCTCTCTGTGCTCCTCTTGATCAGTTTCGCATGGCGTCTTGTGATGCTTTCCTCAAGTGACAGAGAGTCATGTGGACGGAGGAGGAGGAGGAGGAGGAGGAGGAGGAGGAGGTGGTGATGTTTCTATCTGTGTGTTTGTGCTCGTCCAAGCGTTAACCAGCTCTCTGGTTTGTCTTCAAGGAGGAATCTCACGATAACAAACATACAAGACGATAAAACTCACACAGTGGAGTAGGGATGAGAATCACAGACAGGAAACAGAATTTCTAGGAGCAGTCGGGGGGGTGGAGGGTGTCCAGTTCGGCAGGCAGAAGATCGTGACCTTCAGGTCTTGCCGAGGCGGTTTGTGGCCGAGTGTGAAGCGGCCGGGATGCGAATCAGCACCTCAAGTCTGAGGTCGTGGTCCTCAGTCGGAGGAGAAAGGTAGATTTCCTTCTCCGGGTAGGATGGAGCGGGAGATCGACATGCAGATCGGAGCGGCGTCAGCAGTGATGCAGACGCTTAACCAATCAGTGATGGTGAAGAAAGAGCTGAGCCGTAAGGAGAGACTCTGGATTTACCGGTCGATCTCCGTGCCGATCCTCACCTATGGTCATGAACTTTGGGTAATGACCGAAAGAACAAGATCGCAGATACAAGCGGCTGAAATGGGTTTCCTCCTCAGGGTGTCCGGGCTCAGCCTTAGAGATAGGGTAAGGAGCTGGTGGTAATCGGGAGAACAACCGCTGTCCGCAAAGACAAGAGGAAACAAAACAAACCGAAGAACCCTGAAGCTGGTCTGGTGAACACAAAGACGGGTTCTGTGGGTTTGACTCTGAACCGTTCGGTCCGCTCTCTGTCCCCCCGTCCCGTCCTCAATCTCTCATGAATCTTCTTATCTAATAAAGATGCAGACCAAGACTTAAAAACAGAGAAACCATGAGTCACAGCTGAGTTTGTTTACCTGAGAACATCCTCAGAACGTCCACATTTACGTCTCTTTTTGCATGTTTTTCAGTTTTCTGTGTTTCGATCTTGAAATCCTTCGTCAGTTTGAGGACTATTGTTTCTATTTTTTAGTTCTGCCTCTGTGTACCTTTCAAAAACCCAAACCGAATCCTTTTATGTGTAAACCTGCCGTGCAAAGATCTGATTCTGGGTCTGAATTTAAAGAATCGGTGAAACGATCAATAAAATCTGCAGCTGGAGAAAGAAATCGACCCGAGGCGTCGCTCCGGTTTTTTCTCTTTGTCATGAAGAGCTCATGTCTACGTTAATCCATCGTCTCCTGTCTCGCCTGATTTCTGTCATCTTCATCGTCTCTCCTTAACCTGAGCACTCTCCTCACCTCCTCTCCTCACCTCCTCTCCTCACCTCCTCTCCTCACCTCCTCTTCCTCTCTCTCTGCAGGAGATAAAAAAAGAGTCAAAGAGGGATGGAGGACAGGCGAGCATGATCAGATCGGAGCTTTCCAACGGGAGGGCCAGCCCCGTGTCCGACCCCAGTGTACGACCGGGGAGGAAAGGTACACACACACACACACACACACACACACACACACACACACACACACACACACACACACGGTCAGGTTTAAGTCATCAGTCTCTCAAACACAGATCCTATTAGTGTGAGGGAGGATTTAGGTCAAGCATTCCTCTCTGCTGCTCAATTAAAACACACAGACGAGTGAAAACTGAGCGCTCGGGTTTTAACACTGAACTCTTAAATTAAATTATGACACTCAAACTTTTACTTTGTATTTTTAACAAAAAAACAGTGAAAAAGGAAAAAACAGTCAAAACATCACTGGAACAACTTCTGTCTGCTCGGTGACTCAGCTGCTTTTATCCGTCATGACAATAACGAGTTAAAAACCATCACAGACAAATATCTGTTTTGTTGTTAATAATGATGAATCGATGAAAACGGTGAAGGTGGACCGTCAGACGTTCAGAATTTAGTTTTTTTCCGTTTCCTTCCCCACGCTGCGTCTGATATTTCTGTCACTCTCTGTGTGAAAACACACCTCTCATTTGGGCGTTTTGTCGTGGTGAGCGCGGTGAAGTAAACGTCTGTCGAAAGGTGTTTCTTGGAGTGTTAGAGGTCGAGCTCAGACGACCACAGAGACCACTTTCATCCTCTTACCTGTTAGACTGTTAGAAATGTTGGAGACGCTGGAAAAATGGACGGGGTTTTCACCTGGAATAGTCTGACATTTGACCATGATTTCTGTGTAAAAGAATATTTCCATTTCAGCTGCATCACCAACGATAACCTCAGGTTCCATAAATTTATATAAAGTAAAAAAACAAAAACATTTGTTGCCTCGGCTGAGACGCACATGTGACCTTAAATATGTTTTACAATTCACACACGTCTATTTTTAATCACAAATGTGAGTGAAACAGTCGAACTGATCAGCAAACATTCATGTTACTACAGAAGTTTGTCCACTCTGTGCTCCCGTAGAAACACTGAAGGAGACCCACTCCTGTATGAAGTTAATATAGATAATAATAATAATACATTTTATTTAAAAGCGCCTTTCTGGACACCCAAGGACACTGTACAGGCATTAAGAACACAGTTAAAACACTGTTAAAATAAATAAAAACAATATACAGGTATGGAAATGGACAGTTAAAGGGAATATGCAATATACTTGTTCTCTAATGTAGACGTACTTCTCTCTGCTGCTGAACATCACACACTGTAGCTTTAAGATAATCATCTGTTCTGTACATTTAAATCTATAAACCATGAAGAAGAAGAAGAAGAAAAGAGGAAGTTCAGATTCAGCAGGTTAGAAATGAGAGCAGCTCTTCACCAGATTTTTAATCTGGGATTGATTTAATCTGACCTCTGACGTGTTTCAGAGTTCACAGCCCTCTGTGCGCTCGGCTGATTGTCCAAAAATCATGAAGATCTACAACCGAGTCTGTTAGAGTCGTTATTCACCTGAATCCAAGTTTCTTTTTTCTGCTCTTCAAACTCGTGTGGAAATAAACTTTTTATTCAGCTCCGTTTTAAAAAAAGGATTCTGCTGTTTTTGTTTTTTACTGTAGGATTTATTTTCCTCTAGAGGAGCATTAAAGAGCTTCCTTTACAGAAACCTCCAGAAAACACTCACACCCAGCTCTCTGTTAAACATGAAGAAGAGCGCCACCCTGTGGACAAACGCGGCGCTGCAGGGCCGTGTGGAAACGGTCCAGCTGGTGAGGAATAATGAGTCAAGAGTAATGAGGAGGCTAATGAGTGTTAGCACAACAACTTAGAGGACAGTGTGAGGCGTTCAGTGTCCCTGTCTCTGCCTAAGGTCAAAGGTCAAAGGTCGGAGGTAATTCTCAGGCTAGGAGGGGTTTGAATGAGTCGGTGAACACCTGCTAACACACTGTAAGACCGGGATTATTGATCAGACTGACAGATTACGATGTTGGACTAAACTGTGTGTGTGTGTGTGTGTGTGTGTGTGCGTGTGTGTGTGTGTGTGTGTGTGATGCAGGAGAGCAGATCCGTAAGCGGCGGTGTAAAGCGGCGTTCAGCTACGTGCCTCAGCATGAAGACGAGCTGGAGCTGAAAATAGGAGACGTCATAGAGATCATCGCCGAGGTAAGACGCCGTTTTTAACGACGAGGGAAAGTACGGTGGCCCCTGAGGGACACGGAGACACTAACGCCCTGTTTCTGGTCTTCCCAAGAAGAAGATTTCAGGTCTACAATTATTACAAAACTCAGCAGCAGGAGGCGGGCCCACATTACAGCGGTTTTAGACTCGATTTTAGGATCGATTTTAAGGTTTTTTACTCGTTTTTAAATGTCTTAACGAACTGCTTTTACCTCATGAACCTTCACAGACCCTCCTCCTCCTCTGGCAGCGTCTTCTAATCATTCCCAAAGTCAGGACGCACACTCGTGGTGAGGCGTCAGAGGACCTGAGGGCCGCAGAGAACGTTCATGTTTTTAAGAGCAGGCTAAAGACCTTTTTAGCTTTTAATTAACATTTATTTGTTTTATCTTCATTTATTCTCGTTAGTCTTGGTTTATTTTAGATCTGTGTTTCAATTTTTACTTGTTTTTATCCTTTTATCATTTTTAGGACCCCCGGTGTTTCCTCTGAGGGAGCCCTCGGCGCCGGGAGCGGTGGTCGCTTTTGATTACAGGGGCCCGTCACGGGGTTCCTGGTGGAGGTTTTTGTCGTCCACATCCCTCCTCTGGCCCCGTGTCGGTGTCCTGTGGCTGCGGCGGCTCTCTGCTCCTGGTGCTGACGGCTTCTCTGACGGCGTCTGAACTCGGCCTCATGTCCGTTCTCTTAAAAACCGTCTCTCTCCAAAACGATAAAAGTTGATTTTAAAAGAAGTTCCTGTTTGATCTAAACGGACCTCATCGTCCGTCTGCCCAGTCTGCTCCGTCTGCTCCGTCTGCTCCGTCTGCTCCGTCTGTCCTGTTCCTTCTTCTTGTCTGCTCTGTAACTGTAGGTACAGTGATGTTGTTCTGCTGTCACTCTGGAAACAGAGGTATTAACAGAGCGGATTCGACGTCTGCGCCGACTTCAGAGCCGATCAGATGTGACAGCTCTGTCCATGTGTGTTACTCCTCCCTGCTGTTACACATCGCGCCTCTTTTGCTCCTGTGCGGCTGCCGAGCCGCGTTAAAAACCTTTCCTTGGACACGAGGAGCGATTAATCGTTTGAACATAAATTACATAAGAGTGAGGCCGTTATGCGACTTTATTACGTAAGACTCTTAAACTCTGCAGCTTTTCCAACAGTCTGCAGGAACCTGAGCTTCTGTCACCGTCATGTAAAGGTGTGATATCGGGGTCTCAGTGTGTTTCTACAGAGTGGTGCAGCGTTGCAGAAGCACGAAACTTCGCAGCGGGGGCTCGACACGCTGACAGATGAGCGCCTTTCACACGTGAAGTTTATGGAAACATCAAGATCTCCACCCCCAAAGATGTGTAGAAGTGTTTGTTTACACGTAGACACGCTGAGTCCAGATGAGGCGGCAGTCTGACTTGTTTTGTATCTACAGTGACTCTAAGTTTAGACGTACAGACGTCCTCACTGACCTCATCTTTGACACGGTTCTTCCTCTTCTTCGATAATCGCTCGGTTAACCGTCACACGTCGACGTTCACACCGGTCACAGGGTGTAAACGCCATCATCACCGCCGACCACTTTGTCGCTGACGTGAAATATTTCTGTGCAATCGTCGACTCAGGAAGTTTGTAGGAGTGAGGTGTTTCTGACGCGCTTCTAGAACAATCCGACGTCCAATCGGAGGTTGTTGTTGAGTTCTAGTTTTGCCGTTTATTGATTCAATGAAAAGACAGATACGTCCAACTTAAGATGACGGTAATGTTCGCGATGTTCCTCCCGTTCCTCAGATCACTTCTTCACCTGCGTTCCTTTTTGCATTTCCTGCCCGTTTACCTGAAGTTTGTCCCTTCAGCTCCGACACGGACTCTTCTGTTTCTCTAATAAAAAAAATAAATAATAAAAATAAAAATAAAAATAAAATAAATAAATAAGAATAATAAAAATAAAAATAAAATAAATAAATAAAAATAATAAAAATAAAAATAAAATAAATAAATAATAAAAATAAAAATAAAATAAATAAATAAAAATAATAAAAATAAAATAAATAAATAAAAATAATAAAAATAAAATAAATAAATAAAAATAATAAAAATAAAGATAATTCTTCAGAACGGCGTGTTCGTTAACTCTGGTCTCTTCAGGAGTGAAGTAGACGATGAAGCAGGATCTGCTTTGGCGCTTTGCTTCCTGTGATTCATAAGTTTATACCAAAGGTTGAGTCAAACAATGGCGACCCACCATCACGGCTGGCTCCGCCCCTTCTGTGGTTATGAAACAGTTTTATTTTGGGTGTGTACATGTGCGCCTGTGTGTTGATATTTCCATGTTTGTGTGTTCAGGTGGAGGAGGGCTGGTGGGAAGGAAGTCTGAACGGGAAAACTGGAATGTTTCCCTCCAACTTCACCAAAGAGATCCTGGCAGAGTCGGAAACGCCGTCTTTAGACGCGTCGCAGGAGGAGCTGCGTCCGGGCCGCATCAGTGAGTCTAAGCCAATCAGGAAGCAGGAAATATAAACCAGCTCTGAGTTCAGTTTCTGATGAATGTTTGTTTTTGTGAATAAACGCAGGTAAAGACAGTCCAGGCAGCGAGAGCGACGGAGCCGACAGTCGGTCAGAAACAGGATCAGGAGAAATCCAACCCAAGAAGGTAAGACACAGTCTGTTTCCATGACGCCCGAGAAAACTGAATTATCGCCTTATTCCGATTAAGACCGGACAACTGAAGGTCATGTAAACACTTTAGTCCGTCTATAATCAGAGTCGGAGAACTCCGATAAAAACACCCAGATAATACGATTGGAATTCGATTTTCTCTACCATGTAACCAGCGTAGTCGGAGTATGATCGGACAATACATGTGTGCCACGCCCCGATAACCCCGGAACAAAAACACCAGAGAGGAAGTGTCGCTGTCATTTAAAGAACTTTTGACTCAGAAGAAACTGAAACACGAAAGAACGTCGACTTTTGGAACGAAGAGGAGATCACCGTTACGCTTTCTGTCATTTTATGGACATTTTAAAGTTTATGGACGGTCGCAAAACGAGGAACAGAGACATCTTTGAAAAAGTTCGGAAACAGCGCCGCTGAAAAGACCCATATCGCCCCCTAGTGTTGGGGAGGAGGACACGTTCACGTCAATAATTCAATTTTCTCAGCTGCACGTAAACGAGGACAAGGAGAGAAGTCGGAATTAGCAAAATAAAACGAATTATGATCTTAGTCCGATTAAACTGTGACTGTAAACGCACTGAATGACGTTTGATTGGTTGTCAGTTTACTTTTGCATGCGTTGTCATGGTAACAACATCATGAGAAAACCTGACAGAGTCCCCTAAACTGAACCGGATCAAAAACCTCTTCATCGTACCGTCTGACATCTTCAGCTTCAGTGAATCAAACTCACCTGCTCAGCGCCTACATGTACCAGAATGCATTGCACAGGAGACTCCAGAGTCTCTGCCGCAGTAACAGTGTTTTTTTATGTATTAGTTCATTAAAGCTCTCTCCTCTCCTTTAATCGGGTTGACACTTTCTGCTGCTCGTGGTGGAATTTTAGTCTCATTAGAGATACAAACAGGCCGACCGGCTCCGTCTTCAGGGCAGAAAACAGGAAGAAAAACAGATTTCACAGCTGTGCTGAGCCGCTCCCCAGAGACGCAGAGAACATCGCTAACAACTGCAGGGTTTTTTTTTTGATGCTCTGCTCTCTGAAAATTCACAAAATTTCCCTGCAAACCCACTCAGACGGTTTGAGCTGACTGCAGCAGCTGCAGCCGCCCACCGAGCAGAAACACATCAAACAGGGTCAGACCTCCAGACTCAGACCACACTCAGGCTTTTCTGTTTTACCTTCACACTTCCTCTTTTATTTCAGGGTTTCTCACTAAACCGTTTCACCTTTTTAGGTCCGAGGGTTCGGCTTCGGGGACATTTTCAAAGACCAGCCCATCAAGCTGAGACCGCGGTCTATGGAAGTGGACTCAGAAGGGGACAAGGTGGGACACACAGATAAAACGGACATTTTTTAATACTGTGATCATTGTATTGTGAACGCTGAAGGAAGGAAGGCCGCTGTCTTGGCTCCTCCCCTTCCTCCGTTACAATTTCACAGCACAGGAAGTGGTTTAAATGTTGACACACAACACCCCCCCCCTCACACACACACACACACACACACACATGCACACATATCCTGCAGGGATTTGACAAGCAAAGCAGAAGTGAGAGCTCAGCAGGACTCAGTTAGAGAGGCAGAGACTCGCTCAGAGCGTCTGCTGCTGCTGGAGCTGCTGGAGCTCTGACTGTCTGACTGAACCCGAGGAGACGACGGTAGGGCCGAGACTTCTCTGTTTTATTTACTCTGAGTTTAAGTTTCTTTAAACTCTTTAAACTGTTTACACTCTTTGGATGCAGACGTTCGTGTGAAATCAGGCAGAAACGTGTGAAGAGTGTCGAAAAGTCGGTTTAGAGTTTCATTTCAGACGGTCTGACTAAAGAAGTTCAGAGTGAGGATGTTATTGTGAAATTTATGAAAAAAAACAGAAAAAAAACAAAATCAGGACATGAACGTTCGTGGGATCATCTATTTTAGAGTTACGCTCATCTGAAGAACTTTTCCTGTAATTTAACCAAAACTTTCCGTTTTCTTGTTGATGATTAAGTTAAATTTTGTTCACAAACTCTTAGTTAAAAAACTCCGAAATTCAGATTCTATCGTGGTCATAAACGGGATTATCGCAATATTTACGAAAAACTTGAAAATAAAACAGCAGAATCAGTCCAGCTGTGGAAGATGAGATCAGATCGGAGCAACACGAATTTATAATAAACGTCGGACTTTGGCGACATCTTCTCTCAGCTAACTCGCTAGCGGTCAGCTACTTCTTCTTCAGCTGTCCTCTGTAAACTGTATCAGCGTTTACTTATTTTCTTTTGCACATGATCATCATTTATTGGGTTTATTGTTTTTGGTGAACTTGCCCTTTAAGTCCGACTGCTTCGATGAGAAAAAGCTCAGCAGGGTGGAAACTCATTAAAAACACATTTTGGCCACAAGGAGACCTGAGAAAAGTTAGAGAAACGAGATCCACGGATGAATGTTTGTCGACCTCTGAGTAGGTCAACCAGACAGAGGGTAAACGCCATCCCATAATAGTCGGAGCGCCGCTAAATGTCAGAGCGACGGAGGAGAAGAGAGAGAGAGGCCGAGAAACAGGATGAGAGAAATATCACAAAGGTGGAAAAACAAACAGACAGACAGAGGTGTGTGTGTGTGTGTGTGTGTGTGTGTGTGTGTGTGTGTGTGTGTGTGTGTGTGTGTGTGTGTGTGTGCTCAGAGGCTTAAAAACTGTGTGTGTCATCAGACATGTGAGAGGGTGTGTGTGTTTGTGTGTGTGTTTGCCCTGAAGCATGTGTGTGTGTGTGTGTGAGAGCCGGTCCTGCTGAGCTGGAGCTGTGATGTTTCTTTATGGAGAGAAAGACTCTCTGCTCTCTAATGAGGCTCTGCAGAGGTGACAGGAGACCGTCTCCATCCGGGACGAGGGGAGACGGGGGGGGACGGGGGGGACGGGGGGAGACAAGGGGGACGGGGGGTCTCTGAGTCATGAGACGCTGCTGGTCCAACTGCTCGTTAGTTTGTGACTGACGGCTGATTTAATGTTTTTTTTTGGTCTGAGTGATCAGTCAGATGATTTCTTTGTGCGAGTTTTTCTTTAATCAGAGCTGCATCAGTGTGTGTGTGTGTGTGTGTGTGTGTGTGTGTGTGTGTGTGTGTGTGTGTGTGTGGGAGGGGAAGGGGAAGTTTTCAGTGTTTCCATAGCAGTGAGTCAAAGTCACTCGTCCTTGAGATAAGCCGTCTTCACTGTAAAAGAAAAACCTCCGGTGTGAAATTTTCCCTGAAGAGACGAACTCTGAAAACACGAAGAAATGCAGCAGCGGCGGCGGCGGCAGCAGCAGCGTTTTTGTCGTGTTTTTGTCGTGTTTTTGTAAATGTAGTCGGCCGTCCTCTCAGGCTTTGCTCTGCAGGTGGAGGTTTGGGTTTTAATGACGCTGCAGCACCAAAACCACAACATGAAGACGGCAGCAAACTGGAGTCTTCAGGGAGGGAAACACAGAGAAGCTTTTTCTTTTTACTGTAAAGAAGTTTGAGATTCATGAGTCGGTGTTGAGAAAGTGGTGAAAGTTCGATAAACTTGTCGCTCAGACGGTTCATTTCTAAAGTCCTGGTTTATTTCTAAAGTCATTCACACCAATTTTTCTTCAGTTCAAGTTTTTCTAAAAAGTTTCCAAGTCCGTATTTACGATAAAAAGTTGTGTATTGGTTTTGAAAGTGAGTAAATATAGTCGGTTCTTCTGCCCATCCAGCAGGTGTTGTTGTGAACTTGTCGTGAACTTCTCAGATGTAGTTTCCCCCACAGATCTGCGGTGATTCAGACGCTCCTGAGGCTGCACCTGTTTTACTCTGAAAATACTCCAGTGATGAGAGAGAGAGAGAGAGAGAGAGAGAGAGAGAGAGAGTGTTTATAGGAAGAGCAGGATGATCAGATTAGATCAGATTTTTCTTTAGTCATCCCTCAGTGAGGAAATTAAATAGTTAACAGCAGAACTCAGACATTCATACAGGGTACAAAAACAAATAAATAAGATAAAGAAGTACGGTAAAAAAAGAAAGAGCAGTGTAAAGGAAGAACAGCATTAAAGACAAGTATGAGAAAAATATGAAAGAGGAAATATCAGGTATGGATGTGATGATGATGATGATGATGATGACGATGATGATGATGATGATGATGATGATGATGATGATATTGATATTGATATCGCGCATGATTGATAATTAATTAGGCGTGTATTATTGCACTTTTATTGTTGTTTTATGATCAGCTGATCTTTGTTTGATTAGCGGTAAATAACCGGTAGTATGAAGAAAATATTAAAGTTGTAAATCTTATTAACATGACTGTCTTAAAGAGCTGCAGTTTAGATATTTTGGCCATTTGACTCTCTCTGATACTGATGAACTAAACCTCTTTGAATCTGTGAAAAAAAACTCGTGTTAATCCAGATTAGCTGTGATGGAATAAACGACTGTTTCTAATTAATGTCATATAAAAGTATTTGAGTTTATTCATCATAGAAACAAACTGAACTCTTAATATTCTCCCCCTTATATCAGGATGGTGAATTAGAGCAGAAAATAAACTGATGAAAAAGTAAAGCAGATGTTCTGATTAGAAAAAGACGTTTTTTTTTTGCACTATAAAGGTTCTTAAACACCGGGGCCGACACGAATATAGAACACGAAATTACGAAATATTCAGAGGTGAATTTTTTTCTGGAGCTGAAATGTTTATTTTATTTACTACTGAAAACCAAGAAAATCAAATTGTCTTTTAAAATTTAACAAATATATTTATTTATCTTGTTTGATACTTTAGATGTTTTTGGAAACTGATAATCCACAAGAGAACATTTTTATCATTTATTGGATTATTTCAGGTTTTTTTTTTTTTTAGTAATTTGTTGATCAGATTGATTTGATGGAAGTTTATAAAAGTATGAATCAAATATGAAATAAAAGGTGTTAAAGGGTTAATTCTCCTCCAATCAACTCTTTAGAAACAGCTGAAAAAAAAGAGCAAAAATGCTGAATCATGTCTTGGTGTCGGATTCATTCCTGCTCCGCTTTATTAACCCGAGATCCTCGTTAAAACCTCTGAGATGTGAGGAGGAGGAGAAGGCCTCACTGCTGGTGGCTCCACATGGGTCTCATTACAGAGAGAGGAGGAGGAGGAGGAGGAGGAGGAGGAGGAGGAGGAGGAGAGGGTTGGGTTTTTTTCCTGGAGCAGAACAGAGCGGTGTGTGTGTTCAGGACAGACCGGGTTTTGTGAGTCCGTGTGTTTTTCTGTGGAAGAGCCACCCTGGTTCCACAAACACTGTCGAGGGATCCACTCCAGCCGGGAAACAACGGCTCCTTTAAGAGAATACACACACACACACACACACACACACACACACACACACACACACACACACACACACACACACACACACACACACACACACACCCTCGCTCCATCAGTGAGTCAGCTCGGCGGTTGACCCGATCTCATCCTCATTAATCAGCCGCTCGGCGTGGAGCTGTGGGACAGAGCCGTGCAGAGACGAGACTCCTTCACTCGTCGACTCGATGATTCTCGTGTTTTTTAGATCCACGTGAATCAGACCGAAGCTCTGATGTTGTGAGATTTTACAAGAATAGAGAAACAGAAGCAGAAGATCTGACCTGAACGTGTCTGAAACTTACAGGAAGTGTTTCTTCTCTCTGTGTTTGTCTCAGGTCAACGAGAAAGCGGCGAGCGGCGCTCCTGAAAACATGAAGACTGAACCTGAAACTAAAGCCAGAGGTAAGAAGTTCAAGAGCTTCGTAAACATGTGACAGCTTCGTCTCAGAGAGTGATGGACTCTGACGTTTATCTCCTCTCAGAAGGTCGATCGACCTCGAGTTTAACTAAAACAGTTTCTTTTTTGATCAGATGTCTCTTCATAAGTTCAGATTTCTGCGTTAAATAACTGAATATGACATTTTCTTCAGTTTTCTCCACGTTTACATAAAATAGAATAGAATAGAATAGAATATTCCTTTATTGATCCCCCATGGGGGAAATTTTTTTGTCACAGCAGCATCACAGACAAGACAAAAAGTGCAAAAATGCAGTTATAACAATAAGGGTCCTAATATTAAGAATGGATAATATTAAGAATTAAATAAATGTAATAATTAAGAAAAAAAAAAAAAAAAAAGACATCTAACCCGGGATCTCCACTCCGTCCAGAACGGCGGCGATTTAAGGCGTACGTCAAATTCAACAGCAGGAATCGTGAGAACTCACAAGAACCCGCAGATTTACGTTCAATCGCGTAATAACAAGTTGTCTCTCGCCACAGAGGCTAAACATATAAGCAGTAGATTGTGTCCTTCCAGGGGAGGAAATCTACTTCTAGACTTCTAGAATCAGCATCTCCTCATCCATGGTGTCATCGGGGTGAAATGACGTCTAAAAACCTTTCACTTGTTCGTCTCCAAGGTTGTTCGTCTGTGCCCGACTTCCTTTCCAGCACGGGTTAATCTGTGCTGAATTTATCCGCCATGCTCCGGCGTCCAGAAAAAATAGAACTCTTGTGATCAGCTGAGGAGTCCGGCGATCCGCAGAGGAACGGAAAGAAGTCGGTGTAAATTGACACGTTAACTTGAATGGTTACGATCAGCTACGATCGGAGGAGACGACCTTTTAGGAGACGATCAGGATGAAGGTGGAGATTTGGAGTCAGACTCTGTTTAGTCTTCTTTTTCATGTTTTAGAAGGACGTGTTGAAGCTGACCCTCAGAGACCTTTAATTCACACGTTTTCTGTCCTTCTCCGTCTTATCTGTCCTCGACACAAGATGACTTTATTTACGGTAAACTTCAGCTCTAATCTTCCTCCTGTGGGAAAAACCAAAAGGACAAAATGATCCTGTTATCAAATCTGTGAAACCTTTTCGAGGTGTGGATGAAGTTTCGTGGATCTGTTGGACAGGAGTGTGTCCATCTTTGCTGTGGACATTATTCTCTGACCCTCCTTTGGGCCGGGACCCTCAGGTTGAGAACCTCGTCTCCTCCTCAGATCTGTAACTCTGTTATTTCTGCTGGCAGGGCGGGAGCAGTGTAAAGTCCTCTTTCCATATGAAGCACAAAACGAAGACGAGCTGTCACTCAAAGAGGGCGACATCGTCAACATCATCACCAAGGTCAGTGCGGGGTCACAAACACGCGTGTGCGACTTGACTCGCGGTCGTGGGCGCACAGTTTACCGAGGACGTGACCCAGACGTTCAATCCAAACACTCCTCTGTTTCTTCTTGCAGGAGTGCGCCGACGCGGGCTGGTGGATGGGCGAGATCGGGGGAAGGCAAGGTGTTTTTCCAGATAACTTTGTCAAGCTGCTAGAGCCGGAGAAAGAGGTACAGCCGCGTGAAAACCTCCTCCGTTTACAGGCGGAGGAAATCTCCTGAAGGTGACACGTCCTGACGGCGTTTCTCTGTCTGTGTTTGTTTTCAGAGACCAAAGAAACCGCCTCCTCCCAGCGCGCCGTCTGGAAAACACAACGCAGGTACAGTAACACAGTCACACCGCATTCACACACTCTCTTCCTCTCCTGTTATTATTTTACTCTCTGAGAAGAAAAAGTCAGAAACATGTGAACTCTGACCTCTAGAGAAAAAGGCCGAGGTCAAGAAAGTTCCTCCTGAGCGACCTGAACATCTGCCACAGAGGGACCAGGAGCGAGGTACAGTCCAGACCTCTTCAGTCCTGCTCGGTCTGCAGCTCCTGCAGCTTCTCACTTCTTTCTGTCAGAGGATGGTTTCACCAAAATACACTCAAACTGGGGATTAGATACTAAACACAATCCCACTGACGTTAGGAAACTGTGATAAACGTAAATAAAAACAGAATAAAAATGATTTGTAAATCATTTTCAAACTATATTCAAGTGAGTACACTACAAAGACAAGATATTTAATGTTCAAACTCATAAACTTTATTATTAACTCAGAATTTGATGGCAGCAACACGTGACAAAGAAGTTTGGAAAGGTTGTAAAAAATACTGAGAAGTTTGAGGAATGCTCATCAAACACCGATTTGGACCGTCCCACAGGTGAGCAGGTTAATAGGGAACAGGTGGGCGTCATGATTGGGTAGAAAAGCAGCTTCCCCAAAGATTCTCAGTCATTTACAAGCGAGGATGGGGCGAGGGTCACCACTCTGTGAACAACTGCATGAACAAACAGTCAAACAGTTTAAGAACGTTTGTCAAAGTACAATTGTAAAAAATTTTAGGGATCTCAACATCAACGGTCCATAAAATCATCAAAAGGTTCAGAGAATCTGGAGAAATCAACATTGAACGCCCGTGACCTTCGACCCCTCAGGCGGCGCTGTATCAAAAACCGACATCAGTGTGTTTAAAGGATATCACCACATGGGCTCAGGAACACTTTAGAAAACCACTGTCAGGAAATACAGTTCGTCTCTACGTCTGTAAGTTAAAACTCTAAAGACATTCATCAACAACATCCAGAAACGCCGCTGCCGGCTTCTCTGGGCCGAGCTCGTCTAAGATGGACTGATGCAAAGTGGAAAAGTGTTCTGTGGTCTGACGAGTCCACGTTTCAGATTGTTTTTGGAAATAGTGGACGTCGTGAGGAAGAGAACCATCCAGACTGTTATCGACGCAAAGTTCAAAAGCGTCTGTGATGGTATGGGGGTGCATTAGTGCCCAAGGCATGGGTAACTTACACATCTGTGAAGGCAACATTAATGCTGAAAGGTACATACAGGTTTTGGAGCAACATATGCTGCCATCCAAGCAACGTCTTTGTCATGGACGCCCTTCCTGCTTATTTCAGCGAGACAACGCCACGCCACATTCTGCACGTGTTACAACAGCGTGACTTCATAGTAAAAGACAACGGAGACCCCGGACTGTTGAAGAACTAAAGCTGAACATCAAGCAAGAATGGGAAAGAATTCCACCTTCAAAGCTCCAACAGTTCGTCTCCTCAGTTCACAAACGTTTATTGAGTTTGTTAAAAGGTGATGGAACACAGAGGTAAACATGACCCTGTCCAACTACTTTGTCACGTGTTGCAGCCATGAAACTCTAAGTTAATAATAATTTGCTACAAAAAAAAAATAAAGTTTATGAGTTTGAACATTAAATATCTTGTCTTTAAAGTGTATTCAATTGAATATAGGTTGAAAAGGATTTGCAAATCATTGTATTTCTGTTTTTCATAATTTCCCGACTTTAATGGAATTGGGTTTTGTAGATGAGAACAGTCACACTTCAGTCAGACTCTGTTAATCTGCTGCAAAGAGGAATTCAGTTCTTCTCTTGGTTGAGGAGACTGAGGAGAAATGAGGAATCCATTTTTTAAGATAAACTCAGACATGTAGGTATAATTCCAGAGTTATAAAATATCTTTAAGACGCTTCATTAAACTCAGACGTCGTCTCGTTTAGTTCATTAAACTTGTCCTGGAATAGTGGAGGTACAAGTTTAGACCCGGTTCAGTTCTGTGTATCTTTGTGAAACCAGCCCCTGATCTGTGGACCGACCACCAACTCAAACCCTCTAAACAGACTAACCCTACAGTTCCGTTCACTGGAGGCTGAGACTGCTGCAGGTTTCTTCACTGTCAGTGTCGGCGTGAGAGCGAGCGAGCGAGCGCAGAATCACTCTGTGACGGCGTTTGTTCTCGTCTGTGCAGCAGAGGAACAAAGCGTTTATAGAAGAGACACCGTCAGCATCAGTCTGCGCAACAGGAAGTCTCGGCTCTGTGGTTTTGATCATGACAGACAGAGAAACGCCGACCGGGGCGACAAAGGCTTCCAGTCGTGTCTGCAGTCGTCCTTTTCAGCACGTAGAAATTCAGAGGAAGGGTGATGGTCTTTTAAACGTATTCAGGTTTCTGATAAAGGAGCGTCTGTCAGCGAGGAGACGTTTCCTTTTCGGGGGTTTTGGCGTTTATGTTTCAGAATAACTTTGTTTGTTTTCGGCTCCTTTAGAGGATTTAAGAGGAGGAAGTTCTTAAAGTTCTTCACGACTTTGTGTCCTCCTGACTCTTCATCATTAAAACGATCGTGTCGATGCATCAGTCCACGTCTCCCTCTGACTCCCCCATCTTTGCTGCCATGGCAACAAGTTCCAGCAGCTCCTCAGGCTGCTCTCATCTCCGCCTCGTTATTTTCTGAACTCTGAGAATCCTCCTCAGACGGAAACTCAGGTTTTCACCACAGAGTCAACAGGCAGCAGAGCGGCTTTTGGCCAATCAGGATCGAGGATTTGGATGATATCGTCATATATAACACATAATGTTTTGGGGTTAGGCGCTCATGAAGCAAAATCAAACATCACACACACACAAACACACACACACACACACACACACACACTAACAGATCCGAGCTGACAGCTGATCCCTCTGAACCTCCTCCTGCTCTTCCTCTTTTCCTCCGGCGACTCCAGACCTTTCTTCTTCTTCCTCTTCTTTTTCTTTTTCTCCTTGTTTACTTTTTCGCCGCTGACCCCGCCCTCCCCTCTGCCCTCCTCCCTCACCTTTACCAACATGTCTCCATGTCTCCATGTCGGTGTTTTGGTCGTTCATCGTGTGTTTTTGATTTTCCTCATCTTCGTGTTTCGATGATTTCATGTTTAGGTGAAGAGGTGAAGTTTGGAGAAATCCCAAAGCCTTCCCTCCCATCCATCCTCCCCAAGAAACCCCTCCCCCCAAAGACAAGCTCCTCCTCTTCCTCCTC